ATACGAATTAAGCAAACTCATTGCTTTGTCCTTTGACTCTTTGACCTACATGTACACTCAGAAAGTAGTCAATGAAACTAATAAACAACGAGTTGGTCGCTGAATTACAAAACTGCACTAACAAAACTGCACCCTCTATGTCAATACATTCATTCCAATGAGAACCAAAGGAAAGACACAGCAGCCAGGCTTACCTTGTCCCTAGCAAGAGGATGCGATAAGAAGCAAGTGATCAGCTTGTGGAGGTATGCATTGTACATATAAACCACATCCTCGTCATCATTCTGCAGAAATGATGACAAACAGGGATCAACTCAGATTTTTTAAGTTGCTTTCTACAAACAAAATGGAGGATAAATGGAGAATGAAATCTAGAAGAGCTGAAATAACAAATAGTCGATGCCATATTTTCGTAAGCAATCTGATCACAGAACAAAGACAAATTATATCAGACACACTCATTAAGTAGGAAGTCCTTCCTGGAAAAATTAACAGAAAAAGAAAAACGAGGATGGGCTCATGAAAGAAAACAAACTGTGTTTCATGGGTAACTAAAGGGTCAAAAGAAAAGCACATCGAAAAAGAGATAAAAGTGGTTCCTTGACTGTCCAGACTGAAGATAAATAATGCGAACACTCAAAAGTAGTGAAGGCAGAAAAAAGAAATGCAGCACCGCACAAACCTGGTAGGCTGCAGTTCGAAGGATGTTTTCAGTTAAGAACTGGAAAACATTGTTTGCGAAAATAGAGTCCATGCACGATTTCAGATATCCTAAATCATTTGATGAATGAACTGAAGCTCCCTCCCTTTGAGAACTCCCATCAAGCACTAACATCAAATGCACAGACCATGCAAGCCGTACACCTCCTATAAAGCCCTCCATCTTTAGATCACTGCCTGAGGACATCACCTGGAAATTCAATCAAAAAGACTTTCAGATGACCAACTAAACGTCCATCGGTAGAGCTTTACTTTCAAAGACATAGCTTGTCTTACTGTTTCATGAAATTCTTTCCTAAACGTGGCATCACGAGCCAGAACTGGTGCCATTTCAGAGACTGCACTAAGGGCATCTGATACAAATGCAATGACAAGGCTGAAGAAAAGACTGAATGATATCTGCAGTGAAGGAAGACAGAAGATTATGTTAAACCAATTATATGAGATCAAATTCCAAGAGTAGTATATACTTATAGAGAAACAGTGAAACTAACTTTTAGCTACATTTAATTATGCAGGCAAACTTCAGTCGTTCAGGGTACATGTGCAATGAGCTTGTAAAAAAAAGATCTCCAAACAGCTATAAACCGTGCAAACAGAATCCACTTTTCAGAAGCAATGAGAAAGAGAGGCCAACCTGGCGTTTCAATGTGCTACTGTCCTCTGTAAGTTCAACAGTGCTATCTTTATAAATCTGAAAGATATCCTTGACATCTTTTGAACCTGAAAATAAGTGAACGATAAGAGCTTGTGCTTTACTAAACTTTTCCTTGCCAATCTGCCAAGTATTGGAACTTTGACAACTACAGTTGGATCCATCGTCATACTGAAAATACCACACCAAAAAATTTACAGTGGTATTTCTACTCTCAATGACCAGGTAAATTTTAAGAGGCGAAAATACTCAACTTGGTTGGCATAACAAGGATAGTAGAATATAGCAGGGCTATGGAGACTCAATATATTTCAACAATAACAGCAAGAAGACAAGATTCCTACACCTTTCAAGTTCAAACAGCCACACAGGGAAATATACATGCATCATCACAACTTAAGCACACATGAAAGATCAAAGAAAGAAAAAATGGATAGAAAAAGAAAAAACTAAAAGTTATGACAATAACAGTATTAAAGCTTACCTATCCTAACGACCAGAAGTGAAAGGACAAGGCAGTGTCCCAGGACCAGCCTCTCCCTACAAATAACCGCTCGCCGCTCAACAAGGGCACCTCTAGAATCAAGAACATATGGCTCACTGAGAGGTCCACCTAAACCAGCTGGTTCTTCACGATTAAGTTCCTAATAGCAGGTGAACTTCACTTTGAGTAAAGATGTTTCACATATGGTTAGTCATATAATTTCAAACTACAGGTAGAAAGGTACAACTCTCTTCAAATTAATCAGCCATGAACTCCAGTAAAGAAAATATCTCATAATGATTTCAAAAGACACTGTTGCCAGGAAAAACATTCATCAAGACAGAAAATAAGATCCTGCAGACAATGAAAGCTGAGTAGAAACACTCTATGTGAACAATGTGACTTCCCCAAGAGACATAAATCCAAGCTGCAAACTTTCCGAACAGATGACCATGTTACCAACTTTCCATTCAGATCCAGAGAAAGAAGTTGGGACATGTCCATTTCTGGTTCAAGCCCATTAGCCGGGACGGATTGACAACTCCATCAAGAGAATCCAGTCAGAAAAAAGAACATTCCAACCAGTTATAGAATCCTAAGTGTGCTACCCAATATGTGGAAAGACAGGGCTGCCTCAACCTTTACATGCACAGTTTGGGGACGCGGCAGATGAAACAAATCAAGGGAGAATGTAGTAACTGATGGTAGACTAAGAAATACACTAATCCTTTCAGGTTAAGAAGCCCCTTGCCCATAAGAGAGGTCAGCTAGTAGAGATAAGCAGACAAGGTTCGACTTTTGTAAAGGGCAAACCTGCTCACATTTTATTTATTTTCTTAAAACTCAACAAGCATGGCTTACAGCAACTTAATATAAAAATCAAGATGGCAATAAGAACACAATGAAAGCATGGCTATGATTATGTGCCTAGGGAAGCAAAAACATGACAAAGAAAGACAACTTGATGTTTCAAACCTTTATTAGAGAAATCAACCGCTGCCTAAGACCACCATTGATCAGATCTTCTAAATGTTTTTGAATCTCCGACAGAAGTTCTGCTGGAAGACCCTGATCAAGAACAACAGCCTGCAAAAGAGAGAGGCCAGGAAAAATTAGTTTCTTGGAAATCACAGCGTGCTGCCAAAAGGACTTGAAGTAGACAGAAAGAAAGATACCCTAAAAAGTGTATAGAGTGCTGTTAGTAGATCTCGTCTCTCAGTATACCAAAGTCCAGCAGCAAGGCGAAATATTTCTGATGGCTCTCGTCCAATCAAACCCCACTACAAGTAGAAGAAATAAACATCAACATAACAAAGGCATATAACCTGCACTCTTTGTAATAGCGACAAGGAAAAAAGAAAACAACAAGAGAGCAAATTGAGAAATGCGGATAAAAACAGACCTCTTGATTGGCAGATACAATCAATTGAACAGCGTCAATCTCATTTAAATGAAGATCATCACTCAACTTCAAGGCCTGCAGTACAAAACACAGCTGAATATCAAGTATCCAAAGCAAAATGCACATGATCGAAAAGGCTTATTTGCACTTGCTTGTAAAAGCCATCAAACGCAGAATGAAAATTCAAGCAGAGCATGAAGTGCATATTCCAAAATCACAAAAGATCCAGAAACACTTGTTGATGTGCAGTAACTATAAAATAAACATCCAAACCGATACTGCATTTTAGAACTTCAGTGGCAGATATCACACACAACATTTAACTTTCAAGTCCCACTGGTTAGAAGGCGGTTCTCCGAAACAAATTAGCCAGGTCCATTAACCAAATATGAAAATCTGCTGCAATAACGCCATTGAAAGAAATTGGATCCTCTCTAGCTTACTGTAAGTAACTACCTAGAACAAGCACAGCTCAACCGGAAAGATAACTTTCCAAAAAACCAAGCAAAGAACAAGAGAGCCTCACAATTTGCACGTCCTGATCATCTAGTGAAATTGGTGGTGAATCCGGCAGCCTAACTTCCTTGGACTGAACTTGCGCACGGTCAGACTGCTTGGGAGGCTGCAGAAAGGGGAAAGCAGATGCCCATCAAATATAACTTCAGAGCTCGAGAGAACAACAGGATTCGGAGATTCTACTCCAGAACTACGCAAGACTGCAATCCATTTGAGTTAGAGAGAGGAAGTACAGGATAGTTGAGGAGGGACTTCAAGGAAGGCAGAGATGCGCGAATGGCATGGAGGAGCTCGATCCTCTGCGCCGGCGACGGAGGCGAAGGAGCGAGCAGAGTGACTTCGATAGTGGAGAGTAGCTGCTTCGCGGAAACCATTGCGGAGGATGGTCGGCGAAGGCTGAGAGTTCAGGTGAAACCCTAACGAAATAGAGGAGAAGGGAGAATTGTCATGGAAGAGAAGCAAGCAAGGTGAGCGGGAAATTTGCAGACGAGCTTTTAGTTTCTGCTTCAGTAAAACCCTAACTTCTGGAAGGCGTAATTACATAAATGGTCATTCAACTATAGAGAATGTAACAAATTAGTCGCTAAACTTCGAATTTGTCATTTTGGTTTGTCGATTCGCAACAAATTGGCCACTTTCTAATTCCATTTATATTTTTCGTTAATTGTGCATTGTCGCAAGTCAAAAAGGCATGCCACATCATCAGGTTGCTTCTCTGGCCCCAAACTTGACCTCGCGATTATGCAATTGAAACTCATTAGCCAAGAGACTTGTTTGATAACGAATAGTCAAATCGAATCGATCACTACAAGAACCAATCACTCACCCCTCCACAATCACGACCACCTCTCAATTTGTTTCTCGCTTGCCCTTCTTCTCCAAAAATCAAATCTTCTTAGTCCTTTGATACGCATCATATCTTACAAGCATACACCTTCACGCTCTCAAACCGACTCAAACTGGAATTCCCTAAGACGCCCTCTATACAGGTTGGTCGCCCCTTCTCGAGTAAAAATGTTCTTTTAGAGGTACATATGAATCTCAATACCATTAGCTTATGTACATATTCTCGAATACTAACTTGAGTATCGAAGAACTTGACTTGTAATCTACCGAATAAAACCATTTTTATACAAATTCCATGTTTTCAATAGTCAAAGCCTCATAATCCTTAATAGTTCAAAGTTGGATCAAAACTCCAATGTATCATCAACACTAGTAAACTTAAACTGTAATCACCTTGAAAATTCATGGCAACTAACAACATATATCTATTGTAAATGCTTCCAAATTCCATGCATTATCCTAATCCATTTAGTACGATCGGCACCAAGATCCATTTCCAAAATAAACCATGCCAAATAAACTGCATTGCAATGGCTAATCCGGCAAAAACGAGAAACCCATCACCTGGCGACAATTATTAGAAGCATCAACTTGACGGGAATGCTTATGGAACTAACAAGGTAACCGTCCGCCTGCTCTTCAGATTCCATGAAACCCTATAAATGGAATCAAATTCCCTCTTCTACGTTGCCACCACTACTTAAAACTTCAAAACAGAGGAAACAGAGTCAAATGGAGCTCACCAACAGGATCATTGTGACCAGGAACTACATCGATGGTGCCCCAAAGGAGTCCGACTTCGAGGTGAGGTCCCGAGTCGTGTCCCTGTCGCGCGAGCCAGCTGGATCGGTCATCGTGAGGTCGCTCTACGTCTCGATAGACCCTTACCAGCTCACCCGCATGAAGAGCGACAGCTCCTCCCAGAGTTACAGCAGCTTGGCCACTGGCATTGCTCCCGGAGAGGTAGTAAACCGTAACAAAAATTTAAAACTGTCTCGCGCGCTCTCGTGTTTGAATCCTCGTAACCTCACGACTAACGCGTTACATTGTGTTACTTTTATTTTTTCCAATGTAGGAGGTTGATTGTTATGGGGTTGGCAAAGTTGTGGCTTCAGGGGACCCTGAATTTGAGGAAGGTGACTTGGTGGGTGGACTTTTGTCATGGGGAGAGTACTGTGTCTTGAAGCCTGGAGCCATGTTCAGGAAGCTTGACCCTATGGGGTTCCCTCTGTCACACCATGTTGGTGCTTTAGGTACATTATTACAGAACATCCCCCCACGCCCCGCGAGTAATCGTTCTAAGTTCGAGTAAGATAGGATCGCGCAAGAACGATCGAAATTCGTTTCTTTCTTTTTCCAGCGTTCAGCGGGCTGACAGCATACGCGGGGCTGTTCGAGGTGGGGAAGGCCAAGAAAGGGGAGAAGGTGTTCGTCTCCGCGGCTTCTGGTTCTGTTGGACATTTGGTTGGGCAGTTTGCTAAGCTCCATGGCTGCTACGTGGTTGGCAGTGCTGGAAGCAAAGCAAAAGTATGAATCTTCACTCTTCACTCTCTACTCTCTAGCTTTCTGCATTTTCCTTGAGGCTTTAAGTAACAAACTTTGGTTGTGATCACAGGTGGAGTTGATGAAAGAAAAGCTGGGTTTTGATGATGCATTCAACTACAAGGATGAAACTGACCTCAAGGCAACTCTCAAGAAGTGAGTTTGACATCCTCTGTCACGTACCAATTGGTCCCAATAACTCGAGCTGTGTTTTGATAATTCGTACTACTACGATTAATCATGTTCACTCCAACAACAGGTATTTTCCGGAGGGGATCGACGTGTACTTCGACAACGTGGGAGGCGAGATGCTGGAGGCAGCAGTCGACAACATGAACGCATTTGGCAGGGTGGCAGTCTGCGGGGTGATCTCCGAGTACACGGGCAAAGGACGAAAGGCGGCTCCCGACATGATGGATGTCATCTTCAGGAGAATAACGATCAGAGGGTTTCTAGCAGCTGATTTCATGTGTGTTTTCCCTGAATTCATGTCTGCAGCCTGTGAGCACCTGGGATCAGGGAAGATGGTATCGCTTGAGGACATCTCCATTGGGCTGGACAGCATTCCTTCTGCATTTGTGGGTCTTTTTGCTGGTGGTAATCTCGGCAAGAAGATTGTTCAGATGGCAGCAGAGTGACGGTTCTTCACAAAGAGTATTTGTTCTCTTTAGGGTTCAAAACGGTTTGGTCTTCGTGTTTAAGGATGTTGTTTATGTGTTCAACTTATGGATTTTGTGGTAGCTCTAAGCCTCGTAATTAGGCATCTTAGTTCCACCATTTGCATTGACGTGATTCTGTGACCAAAACTGCAAGTGCACCGTGTCACGTCACAAATAATAAAGTCGATAAGATTATTGTTCCATTGAAATTAGGATAACTGTTTAGATTTCTACTCCATGCTGTTAGTGTTGTGATATATGATCCACAATTGAACTTCTCCCAACAACTCGAGTTATTGGGATCAACTGGTTCATGACATGGTATCAGAGCCTTCTGTGACCGAGACGTCTTGTGTTCGATTCCCGGTGACCCCCATTTGTTACCATGGTATTCTTGTCTTCAGACCTATGCAAACTTCAAGCCCTTATGAGGGGCTTTCGTTTGAGGGGGCGTGTTAGTGTTGTGATATATGATCCACGATTGAACCTCTCCCAACAACTCGAGTTATTGGGATCAACTGGTTCATGACACATGCATGCCACCCTGCCCCCACTAGTTCTAGAACCTAGCAAAGAGGTTTTGCTATGTCTTATTATCGACGTTGATGTCAACAATCATAGTACACCTCAATGATTGAGATTATCAATCGCAAGTTATGAATAACAATGTCATTTGCTTTCGTCAACAAACAAGGTGAACCTGAATTTCAACCACAAATCATCGACAAACGACTTGACTACGTCAACAATGAGGAACACACTCGCCCGTCGTGACAGCAAACTCTAGCACTTCCAACTCAAGATGCCTCATCTACCATGGTCAATCTTGGTCATTCAAGGCTACTTAATATGATAAGCCAAACCTAAACCATCAAACATTGTTGTAATTGGGTCCCATGACTAATTGAAAAAGTGCCAAAAAAAAAATACCATCCACAACTAAAATATGTACTTTGATCGGCACCACGATCCACTGCCAAAACGACTGCTTGAAGTAACAAAACGAGGAAACAATCACCACACCCTACAAAGAAAACAGGACAGAAACCCGGACGGAAGAATCTATGGAGCCACGAAGGTCATTTTCCAGTTTTGTCACCACATGAATGAATTGCTTCGGCCGGCCAAAAACTGTAACCCTCCACCAGCCGAATCTCCACCTACTCCATTCGCCATTTGATTCCCCACTTCCCCTGTTTTGTCGACCACACACACACCGCTCTCCCTCTACAAATACTGCTGTCCTCGGAAAACAGAGCAAATCACTATTGAGCCCAGGAAGAACAGAGTGAAAAACAGAGTGAAGGAAAAGAGAGAGGAGAGGGATCGAAAATGGAAGTTATCATGACGAACAGGATCGTTGTGACCAAGACCCACATCGACGGCGCCCCTAAAGAGACGGACTTTAAGGTCAAATCCCAAGTTCTGGCTCAGTCGGCCCAGCCGGCGGGTTCCGTCATCGTCAAGAACTTGTACGTGTCGGTGGACCCTTACCAGCTCAACCGCATGAAGAGCGACAGCTCCTCTCAGAGCTACAGCTTCTTGGCCGCCGGAATTGGTCCTGGAGAGGTACAGTTAAACTAATTACTTCATGGAAATTGATTCACCTTGAGACTCTGAGGCGGAAGAAGTTCATGCTTTTGTAAATCAGTGGTATATGATTCATTTTTTGTTGGTGGGTCTCTCTAACGGCGGAGTCAGAAAGTTGAAAGAGATTGGCCGATTAGAATCGTAGTAATTGAGGAGGCAGCTAAGGTCTTACCGATTACTTTATTCCCAAATTTGTTACTAATTCTACATGTAATTTCACCTATACTTGAAAGTTGAGAGGGTTGTAGTCCCTGGATTCAACCTAATTTCGGTACTGATTCTATCCCGAACATTCGAGTCATAGAAAAATGTGTTTGAATGAATTCTTGCGTGGCTTCCAACAACTCCGAGTTATCTGGATGAGTTGGTTCTCACAGTTATTCAGCTCCCATGGACATGCAAATGATGTTACATTTTGTTCTGTTTTCTCTAGGAAATTGATTGTTATGGAGTTGGCAAGGTAATAGATTCAGGGAATCCTGAGTTTCAAGAGGGTGACTTGGTGGTAGGATTACTGACATGGGGAGAGTACTCTGTGTTGAAGCCAGGATCCATGTTCAGGAAACTGGACGCCATGGGATTCCCTCTGTCGAACCATATCGGAGCTCTAGGTAGATATATCACATTGACCCTCTTGATCATTCATTTCGCAGTAACACGAACTACGTAAATCTGTGTGTTATGTTGTGGGATTATCATTCGGACTCTTTCCTATCTCTGCAGCATTCAGTGGTCTGACGGCGTACGCAGGGCTGTTCGAGGTGGGGAAGGCCAAGAAAGGGGATAGAGTGTTCGTCTCAACAGCTTCTGGTTCAGTTGGACATTTGGTTGGGCAGTTTGCTAAGCTCCATGGCTGCTATGTGGTTGGCAGTGCTGGGAGCAAAGCCAAAGTATGGATCTTCAGTCTTCAGTCTTCACTCTCTTACTCTTTAGCTTTCTGCATTTTCCTAGAGTCTTAAGTAACAACTTTGGCCATGATCACAGGTGGAATTGCTGAAAGAAAAACTGGGTTTTGATGATGCATTCAACTACAAGGATGCAACTGACCTCAGGACAACTCTGAAGAAGTGAGTTTGGCACTTTTTAGATGATGCATTTGAGACTGACCATACTACTTTCTACTACATATCGAACATGTCAAATCATAAGGCGATACATTTGTTAACTTGCAATTACAGATATTTCCCAGACGGGATCGATGTGTACTTCGACAACGTAGGAGGGGAGATGCTGGAGGCAGCAATCGACAACATGAATGCATTCGGCAGGGTAGCAGTCTGCGGGGTGATCTCCGAGTACACGGGCACCGGAAGAAGGGCTGCTCCTAACATGGTGGATGTAATCTACAAGAGATTGACAATCAGAGGGTTCCTAGCAAACGATTTCATGTCCATCTTCCCCGAATTCATCTCGAAAGCCTGCGAGCACATGGGTTCGGGGAAGATGGTGTCCATTGAAGACATATCCATTGGGTTAGACAGCATTCCTTCTGCATTTGTCGATCTCTTCACTGGCGGTAATGTGGGGAAGAAGATTGTCCAGATTGCACAAGAGTGACTAAACTTGTAGCATGGCTAGGGGAAGAAAGGAATCCCTTCTTTTACTAAAAATCCATTTTGATCTGGTTTTTCCAAGTATGGGTTACTAAAAGTCCGAGGTTATCAACCTTCTGATCTCAATTCTTCACCCTAAAATTCTACATACCGTCATTCTTTGGTCTAATGTCTAAGCACATATGAAACACCACCAAAAAGCTGTGCATCCCAAACCAATCACCCTCCCAATTCGAATTTCTAGTGTCTAGATGACTGAATCTCCTATAACCAGTCACCTGCAACCACACAGACACCTGCAAGGCTGCAACACAGAGAGACATTAGTTATAGGAGAGGTAGTGTGTTCGAATCTCCACGATCGCCAATACTAACAGTTGATCTAAGCAAAATATAGGAGTGAATATGTGCAAACTTCAATATTGTGAGTTGGCTTTCGATTAAAAAGGCTTGGTGACTTAGGCTAAAGGCTTCGACTAAAGATTCAATAGGCGAGCACTAAAATGAGAAAGGGTTTTAGACTCATGAGACGGAATAACATTCTAAACAAAAGCGCACAGATAGAAGTATTTTGAAAGGCGTCAGCAAGTGCGCAGAATTGAACTCTAACATATTTGCTTGGTAGGCCGAGTTTTTGCGTTAGATCACCTAAAAAACCATATGCCCCTTAGGTCGCCAAACTATGACAAGAGTTTCATCTTTTAAAGTGCCAGGCATGTATGGCTTAAGGCCAAACCAAATCAGAAATGATTTGATAACTCAATGCTCAAATGAAGCATTCGAATTATTGGTATCAGATAGTTGGATGGTAAGAAAATCACAAATGGTTTATTTAGTTTCGATTTCACCTTAATCGAGTCATATTATTGAGTGGATAATTTTACCACCCTAAGGCTGGGTTATATCTCCGAGGCCAGATGTCCATTCCAGAAAGTTCTAGAAAGTAGCGCTCAAGTTGTTGACAACCACAAGTCTTTTTTCCTGTTCTCCGATCGAATATCGCCGGTGCTTTCTCCGCCGAACTTTTCAATTTCCCATTAAAGCATCCACATCAAACTAACCACATACATGGTCTATATTGCCACCACAACCGTTTTTGTAATCCAATGTTGATTTCATCAACATTGCACATACATGAATGCATCACTTGATTCACTTGCCATTGCAATTAATGAAACCTAACTCAGTTTTATAATAGTAGAAAACCCCACTTGTTCCCCGTTTCTTCAAACCAATTTGACATTCAAATGCAAGTGTTGTAAGATCGATGCAATTTCATTATTCCACCACTACTCCCTCGTTGACAATGCATTTATTAATTTTCCCACATGTATCGATCCATTACACTCTTCCCTCTTTCTTTCCCTCTACAAAATCTAAAACCCTTTTCAGTTGACTTTCCCGGTACAGAAACACATCCTTCTGGTTTCCCCTGAAGAAAAAACAGAGTGAGGAAAAAAACAGAGTGTAGAAAAAAACAGGGGATCCCAATGGAACCGATCATGACCAACAGGATCGTTGTGGCCAAGACCCACATCGATGGTGCCCCGAAAGTGACCGACTTCGAGGTCAAGTCCCAAGTTCTGGTCCAGTCAGCTCAGCCAGCCGGCTCCGTCGTCGTCAGGAACCTCTATGTGTCGATTGACCCTTACCAGCTCAACCGCTTGAAGAGTGACTGCTCCCGTCAGCGTTACAGCAAATTGACCCCAGCCATTGCTCCTGGAGAGGTACATTTGTGAAAAATTACTTCATACTATCAACACCAAGAAACTGATTCTCTTTGAATGATGTTGCATCTTGTTTTGTTTTCAATCCAGGAAATAGATTGTTATGGAGTTGGGAAAGTTGTGGCTTCAGGGGACCCTGAGTATCAAGAGGGTGACTTGGTCGCAGGGCTACTGACATGGGGAGAGTACTGTGTGCTGAAACCAGCAGGATCCATGTTCAGGAAACTGGACACCATGGGATTCCCTCTCTCGAACCATGTTGGAGCTTTAGGTAGTACATTACTGAGGAACTCCTTTCCAGTAACAAAGAACCACGTAAAGCATTCATGTCGATTGATTGTGATTTCGTATCTTTCTCCTCTCTGCAGCGATCAGCGGGCTGGCGGCTTACGCGGGGCTGTTTGATGTGGGGAAGGCCAAGAAAGGGGAGAAGGTGTTCGTCTCTGCGGCCTCTGGTTCAGTTGGACATATGGTTGGGCAGTTTGCCAAGCTCCATGGCTGCTATGTGGTTGGCAGTGCTGGAAGCAAGGCAAAAGTATGAATCTTCAATTTTTCACTCTCTAGCTTTCTGCATTCCCCCCCCCCCCCCCCCCCCCCCCCCCCCCCCAGAGAGTGTTAAGTTAACAGCTTTGGCCACGAACACAGGTGGAGTTGCTGAAAGAAAAGCTGGGTTTTGATGATGCCTTCAACTACAAGGATGCAACTGACCTCAAGGCAACTCTCAAGAAGTGAGCTTGACGCATTTTCCAATCTCCTTCCATTGTTTTCTCTGTTGGATAAATTGATCCCACTAGCTTTAAGCAACACAGAAATTGAGCTGATGACTTGGTCCAGTGATTTGATCATTGGTCAATCAACTTATTCGACATTTCACTGCAACAATAACAACAGGTATTTCCCCGACGGGATCGATGTGTACTTCGACAACGTAGGAGGAGCGATGCTGGAGGCAGCAATCGACAACATGAACACATTCGGCAGGGTAGCAGTCTGCGGGGTGATCTCCCAGTACACAGGCGCAGGAAGAAAGGCTGCCCCTAATCTGGTGGACGTCGTCTACGAGAGACTGGCAATCAAAGGGTTCGTAGCAGCCGATTTCATGGCCGTCTTCCCCGAGTTCATCTCGAAAGCCTGCGAGCACATTAGCTCGGGGAAGATGGTGTCAATGGAAGACATCTCGATTGGGTTAGACAGCATTCCTTCTGCATTTGTCGATCTCTTCAGTGGGGGCAATGTGGGGAAGAAGATTGTCCAGATTGCACAAGAGTGACTAAACTTATATATCATTTTTACGTTTTAATGATACATTTTTACGTTTTATGCTTTTACTCATCTTTCTGTTTCTGCCTAGAAACGTGCACATGTGACTGAATTGGCTTCAACGAAAGGGCATGTTGCAGGATCGTCCAATGAATCGTGGAGGTCCGGTTCCAGAATTGCGAGCTTGTCCAATTTTTTCAGTATAATAAAATAAAAATAGTTATAACATCATTATATAAAAATAATTTAAAATAAAATTATCTATTAACTCTTCAATTTTTGTATTCTTTACTTTCAACGATGTCATAGCTAATCCAATGAAGAATACTTTTTTCCATTTTATAATAAAAATAGGACTTTCAGAACACAAATATAAATGTAACAATAAATATATATACCTCATGCATATATATACATGAAAATATTGACAAATAACTAGCACGAGTATTATTTATCTTAACTCCATAATTACGAGGGTAGTCCAATACATAGTACGAACCTTGTTCCAAAATTAAGGTATGGCCCCGTACCTGCCCCATTGCTATTACTAACATTTGGCCAACCATGAAACGTTGTTTTCCAGCCATTTTCTCTCACTCACTCTCTTCAACTCACAAACAACAACCAAAAAAAATATCTCAACATGGAATTACCAAACTATCCATAATGCATAGAATTTTACTCTTTTAGACAACTCGGATCTCCTTGATGCATTAGAATTTAGAACTGCCATTTGTGACAACCACACAGGGTGATTGGTTGTTAGGGAAAAGAAAAAGAGAGAAATGCGATGGAAGAAGCACTCATCATCACAAACAGAAGCATAGTTATCAAGACCCACATCAATGGCTTCCCAAAAGAGACGGACTTCGAACTGAAGTCCGAAGCTTTGTCCCTTAACGTCGAACCCGGTTCGGGTCACGTCATCGTGAAGAACCTCTACCTCTCGATCGACCCTGCGCAGCTCAACCGCATGAAGAGCCACAACACTTCTCAATCTCATCACAGCGTCCAAGCTGCTGCCGCCATTGCTCCTGGCTCGGTATGATGCTTAGCTAGGAAATCTGTTTGGAGATATAGCTATTAGATAGATTGGACATAAGTTTGGGTCCTTTCATGATATGCAGGAAATTCGTGGTTATGGAGTTGGCAAAGTTGTGGCTTCAGGGGACCCTGAATTTCAAGTGGGTGACTTGGTGGCAGGGGAACTTACATGGGGAGAATACTGCTTGATGATACCAGGAGTGTTCTACTTCAGGAAACTCGACTCCATGGGACTCCCTTTGTCCTGCCATGTCGGAACTTTGGGTAACTTAATAGACTCAACAGCATATGGAAGCTTAGCTATAAAAACAACTTGGAAGTAGTAATGATGAATGACATCTCTGTTTTGCTTGCCATTTTGCAGCATACGGTGGGATGACAGCGTACGCGGGATTATTCGAGGTCTGCAAGGTGAAGAAAGGAGAGAAAGTGTTTGTTTCTGCAGCTGCTGGTTCAGTTGGACACATAGCTGGGCAGTTGGCAAAACTCCATGGCTGCTATGTAGTTGGCAGTGCTGGAGCAACAGAAAAGGTTGTTTATCAGCTCTTCTCTCTCACAATTTACTTACAACAATAATGTTTTTCATGATAAAAGTTGAAAATGAAAGGCTTCTTCATGTGTACCAGGTGGAATTGCTGAAAGGGAAGCTCGGTTTCGACGATGCATTTAACTACAAAGAAGAAGCAGATCTCAAGGCGACTCTTAGAAAGTAGGTGACTTGTAGCGCAAGTAATGATCAGTTTGTGACTTTGTGTGCAATCAGCTTCACTGCTTCGTTAACTTTCGTGTGGGGTGTGATTTTGATTTCCCACAGGCATTTCCCAGACGGGATCGATGTATACTTCGACAGTGTTGGTGGCGAGATGCTCGAAGCAGCAGTTGCCAACATGAACTTGTTTGGCAGAGTCGCTGCTTGTGGGGCGATTTCAGAGTATACGGGGAGTGGAAGAAAAGCTGCTCCTGATATGGTGGAAGTCATATACAGGAGAATCCAAATCCAAGGGTTTTTGTGCCCTGATTTCTTGAGTGTTCACTCAGATTTTATCTCTGCAACTTGTGATTATCTGAGGTCCGAGAAGATGGTCTCGGTCGAAGACATCTCGACCGGGTTGGAAAGCATACCTTCGTCGTTTGTCGGACTTTTCCATGGCAGTAATATTGGGAAGACAATTGTGCAGATTGCAGTGGAGTGAATGACAAGAAACAAAGACCAAATTAGTAATATCTCTCTGGTCTAAAGAACCAATTAACTTAATGTTACTTTAGCTGTTGCATCCAGTGTGAGATGACATTTATCGGTGTGAGATACCGAACGAATGATGAAGCCAATTGGACTTGTCACGACTTTGTTATTGTATCTCTATTATTATGCCTTAAATCGTTACACTCGATGGATTTGATAGTTTCACAAATCCATGCATTCGACATATAATGCACTCGGCTAAGAAGAATCCACCTAATACCTAGTGAGTTACAAAAACCTATATAGAGATCCTAATCAGATGCAGTGCGACGTACGAAAACCTTCAGCTGACAGAAGCCCTGAAATAAGATTCTTGACTCTTCGAGCTCCATTGCCAGGCTTAAGCTCGGTCGAGTTAGACTTGACATTTTTACTGAACCACCCACCATGGACAAACCCATCAGCACTTACCCCTAGTAACTCCGAATCAATCCTGTCAAGAACTGGATCGTTCTTCCCAAACTTCCTGGCAAAAGGTGCATTGCTGTCAACCATCCTCTGGTAATCATCTACAGTGAGGAAATGAGGGTGTTGCTTAGGAGGGTTATCCCAAGAGATGAAATGGAGATCATGGTTCACTGTAGTGTTCTTGAACTCCTCTGCGTTGCAGATCACCGTGTGGAAGTAGCCCTCGGGCGACGAGAGGAAGTTTGCATAGTACATTAGTACTATCCTGGGGAGATTGTCCCATCCCCACAGGGAATACTCGATGAATGGACGAGAAAGCATCATCCAAGCAGAACCTGGATCACATCATGTCCATGATTCAAAACTTCTACTGAACAAATATCCTTTAGACTGGTAAGGGTGTGCAGCATACTGAGTACTTACCTGTGAAGAGCCTATATGCAGTTGGGACACTTCTTTTCTCTGTGGCCCAAAAAACATCTGATTTCTGCAGGCTATATAGCCCCGGGTCAATTATCACCGGCCTAGCTCTCTGATCTCTGCACACTCCAGATTAAAAGATGGGAAATCAATCTCTTGAACAAAGCTGATAAGCAACATCATGCTACATTATAATTCATCTGCATTTCAAAAGCAGCAGGAGGAAAGATGAATGGCAAAACTTACTCCTTCCAGCCGATATCGCTAGTATGCTCGATAAAGTTGAGGTCCCGTGGGATAGAAGACAATGTGTGCAGCAAATCTGTCACAAGTCACATTAAACAATCCAGAGATTTAAGTCATATACTGTCAGCTAGTGGAACTTTCAACTTACAAGCTTGGCATAGAAGAGTAGGTAAAACTGGTCAACAATTCAACCTAATCAACTACACAATTCAGTGACATTTTCAAGCCTCACAAGCATCAGCCATATATAGTAAGAAAACCCTGGTCAGCCAACATGATTGAAATGGCATAGCACATCCAAATTCAGAAACTGTGAGCTAAAGCTAACATTCATACTTCACAAACCAACTAACACTGCCCAAATCCAAATGCAATCCTCTCAATTGAGCAAAAAGAAGATTAAAGGAACAAACTATGAACATTACCATCTTGGGTGACCAAAGGGTAATCAGAAGCACTCAAATTGATGAACCAATCCCACTCCCCACCATCCCTCAACAGAATTGCAGCAGCGTGAAGCGTGTTACTGACCATGGTCGGACCTCGATAGGTAACTAAATTCGACCTAGCCACACCCCTCACATTACCCACTTCCTGGAAAACCTTCTCGCCTTCCTTAACCCACCTGATGAGCTCCAACCTCTCCTCCAACGGCGCCTCCAGGTCCAAATGCACGACGTACTGGTTCCTCGGATGGTACAGAGCCTTCAGCGCCCTCTTCAGATTCACCCCATCCCCGGCCGACCCAGATATCAGATAAGCAAGGCGAGGCAGTTTCCCGGCAAAAGTCTCCGGCTTGGCCAACTTCGATTCCGCAAATCGCGGGGAGCTCTGGCCCTGTTGCTGCTGCCGCCGGCGAAAAAGCAGCTGGGTAGTCGAGGCCGAATTATTCCATCCGGAGGAGAAGGTCACTGTGAGGAGGATCAAAATTGTGGAGATTAGAAGCGAGGAAATCAGCAGGAGGAACCATTTTTGCTTCTTCTGCAGCTGCTGCTGCAACTTGGTGAAATTACCGGCGACGGTTTCCATTGCCAAGATGGGAGCTTTTTTGGGTGGAGAGGAAAACCCAAGTCAGGGAAAGAGGAGGAGAGAAAAAGAATCTTCAATGGCGGTGGTGGGGTTGGGGGGGAAAAGCAACGGTGGTGGTAGTGGGAGTAGCAATGGTGACCGTTACTGGAGGTAGACAGTGTGATTATGGAGACTCTGGTCGATCCAAAAATCAAACGCTCAACTACCAAAAATATTCCTATGTACAAAAAGAGGCGATTGATCATAAAGGTGGGATGGATTTCTAGCCAGCTTTCTTTTGGAGTTGTGCTTTAACTAGGACACGAGTCTGTTTGGTGATGGTTGGATTGAAGAGAAGTAAATTAGCTGGGAGTGAGACATCTTTTGATTTCCAGATGGAAGAGAAGTAATTACCTACTTTAACAATACAAAAATTTTGTTGTCCCTTAATGATTTTGGTTTTGGGATGATAATATAGTGATGATTTTGACTCGAGCTTCATGTTTCAATCGGTGTGAAAGCAGCAGCTATTAGTATGCTAATAGCTTGAAGTCGGTTAAAAAAAAAGCATGTTAGTAGTTTGACGTCGGTTAAAAAAAGCGTGTTTAAACGTAGGTACGAGGGTTCATTAAGACTTAAAACAAGAATCTGAAGATTTTGTGACGAGTTAGGATTTCTGAATACGGCAACTGAACAAAATGACTAGTCAATCATTCTAAAAAGAAAGGAAATTAACATCATTTGCAAATTCAATTGTTTGCCTCAATCTTTTCGATAACTCAGTAATTTTGTAATCTAGAAGCTAAAAGTATGGACTATCATTTTCTTATACTTGAGATTTGACGCTAGAGACTAGAGTATATTTTAGGATTAAGATTGTTAAATGTTTGTTTTCTTCCACATGACTTTGAAATCTGTTATCACATAACTTGCACAATAACGACAACAAAGATCACTTTAGGATTTGGTCATGTTAGAACTGTAAGGAAGTGGTTAAGTACCATACACCGGCTTGTATAAGATCCAGCATAACCTTCTCCCAACAACTCGAGTTATTGGTACCAACTGGTTTATGACATGGTATCAGAGCTGGTTTGACCAAGTGGTCGTGTGTTCGAATCTCCACGACTCCCAATATTAACAGTCGATTAAAGCACAAGGTATGATGGGCCTGTGCAAACTTCAAGCCCATGAGTTGGCTTTCGTTTGAGGGGGCGTGTAAGAGAGTGGTATAAGATGTAGCATAACCTTCTTCCAACAACTCGAGAACCAATTGGTTCTTTACATGGTATCAGAGCCTTCTGTGACCGAGAGGTCTTGTGTTCGATTCCCGGTGACCCCCATTTGTTAAGCACATGGTATTCTTGTCTTCAAACCTGTTCAAACTTCAAGCCCTTGTGAGTGGCTTTCGTTTGAGGGGGCGTGTTAGTGTTGTGGTATATGATCCACGATTGAACCTCTCCCAACAACTCGAGTTATTGGGATCAACTGGTTCTTGACATGGTATTAGAGCTGGTTTGTTCTTGAGGTCACGTGTTCAAGTCCTCACGATCCCCAATATTAACCGTTGTCTTCAAGCACATAGGAAGAATGAGCTGATGGGAGTGGGACCATGTTATTGTTTTGGGCTTGGACTCGGAATGGATTACACGATTGTTAAACCTTTATTTAACCAAGGCGAGCCCGACAAAGCGAGGTCTAACTGGAGCCTCAAATTAGACAGATCGGGCCCAAACTGTAATCCATATTTCAACTTCCAGCACTCTGTCGTTGGAGCTCATGGGCCGTTGAACTGGCGTTCTATTTCTATAATCCTTTGCTTCGAAAACTATTAAAAGAGACTTTACCGGTCGGTCCAAACGAAAATATCGAGTACCGGGTTTGAAATGATAGGCAATTTTAGGAGTACAAAACTGTTGAATCATAATTAAACCACTATTTTATTACAAAACACCCGATCACTAACTTTTTCGGTATAACTTTTGGTACGGTTTCATAATTTTTGCTTCATCATAGTCATAACGACACAACCTCAATCGTACCTATAATATACAGATTTTGGCCGCCCTGCACGATGCATGGCTCAGATGGGCATGCAGAGCGTTTCCACTATAACCTGACGCTGAGGTTGTTATCGACAAGATTGACCAATAGGTGAACGATGGACATGTTAGGAGGGGGCGATTCTAGAGGAGATTTGTTGGAGGCGCGTGATTCGCAAAAATAAGAGGAACGATTCTGATTTTCGTGGTTGGGTTCGGTTGGCTATAGACGAAAAGTTCATGAAAAAGTTGACATCCTACCTACCCAAAAAAAACAGGGGAACGCCTTTCAATGCCCATTAGATTTAGATTAGATGCTGATTCTCTCAACAGTGGAGGACTCTGTTTTCTGCTCTCTGGTCTGTTCCCCCAACATTTCCTTCTCCTCCTTCGATGTTGGATAATCAAATCTAGTTGAGGATGTTGACAGCATCACAACATATGATCTCAATGATGGTCCAATATGATTCGAACTGTACAAGATTCCAAATGAAGGGTCGAGAAAGCATACTAGCTTTGATTGAATTCAATGAAGTGATTAAAAAAAAGCAAAGAATGATTCATGGGCAACGGGCACATGGTTTCTGTGCTACCAGTTTTCTTGTAATTACTGTGTACGTTGCATCATCTAGCATCATCATCGTCAAGTCATCGTAGGAGACAGAGAGATGCGTAAGTACTAGGGTTTCTTTTGGTTCTTCGATTTCGATCGCTGAGCTATTGGTGGCGGGGTCAATCAAGTCACGAGCATTCTTCTTTGGTGGCCGGCCATCTTTTCGATCTGGTTTCGATTATGACATTTCCTTACTTTGGAAGAGGGGAGCAATTCTATCATGGTATGATCTGATTATGAACCCGGCCACGCTATGGACTCTCCTCCTATGGGGGCATATCTCGTTTCCACGAGTACACGCCAGATCTTATGTGAATAATCACAAACCAAATACTCGGTCAGTAAACCAAGAACAACTCATGCTTATCTAATGTGTTTTTTGTTTGTTTGTTAAGATATAGTAAAATAGAGTTGAGTCCTCTCCAAGCAGCAGGAGATAGTTGCCAAAATGACTTTTTACAACTCTACTATGTATGAACACGACAAAGCCTAGCAATCCTTCAAACACGATCAGTTCCGCCGCAACAAAAAAAAAACTCATTCAAACGGAGAGAACGACACTTAAGTCGGCAACACTCAAAGAACTTTGCTCTTTCTTGTCCTACTATTATTATTCTCCTTGGAAATGATTGAAGGTGGGGTGACATATTCATAGAGGAGCTATCAATATCATGTCATGGTGGGGAGGTTTTGCCTCCTAGGAAACGTCACTCACTCCATGACTGAGATCCAATGCTTTCGGTCTTCTTCCTCCTCCTCCCATTGTCTCTTGCTATAATCAAATCAACACCTCTTTTCACTCCTTTGTTTCCATTGGGAATAATGCTTTTTTAGTGTAAACAACTTTGTGGCTTGATTCGTTTTGATTAGATTGGGGAAGACCCCTAACATTTCCTTTTTCATGAATATGAATGAGTGTATCTCCCATTCCTGGATTCCTAGATGCGTTTGGAGGTCCTTTTTACCCTTTTGTGTGTAAGTGATTAGGCTAAATTTAGGGTTGGATTCAAGCTCCAATCACTTTTTTCTTTGAAGGTGATGATAGATTGATAGAGTAATTGCTCCAATTTAGAATGAACCTTGAGTAGTAATATTTCTGCTATTAGAATAAAGTATATGGGTTAGTGGGATATTTAGATGGATAGTTACATCTTATTGTCGGGTGATTTGGTATTAGTAGGTAAGTTGCACAATTAGTGACATAGTGGAGGATAGGGGTTGTGGTATAAGGGGGCAAACCTCGAGTATGATGTTCACACGACGTCTGTGAGAACGTGCTTATATTGTTTTGCATAAGTTGAACTAAGGGTAGATGCTCTGCTACTGTTGGATGGATGAGGTGATATTATTGTATATAAAAAAAAATACTTGAGGCTTTGTGAGCATGTTCTCACAGACGTTGTGTGAGCACAATAGCAAAATTGAGGGGAAGGGATTTCGGAGTTGGGTATTTTGCATTTAAAGTGTTGTAATTTTTTGGTGGGATTTCTTACATAGAAATTAATTAATTACTTGAATTTTCATTGGAGCTATATCTTCTTCTTTCTTAACTCTATGTTTTGTTATGTTCGGTGATATAAGCTTGTGTTTAATTAGGTGTTAATTAATGGATTCAAACATGCAATCTTCAAATTTAAGATCGGTAATAATACCACTTTTGTATTACTCGCAAATGCTTAGAACCTCGAACTCTCTCATAAATTCAACTTTTCAAATTACTCGACCCTCAGGTTCTAGACCCTGACATTCATAAAACCTATTACTAGTAAACCTAACATTATATTTAAAGAACTTATACGTCACGAAAATACCTAATCTAACACTTAACTACATTAAATTTCTCTTGAACGATTAGAATCTCAACATTAACAAGTCATCAATACCGAGACCACAAAATTTACGGAAGGATTTCTCCTTTTTCATTACTTCGAACACGAAACTCACCACAATTCTACACATAAATATAAAACTTAAAACTCGATCACTCATTTCCCTTAGAAATTTCGAGAAACGAAAACAGATCAACACCTCGACTTCCCATTTAACCAACAAAAGCACACTAAAAAAAAGAACATTCAAAAAAGGAAATAGAACCACCAACCCAACATTATTCCTAAATGTACATCCAAACTATAAGCTACAAACACATTAATTTCCCTTTTTCACCATCCCAAACCCCAATTAACCCTCTCTTAATCCTCTTTTCTCCCCCACTAACACTTCTCCTCAACTCCATTAGCCTTCTTCTCCATCACCTCTAAAGACCCACCACCATTCAACTTCTTCCCATCACCTTCTTTCCCACTAGGCTTGTACCAAACAGCACACACCAAGAACACAAGAAAATTCACCACTCCAAGAACAGCCAACAGACCATAGAAGCAATCAAGCCTTCCATGGTTGATGTTATCAGCCAGCCATCCTTGCCCTCCATTGCCACCACCAGCAGTCACTTTCTTCACCACCATGACCAGGAAGCTGCTGACGAAGAAGCCGAGGGAGAGCGTGGTGAGGAATAGCCCCGTGCTCATCGTCTTCATCCCTTTGGGGGACTGCGTGATGAAGAAGTCCAGCTGCCCTGTGTAGATGAATGCCTCCCCTGAACCCACCAGGAGGAACTGTGGGATCAGCAGGAAGACCGATATCGGGACAGTTTTCGTGGCGGTGGTCATTGATTTGGCGGCGGATAGGCGACGGCTTTCGGCCAGGGCGGCGACGGCCATGCCGATTGTGGAGAGAGCTAGGCCGATTGCTATCCTCTGGAGGTTGCTGAAACCTGTAGTATGGTGGAGAGGCAGGGGAAGTGAGAGAACAAAAATTGGTGAGCTAATTGGGAATTGTTGGGAAATATGTAATTTAGTCCCTTTTTGTTTGGAAGTTGTGTAATTGAGTCCTTATTGGAGGGGTAGTTAATTGAGATGTTATTTTGGTGGGATAAATATAATGTTTGGAAAGAGTGATATATGATAGAAGTTATGCATTTTAAAAATACGAGTTTTCGAGATTCGACGATAGTGACTCGTTACAATCTTATGATTGAGTTCATTAAATAAAAAGGATTCATGATTGAAAAACAATTCATAGTGTTAATTATTATTGTGTGGGGATGTAGCTCAGATGGTAGAGCGCTCGCTTAGCATGCGAGAGGTACGGGGATTGATACCCCGCATCTCCATCTTACTTAAGCTTTTGGACAACAAAAAAAGTGTAAATTTTGATAATCTCTTATGGTAACGATGAATTCAGCATAAGAAATCGAACAAATAACCTTTAGTTCTGAACAACAACTTAGATTTTAAATATTTTTCAAACACCAAGATGTGATTTTTCGTTTGAAGGTAAAAATCAGTCGAGAATTTGCTAAAAATCGGATATTAAAACCTAATTTAACCAAAGATCTAATGAGTTCTCGACAAATTTCGAATTCACTTACCCCAAGCAGTATTTAATTTTGAGATAACATGTAAGCCAGTGTGCTATGTAGTTTTTGTACACCCTAACTATGAAATCCAATCTTCTACTAGCTTCAAAAATTTCGAGCTATTTAGATATAATAATTTTAAAGACCAAACTGGTAACCTTCCCTAAAATCCATGTCCAAAAATTGTAATTACCCAATGAAAGTTTTCACTTCCCAGTTTGATCCCTATATAATCATTAATTTATATCCAAGACCTTTCTGAGGGCATAAAGTTTTACCTGGTTTGCCTTTCCATTTCTTCCACACAGGCATGATCAACCGATCATACACAGCCAGAGTGATCAGAATCGCAGCCACGAAGAACACGGTAAGCGACCCGGCCGGAATCTCGAAGCTCCCAACCTTTCTATCCATGGTGGAAGCCTGCTCCACCGAGAAAGTGATCATCTGTGCATAAGTCGTCCAGAATATGATCGTCGTCGCCCAAATCGGCAGCAACCTGACCATCATCTTCACTTCTTCAACCCGGGTCACGGAGCAAAGCCTCCACGGGTTAGGCTCCGATCCCCTGCGGCCATTTTTAGTCTCAAAATCACTCTGAACACCAATTGCTGCCTTGTCCAAAAACTTAAACTGATCAGTATGTTGAATCCTTGTGCCATCAGGATTGCTCTCATACAGCAAACTAACATCATATGGCAGGTCCATTTTCCTCTTCCCAATTGCTGCTGCAATTACTTGGAGGATGTGGACTATTGGGCTCCCCATGGATTTCTTGTACCTGTACTTCTTGATTCCAGAGAGCAGGATACCAATTGCTATGAACATGGAGGCAGAGCAGATTCCGTAGGCCCAGCTCCTGCCCACTTCGTCCTGTATGTAGACAAGGACAGTCACAGCCAAGAGGGTTCCTAAGCTGATGAAGAAGAAGAATCTGTTGAAGAAGTAAGCCATCTGAGCCTTCTCCTTGTCATCCTTCTCGTCGAATTGATCTGTACCGAAACCTGACACGCTCGATTTCAATCCACCTGTCCCCAGTGCTATGAGGTACAGTGCCATGTACAGAATCCCCATTTGGAACCCATTTGCTGGTGTGCAGGAGCTGTTGTTGGCATGGCATGGTGGTGGCCTTAGTTGTGGCAGTTTTGTGGCTACTGCTAATGCTGCAGTACCCTGATGATAAAGAAAGTTCCAAGGATGAAATGAGGGAATTGTTTATTTTCTTGGGGGTTATGAAAAGATTGGAACTTTTTTGGTTCTTAGTTGCTTACAAGGGCTTGGACAACAGAGAAGATGGCAATTGTCTTGAATCTGCCTAGGAAAGAGTCAGCAAGGAAGCCACCAAGCAAGCACAAGAGGAAAGATGTGCCCATGAAGTCTGTGACCACATTGGCTGAAGTTGAACTTGGCATGTGCATTGTTCCAATGAGATATGTCACCAAGTTCACTGCTATTCCCATTGTTGACAGCCTCTCACATATCTCAATCCCTGGTTCAATTAGAGAAGAATAGGGTTAGTTAGCCTCTGATGCTGTAAATAGTTACTGGGAAGGTAAAAGTAAAGCATCATTTCCACCCTTTTTTAACTAGATTTGACAGTGGTGGGTGAATCATTTTTTTAAAGAAACCTTTTTAGCAGAAAGTGAGGATCCATCTTTTGATCTTTTCAACTTTGTGTTGTCATGTTGTATCTTTTATTTTACTGATTCACTTTGGTAAAAGTAAGTAACAGAGAAAGCAAGATAAAAAAAAACAATCATGGGAACAGGAAACATATTTCAGCTCAGCATCTTTGTAAAATGGGCACATGCACAGACTGACCTAAGATAGAATATTGTTCTTTTATCAACAACATCTACCTTCCCAAAAATCCCAAAACAGAAAATGACTTCACTGTTGTCATCATCTTCCACAGACCAAACATTTATAGTGGGAGCCTGAGCACTTTTGTTCTGTAGTAGCAGTCCAACTTGATTGACATATTTTGGAAGTGAAGTGCAACACGTTATCATACAGAATTAGCTTGTTTGTTTCTGGACACTAGTACAGTATCCATTAGTAGTTAGTGAAGATTTTAACTCGTGAGGCTTGATCACTCTAATGAGAAACTGACATCAGATTTGGGTTGAATGGCAGCCATAGAGGCCGGATGGTCGAGAACTAGCAGGATGGTCGAGAACTAGTTTGTCTCAATAATTATACGCATGTTTTCTGTGCTCGAAGTTTGTTCAGTACATAATATACCTTGTATTGATTCTCGAGGTTAATGGTTAGGATGAAACATAACCCTTTCGGTTATTATTGAAGGCTCTAGTACTACGATGATTTAAGAATGCATTTCGTACCAATCATGTCATAGGAGCACCTGGAAACTGCTATTAAATATGGGACTTTTCTGGGTTTTCCTATCCATTTTCATGGTAAGAAATGATATGTTAGCTATGAACTCCTCCCTTAATATGGATTGCAGAACCATGGCATGAACAATGAAGCCAGAAACCAGCAATGGAAGGGAAAATTTTGAAGGAAGAAACAAACCTAGGATGAGTGCAGCAGGAACCCAACCACCAGTCTTGGACTTGTCAGCAGGGAAACCTTTGTAATCCACAGCATCTGCTACTGTCCAACTCATCTTCCCATCCTATGAAAAAAGTTTAGTGCACAGTAACCAACATGAAACAATGAGCTCCAAAAAAGTTGTTAATATTAAACAGTATTGGCCAAGAAAATCAAGTTGTAATAATACTAACCATGGTTGCAAACTTCTGGGAGCAGGCGTGGAGGGGAAAAGGAGCAGTCTTTTTGGTGGAAGAAAGAAAGAGAGAACTGAATAGAATAGTGAAGAGAAATGTAGTGCTTTTGTGTTTTCCCACTTGGGTCTTGAAGGGAGTTCCCCTTTTTATAGGCAAAATCTCTGAACTGGGAAAGAGAAAAAGGTTTGATGACTCTCCACTAAGGAGCAGTGGAAAGATACAACTGCTGCTGCTGCTTCTTGTGTTCTTGATAAAGGCAATAGCTTTTTTCCACTCTCTTTAAATCAAATAAAAAACTTTTGGGTAGTGGAAGATTCTAGCAAGAGAGCATTAGATTGATCAATATGTATTAAAGTTGTAAGGCAAAGTTAAAGGTGATATTGATTGGGGAAGGAAGAAAAGGGATTAACATGAAGTAGAAAGAAAGAATTGAGGCTGAGAAAGGAATATGCAGCAAAATGGTGCCATTACTGTCACCTTTTCTTGCTTTATGTGGCTTGGATTAAGGGGATGGGTTTCTTGGCGTTCAGATTTCTGAAAATGCTGTGAACCACAGTAGAGCTAGCTGCTTTATAGTGCTTTTTCTGCCCCACAAGCTGCAATATAGACACTGATCTCCCTAAAGCAGTTTTGGACCTTGTGGGATTGGGATGGGGCTGAAATCAACTTCAGAGAAAAAAGAAGAAATGAGGGTTAGATTGGGATTGGAAAATAGAAGGGAAGAAGAATACAACTACCATTGAAAGCTAAAAGAAAAGGTTTGATCTTTCACCTGTAGATTGGTAGGTATGTGGCCTGTATTTGACTGCAACTTTGCAGCTGATATCTGTGAATGTGGGCAGATATCATTTTTGTTGGATTGAAACTGGAACTTTGGAAATGTGGGATGGATAGAGATTAGTGTTTAGGGAAAATGAAAGGCATGTGGGTTGGAGATCCTATTATGGAAGGAGGTTTAAGTTTGCTAGCCTGGTAAAGTTTTGGATTAGGATCTCCATTGATTGTGTTCATCATGTTCCTGCCACATCTGTGTCATTTGTTGCATATCAGTATATCAATCATCTCTGAAATGGTGCATTATTATTGCTATTATTGTCATTATTTGTTTTCTTGCTGCAAGTTTGTTGGCACTTGGCAGAGGTTGTCCTGTAAATGAAAATGAAGGACAACATGTGATCTTGAAACAGATGGGAGATTTCTTTATGGCAGATCAATGTGGAAGTTTCTGCAGAAATGGAGTGTGAAGTTTTTCCATATTACAAAGGACATAATGCATAGCGGCCCCTCTATTATACCATTTTAACAACTATGTCCTTATACTGTGATTTTTGTATGAATACATCTTGTTAGGGATATTACATTTGTTGTTTATCTATTTCTGATATGCCGGTTAACAGTTGCATCCAAGTTAGTAATACTTAGGATTAGTCTGGATTAGAGCAAAACATGGATGACTAACATGTCGAGTATATAAAAAAAGAATCATGTTTTGCCTCTCAAAAGGACTCTTAAATCTCTCATATGTTTTCGTGTTTACAATGTACACATCATTTGGGACTTAATGAGATCGTGACCAAATGATTATGTTGGATCGAGAGCGAAACACAGATTCCCAACCTACGAGACATGTGAGTTATCAAGAATGTGCTAAGGATGAGTCAAGTAAATTAGTAATGGGTTTGGTCAATATCTTTAATGTAGAGAGTTGAAATGGGTAAAGACTATAGGAGCTTGTTTGTGAAAAGTTCATAATATAAGGATGTAATTGTTGAATCGATATACTATTGGGATTAACCCTACTACAAGCAAACTGTGCGTGAGAGATGGCAGTGTTGATTTATTAGCTTATTTGGCTTAATTCACTTTCTCCATTTCAGAATTGGATTGGATGGGGTGGTATTTGTCCACATCCATTGTACTTGTTATTATGAGATTGGATTGAATTTAGGTTTTGAATTAGATTAATTGGATTTCATTTGGATCTAGATTTTAGTGTCTATAAAATGATTCAAAACTTGATTAATTTTCATCTTGTCTACAAGCCTTCTTCTCAACATCATGTATGAATGGTTCATCACATTGGATCTTCATTTGAGAACGGCTTGACGCTAAAAGGAAATGTGACCGGATCATTTGGCAGAATATACTCAATTATGCACCAGAGATAAACAAAACATAGAGAAAATTGAATTGTATATTTGTATTCACTATCAATCTGGAAAAGAAAAAGTGCATATGTACATATTGGAGTTGATCTTTTATACTCGAGATAGGTTTCAAGGGAAAGTGAAAGAGAAAAACTCGGGTACTACTACCTTCAAACTGTCGATTGGTATAATTATCATTTCCTCCTCGTACTTCAGTAAACCTAACAACTTAATCCTATACAAGGTGTTACACTAGTCCTAAATGTTTTGGTTTATGTATCAATTTAGTACTCCATCGATCATATAATCAATCCGATCTCTGACAGGGGATCGACAATTGAAATTGATAGATTTTCTTTTTCATCCTGGATTATGATCTCTGATATGATTGATAAGTGGAATCAAGGGATTTTCTTTTTTCTCTTCTTCAAATGGCACACTGATTATATATACACACTTGAGTAACTAAACTATAACTGATCATTTCCAGCCATTAATAAGGTAGTGGACTGTGTTTGAGATGAAAGCCAATGGTGTGTAGGAAAGAAACCCTCTCTCTCTCTCTCTCTCTAGGTCAATTATTGAGTCTCTCTAAGGGTTGACTCCTAGGAGAATGTTTTTCTGTGATCCACATTGTTTGGTAGTCTTTGCATTATAGTGTCCTGTGTAGGTCCAATGAAAGTTGACCAAACACAAAAAACATAATTGATTCATTCACAGATCCTATTTCTTCATCATTCTCAAAGGGACACTTAATTAATCCTGCTGATCATTCATAATCACCCAAAGTATATGTGTCTAGGTCCATGTGACCTCGCACGTGCCATGTCACTGAGCTCCACACGTGTCCAAATGGGGGAATGACAAAGTTACAATAATTGATCAGGCAGTGTATACTGGCTGCATAATTGTGCCATACCAACAGACATCGTGCACTGTTTGCTGGCCCTAGCCACTAGAGCAGCATGTAACATGAGCATGTGTGAGAGAGATGGTAGAGAGAGTGGGGATTAAATAAAGGCTAAATATAATTCATGTAAAAAAAGTTAGAAAGTTAATTGTGAATCTTATATCGCTCTCTTATACATCTTCTTAAATGAAAGTCAACTCACGGGTTTGAAGTTTACAAATGTCCGTCATACACCGTGCTTGAATCAAATGTTAATATTAGGGTGTGAAGATCCGAATAACGCGACCACTTGATCAACTAAGCTCTGATACCATGCCGTACACTGTTTGCTCCCAATAATTCGAGTTGTTGCGCAAAAGGTCAACTATATGCATCTTATATGTCAAGAACGGATCGAGATAATCGACCATGCAAGAAAGATAAAGAACACACGGTTTTTTACGTGGTTCACTGACACGCAATGTGTGTCCGTTAGTCCACGGGGTAGGAGATAGCCAGTTTCACTATACTTGGGAAGATTACATATTACAAAGAGATTGAGAAGAAGTATGTATAGTACTTCTCCAACGATCTAATCCAACACCAATATGATTAAAAAAAAAAAAGTTGCCGACCATGCCCAGAACAGAAACTCAAATGTGTAAAAGTCCATACACACCATAGACTCTCGTGACTTCCAATTGATAATAAGTAATCTATTCAAATCATATAAACAATATACCACTCTCTCTCACGGTTCCTGTTTAGTCAGAAGAGGTCAAGAATGAAAACCAAAAATGGTGATGATTGATGAAGGTATAGCCAGCACCAAGCACCAGAGACAATCCATATGGGGTCCTGATTTCTTTTCATTCTTTCTTCCTCCATAGAAATCCCACCGCCATGGCCACCCCCCACCATCAAGAATCCCTCCCCTTTTTTTCCCACTTTTGGAAATGTATGGGCGTGATTAGCATGGAATTGCATTGTCCATAGCACTTTTGCTGAGAAACCCATGAGATAGTGATGCAAAATCTTCCTCAAAATTTCTTTACCATTTCAAGTAGTTTTCCAAGATGAGGATAATAATATTTGAACTATGATTGTTTAAGTATCCTAACATCTCGAGTTTTGGGATAAGTTAGTTTATGACATGGTATTAGAATATGTTTGCTATTGAGGTCATGTGTTGAAGTTTTCACAAACACCAATATTTAATCGTTGTACTTAAAGCACATGGTGTTACAGGCCTGTGCAACTTTAAAGTTCAAACCCATAAGTTGGCTTTCGTTTGAGGAGGCGTGTAAGAAAGTGCTTAAGTATCATACATGGGTGATGGATCTCTCCCAACAATTCGAGTTATTGAGACCGGTTGGTTTATGACATTGATATCAGAACTGGTTTGTTTTTAAGGGCACGTGTTCAACTTCTCACGACCCCCAATATTCATCGTTGTCGTAAAGCTAAATAACTACTCTCGTGTAGTGGCAGAAATGGATCAAATGGGCGCCATGTCTAGCTACAAATGTGATAAAAATGGGGCCAAAAGGATTTGTTTCCCAAATGAGTTTTTTTTTTTTTTTTTTTACTTTGACACATTCACAATATTGAGATAAACGATAGCCAACTTCATCAAATCTTTCACCACAGAAAGAACAAATTGGAAAGATGGTCTCTCTCTCTCTCTCTCTCTCTAATTTCTCCATCAACTTTGGGGATCGCCGACCCAACCACCTTCTGCCAAATACACCCTGCCAATTTCCATGCCTCCACCTCCAGCTTCCTTTTCTGGTTTATCGTCTATTGGCATGCATCAGAGAATCGAGTGTCGATGGAATATATAAAACAATAGTAGTGCCTTTCATGTTATTATTATATATATGGCCATACTGTTCCCAAATATATGTGGGAATGGAAGTGACAGTAAGCTGGGAACTCAATACTGTTTGCTCTGTTCAATCCATCATTATTGCCAACAGCTGGTGTGTCTTTGCAGGTAGTAGTAGTGCTCTTCTGATCTGTGCAAATCTTACGATCATAGATCTGTACTATGTTTCCCTTCACTTGGCTATAATAAGTTAGTTTTCTGTAGAATTGCCATAGTCAATTCATTGGGTAATTTGACGTTGTGATATGACTCGTATGGGCATTGGATCGGACCCAAATGATTCATATGAAATTTTAGGATTTTGGGTTTGGGTTGGATTTGAATTAGGTCGGATTTGGACGGTCTTATCTAAAAGGGTCTATTTGGATCCAGATGATTGTAACACAAAAAGACGTATCGATCGTTATTTCATTAACAACCTTCAAAACCTACACGTATTGTTTGTTTTGTAATTAAAAAAAAAACAATGCATTGTTTGTATTAGGACCGGATATTCATTTTCCTTTTTGTATATCCAATAATATGGGTTCAATTTAGACCCAAATTACACAAATATGATTTGAGTCGGAATAAGTTGAGTTTGGACAATACGCAAATATTGAGTCTTTTTTTGCCATCCCTAAATACTTTACCGATATTAACTCATTACGTGGTTAAGTTGTCCACAAACTAAAGCCAGCCCAACCGGTTAATTTCGATAACTTTTTGAGTTGTTTAAACATGCATGAATATACTATTTATTTAGGTCTTTTTATCAGGAGGTTCTTTCCCATGGAAGTCGAATTACAGATTTGAAGTTTGCATATATTCGACCTACCATGCTTAAGGTGTCATTCGCAAAACATGTTACTATTAAGTTCACTAACTTTCAGAGCACATGTGTTTGTCTTCTTTCATTCTGGTGTGAAGTTGTATTACATATGGATAGTATTAAGCATTTAAACGTGAGACTTTTTTTACCAAAACTCTAATACCATATCAAAAAATCAATTCGTACTATGATTTGATCACTAGCTCATATTCTTATAAAGTTCTGAACTAGGACTACCAGGCATAGTGAGACATCAATCCCTTTTCTCTTTATCAGTGTTTTTCTTTGGATCTTTGGCCAAACATTTAGTACCAAAATCACATGATATGATTAACAATGCAACAAAATAGTACAAATACGGTGACATTTCTAAACCCTACTTCATAACCTCCAACATTTACGTTCGATTTAAGCATAAAGTTTGATCGACATGTGCAAATTAACTTCAAGTCTAGTTGCACTTCCGACGAATAGGACAAAGAAAAAGTTACAAGTGAAAGCAAAATTTCCCCTCACCAAATCCCACTTTTTTGCATGAACACATAACAAGAAATTAATTGTTAATTAAACGTGCTAGCTAGTTGATATGGAAGTACTGATCTTTTCATTTGTTTATTATTCTCTAATCATGGATTACGGTCAGCAAGAGTCTGCGAGGCACTCTTAAAGCAGAGACTTATTAATTCGTTATCTTTTGTGAAGGAGACTTATTAATTGATTAATTGATCATGTTTTAGTGGGGATGGGTTCGACAAATACGAGACATACATGATTTGCTTGTTTCAACATTAATAGCAAATGGACTTTCAAAATGTGATCATGATTCATACATGATTGAAAGAGATTAAGAGAAGTTGGTAATATGATAATTATTAGTCTTAATATGGGTGTCGGTGAGGTTACGGTACAAAACTCAGCATACAGGTTTGATCGAATGAAAAATTAATGGTCAATTATTATGTTGTTTTTTAAAGGTTTTTTTTATTGTTTTTAAATCAAATATTTTACTGTTTTGATTTTTGATGTATTATTATTATATTATTTTAATCTTTTTCTTTTTTGTAAAAAGAAGTAAAAACTAAAAACAATAAATTCTGGGCCAGCAGCTGCTACATTGCTTCGGATTGCGACAGGCCCAAAACGCATTCCTCTAAGGCCCTGGCCCAGGCCCAATAGAAAAACTATACTGCTAATTTTTCCTTTTTCTGTTTCTTTTTGCGAAGTCTAATCCCTAGAACCAAAATCTCCCAAATCATAGGTCTCAATGAGGCCTTCAGGCTTGAAATGATTGCCCGCCAACCCTCTCTGAAAGCCATACAAGTAATAGCCGAGCAACGGTCAACCGCCGCGGTAAACCCTCAACCTCTCAACAATGCACACCAACTGTTCGACAGAAGTCCCCGCCGAGGCCGAGCCAGGGCCGACGTCAACCGCTCCATGGTCGAATCCCTTCAGAGAAAGGCCCCATCTCAAGCGCTTCAGGTCTTCAGGAGCCACTTTCAGCTGGGACACACGGGCACGATCGATGGCATCACTGTCGCTCTCTCGCTTAAAGCTTGCAATGGAGACCCATTCCGGGGATCTCAAATCCACGGCATCGCCTTCACCTCCGGGTTGTGGCCGTGCATCACCGTGGCGAATTCGTTGATGAATTTGTACTGTAAAGCTGGGGACTTTTCCAAGTCCCTGTGTATTTTTGAGAGGCTGACTGACCCTGATACTGTCTCGTGGAACACGGTGCTTTCCGGTTTCAGGAGGAGTGAAGATGCTCTGAGTTTTGCTTGTAGAATGAACTCTAATGGGGTTGTCTTTGACCCTGTAACTTATACCACCGCGCTTTCCTTCTGCTCGAGGAATGAGGAGTTTCGTTTCGGATTGCAGTTACATTCGTCTATAGTGAGGTCCGGGTTAGATTGTGAAACTTTTGTTGGAAATGCTCTCGTATCTCTGTATTGTAGATGGGAACGGCTATTGGAGGCCAGGAGAATGTTCGATGAGATGCCGAGTAAAGATCTGGTGTCATGGAATGCTATCATTTCAGGGTATAGTCAGGGAGGGATTCAAGGGTTGGAAGCAATATCTATGTTCATTGAAACTATTAGGAGAGGGATTGACCCTGATCATGTCTTACTTACTGGAACAGTTTCAGCTTGTGGTCACGAGAAGAACTTGGAACTGGGGAAGCAGATTCATGGGTTCAGCTTAAAAAGAGGATATGGGAAACATGTCTCTGTCGGCAATGTCCTGATTTCGACATATTCCAAGTGTGATCGTGTTGAAGAAGCCAAGTTGGTGTTTCGGCATATGAACGAGCGCAATGTTGTTTCATGGACTACAATGATTACTATCAATGAAGAAGCTGCGGTGTCACTCTTTGATCAGATGAGATTAGACGGTGTCCCGCCTAATCATGTGACGTTTGTTGGTCTTCTCCATGCTGTTACGGTTCGTGACTCGGTTGAACAAGGCAAGAAGATTCATGGGATTTGTCTGAAATCAGGTTTCTCGTTAGAGCCAAATGTTTGTAACAGCCTCATTACAATGTATGCCAAGTTCAAATCCATGGATGAGTCGAAGAGAGCGTTCCAGGAGCTTGATCAGAGGGAAATCATAACTTGGAACGCCCTAATCTCGGGCTATGCACAGAGCGGACTGAGTCAAGCAGCGATTCAAACGTTCTTATCAGCAGTCACAGAAGCGAAGCCAAACCAGTACACTTTCGGCAGTGTCCTGAGCGCAATAGGCGCAGCTGAAGATGTCTCTCTAAGGCACGGCACGAGGTGCCACTCTCAGATAGTAAAACTCGGGTTCAACACCGACCCTGTCGTCTCTTCAGCTCTCCTCGACATGTACGCTAAGCGAGGAAGCATGTCCGAATCCGAAAGAGTCTTCTCCGAGGCACCTCAGAGGACACAGGTCTCATGGACGTCAATGATCTCGGCCTATTCAAGACACGGAGACTACGAATCAGTCATGAACTGGTTCAGCCAAATGCTGTCCGAACAGGTAGAACCCGACTCGATCACATTCCTCTCCGTCCTAACAGCCTGTGGGAGAAAGGGAATGATCGATAAAGGTCGCGAACTGTTCGATTCCATGGTCCAAGACTACCGAATCGAACCATCACCCGAGCATTACTCTTGTATGGTGGACATGCTGGGGCGAGCAGGGAGACTCGAGGAAGCGGAGGAGATGGTGAACCAGATCCCAGGTGGACCAGGTTTATCAGTGCTCCAAAGCTTGCTCGGTTCTTGCAGGACGTATGGCAATGTGGAGTTGGGGGAAAAGGCAGCCGAGGGGTTGTTGGAGATGGAGAGGAAGGAGTCAGGGACCTACGTCCTGATGGCTAACTTGTATGCAGAGAAGGGGCAGTGGGAGAAGGCGTCGAGGTTCAAGAGAGCAATGAGGGAGGAAGGTGTCCTGAAGAAGATAGGGTTCAGTTGGGTTGACGTTGATCATGCCGCAGATGGTTCGTTGGCTTTGCACGGGTTCTCGTCGGGGGATATGACTCATCCAATGGCGGAGGAGATTCATGGGGTGGCGGGGTTTGTGGGGATGGAGATGAAGTTCCTGAGAGAGAGGGAGGTGGAATGGTATGAGTGTGGTGTGATGTTGGAGTCTGTGGGTTGTATTGGGTAACATTATTTTTGTAGTTCCATTTTCATGAGCTTCTGTAGACTGTACAGCATTGCTTACTCAATGGAGTCTGGGTTTCTGCCAATTGATGGAATCTGCAGCTTAAAAAGCTTTCACAGAATCATTTGGTTGAGGGTTTACAGAGAAAAGGAGTAAGGGAAGCGGGAAGTGTATTTGATAGAGGGAATGCAAAAAAGGGGGGTTTAGAGAGAAAAGGAATAAGGGAAGCAAGAAGTGTATTTGATAGTAGGAGTGCAAAAAATCGTGGTCGGCAGGATTCGAACCTGCGCGAGCAAAGCCCACATGATTTCTAGTCATGCCCGATAACCACTCCGGCACGACCACTTATTGTCTGCTTAATGGCGCATTCAATTTATATAAACTTTATGCGACGATAATTTTTATTTTTCTGCTCTTTTATGAAAGTTTTACTTTCCTAGAACTGGGGATGGCAATTTTGACCTTACCCGATTTACCTGACCTGTTTTGGGGCGGGGCGGGCATGGGTATCTCTCATCGACCCGACCTGCTCTGACCCGCCCCATTCTCGACCCGTTCTTGGCTAAATTACATATAATCTTAGTCAAATTACTTAAGATTTTTCTCTTATTATATTATATTTTAGCTATAATAAAGTTGTATATAAGTGAAACCTCAATTTCTTCAATAATTTAACTACATTTTATCATACTATGACTTTTTTTTCTTGGTCTTTCAATGAAAAGAATGAATATTTCTAATATTTTTCACATAAATTACATACCTATTGGGTCGACCTACCCCGACCCGCGCCTCGCGATAAATAACCCGACCCGAACTTATGTTCAGCTTGTCAAAAAATAAATAATTTGTTGACATTTTAACCTAGTATATATACCCTAATATATTTTAGATATCATTGCCTTTGCCCCAAAGTTGGAAAGTGGAAACCTACACTACTAGGATCTTAGATGAGCTCATAGATACCCTAGCATACTTTGTATACCGAATAATGACTGTTCCATAGAACCATTAGTATCCCTCCTATCATCCACTACACAAATCCTGACCAAGCCAAAACTAAAAGCAAAATCAAATGGGACTAAAGCTGCACATTCAGAATGAAAGGATGGAGAATTGGTGATCAAAACTCAAAATTTATCGTCATAACATTAAAGTCTCGCAGAACAGCAGCTCACTCTTTAACATACAAAGCATCTCCACTTCAAGTTTTGGGGAATACATATCAAACGTAATTTGATCACTTTTAAATAACACAAGAGGACATGGAAAAACAAAAGATGCTTCTGTGTTCACCCACTAGTGGTACAACTCCATCCAGTCAAAGCCTCACTCCAAGGGAGAGACCAAATCAACGATCCAAGAGGCCCATCATACCGAGTACACCTATCTATGAGAAGTTGTTTTTCCCTTAGATCAACAGCTTCTCAATGGCGTCCTGCAATTTCACAAAGGGGAGAACAAATTAGAACATTGTATTGACATCCCAGCCCCGAGGCATCTTCAATGAGGTTAAAAAAAACACTTTTGTGATGGAGACACCAAATACCTTGAGCTGTTGTATCTGGGATTTCAGTTGGCTTCCTTCGTTGGTTGTCACAGAACAAGCGATGACAGGTCTCGTGACACCGCAGGCTCTCCCAAGTGCTTGCTTTGAAGGAACAAAAACATATGGGACATTCTGAAAAAACACAAGCATAAGGTGGAGGCAATCAGTTGCATGCTCACATTAGAACACTTTTGACTCAGTCGCATGTAATGGCTGCTAAATTATGCAGGTATATGAATGCTAGCGTTGTAAAAGGACTGCACAACCAGCGATATAGTTCAGTTCCTATAGATATCTGTCTGTTTGCAACCTTAAGTAGAATTACATTTAGAAAGATTCATGGTCAAATCTTACAACTAGGGACTTGCTCATACTATTTTGTTTGATAGAATGACATAACCATGGGACATCATACGATCTATAAGTAAAAGAATCCACACTAAGGGAAAGTAGCAGCACGAGAAAAACAGGAAACAGGTAGGTGAAGAACTATTTGCTTCCAATCTCTATTAAAGGAATAGATTTTCTAAGCCAATGTATTCAATTCAAACCAATCACACTTCCATCTTTTCCAAACAACAATCCCAAATCCCAAACGGAAGAGCACCCTGATATCAGTTCCAATACTCAGAGAGAAGGCATCCTATGCAACCTCAATGAACTACCAGCTAAAAGACCAAGCAAAAACCTCACACAGGTAGGTTGAACACCATTAGAGTTCAGACAAAATCCAAAGCTGAGCACATAATCAAACAAAATTCAACCAGAAGGATTTCCCATCCTCATTGACACACTAACAGAAGTCCTGAAACAGATTTAAAAAAAAAAAACCAACCTTGTCCTCAGCAAGCAACGGAAGGTGGAGAAGAATCTCAAGTGGCTCGGTATCGGCAGCCATGACAACGAACTCAGAGATACCCCTATTCAGTGTCTTGGTAGCTGAACCAAAAGAAACCCAGCTGTGTTAGCACCACAAATCAAAAAAAAGCTTACCACTTTCTTGCTATTACTACACAAACAAACTAAAACCCATGACAAGAAGCAGGAACTCAATACCTTCATTTGCTCCCTTCTTGAGCTGCTTGTAGTTGGCCGCTTGCTGAACCAGGTCGAGAATGGTGATTGAGAGCTGAGCATCGGCCAGCGGGTAGGCCTTCGGGTTCACTGCTTCCAAAGTCTGCGCACAAGCATTCAACAACCATAAATAGAACGACAAGCAGCAATCAGCAGCAGCCGAAACCCTAAGAAGCCGAAATAGAACCAGAACAGCTACCATAGGAAAGAGAAGCAGGAAAAGGAACAGAGATTGAACATAGAAACGTACCATTTTCGCAGAGAGCTCGACGAACGCTGCTAGGGTTTTCCCGGCTCGTTTACTGGGGAGGTTTTAGGCTTTGATTTGCGCAAAAAGCAATCAAATATATAGGCGACGCCGGCTTGGGCGGAATTTTATGACCTAGTGGCATGGCGGCGATTCAACCTGCACTTGTGGTTGTGGCCTGTGGGTATCCAACCCGGTCCAATATCGACTTTTGGAATTTAACAAATTGGGTTGGATTGGGCGTGGTATTGGCCACAACACGGTCCACTTTTCACTTGACCCAACACTCGAAGAGTAGGGCTGGCAAACGGTTAGTCGGTTATTGGTTTTGACTAATAACGGTGGTTGGTGGTTAATCGATAATCCATCTCTTTAGTAGTTAGATTTCGGGTATTTGTTTTTCTGTAGTGATTAACTGATAACCGCATACTATTAAAGCCACATAGTTTCACGTTTTTTGGGTAAAAGGAAAAGTCCAACGATTCAAAACCAACCGAATTCAGGATTCCAAACACCTAATTTTACAACCTATTGCAAACAACATTCCACACAAAGTCTCGAATGTGTCAAAGAGTTGGAACTCGAATGTTGTTATTGGTTAGTGGATAGTCTCCAAACTAATCGATAACATACGGTTAATCAATAAGATTCATCGTTCGGTAATCATTAAGCATTTTTGCTCTGTGGTTAATCACTAATCGTCATATAAGCTAGTGGTTAACTGATATCGAATCGATTAGCACTCCTACCGAAGAGGAAAACAATGTCGTTTTACACCTAACCCTAATAATAAAAATATTTTATGTATGTTATTAGTGTTTATGATAATATAATTATAATATATGACAATTATTGGTGTTATTAAACTTCATGGCAAAATAGTTATAGAAAAAAAAAAGAATGTGAATGCTCAGTAGAATCATTAGCAATTATATATGTGGAATCATAGATACTCATACATCCGTGAGTTTGATTGATTTTTCGCTTTCAAATCCTATTCGAAATTTTACTAGATTCTTTTGGCGAATGACCCAGTTGACCAAACTTCACGATGCCTCAAATTAATTCGACAACTTAGAGTTATGAAAGTCATCACATTGAGTTAATTGTTGTATGGGATTTCACTTGGATGTATGAGAGTGTCGTTTATAATTTCTATTGGCATCTCATAAGCCATTTCACTCCTCTATAAATTGGCAGTCTTTTGTTGTTGAACATACCAATTTTTTCCAACCATTTTATTCTATAAATTGAAAAACATCTTCCTTGAGTGTGTTTGCCTTATTTTGGGAGATTTATACTTTCTCCGCAACTTTATACTCGGAAGATTATTCCTTGATCAGTTGATCATAGTGGATTTACTGGCTTGTGCAGTCCGTATTTTTTTTCTCCCTCTACTTTGGAAGGTTTTCCATGTAAATCTGGTGTCTTGTCTTTGTTCATTCCATTCTCTACTTTTTCTTATTCGATTTCATATTGAATTTGCTTCCGTCAGTGGTTTTTTTTATCGAGGTGCAAAGGTCTTGAAACGCAAACACATCCCAAATCACATACGGAAGTTGACTAGTTGAGATGGGAGACGTAAAACGACGCAGCATGTTGTGGTACACGTGTCGAGACGCCATTGAGTGAGCCACGCTATTTATACTAACTACTAATTTTCCTCTGCTAACCCAGATTCTCGGTCAGTTTCTCTGTCTCGTTCTGCAAGTTCCACGAGACTCTACTCCACCAGAGAAGAAGACGCAGCGCCCTTTTTTTTGCCACTAGCTTCTATCTCCGCGCACAGAGGCAGAGGGAGAAAGAATGGGTTGGGTTCGGAAGACGGTGGACTCCGTCAAATCCTTGCAGGTCAAGCAAGTTCTGCTTCGCGCCATCAGTCTCGGTAACTTTAACTTCCCTCTCTCTCACCTTCGAATCTCCCTGTGTTTTTTTTTCTTCCGAATTTCCGATCTTTCGGTTCTCATCAATTCGCGCCCTTGCATTATTGGTCTCGCCAGCAATGGTTTTTACGTCGGGGTTGATTCTGTGGAAAGCGCTGATGTGCATGACGGGAACTACGTCGCCGGTCGTGGTTTCCGGAAGCATGGAACCAAGTTTCAAAAGGGTGAGTCTCGTAACCAACTCCTTCGACTCGCAGCAATCAGAAAGTTCGGAACTTTAAATTACCCATGGCTGCTCTGTGTTTTTTCCCCCCTGCGTACGTTGCCTGTTTGTTGAAATGCCTGAGAGAGAACAACAAAACCAACTGTAAACGTCTCTCTGTTTTTCTTTTGTTGCAGGGTGACGCTCTGTTCTTGTACAAGAACAAAGATCCGATTCGGGCAGGGGACATTGTAGTATTTAATGTTAAGGTATGAATACCTTTTTTCTCTGGCTTCTGCTCATTTTGATCCTGCAAGTTAGGAACACTATTCTCAAACCAAAATTTGCGATTTCAGGGGCAAGATGTTCCTATAGTTCATCGCGTAATCGAGGTGAGAAAACGCTTGTTTTCAACAGCTCCATTATTTCCGTAATGAGAGCAGTATGAACAAAGACACTAACTTGCATTCTTTTTTTACCCTGTTTAGGTTCATGAGCAACAAAGCAATGGGGAAATAAAGCTACTGACTAAAGGTACTACTACCCTCTTCAAACTTGGTTGAAGTTGAACCAGTCCTTTTGGATACAGACCCGAACTGTAGTATGGCCATGTCCCAGTTCATCTCAATGAATCCAGTTTGTTCTCGCCATTACTTAACCTTTCTTTGCTCTGTCAACTGCGAACTTGGGTAACAGGGGATGCAAATGATATGGATGATAGGTTTCTGTATGCTCGTGGTCAGCTATGGTTGAAGCCACAGCACATCATGGGCAGAGCAGTCGGGTGAGTCCGCACTTTTTTCACCATCCATCAAAATCCCAGGATTACATATTGCTATGAGAAGTGTATTATTGGTATTCTCACTGTTCTCTTACAAATGCAGGCTCTTGCCTTACGCGGGTTGGGTGACCATTGTCATGACTGAGAAACCTGTTTTACAGGTATGCTTTTCTAAGGGATCTATTAGGCTGCTACCTTTATAGAACCTACTCTCAAGTCTCAAGTACCTTCTAACTCTGGCCATGGCTTCTTGGTTGCAGTACATACTCGTAGGAGCAGTGGGTTTGCTGTTCTTGACTTCAAAGGACTAGAACACGAGAAGAAGCTGATTGACCAATTCGCTACGGGTTCACAAGCTTTGTAGTACCCCCTCGAATGATGTAATTTTGCCTCTTAGTTTTGCAAGCTACTCTAGTTAACTACAGACTAAGCTTTCACTCCAAAGCCATTGGAAAGCTAAGTAAGCATTCCAAACTACTAAGCACTGCCAATTGGCCGAAACCTTGTATCATAAGATGCATAGTCTATACTTTATATCAATCATATCCTATATGCCCCTTCGATCAACGACAAATGGTGACTAATCTCAGTCGTCTTGGATGGTAGTCATGGAGCAAGCATGGTTCTTCTCGTTAGACAAGTACACTCTAATGGACAGGAAGTAAATAAGATCACTGATCACAGACATTTGAGAGACTAAACCAGTCGAACTATTGCTGCCCCGAGTAATCATGATGGAAAAATTTACATGTATATCAGTTCATCTAAAGCAAGCACATTGCACATATATATGAACCGAGTCCCAGGTCGTATGCTACTGATCTAATAAATGGCAGCAAAAACTTTGGAACAAGTAAAATCAAGAGCACAGAAGTAAAGCACGGTAATTCCACCTGGTATTCAAGCAGCAGATGGTGCCCAAGATTGAAACTGCTTCAACATTTCACAATGAGGAGCCTCCTTCACAGAACCCCACTGCATTCTTTGTAACTCGATTCTGCATTTCTGGGTAATGAGAGATTCGTAGTCCCTCTCGATCTTTCCTTCCAGCGCTACCCATTTCTGACCGTCAATCGGATAATCCCGCTCAAACCTGGCACTACTCTTGACATAAAAGTTGACCCCATTTCCCGTGGTGTACCTATGATCATAAGGATACGACCGGGAGAAAGAGTAGACTGGATCTAACGAAGGCAAGATGTTCAACAGCAAGATCACAAGGACCGGAAGCAGCAGAATCAACGCACGAACATTGAACCCAGACCCGCTGTCACTGATTGAGAGCTGGGCATCGGCTAGCGGGTAGGATTTCGGGTTCACTGCTTCCCCAGGCTGCGCACAAGCATTCAACAACCACAAATAAACGACAAACCGCAATCAGTAGCCGCCGAAATAGAAACTTAACGGCAGCCATAAGAAACGGAAGCAAAGAAGGGAGAGAGATTGAACAGAGAAACTTACCATTTTGGTAGGAAGCGCAGGGAGCTCGATGAATGGAACTAAGAGTTTTTCCGGCTGGTTTATTTAGGAAGGCTTACCCCCCGAGTGGCGAGTAGCTATCAAAATTATAGGGACCACGGTATTGCAAATTTGCAATGCAGGCGACGCTGAATTAGCCTCTTGGTCAACGGTTCAATGCCTCAGTGGTCATTGGATTTATATTTTGTTTGGGCATTGCTATCCGGTCGTCCTAAAAATTTGAATTCATCGTCCTAAAACACATGAAATTACACATTTATCCTTAAACCAATTACCATCCTCCGTTCTCAATCCAACCACCGACAACAGCACCTCCCAAGTCCCAACTCCTCTCTCGTCGCCGACCTCTACGGAGAAAGGTGAGGAAGAAGCAATCGGCGACGTCCACATCCTCTTCCTCTTCCACCTGCCACCTTTGCCTAATTATGAACTCCTAATTATACCTTTTTTTTGTGTGGAGAAAACCTAATTATACCCAAAGGACATCATTAAGCTTGATTTTGTCCTCGTCCCTCAACCCAATTACCACTTCAAATCTGATCTCCTAATTATACCTAGAGGACATGATTAAGCTTGGTTTTCTCCTCGTCCCTCACCGTCACAACATTGTGACACGGGAATTCCTCCGATCAATTTCAGCTTCTGGAGCTGTTCGGGAGCTGCGACGATGAGTTTAGCCCTGTAATCGTTGGCCTGTTTGGCAATTTTGGAGCTTTTGTTAATGGGATTCGCAGGAGTGAGAATCGTGCCGATGGACATGATGGCGATGCAGATAGTTGGGTAAAAGATCGAGTTTGGGGATAGGAGAAGCACGACGTCGCATTTGGTTTGACTGAACAACACCAGACAAAAGTGACGCTTGGACTAGACCAGACCAAACCAAATACTACACGTTCTGATCCTTGGACCCATGAATATTATAAATGTTAATAAAATATATATTAAATTGATATATAGACCAGATCAAATCGGACCAAACTCGACCAAATGCAATGATGATCCTGTCCTAAGATTTGTTTTACTACTGAACGGATCTCCTATGGTAGAAATAATCATCTACCACATGAGGAATTTTACAATGCTATATAGCATTGGTGCTATAGGTTTTTACCTTTATGGTACAACTTGAAATTGTACCTTTAATGTTATGGTACAACTTCAGATTGAAATTGTACCTTTAATGTTATGGTACAACTTCAGATTGTACCTATACCTTTTGTACAAATTCTTTTATGGTACAACTTAAACTTGTACTTTATGTGATGGTACAACATCAAGTTGTAAAGTTGTACCATAACATAATGCTACAAATTCCTTTATGGTACAACCTAAACTTGTATATTTAATGTTATGGTACAACTTCAAGTTGTACATTAAAGCACCAATACTATATAGCATAGTAGAAGTGCTCCTACCACATAGTTGAACTTGTATGAAGCGGTAATGAACTGAAAATGATTCCCATGGACATGACGATCACAAAACATGTGACATAAACCACACTATAAATCGCATCCTTGTTAAGTCAATTCATGCTTATACTGTGATGCAGATGCTCATCCAAGAACTAGCTATGTTGCAATTCCAAGAACTCTTAGAAAAATGGCCACAAGTAGATACCATGCTCACTACACCACAACACCACGAAATATTTCTGCAGACATAAGGACTAGTGATGAGAACCTTACTGGTAGAATAAAACCGTAAACAGCTACATTAATAGCTAAACTCAACTAGGTTTGGATACAAAGAAGCAAACTTGAGGAGTTATTCATAGGCTTTATCATTCCACACTAGTTTCAGACCCGACGCAAAACAACTGCAGAACTTGATTACTATACAGATGAAGCAAAAGGTCCAGAGTGGATCACGGACCGGGGGAAAAAAAGGTGTCATCTCGTTGTGCGACTTCTTGATGAAGTATGCACAAAGCTCTAGCTACAACGAAAACCCCCAAGCTGTCCACAAGCAAAACTTGTAGGGCATGCACAAGACTACAAGATAGGTTCACCGAGTAACAGAGATAAGAGACTATTAACTCAATACTGGACCTATTAGGCTCCTCTCTAGAAAGACTCCAAACGCGTTGTTCATCTTCTAGAACTAGGTTTCACCAAACACTCTCAGATATGCATCTGCAAAAGCGAAGAAGATGACGTACTCTGAATGCTATGATCATACATAGAGCAAAAGTTAATGGCATTCAAGAATGGGTTCACCAAAAAATTTCCACAAAAGATCCTTGGTCCTGTGACAGCCTGACAGGGATGTCCTCAATATACGACTGAAAGAACCAATCTAGACACCATAAGCTGTAATGACATAAATAGAATTAAGAGCTACTAAACCAGTCGAACTATTGTTACCCCGTGTAATCGTGATGGGAAAATTACATGTATATCATATATGAACTGATATCATATACGAACTGAGTCACAGGTCCTATGCTTCTGATCTAATAAAGAGCAGCAAAAACTTTGGAACAAGCAAATTATTCGAGTTGAGAAAGCCAACAATATTACACCATCCGCACTGTTTGTCATGACAAAAATAATGATCATGTAAATTGGAAGTATTAAGAACACAGAATTGAACCTCGGATTCTACTTGGTATCAAGCAGCCGTTGATGCCCCAGACTGAAACTGCTTCAACATTTCACAATGAGGAGTCTCCCTCACAAAACCCCATTGCATTCTTTGTACCTCGAATCTACAGTTCTGTGAAAGGAGAGATACGTAGTCTCTCTCCACATTTCCTTCAAGCACTATCCTGTTCCGACTATCGACCGGATACTCCTGCTCAAACCTGGCACTACTCTTGACATAAAAATTGACCCCTCTCTCCGTGGTGTACCTATGCTCATAAGGATATGACCGAGAGAGGGAGTAGACTGGATCGGAAGAAGGCAAGAAGCTGAACAGCAAAATCACAAGAACAGGAAGCAGCTGAATCAAGGCACGAACATTGAACCCAGATCCATTATCACCACCTGTTCTAGCTCCCATCCCACCACCAAAGTTGAAAGTCCTGAACTGGGTAGCCGCAGGAGACATTCCACCATAGAAAAACTGCCTGAAAATCTCGTCAGGATCAAAATCTTCATAATACCCATTGTAGACACCACCCCCACCACCATGGCGCCTAGGTGCCCGCCTCTCTAAGACAGGATCTTCACTTCCAGTCACATCATACTTCTTCCTACTCTCTTCATTACTCAGACACTGAAACGATTTGGACACCGCCTTAAACGCTTCCTCAGCTCCCGGTGCCTGGTTCTTATCCGGGTGCACTTTCAGTGACAACTTCCTATACGCCTTGCGAACATCCTCCACGCTACAACTCTTCTCCACACCCAAAATCTCATAATAATCCTTCTTCCTATTAATTTGCCTTACCATCGTGACTTGCTCCTCAGTGTAAGTTGCAGACGACGAAGAAGATGAAGAAGACCCCGCCGCCGTCGCAGCACGATGTCGAAGTTTGGATTCTTTGCTCGCCGGACCATTAGCGTTCCCAGCGGCCTGATCGGACGATGACGACTCCTTCTCCGTCTCCGCCATTAGATCGTCGATGGAGAGTGTCGGATCGAGTCGGCCAGCTTTGGAGAAGAATTTCGCAGCGCGAGCTCTATCCCCCGATGCGAGCGCGTCCTTCCCGATCCTCAGGCACTTCAAAGCGTCGTCCTTGTTCCCGTCCATTGCTCTTCGGACCTACACCAACGAATTCAATCGACATAACCCAAAAACCCTTAGAACATCATCAATCGGATACCGTCGGGTTTGGGGGGGAAAGCGTGAGACGAAGCGAAACTGGAAACGGAAACCACGATCGGAGAAATATATGGGAATGAAATGTGAAAAAATTTATGGATATAACTTACGGATTAGTCGGGACGGGGAGTTCAGAGACTGAAATCGGAAGACTTCTTTTCTGGGATTGAAGAATTTAGGGTTTCATCTCAACAATTGGGAGATTTTAGGGAAGAAATATCAAAGAGGTGGAGAACACAAATTTGATCTGTAGAATCGTCTTGCTTGGTTGGAAGTTGGAACTCGCGCAAGTATTCGTCAGCAAGGCAAGTCGTACAGAGTTGGGCCTGCGAATTGGGCCATTTCTGTCCAGACACGAGATGATGAGAGGTTTGAAGAATGGGCCTGGGTGCTAAGTTTTTCAAGTTGGCTCAAACCAGCCCAATGAAGGTCGTTTCATCGTCCACACGTAGCTAACAAAAATAGCATGGTTTAACAAATCCTATCACACGGGTCGGTCCGACTAGAAATATCAAATATGCAAACAATTGAGTATTTCAACACGTATAAGATACCATTGGACGAAATTCATCGTACAATTAAAATATCGGCTATCTCATTTGTTTTATCGCAGTTTAAGATAAGGAACCGATTCATGAATCGGATATCAATATCAATCCGAATATAAATATTAAATTAGAAATAATTCATAGTACAATTATTAAGTTAAGTTATACTCTTTCTTTTGACAAAATTTTCGTTCGACTCCTTTCCCTTTCAAACCATAAAAAACATATTTATTACACTGACGATTAATCACTTAGTATAATCAACACAACTTAATCAAATTCATGAAACGAAAGAACACTAAGTTCCTAGCTTCACGTTGTTAAATCGAAAACGGTGTAACTAGCGTCGCACTTTTTACAGCGGCACGGTATTATTTAGGATAGATATTAGCCTAAAACGGTATGGAAAGTCTCAATTGCCCTGGCCTGCGGTAAATGAGGCCAGCTCCATCCATACGACGGCGTTCTAATTTACACGACAGCCTCCTTTGGCGTTTTGAGAAACACGCTATAAGCCTTCACCGTCTACTTCGATCAGATTTCGGAACCCAACTTCGATTAGGGTTTAGTGTTTGCGAAGAGGAAGGTGAAGTAACAGAGGAACACTGAAGGAGTCGTCCAGCTCGCCGGCGTTGAGTCTGCGATGGAGGCCGAGAACCAGATTCAGGTCGACCTCGGCCATCTACTCGCCTTCGACCCGTATCACCACTTCGCTTCTCCACCTAAATCCAGGTCAGTGCCTTATGGCTTCCGTTTTCCCTCTTCGAATTGCTCCGAAGGCGACGAATTCGACCCTGTTTAGGTTCTGATGCAATTAGATTTGGTTGGCTGCTGCTTGATGTTGTTGGTTATGGCGTTATGCTGATTGTTTGCTTCTTTTGCTGTTGAGGCTAGGGAGGAATTGGTGACGGAATGTTTGAGGGCGGGAACCAAACTAGTCCAAGCGATTACTGATGGTCTTTTCAACTTGTCTGCGACGGAAGCTATCGAAGGTCCGCTTGTGAAGCTGCCCAAACCGACCACCAGGCTGCCCAGGGAGAAACATGTAAGTTAGCTAGCTTTCTCAGTGTTTTTTTGAGCTGCCATGGGGATTTAATGTTAGCTAGACTAGTGAATCCTTCCAAATTGTGGTGTGAGAGTGATGGTGGTTTGCAGCCTTGTTAAGATTGAATGACTAATGCTATTAGAGCGATTGTAGAAACATGAATGCATGTTGTCATCTGTAACGCCTACTTTGTTTGCTTTAAAGTTTTTGCAACGGCTTAAGGCAATATTGGAGTAGCACTCATAAGTTGTTTGCGTATTTTTGCAGTTACCGAGGCCTAAGCCTCCAACCAAATGGGAGATGTTTGCCAAATCGAAAGGTAACTTTTTTACTTTGTAGTCTACATGGGAGTGTGAAAGCTTTTTGCTGTGCGCTCCTGAAGTTCTCTATATCTAGTGACTGGGTGAACGGTGTTTTAGTCTGAAATTTATGCTTTTTTGCTGCTGTGATGTTGTCATGCAGGAATTCAGAAACGTAAAAAGAACAAGGTCTTGTGGGATGAACAAACTGACAGCTGGAAACGTAGTTATGGATATGATCGTGTCAATGACGATGCAGATGTTCCTATTATCGAGGCCAAGATGACTGATGGTAATGATACTTTCGAGTCATAGAAGGAAATCCCAAGTGAAAATAACTTAGTTTCTTTTCTATATTTTGTACAAAATATACTACAGATTCCTCCGGATTATATGATCAACAATCTCTGATGTGTATTTTTCTCTTTTACTCTGCACTTCTGCAGAACCTGGAAGCGATCCTTTTGCCAAGAGGAAAGAAGAAAAGAAGAAAAGAGTTGAGAAGACGGAGAAGAATCGTTTGCAGAATTTAAAACAAGCTGCTAAAGTTGGTGCTTTGCCCAGGTATTTCTTTTCATCCTTTCCTCCACGACTAATTAAGATGTACCTTTAGGCGCAAGTGACCGCTTTGGGAAAATGATTTCCGTAATGTCATTCATTTACTACTGTAAGGGTCTTTGTTGATAGTCATGCCTGGTCAATGGGATTCTAGATTTAAATTTTCCCTATGTATGTCCTTTTGAATGACATTCATTCAGAAGATTAGCTCTTGTGTATTCAAGTTTCTTATTTTCTCTCTCTAGTGTTTTAGACCTTAAGTGAACTCTTTTTCTGCAGCCACGTTCAGCTAGCTGCCACAGCATTGCCTATAACAGGAACACAAGCAGCGCCAAAGAAAATTACAAAAGACGAACTGGGAAATGTTGCTGGGCTTGCTGCAACAGCCACAGCCAGTGGTGGAAAGTTTGATAAGAAGGTGGCTGGTGAAAAGGCCGTCAAACACCAAGGAAAACACCGCAAGGTTTTTTTCCCCCCCGGAGAGCCTTAGTCACCATCCAAGTCCAGTCCTTTCATGCTTACACCATCTTCTTACTTAGATTTAGTTCCCTTCCCTAATATTTCTCCCATATCACATGTTCAGTTCCTACCCGCCGCTGAAGGTTCAGGGATGGGCAACCGAGAGAAGGAACAAACTGACAAAGTACTGAGCAAACTAATGGCGAGAAATTCGCATGAGATACTCAATGTTGGCAAGGTAAATAAGACTGATCCTTTTCTTCTTCTTCCAGTTTATAACCGATTGAAATCCGACTCAATGACTCGAGTCGCTGGTTTGCAACACGCAGGCCGTTAGCATGTACAATGTGAAGAAGCAGAGAGATGGAAGGAATCAGAAAGGGAGATCGTCCTTCGACTCGAGTAGCAAATTGAAACCCAATGGGAAACCCATGAAAGGTGATAAGAAGTCTCCGTACCAGAAGTCTAGAAAAGGCGGCAGCCATGGTGGTGGTGCCTCAAGGAAAGGAAAGGCTGATTAGTAAGAGCCCAGTTAGTTCTTTAACTCCACTATCAAGTGTCAACCCCAATTTTGGTCATATGAAGTTCTGGATTTTGTAGGTCTCTGTATTTTCTGTCACATTTTATAATATGGCCAATTCTGTCTTTCAACCCTGAAATCTGAATCCCCCCTACTCACGTGCCTCCAACAAAGTTAGTGATTTGGTCATCTCATGATTCATATGCTCTATGTCAAGAACCAGTTGCTCTCAATAACTTGAGTTGTTGGAGAGCTTCAATCGTGGATCATATACCACAACACTAACACGCTCTCTCAAATGAAAGCCACTCACAAGGGCTTGAAATTTGCACAAGTCTGAAGACAAGAATATCATGTGCTTAACAAATTGGGGTCACCGGGAATCAAACACAAGACCTCTCGGTCACAGAAAGCTCTGATACCATGTCAAGAACTAGTTGGTCCAATAATTCGAGTTGTTGGAAGAGGTTCAATCGTGGATCATATATCACAACACTAACACTCTAATTATCGTCTTATGACTTAAACAATTAGATTAACGAAATAAGAGATTTTTACAGTGATTCTTTGACACCCAAATTCACTACAAAATTGGTTGGCAGCATTTACATCCTTAATAGTTGCTCATTACCAAATGATGTAGGCACTTGATGGATTCGCAGAATTTGGACAGAAAGAGTGTACCCAAATTCCCTGGTGGATGTGGAGCTTCAGTTTAGTCGACCACACAGTGACAGCACTACTAGTTTACTGCTTTGGTCAAGATTATGGGGCGGATATTTAATATCAATATGCAGCCTGCTTCATGCATGGTTTCAAAAGTTTTATTAATTTATTGTAGCCTTTGCAGAATTATGGTAATATGTTTCTAACTTCAATTCAATGGTAAATAATTCGATTCATGTTATTCATTTCTTAATTCGATTCAAGTTAATAGCTAGTTTTTACTAATAATTAACCTTTAATAAATATCTCCACATTTCATGATTTCTGATAAGTGATATCTGAAACTGAAATCCAAAGGACCGAGGCCCACCGATATCGGGTAGGGTTTAAAGCTCAAAACTTTGCAGGAACTAGAAACTCTCTCCCGCGATATTCGTCTCTACAGTCTATCCTGCACCGCCCCCAACTATCAAAACCGGCGGCTTTCCTTTCGATAGAGGCAAAAACAAGCTTCAAGTTCCATATAAAAAAAGCTAGGAGGAAAGATTGACTGCTGGGTCGGAGCAGCCCCGCACTTCCCTCTTACCTTCTCTTCTCACTTCCTCTACCCACTTTCACTGTAGAGAAGAGAAGAAGAAGAAGAGACGGAGGAGGAGAAGGATACCCATTCAACCTAATCTCCTTATTCGCTCAGGTAGATTCCATGCGCTATTTCATCTGTGTTTCCCCCCTCTTGGGTTTTATCCTATACGCCGTTTCTCCGTCGAAAGATTCCTTCTTCAGCCGATTTGGTCGGTGCCCATCTGCAGAATTTGGCATTTGAAGGAACCCATTTTGTTTTTGTTTCTGTTTTACCAGGCAGGGGAGAGTGACAAGAGTAATTTAGGTATGGGTAGGGGTTGCGCGCAAGTTGCTCGACGGAATAACGGAGGGGTGGCGTTCTCTAGCTCTGGTGTCAATGTGCAGCTTTTCCTCCACGAGGCTACGGATGCTGCCGTTAAGCCGAAAGCTCGTAGCAGCAATGTCTTCTTCGCCAGTGTCAATCAGGTCGGGAAGGGATTTGGGATCTCTTCCTCGCCGAATTCGCTGGAGAATTCCTCCACCGCCGTGCTTACTGCTGCTAATATGCAGTTGAAGCTGGTGTCGATAGCTGAGCCACCTCTGACTGTAGAGAGCAGCAGTCTTCCCGAGCTGCAGCTGGGAGAAGTTCTCGATACTGCGGTGCAGACCACGAAGAAGAACAAGAGGGGTGGGTTTAAGTGGAGAATCAAGGTGAGGAATCCGGCGTTGAGGAGGCTGATAAGTGGGGGAATCGCGGGAGCTGTTTCGAGAACTGTTGTTGCTCCTTTAGAGACCATAAGGACTCATTTGATGGTTGGGAGCTGCTGCGGGCATTCCTCGTTCGAAGTGTTTGATAATATTATGAAGTCTGAAGGCTGGACTGGTTTGTTCAGAGGCAATTTTGTTAACGTTCTCCGTGTCGCTCCAAGCAAAGCTATCGAGGTTCGTTTTCCAGAGAATTTTATCATCTGTTGTTTCAATTGCTTTTACATCGAATTGGTTCACTGCCTTGGGTGCTGGTTTTGTTCGTTCTTGTGTGGTCTGATTGCTTTCGTGTATAGTGCTTCATGAGAATGATCTCTTTTCATTATGTCTCATATAAGAGCAGTGATCATCCAGAACAATTTTCCCTTCTTAGATGACAGGTTAATATGGAACAGTGTCTTGGAACATCTATGGTTGAACTTTCTTGGCTAATATATGCATTGATTCCAATTCGCACGGGTTTGAACCGTCCTCTGATTGCTCCTCGTGCTACCTCAGTCGTTTGATCGACACAGTTGATATTGTTTAGGAAATTATCACACCATCGATAACCGATTGAGATCACGTGGCAAGGCAATTAGTGATCAGCGTAATAGTCAAATTCAATTGATTTATTTCTTTCCTTCATGCCACGAGAGGATTCACGCATATGTGAATTGTCCTGGTATTTGAAACTCCTTTTCTTTTGATGATTGTGATTGATTTAGATCGTACCACTTTTTCTATTTGTCTATATAGAAGCTGTCCAAGTTTCTTGTCCACTAGATTTTGATTCAATTTTGTTCACGTCCTATCTACCCTTTAGCTCCAAGTTTATCCAACAAATGAATGAACATCGTAGCTTCAAAGCAAACTTTTAGAAACTGTACTGTGGGCTGCCTGTTATTTTGGCGTCATATCGTCATCATAAAAAGAAGTAATTCTTCTGCATTAGACGAAATAAATACAGACTTGAAACAGGCGTATCGGCCTTTTATGTTACACCTATTGAAACAGAACCTGCAATCCAAATACAGTTGACAACGACTCTGCTTTTGGATTCTTCTGCAGTTATTTGCTTATGATACCATTCTGAAGAACTTGACCCCTAATCCTGGTGAAAAATCGATGCTGCCAATTCCTGCATCCTCAATTGCTGGTGGCCTAGCTGGTATTACTTCCACCTTCTGCACATACCCTCTCGAGTTGCTCAAAACCCGAATCACAGTACAGGTAAAAGCTGCCCCCCTAAGTAGTCGACAACTCAATTCAATTGTGTGCCCGGTTTTCCGGACTCCACCCCTAATTGTTCTGACCTCGAACCACATTCAGAGAGGAGTATACGACAACCTGCTCGATGCCTTCGTAAAGATAGTCCGACAGGAAGGGCCCGGGGAGCTATACAGAGGTCTAACCGCAAGCCTGATAGGGGTAGCGCCATATACAGCAGCCAATTACTTTGCATACGACACCATGAGGAAAGCTTACAAGAAGGCTTTCAAGACCGAGGAGATCGGAAATGTGATGACCCTTCTTATCGGGTCGGCTGCTGGTGCAATGTCAAGCGCTGCAACTTTCCCTCTGGAGGTGGCGAGGAAACAAATGCAGGCTGGGGCGCTCAACGGAGGGCACTATCGCAATCTGTTCCACGCATTAGCTGGGATCCTTGAGAAGGAAGGATTGGGAGGCTTGTATAGAGGGTTGGGACCAAGCTGCATGAAGTTAGTACCTGCTGCTGGTATATCATTCATGTGCTACGAGGCTTGCAAGAAGATACTCATATTGGAAGAGGAAGCTCGCATAGAGCAAGCAACGGGTTGATGAGCATCTTTTTCTCCCTTCTTCCTCTATGGACTAGCTTCGGAATTCGCTTAGATACTACTTGATAAGGGTGTTGGCTTGCCCTAAGAGATGTGACCTTTGTGTTGTTGGCTTTGATTAAGTTGAAGTAGGACTTAGAGTCTAGGCCAATAACTATATTCTGCCCTTTCCACCTGAAAATCTAGGGAAGAGAAATCATTCACCAATTTTGTAGGTACACTAAACTTAAAAGTCCTATCAATGATCACTGAACATTATTAAGTGTTCATGATGCCATATCGTATGCTGCATCCATTTGTTAATCTCGTGTATGACTTTTGAACTGGTTTTGATTCTTTCGGTTAACCGGAGTTCGTTTACAAGCTTGTAAGTTGTAACAGTTACTGTTACGGATCAGAAACCGTTATCATTCGACTTTGATACAAAATGGCTAGATTTTGATACGATGAGAACAGCTTACATATGATTGGGAAACCCTAGAAAATAATAGAAAACAAACAAACAGCTAGACTATTAAAGCAAAGAAAATTAAAAAAAAGTCTTGACAAAATTGAATCTCAGATGACAAATGGGATTTTCAGTTTTCTTACAGACCAACAAAAAGATTTCACAGCTTCACAATTCCCTGCCTTCTGCCAAAGGAGAAAGAGGAACCAACTATGAAACTTTTTTGGTCATTATGCCTTATGCAGACCACACCTGCATACTGAGAACAACAACAAGAAGAAGCTTTTCAACTCTGCTCTTCGCCATCCTCTCCTGCTGCTGCTGCCGCCTCCCTCTCTTCAGCAGCAGCTGCCATCAGTTCATCGAAGTTTGCAGTCTTACCAAGCAGTATTTCAATCTGCAATATTAATGTAATCAGGATATACGAGAGATGGCTATAACTCGTAACAACCGAATGCACAATGCTGAGACGAACTTAAATCCGTTACCTTGGCTTTTTGGACAGGGCGCCCCCTCGAATCATCCCTCATATCAACAGTCGAGGTCATGATCTCTGAAACAGGACATTACTCAGTAGCTTGAGCATTAATATGAACCGAGAACTAGTTCGATTCATTAGGGCTTGTGGGGGAAAATAGAGAGACTTACTCTTCTCCACAGCCAATCCATTGTTCTTGAGAATCTCTGCCACGGTTACAACTGTCGCAATAGCTGCAAACACAAAACAACAAACATGGTGCAACTAAGTAAAGAGTTATTTACGCACTCCCACGAACAACTAGGGCGCGCTTATAACGTAGAACAGCAATGGATCAAACCCAGTCTACAACATGAGACAGAATAACAGAGGGCCAATGAGGGAAAAAGGGAATACTGAAGGGCGTTCTTAGCTAATTACAAACATAGAATTAATGTTTCCCATATACGTAACTATTTCGACGAATTGAACAATCAGGGAAGCAATTATCTGAACCATCCCAAGTGCAGAGTAGCTCAATCCACCTTATTGTATGAGCAAAAAGGAATACTGAAGAGCAAACTAACAGAGAACCAATGCTTCCCTGGAGATACCGATTTCCACGAATTAACAATCAGGGAAGCAGCAATCTTTACCCATTCCAAGTGCGGATAGCTCCACTTCATTGAATTGCTGCATGTATCTCTGCAACGAAACCCCCCCAAAAGTCGAGCAATTAGACAATAAATTCGACGGGGATAACGAAAGGCACGCAGACATCGAATCAGGCGAATTCGAAACCCTAACTGCAAATTAATTGAATGAACGTTTCGAGCCTTGAGAATTGGGAAAGCTACCTTAGCGAGATTGACGTAGAAGAAGAGGGGCTTCTTGGTGTTGGAGACCTGAATCCGGTTCTTCTTCGTCGCATCGGCTCCCGCCAGGTTGATGTTGTTCACGCCCTCAGTAATCTCTTCCATTGGAGCTTCGAACCGGTTTGCGGCAAGTTAACCAACCCTAATCTGTTGCTCGGAGAACGTCGACGGAGGGAACTTCGCGGAGGAGCGGAAACAAAGGATCGACGGGACGGCGGCGGCGTGGCGACAGTTTTGGCTTATATATAACACTGGGGAAAGCCTAACAATTGAGCATGTAATTAATTTCCTACCTGAACTATTAAAAAAATTCATTTCCAACAGTCTTTTTAATTAATATTCTTTCTTCTTATTCCTGAAAATAATTGTCTTTTTTTTTTCATGTTCATTTATGAACTATGCCTGAAATTAATTGTCTTTTTCCCCCCCACAAAAATTAATAGTCTTTTTCCCTTGTTCGTTAATGGTTAAACACTTCATTTTTTTTCCTCCTTTCATTTACATTTTAGGTATAGCCTGGGACATTGAAAATTTTAGCATGGATGAAATAGTCAAATATATTGTTTTTGTCCAAAAAGTTATTGTTCATAAACGGCCTTGTGAGAAAGCACAAGCATTTACATAATTACAGTCGTTAATCCGGGTACGAATTCAACAACATCGTATACTTGTGACTATGGAGGTCGATCATATTCAGAGGACTTATTTGGAAAAGCAAGTGTCAAAGAGGTCGATCATATTCAGAGGATCCTAATGAACTATGGAGGAATTACAGGGCAAGAGATTAATGCTGATAAGTCCTCGATCTTTTTCAGCAAGAACACGCCGGATGCGCTCAAAGGTATTATCACAAATAAACTGGGGTTCTCGCCTTCTATTTGTCACGACAAGTACCTGGGAGTTCCCTCGGTTTGGGGGCGGTCTAAGAAGGAAACCTTTCTTTTCCTACTTGAAAGGATGGAAAAGAAGGGTGAATTTTGGAAGAGTTTACTCTTATCTCCGGGAGGAAAGGAGGTTCTTTTGAAGGCAGTGATTCAGGCTATTCCGACTTATCTTATGAGTATTTTCCTTCTGCCCCTTTCCCTGACTAACAAGATGGATTCGCTGCTGAAGAGGTTCTTCTGGGCGGGTTCTATGAAGAAGAAATCTATCCATTGGTGCGATGCAAGAACTCTAGAGAAACCAAAAGAGGAAGGGGGTCTAGGATTTAAAAATTTCCATCTCTTCAATGTTGCCTTGATAGGCAAGCAAGTCTGGAGGATTTTGGAGAATCCGGATGCTCTTTGGGTTCGGCTTCTCAAAGGGCTTTATTTTGGTGATGGGGATTTCTTCTCGGCCTCTAAAGGAAGGAATGGGTCATGGATTTGGAGAGGACTCTGCGACACAAAAGAAAAACTCAAGATGGGTTTGGTTAAAAGTATCATGTCAGGTAATGATACCCTGTTTAATTCTGACCCTTGGCTTCTTTCTGCCCCTTCGTTTTCCTTGTCTTCTCTAGGTCTGAACCAGTCCAAGGTGAGCGATTGGATACATCAACATGATAGAAAGTGGAAGAAGGAGAGCCTGTATGAGGTGGTTCCTGAAGGAGTGGTTGATGATATCCTGCGCATCCCGATTGGTCCTCAGGAGGCAGCAGACAAGTGGATATGGAAGTTTTCTAATACTGGAGCTTACTCGGTGAAATCCGCGTACAGAGCTCTCAGAGATAATAGGGACCTTCACTGGCAGTCAACGTCATCAACAGACATACGACCTAATAGCGAAGACTGGAAGTGGCTTTGGTCCTTGTCTCTCCCTCCGAAGTTGCGTTTCTTCATATGGAAGATTGCAAAGGGTGCTATTGCCACTAAAGCTAGGCTTTTTGATCGAAAGTGTGCTCCAAGCCCTTGTTGCTCCATCTGCAATCATCATGTTGAGTCCATCCATCATTGGTTCTTCAAGTGCCCTCATGCTGCCTCTACGTGGGAACAGTTGGGTCCTTCTTCGTTCCTCCTGCAGGAGGACTGTTCGTTCTCGGATTGGTTCTTCAGGCTTAAGGACAGTTTTTCGGTGGATTTCATCAAGAGAAGCGTGTGCATCTTGTGGAACATATGGATTGCTAGGAATGGCTTTTTATTCGAGAACAAGGTCATTTCCCCGACCTCTTCACCGGTGTTAGCCGATCGTGATTTCCAGGCCATTGAGGAAGCAAGAAATTTCATTTCTCGCCCTACTTCTTTGAGATCAGCTACATTGCAATCTCAGCCAAGGGGATCCCGCTCTCATCCTTCACCACCGCCTGGTTCTTTTCAGAGGATTGTGCACTGTGATGGTTCTTTTTGTGCAGAATCACGGGAGGCGGCTTATGGGATTACTATTGCTAATGCCCATGGTCAAGTGTTGGACGGCAAGGCTGAGAAAGTCTTTTGTTCCTATCCTATTCAAGCGGAAGCTTATGCAATTCTTAATGCTGTCTTGTGTGCATCTCGGGATGTTTGCCAGACGTGTATCAGGTCTGATTGTCAGATTCTGATCCTCGCCTTAAGGCGTACTCCTGATCGATGGCCTTGGCAATGTCGACCAATCTTGGCACGTATCACTTCTCTCCTCCAATTGGCTCCCTGGATCAAGGTGATGTTTATCCCCAGGCGTCTCAATGGTCTTGCGGATTGGGTGGCGAGGAATGAGCGTTTGGGAGCTCTTCCTGCGGATTGGTTGACTGTTGCTGTTCTTGTTTCTCCTTTGCTGTAAGAATGTACTTGGTTTCCGTTGATGGGTTAAGGAATAAAAGCAGTTCTATTCGTAAAAAAAAAAAAAAAAAGTATACTTGTGACTAGTGAGCACTGAACATCATAATCGAATTGTTGTTTGTCGTTTAATCTCCTTTGTATCTTGAAATGATGTTTATCACAACCCCCTGGCTTATCAATTTGTGGACCGTTAACAAGCAATGCAATATGACATAAACAATGTCTAAACCGTAAATTCTCTTCTACTCTAACACTGTAATACTAGATCCAATGATTTTTAACGCTCTCGAACCAAATTCATGTAATCGACTGCAACTAAACCTTATTTAACTAAGATTAAATCCTCCATATATCTTCTCGTTCTCACCTAATTATAGATAGCACTAAAGATAGTAAAATGGCGAACTCCATTCTTACCAGCTTCTACATATCCCAGCCACTCGCCACAACAGCTTCAGTCCCGAGCTCGTATCCACCACCAACGCCGCCGGCGCCGGAACCAGCAGGCGGCGCGGCGTAACCTCCGTAGCCATTGTCACCATAGTAAGAACCCGAGTCGTAACCCCCATAGCTTGCCCCGCCATACCCACCATATCCACCGCCTGAGTAGTCATTGCGGTAGTCATACCCACCATGTCTGCTCCCACCACCACCGCCGCCGCCGCCATACCGTCTGTAGCGGCCGCCGCCGGTGTAGATGTTTGAGGAGTTCTTGGCGTATTCGTTCAGCCAAGGAGGGACCTCCTGGTTCGACTCCTTCATGAGCTCGACCAGTGGCTTCGCCAGTGACATGTTCTGGTCGCTGAAGAATGCTGTTGCTAACCCCGATTTGCCGGCTCTCCCCGTTCGGCCTATTCGGTGGACGTAGTCGTCAATGTCCTTTGGGAGGTCGAAGTTGATGACGTGGGAGACGTTGGGGATGTCCAGGCCTCTTGATGCCACGTCGGTTGCAACCAGGATTGGAGTGACGCCGGCTTTGAATGATCTCAAAGCTCTTTCCCTCTCCTAGACAAATGAGAGTGGTAAATGAGTGAGGAAAATACTCGAAAGAAGAGAAAAGAGGGGAAGAAAGGGTTAAACGTCAGAGGATAAAGCAGCAGACCATTTGGACTTTGTCGCCATGAATGGCTATAGCTGGAAGGCCACTCTTGCTCAGGTAGTACTCCAAGGCATCTGCCCCTTTCTTTGTCTCGGTAAACACCAGTGTCAAATCGCGCTACCACGAAGAAGTAGAAGCGATATTAGACTTCAAGGAAGTGAAGGAGAGATGGAGAAAGTGGGTTTCAAGTCATTCATTCACATTGCCGTTTGCTTTCTGGCCATGGAGGATTTTCATGATGTGTGACCTCTTATCCATATCTTGAACAAGCTCGATCCTTTGAGAGATCAGGCCAGTGCTGGAACCAACTCTCCCAACGGATAGAAAGATGTAATCCTTGAGAAAATCAGATGCAAGTCTCTGCAAGACAAGATACACTGTTACTGCCAAGCGCATGCGGGCTCAAAATAAGCTGCCATAAGATAAGTCAGGCCACTTTTTGGTGACAAAACAAATTAAGACTTTTGGAGAACATTTGCATAGTAAAAATGCAGACCAAATTTGGACTGACCCTCTCATGTCTAGGTCACAGTCACAAATACAAACAAGAAAAAACGATCAAGTTGGGAGCCATTAAAACAGAATCCAAGATGGGCCAGGAAAGAAAAATAAACCTGTATCTCATCAGGGAATGTAGGATTAATTCCCTAAATACACATAAAACTAAAGCAAATTCCTAAACTACCACACTTTTAAAAAAATTTCCCAAAATACCTAAGTTTGGAGTGGTTCGAGTTTGAGAAACTCGAACTACTAACCGGTTCGAGTGTAGGAGACTCGATCTACGAGTAGATCGATGATATAAGTCTCGAACCATGTGGGGTTGAAGTGGTTCGAGTTCAGTGAACTCGAACCACTCCTTTCAAATTTCCAACCACCTTAACTTTGTGCTCGGTTATCCGATCGTAGCAAACTTTTTTTTCATTTCGCATAACTTTTCAAGGGCTACAACTTTTGTAATAGAAATATTTTCAGAATTTATGTGAAAATGTGAAAATTAAAGTTAAAGTTACACCCAAAACCCTTTATATTAAAAACTATTCCTATTTTGAAAATTTATTCCTAGTAAATGTTGTAGTACTCAAAAAGTTATGCAAAATAAAAAAAAACTTTGCGACGTTCGGATTGCGGAGCACAAAGTTATGATCCTCCAAAGTTTGACAAATTCGAAAATTTGCTCGTTTATGGGTAGCAAATGACGTTTACGAGGAAAATAGCCATCCAAAAATTTCTCGTTTGGAAAACTATTGCTCTTTTTGCAGAAATTTCCTACATATAAAAAAATTTCATGTGCCTTCGCTCCGAGAAAATGTCATTTGTAACCTCTAAACGAGCAATTTTTCGATTTTGTCAAACTTTGGAGGATCATAACTTTGTGCTCCGCAATCCGAACATCGCAAAGTTTTTTTTTTATTTTGCATAACTTTTTGAGTACTACAACATTTACTAGGAATAAATTTTCAAAATAGGAATAGTTTTTAATATAAGGGGTTTTGGGAGTATCTTTAACTTTAATTTTCAAATTTTCACATATATTCTGAAAATATTTCTATTATAAAAGTTGTAGTCCTCGAAAAGTTATGCGAAATGAAAAAAAAGTTTGCTACGATCGGATAACCGAGCACAAAGTTAAGGTGGTTGGAAATTTCAAAGGAGTGGTTCGAGTTCACTGAACTCGAACCACTTCAACCCCACATGGTTCGAGCCTTATATCATCGATCTACGAGTAGATCGAGTCTCCTACACTCGAACCGGTTAGTAGTTCGAGTTTCTCAAACTCGAACCACTCCAAACTTAGGTATTTTGGGAAAATTTTTTAAAAGTGTGGTAGTTTAGGAATTTGTTTTAGTTTTATGAGTATTTAGGGAATTAATCCGGGAATGTAGCACTGAAGAGCATAGTCTGCCTTTGACCAGGTGGAGGCATCCCCATCTGCTGAACTATCTTCCTAATCTGAGGTTCAAATCCCATATCAAGCATTCTATCGGCCTCATCCAGAGCCAGGTGCTTGATCATCTTCAGAGACACTCTGCCTCTATCAATCATGTCAGCCAAACGTCCTGGTGTTGCCACCAAGATGTCAACACCCTTCTCCAAATTATAAAGCTGCACATAACAACAGATTCCATATAGAAGAAAAACCTCACACTGTTAAACAACCTTAACCCAACATCACCACTTAAATGGGCCACCAGCCAAATGCTGCAAAATGCACATGTGCATGAGCTACCTAACTACAACAAACAATGGTGGACAATCGAACTGGACAATGTGCACGATTATGTGGGTTATGGCCAGTTCTCGAAGAGAAGGATCCATATGTTAAGTTTCTAGAGGAAATGACAGAATACACAAGCAAAACCAACAGGGGGAAGCAAGCAATAAAAAGGGGATTGGTGTACAGAAACCTGCTGTTGAATAGATGCGCCTCCATAAGCAACAACGATCCTCACTCCAGTCTTGAAGGCAAACTTCTTGGCCTCCTCGTGAATCTTTTACACAGTGGCAGACAAGATTACATTAAACAATGGTGGGGAAACCGTCTAGATCAAGGAGAAATGGTTAAACAAAGTGGGTGAACGGGGGAAAAAGATACTTAGGCATTGGCTGAGTCCCACCTGACACGACAATTCCCTGGTAGGAGACAATATAAGAGCAGATGGCTGGGCCACCGTCCGGGTCCCGCCCGGACCCGAATTCAACCCGTTTTTCAAAATCGTCGAGATGATCGGAAAGCAGAACGCGGCGGTCTTCCCCGACCCGGTCTGAGCACAAGCCATCAAATCCCTCCCGGCCACGGCAATGGGAATGGCGTGCTTCTGAACCGGAGTCGGCTTCACGTACTTACACCTCCGGATGTTCTGCATCAGACCTTCCCCTAAATCGATCTCGTCGAACCTCTCCACCGGCGGAGGCACCTCGTTCCCCGTCGCCTTCACAGGAATGTCGTTGTAAGCTTCGAAGTTGATTCCCACTCCGCCGCCTCCAGCTTCCTCCTCCTCGCCCAGCACCTCCAGCTCGTCGAAATTTCTCCGCAATCGCATCGGCAAACGACGACGAAGAAGACGATTCGTACTCGTTCCGCCGCTGACCGCCTCTCCCGCGGCCGTACTGGCCGTATCCAGGAGCGTTGTAAACAGCAGGGCGAGTAGCCGTAAGCAGCGTTGTAAGGATTCGCAACCGGAGCGTTCCGGAGGTGCGGAGGCACGTAGCTAGGCAGACGAGCTCGACCTCCTCCTGCTCCGCCCCTGCCGCCGGTGAAATCCCAGCTCATGGTCAACAAGCCGAAGAAGAAGGAAAAAAATAACAAGGACGGAGACGGAGAGCAGAGGAATCTAATTCGTGCTTGGAGACTGGAGCTAGAGAGGGGAGTGAGGGAAGAAAGGTTGGTCTCTCGCAACAATGGCGGATTTGGAGAATGGCGTGAAGGGGAAGGAGACGGAAAGGCGCCCTTTTGTTGATTTTTGTTCTTCTATTGGGTGCTTTTGTTTTGTTACGGGGTGGGAGTGAGTGAGCTGGAATTTACTGCAAAAGAATAATAAGAAATTGGAAAAAGAAAATGGGAGAAATTGGAAAGGATATCCGAAAATGGCAAAACAGTGAGAAAAAGGGAAACTAGGGGGTAATTAAATCGGATTTAAATTACCGAAACGGTATAGAGGGGTTAATTGCATGACTGGTCACTGTGATTACAAAAAACGTTCATGTTTGATCACTCAAAATATTTAAATTCATTAATGGTCATTAAAATTAGTAAAACCGTCCAAGTTTGGTCACTCTCCGTTAGTCTTCGTCAGTCTCCGTTAACCAAGACCGTTATGTGCTGACAAGGCAGACAGAATTGCCTAGTCAATCTAATTTAACCCAAAAATAGTGAAATCCGACCCGCCATGTCATTTTTCCCCATCCCAACCCAACCAAATCCTTGAACCAAACCGACCCACCCATCCATGAACCTACCACTCAAACAAAATAAGGGTTTATCCATGTTTCCTTTACAGATATGAATTCTAGTTCTTCATTTTTCTTGCATTCCCTTCGACAACCAAGTCCGAATGGTGCTTGAATCGGTCGCATTTCCTCAAGTTGGACAGAATCGACCAGCCAAGTGTCTAGAATATCATAATCAAAGATGTAGTCGATCCGACGGCAGACGGCAGGGTGGAGGAGGTGAAGAGGTCGAGGCGGGAGTAAGGGGACGCGACAGAGAAGGGCGGTGCGGGGATGTCGGTGAATTCTTGTATCCTTGGAGCCCGGGCTAAACACCACTTCTCTATTTCTATTCGCCATCACTGACAGCCTCTCTACCTCTGTATATCCACCCAAATACCCAATTAATCAAATTTCTTGTTTCTCCCAGGCGGAATAGATGAAAATCAGAGGTAATTTTTGGGGTGGATGAAATGCCAAGAGAGGGGTTGTGAAGGAGAGACTCGTAGATGAAGGAAGAAGTCATTGTGATGAAATTGACCACCACCTCCAAAACAGGGTAACTGCCTTTCAATTTCTTCTCCAACTCGTCGCTTAAGATCCTCTCCCCAACACTATTCTTCTCCATCCGACTCCAACCGCCTAGCCCCTCTTATTACCCCTCCATTATCGAAAAGAAGCAAAGGATCCAGCGAGCCAATCATCTTCCTCATTCAGATCTGTTGGCCGCTTCATCTTCTCTGGCGAGCCAATCATCTACCCCAATCATATATGTAAAGTATAGACTCATCACGTTGGCCGCTTCATCTACTCATGTCTCTTGGGCTCAATTTGGTTCCAATTGAAAGAGGGGATTTTTGAGAACTGGGTTTAAAAGCAGCGGAGGAAGAAGAATAGAGATTGAGGATGCGGCGGAGCTAGAGGAAGAGGTGTAAATATGGATTGTTGATGGCAGGTCAATAAGTTAGGTTAGGGTTTGAGTCATTGGTTGGGCTGAATTACCTGATGTGGCAAATAATATTTTTTTAATTTTTGGTTTAAATTTGGTGACTAGACTTTTCTGTTAGCCACGTCATCAAAAAGTTGACGTCGTTAACGGAGATTGACGGAGACTAACGGAGAGTGACCAAACTTTGACGGTTTTACTAATTTTAGTGACTACAAATGGATTTAAATATTTCAAGTGACCAAACTTGAACGTTTTTTGTAATCACAATGACCACCCATGCAATTAACCCCGGTATAAAGTTTGTTTCGTGAAGTGTCGAGCTTACCCCTGAGGTCTCGTCTGAGTTCTGACGGTTTGGTAGGCGACGCGGATGGGGAATGTAGGCAGGCAGGCAGACGATTGCTGCTCAGCAGAAAAATATCTGGGGATTTGATGGACCCCATTGGCACACGTGTCGTGATTTGGTTGGAAAGTTGGTTCGTGGGGGTTTGGGGTCCGGTCAACCGGACCGCCGTGGTTGCAAACGGCGGCGACTTTTGGCCACCTCCTTTTTCTTTCCTTTTCCAATGTCAAGTGAAAAACGAGACATATTTCAAGAACCATACATGGTTAATGTTATTGTCAAATTTGGCAGATAATTGGAAATAATAATCGGCACTATGAATACAAAAGTAGGTAAAAATAGATGTGATTAAATAATTACAAACAAGATATCAAGTAAGTTCTCTAATGATTAATACACAAGTTCCACGTCACGTAATTAACATCAATCTCACAAACGACTTTTGTTGGCAGTAAGTGCATCGATACGAAAAAAAACAAGAATTACAATATTTATCGAGTCTTTGCTACTGGTACGTATACTGTCATCAAACAAGAATTACAATATTCACGGAGTATGATATTGGTATATATACTATAATGTTGGACAAGGTCAAGTTAATTGAGCTACCACCACTAATCCAGTTGAATGATCCTTGACCAATTTGTTAGAAAAATGTCGGTAAAACTCAAAATCGTAGAAAAAAATTGAATGACATTCTTATCTATTTAGATGATCGTACAAAGTAGTAAATGACTAATTAGTAACTAAGTCCTTCTGCTGCCCATCCCATATGTCCAGTCTTGTGAATGAAATGACAGGAGACTTTAGTATCAGTATCAATAGCTTTGAACCGCAAAACAGACGCAGATTTCTCCTGGATCCACCAAACAGTCCAGACGCAAAATTCTCTTTGATCTGCCAAACAGACGTGGATTGCAAATCCCGAGGTCACCGAACGAGGGACCCACCAAACTGATGTCCACCACCCTAGAACCGAATCAGGCTCTAATACCACTTGTCAAATCGGGCAGCTCAATTAGTACGATATTGTCCGCTTTGGGGCGAGCCACCATGGTTTTACTCTTGGGTGTCCTCCCCAAAAGGCCTCGTACTAATTGAACTAGGTGGACTCTTATATACAAGGGTTCTTTCCCTTGTATTTTCGATGTGATACTTGGATTGTCCCATAACTATCCTCCCCTCAAGACAAGAACCACAAACTCTGTATCTTCACCTCAGCAATTATCTTGATCCGCCAGACACCTTGTATCGATTGGCTTCTTGGTACAATAATTTTCTCCAATAAACCTATCAATCTCCATACTAACATAAATTCTTACTATCAAACAAACTCCAACCAAACTTCACTAAATTCTAACCAAATAATAATTCCAAATTGTGCAGTAGACAACTCCAGCAAAAACTCCAAAATTACTTCAGTTATTGCCTGCCCACAAAAATTTATGAATTGGGATAATAATCACAATTCCAAGCCCAAAGCCGCTGCTTCTTCTTGAATAAATTAATCTTTCACCAAAGACAAAAAAAAAATTCTGCAACAAATATTTGCTTCTCCATTTTCCCAAATGCAAGAGGCTCCCACAATAAAACTAAATCGCTAAATGTTGCCCTTAAAATTGCTAACGGTGGTCCTAACTCTAATGATAAATGACTTATATACTCTCAATATTTCAAAATTTAAACAAACCAAACACTCCCTAACTCCTCAAACTGAACCCCTCATCTGCCTTCTTCGTGAATCCCTCTCGACGCACCAGTCCGGCGGCGTCTTTCCCGCCATTGTCGTCGCCCGTTCTCTATCGAAATTTCCAAAAAAACACTCAACCTAAGGCAAGTTACGGTTGGTCCATGGTGCAACCGCAACTGAGTTCACTAAACAAATTTATTGTCTCCTTTTTAATAAAAAAATACACGAAGTTAAAATCTGAAAAGCATAGGAATTTTTGGTCACGGTTATCTAGCCATTAGCTAACCCACTAAGCCTTTTGTAAGTACTTTTATTGTGTTTGATACATCAATTATTATTTTGATTTTTCAATTGAATTTTAATAAGTAATGTATAATTTTGTCTAACTTATCAATGAAGGGTAATCTTTAAATCGCAACCCGTATATAATTGGCTGGAATATTGCCTACCGAATTGCGGTATGAATATGTAGAAACACTGCAAAATTATTCTTAAATCGGTATTAATTAATTTTATAGGTTGAATGTAACAAATCTCATTTTCCTTTTAAAGATTAATGATGGTATAAGAACAATGATACTAGAAATTGAAACATGACTAACAAAGAGAACAATAGAGATGATGCATAATTGGAAAGGAATTACAACTTTTCTTAATTGTTGAGCAGTAAAAACAATCTCAAGCAATCCATGGTGAAGTAAATGTGATTATTTAACTGATTGGAATGCAATAACTGATTATCTAGTCTCTTTGTTGCATGACAAACGATTTATTTTTCAGTGACAAGAACACAATAATTGATAATTTAATCTTTTTTCCTTCAACCCCTTTACTAAGTATCATGGGTTGAAATAATTCATGTCATCTTCGATATTGGGTATCCTTTACAAATTGATTGTTCAATTTCATCTACCTTGATTTGTTTGATTCATGATTTTTAGAAAATCGCTCGACGGTTATGATCATTTCGCTCATATTTTATCATTAACCATGTCATTGGAGATTTGGTATCGTAAACTTCTTCAAGTGTACTGCAATATTTTATGATTTTTTAATATCTTAATCTATGTATATTGTTGTCCTGTTGTCGAATATTTCTCGACGAAGATTTCTTTGTCTAAAGCCCCATGGATGAGCTTAAAATAATACATTTTTAGCACTGATTTTGTAACCTATTTCATTTGTTTAATTCTTTTTATCTTATTTGAGTAATTAGTTAGATGTATCATTTAGAGTTACTTGATTTAATATGAACAAACTACATTAAAGGAAAAATCACGAAGTAGGGTTGAAGTTATCATGGATGCATTTATCTGGTTATATGCATTAGCATGATGAGGTCGAATGTGACTGTATCTATTAATTATTGGGAGGTGCAGATGGAGAAGATAAACCATAAAAGGAGCTAAATTTAATTTGATAATGCTTATATACTATATATTACAAGGACATGTTTGATTTGAAAAATAATAGATGGATAAATTTGAGAAAAATGGATAATAGAGTGACAATTTATGCTATTAACTCCACATGGAAAGTCAAAGAGTATATTGGTAGAGTAGAATTTAACCTTTTATAATGTTTGGATTCTCTTAACGTTGGTACGTGCATTAGTATCTAACACTTAACAACTCTCACTTATTATTCAAACAAACATATACACTAAATCATAATAATTTATACAATAAGCATTATTTTTTCGTATTCTTTCTATTTGAGATTTTGAGGCATAATCTTTTCGTTATTATCTTGATTTTTTTATATACCTTCAATTTCTACCAATTCTATATGACATATATTTCCTTCCAACTCCAAATTTATATCCGATAATAAAATGTCCACAAATTTCTTCTAAGATATAGGTGGGGAAAATACAAAACAGTAAACGAGGATGACTTGATAAAAAAAATACATATTAACTAATTATCGCTAATGTTATAATCAACAAATACCATAAAGATTACGTTAAAATAATGAATTAGCTATTTAAGAAAACCTCAGATTATTTTAAAATATGAAAAAATTTATCAATATAAAATAAAATTCATCCGACCAACGAGTCAGGTAAATATTTTAAATATAATTATAAATTATCTAATATAAAAGATAAAACAAAACTCATTCAGTCAAGGACCGAGTAAAAGCTGGTTCGTAGAAATGGCTGTTGCGGGCAGGGATAAAGCTAGGTGAGGGCTCCCTCCACCCCCAAATTATTTTTGAAACAATTTCTCCTATTTATGGCGATTTCACGAGTTACTAATGAAAACATTAATGCTTCAGTTTTTTTTGCATTAATCATAGAGTTAATTTAATTTTTAGTCATTTTAAACTATACCGATTTAGTTTTTCAACTTTTGATTTCTTATTTATTGTATTGGTTATATTAATTAACTTCAAATATTAATATATACATATATTTATTATCAATTATAAAGATATCGAAAGACATGGTATACATTGGAATTGATTTATTTTTTGTTCAATAATCTAATCACTTGATCACTTGTTTGGATCATAATACCGTATAAAGTTATTTTTTCGCCATATAATTTAATAAGGTGTTCATATAATTCACATTTTACTGATAGTAAACGAAAACATTTCCCCTCCCCCCACCCCCCGAATCTCAAATCCTGGCTCCACCCCTAGTTTTGGGTGACGAATGGGTTTTAGAAGGCAATATTTGTGGTTGTAGGTATTCTGGATTTGGTGCAGGGCTAGTGTTTGCGTAAATGCCTAAATGTGTTCTTCGTCTAATTTTTTATATGTTTCTCTGTTCTGTTGTTGTGTTCAGTGGGCAGGGTGACGTCTGGGTTATAGAGTGGGCTAGGTTGCATTTCTCTGCTATTGGTAAGCTATGGTTGATATGATCGAGATTAGCGAGGATAGGTTTAGAAGAGGGATCAATCCAGTTGATTGTGTTGTTGTTGTGTGATTGCGGAGCGAGGATGTTTCAAGAAGAACGAGATGTGGAAGCTGACGGAAAAGGCAGTGGAGAGCAAGATCGCAGACCTGCTGGAGGTGCCGTCAGTGAAGTTACAACTTGTGTACCCCCGCCACAGCAGCGCCACCGTTGCTGAGGAGGAGGAAGGGCGCTGCTCTTGATGAAGATCCCGCGTCGCAGCAACAACTGAGTAGACTTTCAGCTACTAGTATGCTATGCTTTGCTGTACATGCTTGCTTTCTTCCTTCCTTCCTTAGCTTGGTAGTTAGTAGTATGCAAGGACTCCACTATATTACTTCTGTCAACACACCTCTCTATCTTGTCGTTTCATTTCCTTTCTTTGTGTTTAAACCTCAGATTATTTTAAAATATGAAAAATATATCAACATAAAATAAAATTCATCCGACCAACGAGTCAGGTAAATATTTTAAATATAATTATAAATTATCTAATATAAAAGATAAAACAAAACTCATTCAGTCAAGGACCGAGTAAAAGCTGGTTCGTACAAATGGCTGCTGCGGGCAGGGATAAAGCTAGGTGAGGGCTCCCCCCCCACCCCACCCCCCCCCCCCCCCCTCAAATTATTTTTGAAATCTACGCACAATTTTATACGAAATTTGGAAAGTTACGTATAAACAAAATATTATTTATAAATAGTTACGTGTGAAAACCATAACCATGTATGTTGTTAGTCTAGTGGTAAGAATTCAATTTTTTCACCTGTTGACCCGAGTTCGAGCCTTGGAAGGAGCTAACAATTAACTTTTAATATTTTTTTAGTGTTTACTTTTCCTTTCAAACAATTTCTCCTATTTATCGCGATTTCACGAGTTACTAATGAAAACATTAATGCTTCAGTTTTTTTTTGCATTAATCATAGAATTAATTTAATTTTTAGTCATTTTAAACTATACCGATTTAGTTTTTCAACTTTTGATTTCTTATTTATTGTATTGGTTATATTAATGACCTTCAAATATTAATATATACATATATTTATTATCAATTATAAAGATATCGAAAGACATGGTATACATTGGAATTGATTTATTTTTTGTTCAATAATCTAATCACTTGTTTGGATCATTATACCGTATAAAATTATTTTTTCGCCATATAATTTAATAAGGTGTTCATATAATTCACATTTTACTAATAGTAAACGAAAACATTTTCGGCCCCCCCGAATCTCAAATCCTGGCTCCACCCCTAGTTTTGGGTGACGAAGGGGTTTTAGAAGGCAATGTTTGTGGTTGTAGGTATTCTGGATTTGGTGCAGGGCTAGTGTTTGCGTAAATGCCTAAATGTGTTCTTCGTCTAATTTTTTATATGTTTCTCTGTTCTGTTGTTGTGTTCAGTGGGCAGGGTGACGTCTGTGTTATAGAGTGGGCTAGGTTGCGTTTCTCTGCTATTGGTAAGCTATGGTTGATATGATCGAGATTAGCGAGGATAGGTTTAGAAGAGGGATCAATCCAGTTGATTGTGTTGTTGTTGTGTGATTGCGGAGCGAGGATGTTTCAAGAAGAACGAGATGTGGAAGCTGACGGAAAAGGCAGTGGAGAGCAAGATCGCAGACCTGCTGGAGGTGCCGTCAGTGAAGCTACAACTGGTGTACCCCCGCCACAGCAGCGCCACCGTTGCTGAGGAGGAGGAAGGGCGCTGCTCTTGATGAAGATCCCGCGTCGCAGCAACAACTGAGGAGACTTTCAGCTACTAGTATGCTATGCTTTGCTGTACATGCTTGCTTCCTTCCTTCCTTCCTTAGCTTGGTAGTTACTAGTATGCAAGGACTCCACTATATTACTTCTGCCAACACACCTCTCTATCTTGTCGTTTCATTTCCTTTTTTTGTGTTTAAACCAAAATTAAACTTGTACCACATCGATTTATTTATAAAGCCAACTTAATTATAACAATTTAAATCAATTAAGGGGTCGTTTGGAGAACATGATTCAGGACATGGATTCACTGAATCTGTAGATTTTGTACAAAGTTATGTTTTTTTGTTGCTTTTTGTATTGTGAATTCTAGCTTTAGAGATTCCAAATCTCTAAAATATGCGGATATCAAATCTCTCATAATCATAGAGATTCTATATCTTGATTCGTGAGATTTTTTCTCTCCTAATTTTTCTCTTCCTTTTATTTATTTATCACACAGAATATATTTATCAACAAAGTTTTTAATATTTCTCAAACCACTCTAAATTTTTATTAAGGATAAACATGGTATTTAATATAAAATTAATTTTTTTATTGTACTTGAATGCTAACAATCACACTTACCAAACAATAAACATTTTAAAATATGTTTTCAACAATCCGAAGAGTTAGAATCTTTATATTGTTGACAATCTGTAGATTTAAACTCATATTCTCCAAACGACCCCTAAGTGGGCCACGTGGATTGGATTTTTGGGCCCATAAGTCCATAACCCCATACCATCACACGCCACTTTAGCCATCTGTTCCAAAATTTGGCTAAGTGTTGGAGCCACCCCCAGGACGTGGTAAGGAGGGTGGGCACCATACAACCACCTCCAGGACGTGGTAAGGGGGTGACCTCTAATGTATAATGCCATATTCTGCATAAGTGTGGCATGTGAAATTCATGTCCCTATATGATATGATTACCTTAGCTTTTTTTCTTCAAATTGTGTCTATGCCATTTCACAGAATGATTGAACTAACTGTCTGGCTTCAACCTTACTGTGAATCATCTAAACCCAAACACATTGACTGAAATCATCGAAAATAGTAAGGGAATACTTGAAACTATCAATTGAAACAACATCCACTGGTCCCCAAATATCAACATAAAAAAAAAATCAAGGATAGAGTCACTAGTACTGGAGCTCCTATAAAAAGTAACATTTTCTGTTTAGCTAGGTGACAAACTTCACAATGTTTGAAAACTGGTAAAACTACATTATTTCAACTTTTTTGCATCTCCTGTAATCTTGACAAATAAGGGTTTCTTAGTCTCATGTGGCACAAGTCTGACTACTTTGTATTTGTGTTTGTATGAATGAAAAGGGCTGGTGTGTTAGTGTTGGTATGTATATCTCCAAGAATGTACAGTTTCTTGTCTACTCGGATTGAACCAATTCTCACTTAAGAGACAAGGCCTGTACAAAACAAAAGTGGGATTGAAATAACAGTGAGACTAGTGAACTCTTGTTTAACTGACTTCTAGAGACCATATTGTATGCAAAAGTAGAAACCAAAAAGACATTAGTGAGTAAACTTTCACATGACAGCTTAACAATGCCTATAGAAGTAGCAGGTGTTTGCTCCCCATTTGGTACAGTGACAAGAATTTCATGAATAGATTTACATCTTAAAAAAATAGACATGCTAATCCTACATTACATGGACATCACATCATCCTTTGATTGTTAGTTGGCTTAGTTAAAATAAATATATGATAGTGAAGAAATAAATGCACAAATATATGCTACCATAATTAGGTAAGGGAATAATGAAAGAATGAATTTAAATACAATTAGAAAAGGAAGTGAAATTAATTGTAAAATTCTTTAACTTACCGTAACGAAAATATCATTTTACTTCTTAATTTTTAACTTACTGTAACGTATATCTCACTCCCACTTGTAACGTAATGTGTGCTTTACATCATTCTACTCCTAATAGCCATGACAGCGGAGCCTCTGTTGAACGAGAACAATCCGGCACCAGTGAGCTCTCATCCATGAACAAGCATGGTCGCTGAGATCAACAACGACCCCATTTTACTATTTATAGTACGATTGATGGAAAGAAAGGTAACACTATATTTCTTTTTGACAGATATGAAGTCACTATGAAGATTTGTCAATATTTTCAAAACCAGAATAAGATGTTTAACGAAAAAAGTTGGTGATTGATGGTTCAATTGTTAGCCGTTATAGAACCACTGTTAAGAATAAATAGAACCGTTAATGGGCTATAATATAAAAGAAAATATAATAAATAAATTTACGAGTGAATTTATCACTAACCATAAAACAATTCAAATTCATATCATCTATCACCAAAAAGTTCTAACAAATCATTCAAACTATCTCACAAAAGAAATCAACATTTTTTGCAATAAATTTATGTCAATAATAAGAGTGACAATCCATAGAGAAACAAAAAATAAATCTGACAAAGGAGGATGGAAGATAAAATAAAAGGAAGCATAAACAAAATTAGTGATTAAAAGTTGGATGGTTTTGAACTAGTTTACGTTAATGTATTTTTTGTTCTCAATCTTTTGTGGTTAAAGTAGTTAACCAGTACGGACAAGTCAAATCGTGATGATTCATCTAGTGTCATGTCAAACCGTTTAAAACCATTTGGTTAATCTCCAACCATCCCAATCAAATGAATCAAATAAATATATTCTTATCTGATTTAGTGGTTACATATATTCTACTGGCCCAACCACTGATCTGCTCCGTTTCTTTCTTGTTAGAAAACTTCAAATGTAAGGCATTATTATTATTATTATTTTAAATAAAATTATTTGTATTTCCCGCCCTACCGCTCAACAGTTATTGAAACTCTCATTATTCTATTTCCTTCAAATTGAATCAACCGCTTGCATGCATGTAACCGTGCGCGGGCAAATCCCATCGTATCGCATCACGAAACGCTGCCTCATCGCTCTATAAAACCCACCGTCCTTCCCTCTCCACACCCCCGCGCCACACAACAATTCTCATTCCAAACAATACGACACCAACCGTCACATAAACATTCACATCATCTCCTCCACACCATGGCGGCGGCGGCGGCGGCGGGCAGCGGCGTGAACAACAAGAACTTCCATCTAAATGTGGTGGCGATAGTGACCACCGCCACCGGCCCCAACGGCGCCCCCGTCACCCGCGAGGCCGAGCGCGTGTTCACCCTCCCGCTCGAGCCGATGCTGAACGAGGACAGCGCGATGCCGTACGTGCGCAAGGTGGTTGAGTCCTTCCTCCCCATGAAGATCCCCGACCCCGAGGAAAACGTCGCCATCGTCGACAAGGTCGCCGACGTAGCCCTCCGTCTCTTCGTCGCCCTCGAAGGTGACGAAATTGACAAGAACAAGAACAACAACAAGGCTGCTGCTGCTGAGGCTGGTTCTGGTTCTGGTTCGGGGGCTGCGAGCCTTGGTTTGGAGAGGAGGTGGTTTTACGCCAAGGATGGACTGCCGATGACCAAGGTGACGATCTACGTCGCCCATGATGGTTTCGTCTCCGTTGTCGGCGACTTCGAGTTGGATGACGACGAGGATGATACTGATTCTGATGATGAGGATGATGACGAGGAGGAGGAGGAGGAAGACGGTGGTGTTGAAGCCATGGAGACGAAGTAGAAGATCGAGTGGTGGTGATGGTGTTGTTGTTGTGGTGGTTGTTGCCCTAGCAATGGCTACGTGCATGCATGGTGGCCGGTGTGCCATGATATTATTATTATTATCTATTGCAAAAACTGTTTCTGTTTTTTTGTGTTCCAATAATAATCCAGTGTTTGGTGAACTGGGGTTTGTTGTTTCGGGTCGTCGTTTGTAATGTGAACGATTGGTAGTAATGTTGTTGTTGTCAGTGGTTGGTCACTGTTTATGTATGAGGAGAATAGTTAATGTCTCCCTTTTTATAATAAGATGGTCAAACAATTCTATGTTGTGGTGATATCTTGATATGGGTATTATTGGAGTGGAATATTTTCATGCATTTCCCAAGTTTTTTTTTTTATGTTGAAAAAACTTGATGGAGAAGAAATGTTTGTTGTCATTGTGAACATAGACATGTAGTTAAGTTTATTTCCATGTTATAATTATAGCAACTTCCTCCGACACTTAAAAGAAACAAAAAACGAAGCTTTTACTATCTGACTCAGGAAAAAAAAAATGTTATGTATGTTTGTCACAGTGCTGTTTATCCTATCGAAATAAAAGTGAGACTGATAGAGCTCTTGTTTAACTGTCGTATGGTGACAAGACTGTATGCAAAAAGTGGAAATCAATAACAATACATCAGCGAGTAGAAATTCCACAAGGCAGCTTAACAATGCCTTAAAGAAATAAATGCTACTGTAATTAGGTAAGGGAATAATGAAAAAATGAGATTAAAAATAATTAGAAAATGAAGTAATAGCGTGCTCCAGAAGCTAATGTTTATTGGGTACAAGAAACCCGGAGCACCCCGTTGTCGACGATCCTGTTCAACGGCGGCGAAACAGGGCAGGAAAGAGATGTAATTTGTTGGGATGATCTGTGAAGCATCGAGCCTCACCGAAACTGAGGGTACACTCCAAATTTCCCCAGGAAGCTCATATGCACCTTCCATTGGAACGAGAGTACCTGAATTACTGAATCTAATTCGACCCAAAAGTGCTATGAAACGGAAAAATTCGAAGGAAATTCTAGCTTATTGGGTGGACACATTGGCGGTAATTCGATCCAAACGGCTGATGCAGAATCAATCGTTATCGATCCAGGAAGCTGTACGAACGATTCAATTCAACTAGAGGCGCTCGCATAAAAAAACCCCAAATCTGAATTGCAATTTGTGGGTTCGAAGAGTTCAAACTTCCACAGTGGCGGGAAATCAGGAAATCTTGATTCAATGACAGAGACGATGATTCGAAGGTTGAAACCGTCCCATAACTTCAATTCAAAGGTAGGCGAAGCTAATGGTGGCCTTGAATTGTGCCGTAGATCCCTGAGGAAGAAAGCCCCAATTTTGAGTCTGATGAACATTGACGAAGTTGACCAGAACTTCCAGTTCAAGCTGCCATCTTACGATCCAATTTGGGAGCGATTCTCTGATGAATATGAGACATGGAAGGCCAAAGCTTTGAGGTCAAAGCTTTTTTATGGGGGAGGGACTGATATGATCTCAATTTGGACATTAATACGAATGGAATTGATCGATCATGAAGGCAAGATAGGCACGTTGAAGAACACTGATTTTTGCCCAAGTGTTTTTGACAGTTTCAGGTGTCAACTTTGGATGAGCATAATTCGTAATTGGCTTGGTGAAAACTTGGGTTCTTGGGCTTGTTTTGAAGAGGGAGAGCTGTTTGTTAGAATTAAGTGTTTTGGAGCTCGAGCTGAGGTCCAGAAGAGGGCTTTCCAGGACGATGAAGATGCTAGCTCGACACTGGCAAGACAGCCAGATTTGGCTAAGTATGGATTGTGAGCGAGGAGTCATCTATGGAGCTCTCGTCGAGGAGCAGGAAGGAGAGTTGAGATTCATGGGTTGTCATCCATGAGAGCACGCATCTTCTTATACAACAACGTGGGATTGGGTGATGAGTTTGATCCCTAGGAGTGCTCGAACGAGAAGCTTCAAGATCGTATCGACACTTGTTGGAGGAAGAGAAATCTGAATCCGAGACGCTGTTTGAGTTATAGCCTGTTTAGGATATTCTTTACTTGCGTTGTAAGATTAGTTAGCCTATTTAAACTCCCGTCTACAATGTAAATCGTCAGTTTTTTGTTCATTGAATACAAAGTTGAGCTTTGATTCATCTCGCAAGTTTGTTGGAGGAATTGAGTTGGATTGCTTGGAGGATTCTAAGCAATCAAGTGCTTGTATCGATCAGCTAGTCACGCTGATTTGTGGCCAAGCTTCTACCCTAAACTTCGAGCCTTTCTCCCGTTGCGAGGATTGCACGAAGTTCCATTCCCATTCATCGTTTTAACCTTTTTTCTGTCCGAGGAATTGAGCTAGGAGCTCAATTTGATTCTCAATTGCGCAACTCTGATCATAAGGCCCTATCTGGGGTTTATCATGAAGTCACTATGAAGATTTGTCAATGTTTTTAGACTCGGACCAGATTCTTAACTGGAAAAGTTGATGATTCAACGGTTAACCGTTATGGAGCCGCTAATTAATCGTTGATAGAACCGTTGATGCACTTTAATATAAAAGACAAATATAATACACAAATTTAGTGAATTTATCATCAGTAACCATAAAAAAAAATTAAAAACCATATTATCCATCACCGAAAAGTTCTAACACTCTCACAAATAAAACATAATTTTTTTTATTAAACTCAAATTATTAGTAATCAGAGTGACAATCCATAGTGAACCAGACAAATCCTACAATGAGGTTTAAAAAAAGAAGAAGAAGCATAAACCAAAAAGGAAACATAGTTTTTTATCTTTAAGTTTTTTATTATTAAAATAGTGAATCAGATAACCAATCAAATCGTACCTCTTATTTTAATTTAAATTATTAAAAACGGTTCGGTTCATCTCCAATAATGTTAGGTAACCGAACAACTATTGTTACTGACTTAGTGGTGATCCGATTTGGTCATTCGTTAAAAAAACTTCAAATGTTATGTAATTTTTCAAAAATTTTGTTTTAATTCCCGCACTCCCGCTCAAACTATTGACCATTATTCCCTTCAAAATGAATCAACCGCTGCATGCATATATGTAACCGTTCGCGGCAAAATCCCATACGTCCATCGCACCGCGAAACGGTGCTTCGTCCGCTCTATAAAACCCACTGCCGTCCGGCCACTTCCCACCCCGCGCCTAATTCCCTACATAAACAACACATCATCGTCAAATAATCATTCACATCATCCTCCACACCATGGCGGCGGCGGCAGGCAGCGGCGTGAACAACAAGAACTTCCACCTCAAAGTGGTGGCGATCGTGACCACCGCCACCGGCCCCAACGGCACCCCCGTCACTCGCGAGGCCGAGCGCGTCTTCACCCTCCCGTTCGAGCCGATGCTGAACGAGGACAGCGCGATGCCGTACGTGCGCAAGGTGGTGGAGTCCTTCCTCCCCATGAAGATCCCCGACCCCGAGGACAACGTCGCCATCGTGGACAAGGTCGCCGACGTCGCCCTCCGTCTCTTCGTCGCCCTCGAACGTGAAGAGACTGACAAGAACAACAACAAGACTGCTGCTGCTGCTGAGGCTGGTTCGGGGATTGCTGGCTTTGATGCGGAGAGGAAGTGGTTTTACTCCAAGGACGGCCTGCCGCAGACCAAGGTGACGATCTACGTCGCCCATGATGGTTTCGTCTCTGTTGTCGGCGACTTCGAGTCGGAGGACGACGAGGATGATACTGATTCTGATGAGGAGGATGATGATGGTGAGGAGGAAGAAGGTGGCGTCGAGGACATGGAGAAGAAGTAGAAGATCGAGTGGCTGTTGCCCTAGCGATGGCCTACGTGCATGCATGGTGGTGTGCTATGCTATTATTATCATTATTATTATTACCTATGGAAAGACTATGGCGCTGAGTATTATGTCTGTTTGTGTCCAGTGTTTCGAGAACTGAAATTTCTGTGTTCGCGTCGTCGTTTGTTATGTGAAACGACTAATAGTGATGTTGTTGTTGTTGTTGTCAGTGGTTGGTCACTGTTTATGTGTAATGAGAATCGTTATATGGTCTCGATCGCTTTTGATTATAAGATGGTCAAACAATTATATTATATATGCTTGATATGGGTATTATTATATATGGTGGAATATTTTCATGCATTTCCAAGTTTTTTATGTTGAAAAAACTCGTTGTTAGTGAAATACTGTTAGTTGTCTTCAATGCGTGAAAATTTTACTTGTAGTTAAGTTTGTTTCCATGTTATGGCTATTTCAACTTAGAATGGCACTTACAAGTTTTCGACAAAACATGTTAATATGATGTCTAGTCTCTATCATTAGACTCAACGAAGTCTATCTGCTTGATTCCAAGGAAAACTGTCTTCTATGTTTTGGGAGAAAATTGATTTTGTCAGGTTCCAGGTTGCTAGAATATGCTTGGCATCCAAATACTCTCAAACTGGTATAGTTACTTCAAACAATTTCTCTAAATAAGTTTTGTTGTCAAGAATAGGAGTTGGTGTCCTATTTATCAAATATGCAACATGCAATACAAAGAATGTACAATCTCCAAGAATGTACAATCTCTTGTCTGCTCGAATTGAACCAATCCTTTGTTGAGAGACAAGGTCTCGCGTATAAAACAAAAGTAGGATTGAAATAAAAGTGAGTTTGGTGAACTATATTGGTTAACTGATTGACTGACTTATGGAGACGAGATTGTATGCAAAAGTGGCAACCAACAAGACATTAGTTAGCTAGTAAAACTCCACATGACAACTTAACAATGCATATATGAGTAGCGGTGTCTGTTTTCCATTTGGCAGAGAGACAAGCATTATTCCATGAATAATTTTACATCTTAAGAAAATAGACATGTTAATCCTAGTAATGGACATAAGATCATCATGTGATTGCTAGTTGGCTTAGTAAAAATAAGTAAATAAATAAATAATAATAGTATAATAATGGAGAAATAAATGCACAAATAAATGCTACGAGAATCAGGTAAGGGTTTACCGTTACGTAAATCTCATTTTACTTCTTTTTAACTTACCGTAACGTATTTTTTACTCCCACCTGTAACGTAATGCACACGCGATGACATCATGCTACTCCTAGCACTGGCAGCCACCACGACAGACCCTCTGGTGAACGAGAACAGTCCGGCACCAGTTGAGCTATCATCCATGTTACAAGCATTGTCGTCGAGATCAGCAGCGACCCCATTTTACTACGGTTCATGGAAAGAAATGTAACACTATATCTCTTTATGGCAAATATATGAAGTCATTATGAAGATTTGTCAAATTTTCAGAACCGGATCGGATCTTTAATCGAAAAAACTTGGTCATTGATGGTTTTTAACGGTTAACTATTATAGAGCGCCATTGTTCAACTGTTGATAGAACCCCATTAATGCGATGTAATATAGAGTACAGATAAATTTACGAGTGAATTTATCACTAACCATAGAAAAAAAAATTCAAATCTATATCATCTATCACTGAAAAGTTCTAAGAAAGCATTCAAACTATCTCTCGAAACAAATCATAATTTTTTTTCTTTCTTCTTATTAACTTCAAGTCTACAAAATACAATAAGTGAATGTCAATATATTCATTCTGCCACATCAGCTCCGGCTGAATAACCCGTACAGTGCGGAGGGAGAGATTAGTAAATTCCCTCAATGCCTCCCTCTCTGTGCCTCCACTATCCAGGTCCAACCCCGTTTCCGAAAATCTCAACTGCTCCCTGAAATCTCCCCTTCGCCGGCCTTTCCCTTACTCTGCCGCCGCTTTTTTATTCCTTCTTTCTGTTCGTTCTCACCCCTGCACCTTAATCTTGCTCCTGGAAATCAACAATTTATTACTACTCCGTGGACCAGAAGTCCACGCTGCTGCCGCTTGCCTCTCCATTTCCATCTGCCGCTTCTTTCTTCCTTCCTTCCTTCCTTCAATTCTACGTACTCAACCACCAAAGTTGTTAGTGAGCTCAATTGGTTTCCTCCATATTGATCTTTCAAAATATCATATTTGTGAGCTTTAGTGAGGTTACTTGTGTTTCAATTACAGGATGATGTTGCTACATTCGCATCTTGGTGTTGGGTTTACGTTCATCAAGTTTGGGTTACAAACTTACAGTTACGTCCTTCTCCCCCAACTCCATTGGCACTCTTAGATACTGCCAACAAATAATTGTTTAGATTGTTGTGGTCAATTGCGTTGGGTAAGAAATTAGCACCTTTGCATTGATAGTTGTGGGATCTCTGCCTCTCACGCTAAAGCTCTTTTCCCATGCATTTGGGTGTATATTGAATCAGTTGAAAGGGATAGTGAAAAAAGTATGGATATTTTAGTTCAAACACCAAGTTTGCATTTCTGTGTTCAAATGCTACTGCCGTTATGTTTCTGTTCTTCCAAGAACCCCTTTTTCACCTTTCGATTAGTAAACTGAAATGGATTAATGTGAACTAAATTACATATGGCATGGATAAATTTTATCAATATATAAGTCATATGTTCTTTGCCAACATCTGGCATCATGAATTCTACTGAATTGGAACAACACGACCAATATCAAGGGCCCCTATACCATACCATATGTCACAATCCTTTGCACATAAATTTATGCGAGCATTTGAAACAGGAAATCCACATACGGTAAAATTCAAATAAGAAAATCGATTAGTATCCACAACATCATGCTTTTTGAGTACTTACTGTTACATTGTCTCTACTTCTCTATATAATCATATTTACTTGCAGCTGGTCGTGCTATTAATTTTGAGGAAACCGGTTTCCTGCAAAAAGAAATACTTCCATAAGCTAATGAATTAGAATGATCTTCTGGTCTGTTTTATAGTTAATTGTATAAGTTCTGATGATTTACTGGATTAAATATAATTGTTGTCGTTATATAATATTTCACTTTTTGTACCATTAAAATAGTTTTTGTATACTACTGTCTTATCATTTGTCATTTGCAAGTGTGATGAGAATTTTTCAAAATTATGATTTTTGTCTGATCATTCTGTCAATAACAATGTTACGGAAGTTAATTATGATTTTTTTTTTGCTAGGATATTGTAGTAATTGGTTCTTATTAATTAGAGCCTTGCCATAAGGATGGTTGAAGTAATTTTTCCAATTTGATTGTGGAATTGATGATGCGTATTAGGGATGAAAGTTGTTGCAAATGTATGCAACTTGAAACTTCTTTGGTGGGTTAGCAAATGTAAGATAAGGTAACGGTAAAGCTGTCGCAACAGTAAATATATGGGAGTAAGTTAAAATGACAAAAATTTATTTCATTCGATTGCATTCAAAAAAAAAAATCATCCTCAATTCTGTAAAAAAAAAAAAATCGTCCAGTCTTAACGTTTTCCTCTTCACATTTTAGCTTTAAGATATAATTGATAGATATCAGATGTTGATGTGGTGATTTATTAGTAAATAGAAATAAGTTTATAAGAAAGTGGGATATTATGAGCATTCTTAATTCTTTTGTGTCTTAAACTTGTACATGTAATGCCTTTTTTATGAAGAGGATGATATCTATTGAAAGAAAAAAACTTGTGACATATTAAACTCTATCAGAGACCAATCATTTTTTTTTCATCCTAAAGGTTAATTATGTATGTGATGTGAAGCAACTCCAACATTCAACTATATGACCTACTCAAGTAGTTAATCTTTTTATATGAATAGTGAAAAATTATTAGTTGTATTTAGTTATTACTAACATTATATTTCTAATCCTATTATATTGTAAGCATAGCGGGAAAAACTTGACAACATTATTTATGCCTATGCATAAATAATGTAGAAAACGCATCTCCATTATATATCATATCTCCATAAAAAAATTATCATTATATATCATATCTATTTTTATGGCCTCACCCGCCCAAACGGGCGGGCCCAATGCTAGTTAGTATAATAAGAGTGGTTAAACTCATCTCTCTATTCCCTTCAAAATGAATCAACCGCTCCATGCAACCGCACGCCGCGCGGGCAAATCCCTACGTGCCCATCTCTCCCAACCATCGCATCGCATCACGAAACGGTGCCTCATCGTCCTATAAAACCCAACCGTCGTTGCTCCTTCCCACCCCGCGCCACACATTATTAATCCACATTACATCAACGAATCATCGTCACAACATCTCTCACATCATGGCGGCGGCGGCATCAGGCAGCAACGGCAACGGCGTGAACAACAAGAACTACCACCTGAAAGTGGTGGCGATCGTGACCACCGCCACCGGCCCCAACGGCGCCCCCGTCACCCGCGAGGCCGAGCGCGTGTTCACCCTCCCGTTCGAGCCGATGCTGAACGAGGACACCGCTATGCCGCACGTGCGCAAGATGGTCGAGTCCTTCCTCCCCATGAAGATCCCCGTGGACAACGTCGCCATCGTCGACAAGGTCGTCGACGTCGCCCTCCGTCTCTTCGTTGCCCTCGAACGTGACGAAACTGACAAGAACAACAACAAGACTGCTGCTGCTGCTGTTGCTGGTTCGGGGATTGCTGGCTTTGATGCGGAGAGGAAGTGGTTTTACTCCAAGGACGGCCTGCCGCAGACCAGGGTGACGATCTACGTCGCCCATGACGGTTTCGTCTCCGCTGTTGGCGCCTTCGAGTCGGATGACGACGAGGATGATACTGATTCCGATGAGGAGGATGATGATGGTGAGGAGGAAGAAGGTGGCGAGGCCATGGAGAAGAAGTAGAAGATCCAGTGGTGGCTCCTCTAATGGTGTTTTTTTTTTGTGGCTGTTGCCCTAGCAATGGCTACGTGCATGCATGGTGGTGTGCCATGACATTATTATTATTATTTCCTATTACTAAAACTATGTCTGTTTGTGAACTGGAATAATTTCATGTTCGAGTCGTCGTTTGTTACGTGAACGATTATTATCCATGTTGTTGTTGTTGTCCGTGGTTGGTCACGGTTTATGTTTGAGGAGAATAGTTGATGTCTCCCTTTTTATAATAAAGATGTTCAAACAATTATATTCTATCTTGTGATAATATTTGCTTGATATGAGTATTTTTGTAATGGAACTTTTTTATATATAAAACTTGTGAATTATGATTGTGTCATCGTCACCGGTGGAAAGGGTGTCTTTGGAATAAATAGCAAGTACGAGGGGCAATTGGAAGGAGAAAAAGAGAGCGAGTCTTAGCTGGGTTGGGCCAGAGTACGGAGCCGACTACTGGGCCAGACTCGAAGCCCACTACTAGGCTCGAATCCTCCATTGACCAGTGGAAGGATGTCTGTGAAATAAATAGAAAGTAAGAGGGGCAATTGGTTAAGGTTTCGGAAGCGAAGGCCAAATCTGTAATTCTAACCATTTAAAATAAACGAACTCAATTAAGGAAGAGACGGCGGGAGAAGAGAGGAGAATACGAAAAGGCCAGAACCCTAGAGAGGTTTTAGCAGCCGCCGGAAGCTTTCGAAGCCGGAGGGGGGAAGAATAAATCCGCCGTCCGTTACCTCCGCCGCGTAATCATGCCCAAGTCCAAGCGCAACCGTGCAGGTCTGCATCCTCGTCCCATCTGCGAGAATTTTTTTGAATTGTGTGGATTTTTGCGATTTCTGTTTTCTCATTTTTTTGGGGGGAAAAATTGTAGTTACACTGTCGAAGACGAAGAAGAAGGGGAGAGAGCACAAAGAAGGGGTTGTGAATGGAATAAGGGAAGCAGTGGAGAAGTACCCTTCTATCTACTTGTTTGGTTATGAGAACATGAGGAATCTCAAGTTCAAGGAATTCAGAGACCAGCTCAAGTCCAGCAGCAGGTAAAAAAAAAAGCTCTGTTGCTAGTTGGTTGTTGTTGTGCTCTGTTTGTGCCGGGAAGTCAAAGCCTTATGGTGATTGGGGATGAAAAAAAAAATCCTGGAACTTGTAATCTGAATTGTCACAGAAAAGTTCAGTTCTTTACTGTATTTATCATGGATTTGAGCTAGTTTTGTGTTCAGTTGGGCGCTTGTTTCTTTTTGTCTTTGCACTAGCCGCGGATAGTTTTGGACATGGTTTCACTTACCGGATGCTATCGTGGTGTTTATTTGAACAGGTTCTTTCTTGGGTCGAACAAAGTGATGCAGGTTGCTCTTGGTCGATCTGCTGGTGATGAGTTGAGACCGGGGATCCGTAAAGTATCTAAGGTGTGCTTTTACTCTTGATTCACCGGACTACGTGTTTTGTGCTTTTATGGTTGAGATAAAAGCGGTAAAGGAGCTCCATTGCTCTATGCAGAAGTTTGTTTGTTGAGCAGTGTTCATCTTTCTGTTCACAGCTTCTGTGTGGGGATTCTGGTCTGCTGGCTACCAATTTGCCCAAAGAAGAGGTTGAAAGGTATTGGCCTCTCTTTATGATTGCTGGGCTGCTTGTTCACTAACAGCGTATACTTAATAATGAGGTCTACCATGACAATATAAGACCCTGACGTTACTGGGAAGTCTAATGCTGCATTAGAGTGTACAAAGAATCCTATGTCGCAAGTCGTAGTTTGAATGAACTTATAAGGATCTTTAGTTGGTGCATTTATGTCCAGTACTTAACATAGTTTGGTTTTGGCAGTTATATACCTTTGGCATGGGTACTTTAGTTGGTCATTACTTCCTCACTCAATCAACTCAAATTAGATATCCTTAGTTCTCAAGGCTGCTGCTTTGTCTTGCAGGTTATTCCGTGAATATGAAGATTATGACTTTGCAAGGACCGGTACTAATGCCACTGAAAAGGTATGTGAGCATTTAGTAGGCCATGTCCCTAGCCTAACCATATTCTGATGGAGTGTTGTACTTGATTTATTTAGAATATGCTTATTGCCCCATTTGCTGATACAATGTTTCATTGTTCAGGTAGAACTGAACGAAGGGCCTCTGGAGCAATTTACTCATGAAATGGAGCCTTTTCTGCGCAAACAAGGCCTCCCTGTCCGGTTAAACAAGGGTATGTAGCAATAGTCCTTTTATTTTCTCTGTAGGCGGTGAATGTGTGTTAGTACTGTGAACTCCCTCACATAATCCATGATGGCCTGTAGGTGTTGTGGAGCTTATTTCAGACTTTGTTGTCTGTGAAGAAGGAAAGCCTTTGTCACCTGAATCAGCCCGCATACTGGTTAGTTACAGTCTTTTTAGTTTGTCTCGCATATCTCCCCTTCAACTCGGACGGGCTTATTGCTTTCATTTCAAGTAACAACACTTAAGTTCTCTCTTTCTATGATGTTGTCATCTGGTATAGGTTACAAAATAGAGGCCCATTATGAATGATGAAATGTTGTTTGCCTGTGTTCAAATAAAGTGGATCGAATGAACTTTATAATCTTCTATGCAGAGACTATTGGGCATCAAGATGGCGACCTTCAAGCTTCACCTAATCTGCAGATGGAGCTCCGACGATTTTGAGCTGTATAAAGAGGGACTTGATGACGCTTCCGACGTTGAATCTGCATGATTCTTGTTTTCTTGTAGGGTGGCTGAATGTTGTAACTTTGTCAAATCTCATGGGGCTGAACCAAGTGATTGTGCAATAGTAATTGCATCTAATGCTTCTTGTTTTAAACTAAAAAGTAATGCTTATTTCTAGCAGCACCTGCTCCAGATTCGCGTCTTAACAGCGTATTCAATGTCTAGCTTGAAGCTTTCCCATTTGTATGGAATGGAGAATCGAGTTTGTGGCAATCCAATGTTTACTATAAAATATGTGAAATTTAGGAATTCTTAATATTTTTTGTTATGGCGTAACAATGATATGACTCTTTGACCATCCAACATAACAGTCAACCCTCCGAATTAGATCAAATTAGTCTCGTGAGTATTAGTTTAGATTAGGATAGACATCTTTTGAAATATTGACCAAATTAATCATTTAGTGAAGTTTTTAAAGTTTAATCCTTTAAACATCAATTTAATGGTAATCAAACCAAGCAAATTGTCTAATTCTTATAACCAAACATGGCAACCCAGCACCATCAGCTTGACTGTGACCAAATCAAATCGGCATTTTTAGATACGCTATTGTTGATCTTTTCTGGTCGAGACAAGCCCACATCTATAGATACTTCTAATTTCACTCTAAGAAATCGTTTAAATTTCACAACTACCAACCTTAAACAACTTCTTTAACCATGTTTTGATTCGGACAAAATGTGGTGTCAACACTTCTCATGCTTGAAGAACCTGGCAGTGAACAATGTGGCTCCTCAGGCGATTCCTCCCAGCAAGGCTCGACCAAAGATTCGAGACCAAAGTCTTGAACTGCCCTCTACCCGAAAGAGTCTCCCACAAATGTTCAGCGGGAGCTTCCCCAAGATCTTCGGATCTCGAAACGTCGACAACCGATATACTCATGTTGTTTCTAATGATGCAAAGCTTCCCACTCAGTGGAACAAGAGCAGCTGCTTCCAAAGCACAAGAATTCCCCAGATGCAACTTGCTATCGATATGCTTGCTCCATGAATCGGTATCTTCGTCATAAACCCTAAGCTTGCACCCATCCTTGCAGTCTAAGGCATAGAGGTTTCCATTCAAGGAAGCACTTGGGTTTCTCCACCCTGCCACCATGCCATCATAAACAGGATACCAGCTATCGGTTACCGGCTGGTAGACTTCACTCAAAACCTGTCTGTGAGTCCCGAGTCCTTTAAGGTACCATTTACCCTCGTAAACTACCCCAATGAAGGGCACCATTGCTGTACTCATATCTGAAATCAGTGACCATCTGTTCTTATTGGGATCATAAACTTCAGCTGATCTCAATGGACGGTGGACGCCCTCGTTCTCCCCACCTGCTACATACAAACAGTTGTTTATAACACACGAACCAAAGAAATGCCGTCTTCTAAGCATGTCGGGTGCACGGTGCCACTTATTAGTTCTAGCACTGTAAAAAATGACCCGTCTCATCGATCCTTTCAAAGGGTCTTTGCCTCCAAACAAGTAGAGGTTACAGCCACTTAGAACAGCTGAACCGAAACCTAGGGCTTCAGAATATTCCTTGGGGACAGGTGGAAGTGGCTGCCATAGTTGGTATATGGGATCGAAAGCATGCCAAGATATTTTCCCATCCCTGTCTCTCTTGATCACGTATATCCATTCCTCGGATATTCCAAGATTCTTTCGAAGCGAGTAGAAGAAGTTACCAGATAAGAGACGGTACCACCTCTTGCAGACGAGTCGAAGCTTTCGATGCTCAGCTCTAGGCACTCGGATTAAGCAAGCAATGGCGAGATCGTCAGGGAGTCCCGGGAGCAATGGGGATTGATTTCGGTTTCTATCTCCTCGTGAGGGTTTATGTCTGGTTGGATGGATAGATGGTCTGATGTCTGGTTGAAGACATAGCTTGCTACCCGGGACGTACTTTTTGGCACCTGCCACGGTTTTGAGGCCTGCATCTACTCTACATAAGCAAGCTGTTGTGTCAACCTGTGGAAATGACATTGACACCAATATATGATTTTCATCAGTTAGGCTTTATAAGCAAGGGGAAAACTGCAGATATTATCAGAATAAGAGAAGAAGAACATGCTGCATGATTTCAACAGATTGGTGAGTAAGTTCTCGGCAATTGATCAACACCACTAATTTCCCAAAGGGTGTCATATAAAGTCCAAAAATTACTAAAGATACCATTTCCCATTAGCAAAATTTTCCTTTGAGATCTCAAACTGAAGATCAACCCTAAAATCCTATCAGCAGAAAATGCTCAAATGGAAGTCATTGCATACAGGATGAGCTAGAATCACATACCAAATACATTCCAAATGTAAGGGGGAAAACAAAAGGGGAACAGCCTAAGATTAGAATTTGCTCAAACCAGTGAGGATGCTGAAAAAAAACAAAAGGGCATAGAATCAGACTTACCAAAGGAGGTTGATTCATTCTCTCTGCGTCTCTCATCCTCCAAGGATCCGCCATGGCCAGAATTAACTAATATCACTGCAGAAGTTCACTCCTTCCAAAATCAGAAGGGCACAATCTAAATCATGATGCCCCTCTCTGCTGTTAAGAACACAAAATTCAGTGGAATCTAAAATGCATGAAAGCAAACTCTGAGCACTGCTCCACCAACTCTTGGAACTCGCTTTCAATCTACACCACACCAGCCCTTCCTTCTCTCTCACACCAAATCACAAAAAAAGACACCCAAATTCACCTCCAACCAACTGTCAAAACTGAGAACCAGCTCCAGAAGTGACACTCTGAGGTGCTATCGAAGCAAACCCAGCTTCATTCCAACGTCAAAATCAAAACCCATCTCCGGAAATCAGAAATCCCCACAAGAGAATAAATCACTCTTTCCACCACATCCAATTCAGAGAATTGACCACTGAACGGAAACGAAGGGGAGAAAGAGAAGGGAGACAAAAGACTCCGACTTTATCTTCTAGCGAGACAACCCAAATGCGAGACAGCAAGAAGAATTAAGAGCAGAGGCAAGTCGAAGGGCAAGAGCATTTGAGAAAACAGGGAAACGGACGGAGACCCTTCTTTTCTCCTCCCTTTTCTTTTTCCACCATTAAAAACCACCCCATAAGTTTGTCAAAAGGAAGCGGTCCCGACCAGAAGGTCCGACCCAGATGCCATAGCGGTTCGAATTTCTAGAAAACGGAAGACTAAATTAATCGGACATTCGCAAGGTGACAAAAGACGATGGCTTTGACCTCGCCGGCGGCGGGTGGCAGGAGGGAGCTCCGATGAACAGGAGGATTGAATTAGGAGTGGAAACTGAGAGGTGGAGTGTGAGTAATTATTAGGCGAGAGAGTTGAGACAAAGGAGGAGGAGATCGTGGAGGACGGTGGACATAGTAAATGGAGGGAATCGGTTGGGTTTTTTTCTTTCTTTATTCTTTTTTTCGTTGTGAATTATGATAAGAGACAACCATTATCTCCCCATTTTGTGTATTTAATACTTCGAATTTTATTTTGCAAGTATGGTGAATAATAATAGCTTGGGCCCTATTGTGATTAATGTGTAACACCATGTGGAAACCTAACGCCTAACCAATTTTTGTGTACTATACTTGTTTGAGTTGGCCTATATAAAGAAAGGAGTTAAATTTTAGGATGGACTCCTTTGCAATAGAAAAAACGAAATCAATCATAATATGATAAACGGTAGTTACTTATGAAAATTTGAATTATGGAGGAGCAATTTTCAACATAAGAGAGGTGATATCATAAAATTGCAGAGCTATCTAGGTGGGAGAGTCCAATGAGTGCTCATTTTCGTGATTCAGTCAGGTTATTAGATAAGATGGTGAGATAAGCATACATGAATCGAATCAGTAGACAGACAGTTGAACGAGTTTGACAATCAACCCGATCGAGCAATAACATTGACGTGACCAAAAAGTTGAAGGATGATTGCATCGAAGAAGAAGAAGAAGAGGTCATCATGTTTTTGGCATTTTCATACGTTTTCGCAACACGAAAATGATGAGGCAGACCGGTGAAGATACCCTTTGAAATGTTGAGCGGAGATGAATGAATCTTCTCAACAAGCTCCATACAAATCGACTAACATGTTGTAGAAAACGTACAACTTAGTTATCAATACAAACTTAATTCGATACAAACCGATTGGTACGATACTCTATTCATTTCAAATCTCACTACCAATCCATCAAACCTTAGGGAGGGATTGTGAAATGGCAACAAGGGAGCAGAGAAAGGACAGCCATAGCAAACCTAAACCATTAAGTTTTTTCACTTTTTGTATGGGAAGAAAAAAAGGTCGAAAAAAAAGTACCATTAACAAATCCACGATAACAATAAGACGTGAGAGCTTTGGCAGATAGCTATTTGTTTTCTTCTCACAAAAAACCACCCTTGTTACGGCCGTTTACCTTACCTCCACCTGCAGCAGCAGAGTACTCTGTTTTTTTTTTCCTTTCGTAGGACAAAAAGTAGCGAGCCAGAGACAGAGTCAACTTCTTCACTCCATTAATTTACCCGTCCTCTCCTCTACTGGTTCTCTGTTTTGACAACCTGTGTGTTGCTCCACTGTAGCATGCCATGGATGCTCCTCCGGCCACTACTTGATGATCTGGCGGTGGCCGGCGGGACCCAACCACCGTCTGACGTGTTGCGGCGGGTGGCTGAAGAAGAAAGAATGAGACCTTTTCTGCTGCCTGCCTGCCTCGGACGGCATTTTGTGGAGTGAGTGAGTTGGATGATTGATACCTAACCTAAGCTAGTAGCTAAGCTCCTTTGTCTCTGTACTACTCTTATCAATACCTAATCTTTTGTCACTAATCGTCTTTGTTTTTCTTTCCTCGTGATAGATAACATCTATACTACTCTTACATTAAGGAAGAAGAGTCGGTGTTGAAATGATAGAACGAGAACAAATGAGATTCATTATAAGATTTCGAATGTCTCAGACACTCGATCGATCGTGTATGTTATCTATCACGAGGAAAAAAAAATACGTCAACAGCAGTCGAATTCATGTGAGAGTCGATAGATTGTTGTTAATAAGTTCATTTTAAAGTACCTGAAAAGAATTATGGATGCGGCCTTTATTTTCAGAGGTAAAAATAATGTCTTTATAAAGGATTATTATACCGATTCTAGTATTCAAATAATATATCAGAATGACATAATTGGGAGATTCGAACAAACCGAACACTTCAAAGTTATTCATTCATGCCAATTCTACTGCTAGAATTAATTATTTGTTGGTCTTGAATGTCCCATGTTTAAGATTAGTTTTATTGAACAATCTGTTTTTTTAATACATCATCTCCTCCTTTGTTTTACTTTTGTAGTGTTATTTTTTTTATTACATATATAAGTACTTATTAGGGTCGATAATAACAAAGTTTAAAATTTAATTAACTATTGATGTTTGTAGTCCCCCATTAGTCACAATACACAGTCTGACACTTCAGTATTTTTTTGCAGATATTTGGATTTTACTTGGAAAACAAAAGATACAATAATATTAGAAAAAAGAGAGGTACTAATATTGTATGTTCTTACAAAGCACCAATCAAAGTAAGTATTGAAAAAATGGAGAAATAAATGTTTCTAGTTTGGAGATGCTGACATTTTGAGGCAAATAATCAAAATATATAGGTGACAAGCATTACTAATTAGGGATTAGTGTATGTGTGACAATTCTTACTAATCAATGCTCAATTATTATACATGGACATTATCGTTACTAATTTGGGATCGATCGTTATAATTAGTTATGTGCATTGTCATTACCCATCAAAGAATCAATCAGTTACTCACCCGCATGACATACACTACTAACTAACTAAGGTTCTAATCATGGAGAGGCACGATTCGACAAAAACTAAAATTTAGCTTGAGAACTTGTATGGCAATGAACTACAGTCATCTGCCATCGCCAGATATTGTCCAGCTCGGGATCTACTATCCTCACTGGAAAGACGAGGTACCAACAATTTTCATAGCGAGAAAGTTCATTAGATTATTTTTTAGGACACATAATTAGTTTTCTAATATTTTGTTTATCGACTTCTATTTAATATTATTTTTTGTTGAAAATAAACCGATGGAGATGTCTCCATCCCTCTCTCTTGGATGTTCTTTTCCACAAAATGTGGTGAAGAAAAGTTGGGGGATCTTTGTAGTTGGAGCAATGAGGTCGAGGTGGCGATTTGGGTAGACTGAAATATTAGAAATATTCAAATATAATTAAAACCTGTTGGTTCAATTTTGGGAATGAAAGGTAAGGTTTATATTAAATAACCCCTCGTAGAAAATCAGACTTAGAAAGGGATGCCTCCAGCATTTTGACATACTAAGTGACGATTATCAGTAGAAATATTGTACCATGATGTAGATTTATGGAAAAACCTATTTAAATTAGTTATTAAGTAAAATAGAAGGTTCTGCACCAAGAATTGAGAGTGTAGAAAGGAAAATTGATTGGTCAAGAAACAAATTTGATAAAAAAATGTGGATATGATGAATTTAGGATTTCATCTTCTTAATTCCCTAAGGTAAATTTTCGTTCAAATATATGATGGATGGGTTTCCATCCCCAAATCCTTCATCAAAACCCTCAACCCAACGACCCGCAAGATTTAGACCAACAAGTTCTTATATTAGATTTATGTCATGATAATCTGCTCAATAGGATTACAGCAAATATATTAAGACTCCTGGCTTGCTAATAAGCTGAACTAATTATTAATCAAATGAGAGGGTTGGACTGTTCTACTCCTAAAATAAACGATACTCAAGATATTTTCAGTGAGATACCTCTATCAATATAATGAATAAAATTCGTTTGGGATGTATACTATACTATAATATCTAGTAGATAAACCCAAGATCCGTGTTCTCTAAAACCAAACTCAAATATAATTTCATACACGAGAATAATCAATCATTCATATTATCTAAAGTACAACGAAATACGTCCATAATCCAAAGACCATATCACTTTGAGTATGATATATACTTTACTAACCATAATAATCACTTTCAGGCATTTAAAACATTTTGCATTTTTTCTTCATCTTTGATTATAAGTGGGATTCAATGCAAGCTCGCATATTAATTGAGAGAACTAATATTGGAGGAGGCCACAGAAGTGTGAATGATGAGGTTGTGGGTTTTACTTTTCTTGCCCTTTGAATGAGGAAATCATAAGGGAATATGAGCTATAAATGATAGTGAAGGTGTAATGTATTATATCATAATTATTATTATGTTGGGTTGAAGGGTTCTTATCAATGTGTAACATTCATCAACAAACCAAAATAAGTTATTTTATTATATGTTGTAGTATGACATTATAACAAACACTTCGTAATATGAATTTTAAATTATTTATTTATATCTCAAGTCGTTCATCCGTGTTGAGTTTATGATATTCAAATTTCTTTTTAAAATTTGACGACTTACGCCTTCACGATGTGACATATCTCAATAGTAAATGAGAGGGGAAGAGGATGATATGAGCCAAATCGACAACAAGAAAGAAATTTCAAGTATACATGGTATGTGGTGTAATATACTGATTTGGCATGAATCGATCTGACCGGTAAGAGATTTGGATATACTCATTTAACGAAGTGATTATAAATGGACGACCAACACAATAAATTGTTGAGAAATTTATTCAGAATCACGATATAGTAAATAACTAACCAACCCTCGTGTATCTACAATGAATTTTCATACTAATCGTATTTTGATTACACCCACTTCCCACCAAATTATTCATAACTCACAAAATAGTTATTGTTGAATGTGGGGGGCGATCCCATCCAAGCCAAAATGGTGATCTTCCAAAGTGGGAATCCACCCAAAAAAAACTGTCTCCCAACTCAGTCTGAACCCTAGCTAACAACTTCTATGGCTGCCATAGCTTCTGTGCAAAGAAAAAGTATCCCAACAGGATCTAAGTGTCATCATCATTCTCCTCAACTCCTACGCGTAAAAATGTATGAAGAAGCAGTCAACTGATCACCAACCTTTCTATATCTTTACTAGCAAGAACTCCAACCTTCCTCATTGAGAAATGGAAATAGTCCACAAGCCTTCTCCACGAGGATACTTGTTGGTGATTGTAATGTATGCACTAATTTTTGGCCATATGTATATGGTTTTATTTGCTCAGCCTTTTTCTTCCATTCCTTTTGGTCAAGTGGAGTTGATGAAGTGTCCACTTCATGGCAAACATGGTTTATCTATCCTGAGAGTTCGATGATCTAATCTCATTCTGGTTTGGTTTCTAGCCTCTGCTGCTGTCATTGCTGCCTGGATATGAGTCAGCTGAAATATAGAAGTCAGGCTGGATCTCAAACGAGCTTAAACGATCATCGACAGTAGGAAGGGATCACAGAAAAGAGCAAGATCACAAAGAGACATCAAAGGCTGCAGCTTTCTGATGAATAGGATGAACCCAGATGGGATTTTACGCGTTTAGAACGAAAAAGGGGAAAAAAGAAAGTTATGAACACTCAATTTGATCACTATAACAATGGAACTTTACTGCCCCCTTCTCATTCAAATTCTAAAAAGCAAATCCAAGAACAGGGGCGAGATGGAATCCAGTCACTAAATGTATCACAATACAACCAATCAAACCAATCAATCTCTAAATACCTTCTGAGAGTCTCTCCACCCCGCCTTGCTGATCGATCTGATCCTGTGCTTTATATTGGAGGGCTGCCTGGAAATTTTAGTGTCTGTGCCAAAGACAATGAGGGTATAACAACTGACCGGGTGAATCACCCGGTCAGCTTCCGTTTGTAACTACCACCACCAACACCAAGAGGTAAGAACTGTGCAGTAACTTCGTGTTCATCCATGAGACAAAATGGATCTTTTGACCTACATCAAGTGCTACCCACCATTGGGTTAGAAAGTTCTTCATCTATGTCAGAGTATCTCCACCTGCTCTCAAGAGTCTTTAGTCTATACGGAATGCATCGCCTTGTTGCCTCAGCGTTCCAACTATTACTGAAGGAAATATGATCATGAAGGCCATGAACAAGGTGAACTGCAGATAAATGACAAGTTAGGATTCTGATGGTACGAGTGAGAAGATATGACAAGGAACAAACGTTTTAGGGGCATCTGAGATTTGTACCAGAAGAGGAATTGTCAAGAAACTCCATATTGGCCACAAAGCGACGCAGAACCTACACGAAAGAGGTTTTGGAAAACAGGATGAGTGGTCTGATGGTAACAAGTAAGACTCAATTAAAGAGAATTATGATCATATTTGATATTTTCTTACAAGCAGAAGGAGATGAGGCCCAATACAGTTACCCATGGTAACGCAGATAAACTTGACAATTCCCATTTCTCATCAAATCTTCTATCGCTCCAAGAGAACAAACTTGTGTACAAAAATATGAGTACATTGAAACCAACACCCCCCATCCCGAAGTACAAAGGCACTCTGCACAAAATTTCAGCAATGTCAGATACCATAAGGGAGCTTTCAACTTGGGAGCATCAAATTGTTCTCATATTCTGGTCACATGGCCAGCAACTTACACTAATAACTGATACAGAAAGATTAACAACTGGTTCTAGAAATGAAAAAGGGATGTATGTATCAATCACATAAAATCTAGGTTTAGATATGGGGTATGTGAAATACACTTTTCAAGACATGTCCAACATGGTAAGACCAAGTGACATCATCACCTTACTAGAGGCGCTTATGGCAAGCAGCTAGACAAAACCCTTTACTAGTGTGACTTATCGGAGGACCTTATTTGAAGTGACTGAAAGGCTAAATCCAATGCCACTCATATGTTCAATATTTCCATGCGAATAGCCCCCCACATGTGAGAATAATAAAGTCTCGCAGCACACTGCAGCTTGTCTTTCACTTTACAAAGTAAAACCTAAATATGAATTTAGAACACTAGCATCAAGCTAACAATAGAGAGTCAAAAGCAGGAAAAGCTTGCATTCAGCGACCAACTTGATTACCAATTTAATGTACAAACTTCAAGGTGTTACAGCTGGTAATCAACTGAGGTTAAAGTCACCAAAATGAGAATATGATACGACAGAAAGAAACTATGGTGAATAGCCGATATATCATAAAATCATCCAAATAGCACACTGGAAACAAAGCCTTAACAGCAGATAACTTCTGCATTTGATCCCTCTAGACAGTCCAGTTGATAACTTGACTAATATAGAAATAAAGATCATCACTAAGGTTGGCCAAACAAAGCAAGTTAACAGAATAAGACAGGAAAGGATAATAATCACTCAGCATCTCAATCATGCAACAGAGTGGCTGGATTCCCTTTGCCAGTCCTTTTGAATCCTATAGTTGAGATCACTGGAATGAGGCAAAAACCTATGCACTTGACTACTCTTAATTCTCTTTTTCATTATGTAACGTGTTCCATAGATTATTGGACAAGTCCACTCTCCAGATTGATAACTCGAATATTATACGTGTGAGCCATATGCACGAGCTAGTGTAACAGCTAGCAGAATTACATCACCACACAAGCACAGGTGTGATAGATGGTTAAATTGGAATTGGAATCCATTCTACCCAAAATCAAGTTTATCAAAAGAAACAGCACACATTATCAGCAATTTCAATAAAAAAAGAATAACCAAGAGTTCTTGGGATCATTCATAGTTTCATACACAGAAATACAACGCACCCATAACTATAGAAACTATTCTCTTAGATATCCACCAACCATTCTAACTGTCTTTGCTATCAACGCAAGTTCAATATTTGAGCAAACACCAACTACCACACATGATATCAAACCGTGACTAGAGAATCAGAACAAACTGAGCTGCTTACCTTCTTATTCTACCATCGTGCCACAGTAGATATATCAAATTGGAATATCTGTCACCATAGTAAACGATGAAAATGGCTGAAGCAATCCAAAGCAAATTCTCCAAAATCTCTACCCAAGACCTGACCCGTGGAGGAGTGGGAGAGAAGTGCTGTTGTGGTCTTGAGCAAGCATCATCCTCCAAATCATCACCACTCGATCCATACCCTCCTTGGCTAAGTCTCTGCCTCACATTTCCACCTCTCGGCGTCCCACCAGACATTCTCCCCACTCTGAAAACCTCCCTCCCCAAGATCAGTAGAAATCCAACCCCAAAATCAAAATCCGAATTAAACCCTCTTCCTCAAGTCCCAAAACCCACCACGGAAACCCACTCCCAGCGCAATCAATAACGCATCACTCCATAAGAGAATGAAACGGAGGAGAGGAAATTATTCAGCTGCTACATCTAATAGTGGGAAATGAACTGCCGTGCCGGTACGCACTTCAACAGAGTCCACACACTACCATCCAATGATTGCAAAAATAAATCAAAAACCCCGCAAGAGAAATCGAATTCCTCCGCAGCTCAGAAATTGAAGGTCGCTATCGAACGAGGCAAAAAGGAAGAAACGGGGGAAATCTCAAGACAAACCCATCACGATCGCCCACATGCTCCTGCTCCTCGAATACCCACCAAGTTAAACCAATTGGAGAAAAGTGAAAGAAACCCCCCGGCAATTTCCGAATTGGGGGTTTCCGCCGGGGAATAGGACGAACCTCCCGCGAAAGGACTCCTGAGACTGCAACTCCCTCCTTTTGGATTTTTCTTCCAAGTATCTGTATCCCGTTCGGCCAGCAATGCCCAGGAAGCAAAGACGGCGAACGGGGGAGAGCTCAGAAGGAGCTGGAAATGGCGACGAAGGGTGGAATTTGGGCAGGATGGGCGTGAAGAAGACTAACAGTTGGATTTGTATTTCTTCTTCTTCTCTCTGCGCTTGTTGTGGCGTGGCGTGGCGTGGGTGTGAGATAGCAGTAGTGTGACGAAAGGGATCTGTTGTTTAACGGAAACTGGGAGAGGAAATTTTGCATATTTTTTTATTTTTTTTTCTCACAAAATGGAAATTCCAGCTGAAAATAGGGTCAATTACCGAAATGGTCACTAAATTTCTAGGTTATTTGAGAATGAGTCATTAACTTTGTTTTAACCGACTATGTCGCTGAAATTGTGAATAAATAATTTATAACAATGATCTACTCATTTTTATCAAATACTTCATCAAAATTGTTCAAATATAAGTGTCAAATTCCAAACTTAATAAAGACAACAGTCTACCAGTCAACTAAGGTTGAGTCGAGTTCTCCATCCTAATATCGGATTACATTGACGCACTTGATAGTAAATCAAAGATATTAAAAGGCCTAACTCCAGCCAATCATGTTACACTAGAATAACCCTAGTCCCCTAGTTCATTCCACTACTCATTCTAACTCCAACCACTTACTAATCTATAAAATTTAGACGGGATTTTTTTTTACAATAATGAACAATAAAACAACTACTTTATTAGTTACTCCAAACTCGAGCGACAGATTCGTTACAGATCAATATTTGGTGACTAAATTATTATGACTCCAAAATTTAATTGTTGTTACTTGTTAACTTAAGTGGATGAGAATCTTATACAATAAAAGTTGTAGATTTTGTCTCATATTTTGGGTACAGCTCACTATTGAGTACAAAACTTTTTAGTGCTATAATAAGTTAATAATTGAATTTTATTAATTTTAAATCCCTTCTAATCAAATCCCTTTCCGCCCCGTTTTGTCATATTGGTCATACGCTAGTGCTTTGATTACACTAATCTTTCGCCGATAACTTCCATCGACAGAAATGTATAATTTCTGTTTTCGTACGATTAGGGTTTTGATGGGTTGTTAATCAAGTAATTAATAAATTGATTAGCCTGTTGATTAAGTTACGACCAAATGTTCATTTCGTGTGGGTGTTGCATTTGAGGCGAATGTGTGTGTCCACATGATATGATGTGATTTATTTTATTTTATAGGGGGTGGGACATATTTATTCAATAAAATTGAGGATGGCAACTTCCATAATCTTTTCAAGTTCATCTTACGATTGTGATCATATACACGGTAATCCCCCAATCAGAACGGATAGAACTACTGATGGTGTTTTTCAATAATACGATCTAACCTCGTGCATATTGAGGCCCCACGAATTCAACCAACATGAAAGAAAGTGATTTATTGACAAATTCATATAATAGACTTGACATAAGATAAGGGTGTCGATAACGTTTTTCATCAGCATGTTATGATTTCCCTTTTCTTGGTGATGAATGTAAACTAAACGTATAATTTCAGTGACCTCTGGTGTAATTTACCCTGGTGGAATTGTACCACTAAAACAAAACGTAGCTTTTAGGTTATCTAGGAGGCGGGAAATTCTTAGTGGGAAGCTCGGTGAACCCAGAAAGAAAGGGGAAATCATCATATCTGAGCAATGATTGTGCCCTAGTTTGCCCTATTAAGGAAATGAATTTCCCACTCTCTTTTCCAATAAAAACTACAGTTGGTTTCCAGCTCAATCCTTTTTCAGCGTGAAAGGGCCTCTTCCATGTTGGATGACCACAAACCCTAGACTCAAAAAGGCAAAACATTAAAGAGTGGAATCCTGTGAAGATGATGGAAGGAAGGCAAAGTTTGGTATCTAAGTTGCAGGCTGTTGAAACTTGGAATTTTGGTAGATAAGAGAAAAAAAGCCTGAAAATTCCTCTGTTCTAGGGAGGGTTCATGTTCAAGTTCAGGGGCACATGGCTCTCTTTTTCAGTTTCTCTTTTATGGGTTCTTGGCTTCAAGATTTAGTCATCTGGATATGTAGCAGTAGCAGAGTCTTCTGCAAGCACAGATTATAATGGAGACCACTGCAATTCAGTAACCAAGTAGAATGATTTAGAAAAGACTATATATTGATGAGATTAAGGGTAATGTTGATGTACAAAACTTGCCTATGCTACATAACTACGGCATTGCAGACGAAATTTACACAGGATACCTATATGACAAACACCATGTTAATGGCCTCCACCACCTCTTGCTCCACTGCACAAACTGACCAAGTCCATCAGGTTTGAATACAACACATCCAAGGTAAGATACCCCAAGAACTTCCGGTGATCGGACGATCCATCTACATCGGCATCAGCATAGAGTTTCCTCTCTTCTGCAAAACTTTCATCCATGACCAACCACCAAGATATGCATCCCTGTGTGTCTTCCGGGTCTACTTGGGCGACCTGGCCGAGCATTTCGCCTTGATCCAACTCAAAAGACAAGCATAAGAAATCCCGAGTTGCCTTAGTTCCCACCCCGAGAGCTTCCTCGTGCAGCCAGCGGATTACCTGGCTTGCAACCTGACGAGGTTGAAGAGACACATTAGAAAGATGAAGAGTGTTTGTTTTCTTTTTTTGGTAGAAAAGAGTGTTTGTTTTCACTATAAATTGGGTCATTTTAAGAAAAAGATGAACATAACTTTAATACAAACACATGGCTTACCTGCTGCAGAATTGTGACAGGAAGATCGACCAAATCGCAATCATACTTTTTGGTCATGCATCTATCTTTAGAACTCCCATCGAAGAGACCAACAACATTGGGAGCACCCTCTGCTTCAATGTGGATGTGATCATCATTCACCATAACCTTGTTTCGAAACTCAGATTTAATAACAGTACTCTTCATGTTTTGGATGTCTGAGGACTGTGATGGAGAATTTGCATAGAGAATGGTTGGCGGTACTCTCATTAAGATCGTCCATAAAGATGTCCTGGAATGCCAAGTGGGATGAGATATCAAATGGAGATACGGGACTCTGCAAACCTGGGTGGGCAAACAGCAAAATATTATTATTTTTACAAAAGGGCACAAGCTGTTTAAGACATCAATAAGTAGCATGAAATCATCAATCAATCTAGAAAGGTACCACTTTTTCTAGCTCCATAAGAACTTTGTTTGAAAGTGTTCTATGAGCCAGAGATAAGTAGAAGTGACTGAGAAGACTGGGCTCATCCTTCAGTCGGGGAGTATGTACGCGAGTGCCTGTACAAACGGGTTTCTCCTTTGCTTTCATGAGAACATTCTCGTGAAATATCTGGCGGAGGTATATTTCATAAGTAGTAGAATTGGGAAAACCCAAGTGCTTTGGAATGTTTCATCTTCAGCTGAACCCAGATGTTACAGATTCAAATCCTGGGGGATCCTACCAATAAAAGCTGTTGATTCATCCTGGACCACAAGGTGAAAAAGATACAAACACAGAGGTTTCTGGACCAATGCTCAGCGGTAGATAGTTTTCTCGAATTCCAGTTATGTTGACTCCTAAAGATTGGTTAACTGCTTCACGGTTCACTATATCAAATACCTGAAACCATAATAACAATGAAGAAAGTAAGAATGTAAGAAGTAAAGGGACCCATCACCACAAAACACAATTGAGAAACAGAGATACTCGACCTGCTTGTCAAAGATCGCTTGATGAACTTCACGGAGCAGGGAATGTGTTCCTTTCACACTTCCATTGCCGTCAACAGAATCTTTCTCGGTTCCTTTTGATATATGCTCAATTGACGAATTGGTTCTGATTTTACTGGCTGTCTTACTACGATCTTTATTGGAGTCTAAACCTAGAAAACCAAAGTGAAGTGAATGAAGAGCCTTTTGAGGCAAATTTATTGCAAGCATGCCAGCTGGGTCGTGTTCAATTCGAATTGTACAAAGAGAGGTCAGCCGAACAGCTGCTGGGTCATATAATGAGTTGTCATACAGGTCAAACGCGAACCAGGGGCAAGTGCAGCTAGTCTCTGGCGTTTAACTTTCCAGTTCTGCTGTTAGCTGGTCAGTACATCTTTTATGTACATACACGCGTACCTAACAAGGGTATCAGGAACCTATATATTACTAACAAGTTTGATTGAAAAACAGACTTCATAAGTTATGTCGCCAGCAGGATGCTCTCTGGTCATCTTAGTAACTCAATGAGGTAGAATTAACAATGCACATATCTTCCGATAAACAAAAAAAAAACGATGCACATATCACAAACCTGATTAAAGCACCATAAAATCTTGCTTCTCTTGCCACTTGCAGATCCAAAGCTTTGGCAGACTGCTTCAGGCATTTGCCAAGTTGCTGGAAATGAAATGAACTGTAACATCAGCAACTGATGTCAAGAAAATGATGGAGCAAAGGTCGGGTGGACAAAGTACATACCCGGTAGCATCGTAGCTTGGTTGCAGTAGATACAGCAAGAGACAGGCAGCTGGTCATCAGGTAGTTTTGGCTTATTCATACAAGCAACTGTTACAGCATCATTAGCTTCCACCTACACATAAACCAAAAGGAAAATTCACCGACTTTAGCTTCACCCCATTCTTATAGTTCCACATTCAGCATTCAAATTCCACTGTTAATCCCCATTGCTTCTCTCAATTTGCAAACCAAAATTCTACCATTCACTCAATTCCCATAGCAAAACTTGGGAACCCTGACATTGACAAACTCTAGTTCTGCCCTACCCTAACCCAACTTCCACTAACATGCACAATCGATTATGAAGGGAATGAGAGAGCGAGGGAGACTCACAAATTTCCAGTTTTGTCAGTCGAGAGAAGAGCAGAAGCTGTAATCTAAGTAGCGCACGGCCAGTAGGTCAACAGGCACAGCTTTCAGTTCCTCTCCTCCGCCCACGCTATCGAGCGTATATTATGATTTAAGGAAAGGAAGAAGAAGAAGAAGAAGAAAGGCGTACGTATGGAAGCGTTCGGTGCCATTTTGCTCGATGGCCTCCAGCCGCTTGACGGGGAGCTTGTCGATCGAGATTTCTGACTTTCCGTCCATTTTCCCCCCTATTGTGAGAGTTGAGATTTTCTGGGAAATTTTCTCTTGGGAAGAGATTCAGGGAGGGAAAAGCTTTTGCGGTCGGGTATTTGGGTTTCCAGCCGTGAGCGTTTTTTTTTAGTGGGCCGATTAGTTCTGGCCTGGTTGAATACGGGCTCAAAGGCCCAAAATATAAACCTCCATTACCAACAAGTAATGGTATATTAGATCCATATATATATACTCAAGTACTCAACAATTGAATACTCATGGCTAATAGGAACAGATCAGGTCAGTAATCTTATGATGAGTAATGTTGAATAACTCGTACACATCAGCATGACATCAGCACCTCTCTCATGGAAAGTCTTTAATTTTCCTCTCTTTAATCTTTGACGGGCGATTTTTCATTCGTTTTAAGTCGAAATTTAATTTTTTTTACACAGTTAGATCAGATTAATTGTGCTCTTCAAAATGATATCCACTTTGATATATTTTTCGAACAAAAAAAAACTGAGCCATTTTTCACCAGTCTATACCATATGGTATTGACTGGTATTGAAATAAGAGCATACCTATGGTTTGAAAAACGTACCATGGTGGTATGAACAAACCAAGACTGTAGGATGGTTGAATACATGATAGGGTGGTATTGTATGGTATTGTGTGGTATTTTTTGGTTATGTAATTTGTTCCCCTAGAAATTTGTAGGTCCAATAGATCATGATGAACTCGTCCTTTCTGTGTAAACGTTTTAAAAAACGAAGAAAATACCATATGGTATGCAGTTGGTACCGAGAGGCCATAATTTTTTGTTCTAAAAAAATATTGAAAATTGATCTCATTTTGTAGAGCACGATGAACTCGTTCCACCTGTGAAAAAAAATTAAAATCCGAGTTAAAACCAAAAAGATATGAGCCGATTAAGAAAGCTAGGTAAAATAAAAATGGTCTTTAATTATCCATCCTTAGATCTGGATTTTCTAAATGAAGGGTCCAGATTTGGTTATTGATGAATGCATAATCCATTATTATTGATGAATGCAAAACGGAAATTTAACGTGGATCCGATCCGATGAGATAAGACGAGAGCCAAGGTTGAAAGCAGAGCATAGCATCGCCATGGCCGCAATGAAGGATCATTGCTTAATGCTTCGGTCAGCCTTGTAAGGAAGTGGTTAAGTACCATACACGGACCTATATAAGATCCAGCATAACCTTCTACCAAGAACTCGAGTTATTGGGACCAACTGATTTATGACATGGTATCAGAGTTGGTTTGTCCTTGAGGTCACGTGTTCAAGTCCTCACAACCCCAATATTAACTGTTGTCTTCAAGCACATGGTATGGCGGGTCTGTGCAAACTTCAAGCTCATGGGTCGGCTTTCGTTTAAGGGTGCGTGTAAAAAAGTGATTAAGTACCATACACGGACCTATATAAGATTCAGCATAACCTTTTACCAACAACTCGAGTTATCCCAACTGGTTTATGACAAGTCTCGGCCATTAATAGAGATACTTGAACCGATTATTAAACTCTCCGATTCCGATTCTTACCCCTCCCTCTTCACTTAGTAACTCTGCCTCTCTCCAACATCCGTTTTGCCCCCTATATGTATATATATACACCACCCTTACAACACTCTACAACCACCATCTCTAGCCATCTTCCTCAGCCCGTTTCTTCCATCACACTCGTTCGATCAAGAGTTTCGAGATTGGAAAAGCAGAGGAGAGTTACAATGGGCATGGGAATGGAGGACAACCCTCTGCAGCTCAAGTCGTTGAATCACATCTCCCTCGTCTGTCGATCCGTCGGGAAATCCCTGGATTTCTACCAACACGTTCTTGGATTCTTCCCCATCCGCCGCCCTGGCTCCTTCGACTTCGATGGCGCCTGGTACGTTAAACTTCTTTCACCCGTGATTAGAGACTTTGGAAGAAGAAAAACAGAGGACTCTGTTTTGATTTTGGGTCTCTGTTTTTCTGCAGGCTGTATGGTTACGGAATCGGAATCCATTTGCTCCAGTCCGAAGACCCAGAAATCATGCCGAAAATCTGTGAAATCAACCCTAAGGACAACCACATCTCCTTCCAAGTTCGCAACCCAACTCCCCCAATTCCCCAATTCGTGCAAATTTGGCGGTTTCTTATTTTTTTGTGATAATTTTGTGCAGTGCGAGAGCATGATGACGGTGGAGAAGAAGCTAATGGAGATGGAGATAGAGTACGTGAAAGGCAGGGTAGAAGAAGGAGGAATCTACGTCGATCAGATATTCTTCCACGACCCAAATGGGTCCATGATCGAAATTTGCAACTGCGATAATCTCCCTGTTGTCCCGCTTGCAGGAGAGACCATTCGTTCATGCTCTCTCATCAACTGCACCATCCAGCAGCAGAAGCAGGAACAGAGCTTGCTGAACCAGCTCTGCAATTGAATATTCGATTCAACCCCTCCCTGCTTGCTAATGTAATGTTTGTTGTAGTATTGTAAAATTTGTCTCGGTGTCTGTACTTTGTTGACAAACAGTTTTCCACCCTTAAGCTGATGGGATGATACAGGCAGATTTAAGGTTCCAAATTGAATAATTGTATCGATGGGACTTCTGGGTAATTGAGATAATGAGCTTTTAGTCGAATCCTGGGCGAAAAGATTTCATCTTTACGAAGCAGAAGGCACGAGAAGTCGAGAAGTAGGCGAGAGAGGGGAAAGACAATTATTGAGGGCTTCATTTGTTGTATTTTGAGCTCCATTTTTGTCCTGGGCATTTCCTCAAACACTCGGTGGGCGGGTCTTACTTGACTACTGCTCCTTTACGTACCTTCCATCTCTCGGTCTGCTTTCTTTGCCAGTTTCGGAAACCTGCTGCCTTAACTCAATTCGCTATCATATCCCACGAATGGCGAGATACAGAGGGCCGTGTCATTGTGACTAGACTTTGCTTAACCATATACCCACACAACTGATAGTTACAATCCCATGGGAGTCATTACTGATCAGTGATCAAGTAAACTCAGGTATTCTATTAGGGTTGTCAAGAGCCAGTGTTTCTGTTGTTGCTGCATGATGGTGAAGAAAGATGAAGAACAGGGGAGGTGATACCGAGACCAAAAAATAAAGTGCAACTCTATGCATGGTTGAGTGGCTGAGTAAAGTGTACTAAAACAATTGGGAAAGTGAATCGAGGTGAACTTAGGTAGACATGATTAAAAGTGGGTTTGGTTAGTGATCAAGCTCTTTAAACTTTTCTCTTGTTGTTGTGGTTCGAGACAACGTGAAAGTAAGGAATTAGATTGTGTAGCAAATAGAAATGTAAAATTACGATAATTTTTTCTCGATTGATTAATCTGGGTTTTGAAGCAGTAGTTCAAAATTGTTGTCACTTTTCAATGTTTGTTCAACACATGCATAATACACATTCATAACGTCATATCAAATATTGAAAATATAGGGTAGGTGTTGTAGGTACTACAAGAAGTCCTGTCACTATTTTGAATGCAATAATATACAAAAAGCTCAATCTTCGGTCTCATAAGTCTACATCTAGGAGTTTTCACAATGGTAGAATTTGATTTAATTCGATATGTCAGTGAAATAGAACATAGAGATTGAAAGAATAATTGAAACCTCATTGAAAACGTGCTTGATCAGGTATGTACCAGTTTAGTGGCAAGCTATTGATACAATATACATATCCGAATCTCTTACAGAAACTTGAGTCATTGTGACGAATTGATTGTTCAACATATGGTAATTAACCCTTTATAACCCGAAATATCTCGTATTCGAATCTTCCCTCTCAATATTACCAGTTGATCAAAACAGCTATGCAATGTCCAACCTATGTCTAACCCATGATGTGATACTTCCCTACCCAATAATGACCATAAACATCCATGCCATATCTAGTAGTGGTCCTAGTGGAGAGCTAAGTAATCATCCAAAAAGGGTACTAGAAAGCTAAAGCAAAACCTAATTAACACATCTTTTCCCTACTTTGCTATTGTTGTAAGAAGCCTAACTCAGCATTAACCTAATAATCCCCAACTCAAGTGACTCATCAAGTGGATAACCCAACCAACGAAAACAAGAAGCCGCATACATACAAAAATTATCTCATAACACATTAGTTTATGCAAGTCGGTCGTCGTCTACCTTTCCTTTTCATGCATAAAAAAAGCAAAAGAACCATGTTTCATAAGCACAGCAAATGGACAACAATGGTGGCGGGGTCGAAAGCTGGAGTTCTAGTGTCGTTTCTTTTGGACAGGGAATATACATAGGTCGACTGGCCAATATAATGAAGTGGGTAGTGAGTAGTGACAACTGAGAAGTCTAATCCTCAAATTTCTAAATATTTGTGAAATCGTATCATACATCAATTTGATCGGGAAAAAATCTTTGTGGGAGTCTAAATTGGTAGACAATTTTCAATCATATGAAATGATTAAATTAGGGTTAAATAACGGATTTAACAGAAAATGTCCTATTAATGACTTTTTCGATATAATATTTGTTATAAATTCTGAAATTAACTTTTGCTTTTAGACCGGTTATATTACGGTATGGACCGAATTGTTGCACACTTCCAATGCCCAGGATAGGAACAACAAAGCCCATTAACAGCTGCACCTCCGGTTTTGGTTCCATTTATACTATGTGTCCATCTCTCAAAGCCTAGTGACTAGAGTAGTCAGGCCCTTTCTAAGATTGGGGTTTACAGGTTGCTCTTCCCATTAGAAATGTTTCTGTGATTTACAAGTATAAAATCGTAAATTTTGAAAACATAAATTTTGACTATACTTTTAAGTAAAAAGTGTCATTCCACGTAGAAGTGTTTTCATGACTAACAAAATAAAAACGTAAACTTTTTATGTGTTAAAGCACGATTTTGAGTTGTAGTACATTCATAATTGATCATAGCCTTAGGCGAGGACTGATTTTGTATTTTTGTTTGCTACCCATCCACATTTCCAAACCCCAAAAATTGATGGCGGGAGCCTGGAGGGCAGGGGAATCTGGGGTTAAATGGGCCTCTCTTGTCCGTTAATTGCCGGGCCTCCCTTGTCGGGGCCCAGAATGGGCTTAGGCCCAGTCTAGAAAAAATCGAAAACGCCAACAAGCACGGCAGTCCATACACGTGTCTGCTTCTGTTGAACTACTCCGAAACTAAGTCGGTCAATTCAGCTCGTATAAATCGAAACCCCAATCACGCCTTCTTCATCCACAGTTCATTCCAAACAATCCGAAATCTCTCTAATCAGTCAGAGACCTTCGATCCCAAGTTTTCGTCCCAGCTTCTTAAAGGTAACGAATCCTCTCTTTCGATCTTCTCTCGTTCCTCTTCTTGCTGTTTTGTTAGCCTTCCCTGTTCCATAAAATCAAATTGCGAATCGGATTTTCTTGGCTCTGGGAATTGGGGTTCCCTCGCTCTTGTTATTTCGATTGCCATGCTTGAATCTTTGATATCTCCCGTTGGTGAATCGGAAGCAGGAGTTTCCTGTATCTAGGGTTTCAGTGATCTGGTTAGATTTCGATTGTGATTTGCGCTGTTTGATTTCTGGACTGAATTTTGGTCATGCGAATTAGGGTTCGTTGTTCTGTAACTTCGATTGCCTATGGGGGTTTCTTGGCTCTGGGAATTTAGTCAGGCCTTCGATGTTTGGATGGGAGACTGCAATTTTACGTAGCTAGGGTTTCAGTGATCTGGTTATAATTTCTGTTATGATTTGCGCTGTATTGATCTCTGGAATGAATATCTGTTCTGGGAATTGGGTTTTGTTATTCTGTGAACTTTGGTTCGTTTGATCTTGCTATGTCTGTTGCCATTGCCATGTTTGAATCTTTTGATCTCCCAGTGTTAGGTCGGGGGGCTAGGCTGGGATTTTTATTTGTACCCTATGTTTCGTTGATCTGGTTAGATTCTGATCAGGGTTGTTGGCTTGGTTTTCCTTGGTTGCGATTTTACAGATGCAGATCTTTGTCAAGACCTTGACTGGAAAGACGATCACTCTCGAGGTTGAGAGCAGCGACACCATCGACAATGTCAAGGCGAAGATCCAGGACAAGGAAGGTATTCCCCCAGATCAGCAGAGGCTGATCTTTGCCGGAAAACAGCTCGAGGACGGGAGGACTTTGGCCGACTACAACATCCAAAAGGAGTCGACCCTTCACCTGGTTCTCCGTCTAAGGGGAGGTATGCAGATCTTTGTGAAAACCTTGACTGGAAAGACGATCACTCTCGAGGTTGAGAGCAGTGACACCATTGACAATGTCAAAGCGAAGATCCAGGACAAGGAAGGTATTCCCCCAGATCAGCAGAGGCTGATTTTTGCCGGCAAACAGCTTGAGGATGGAAGGACCTTGGCCGACTACAACATCCAAAAAGAGTCGACCCTTCACCTGGTTCTCCGTCTCAGGGGAGGTATGCAGATCTTCGTGAAGACCTTGACTGGCAAGACAATTACTTTGGAGGTCGAGAGCAGCGACACCATTGATAATGTCAAGGCAAAGATCCAGGACAAGGAAGGGATTCCCCCAGATCAGCAGAGGCTGATCTTTGCTGGAAAGCAGCTTGAGGATGGGAGGACGTTGGCTGATTACAACATCCAAAAGGAGTCAACCCTTCACCTGGTTCTCCGTCTGAGGGGAGGCATGCAGATCTTTGTGAAGACCCTGACCGGCAAAACCATAACCCTCGAGGTGGAGAGCAGCGACACCATTGATAACGTCAAGGCTAAGATCCAGGACAAGGAAGGTATTCCCCCAGATCAGCAGAGGCTGATCTTCGCTGGAAAACAGCTCGAGGATGGGAGGACTTTAGCTGATTACAACATTCAGAAGGAGTCCACTCTCCATCTTGTCCTTCGTCTGAGGGGAGGTATGCAGATCTTTGTGAAGACTTTGACTGGGAAGACCATCACCCTGGAGGTGGAGAGCAGTGATACCATCGACAATGTCAAGGCCAAGATCCAGGACAAGGAAGGCATCCCACCGGACCAGCAGAGGCTGATCTTTGCAGGGAAGCAGTTGGAAGATGGAAGGACCCTGGCGGACTACAATATCCAGAAGGAGTCTACCCTCCACCTTGTCCTGCGTCTCCGCGGCGGCTTCTAAGGGTGTTGAGATTTCTAAGACTGTTTTAAGTATTCTGGTTTCGATGGATTGGTTGGATCCAAGGATTATGTTCTGTTCCTGTTTTCAAGTACTATGCTTGGCCATGGTGATGGCCTTCTAACTATGATGTCTGCTGGTTTTGCTTTTCTTTGAATAATGACTGATTCCCTCTTCGATCTCTTTGTCACATTTGTTGGCCTGCCATTTTATTGCACTGGAATGGATGTAAACTAAGCTTTCTCGGCTGCAGGGGAAAGCAATTCCGCCAAACCCAGCGGGAATACATTTTCCCTTCCCTAATCCCTTCCGTCTCTAACTTATTCACCATTATTAACAAGCTAGCGTTCAAATTAAAATCACTCCCCTGAAACTCTTCTAAACCAGACGAGCCGTCGGCCAGGGGAAAATGGAACCCAAATCCTCAGGGGCGGGCGCAGACACAGGAGGCTCCGGCTCCGGCCACGGCATGTCACCGCAGCCGTTCTCAGGGGCAGGGGCCACGGCAGGCTCTGGTTCCGGCCACGGCATGTCTCCGCCGGCGTTTTCAGGGGCAGGCGCCACCGCAGGCTCCGGCTCCGGCCACGGCATGTCGCCGCCGCCGTTTTCAGGGGCAGGGGCCACAGGAGGCTCCACGGCAAGTCCCCGCCGTCCTCCGGCGGCGCAGAACCGACGATTGCCTCGCAGAAAACCTCGATCAGGGTAATTACGGAGCTGTTCTGGAAAATCTCGACTTGGCAGTCCCCCGTGAGCGACAAAAACGCCGCGCAGCAGGGGACGCCGACGCCGACCTCGATGGACCCGCCGATGGAGATGAAAGCGTCGATGATGCTGAAGAGGCAGTTGGGGATTTCGTAGATTTCCTTCCAGCACCCCGCCGCCACTTCCGGCTGCAGCCTCTCCGCCCGCCCGATTGCGGCGGAGCCGGTTAGAACCAGGAACAGAGTGAGGAAGCAAGCCGATGACGGTGATGATTTCGGCGCCATTTTGATCATCTAATGGAGGAAAGAATTGTGAGAGATTTGGCGAGGTGGGTTGGAGGAATTTATATGACATGCGAAGAGTGATCTGAAGAAGAGTGTAGCAACGGTGGAGAATCGATCATTTGGTGGGGTTTCCTTAGACGGCCGGATATGTTTCCCGGCGAGATTGGCATGAATCTTGGTGGGGGTGTCGCATAAGGAACGTTTCATCATGTGATTCTTTCATTTTGGTACCCTATAAATGTGATTCTTTTCACTTTTTGAGGTATGGTTAGTACCTAGAAACGTTCATAAGATAAAATTATGAGATTTCATTGCTTTCCAGGGAATGGGAAGTAGTCTATATTGTAGATCTTTACTTGATTAGGCACTAATCCTGTTTCCTCAGAACTTGGAAAGATACCAACTTTGAAGATTTTGTACTTAGATTTTAGTGTTCTCGACATTGGTTCGGTAGTCTCTCCTTCCTAATCAAAAGTTTGTGGGAAAAGTTCTTAGTATTTATTAGTAGAAATAGTATCATCTTCATCTGTCACTTATCTTTCTTAGGACTCATGTGTGCGAAGGTACATATATAGACGTACATATAAGGTAATGTTTTATTCGATGGATAGCCTAGTTTGAGAATGAATAGACCAGATCGTTTGAAAAACTGTGGATCCACAGAGTTTGCTTCAAATCGTAGACTATTAAGTCTAGTCTAGTCCATAATCTATATCTATATTATAGGATGTATTGATCTCTTGGTCTGGTATGGTCCAGATCGTTGTTTATCCACTAAATTTAGACCCAACTAATTTCCCAATTTTTGTAAGCACACAACCAGTTTTTCAACTCCTTAACGAGACCCAAATCTCAACGCTAATTTTGTGAATCTCGTCCACTCCTTCATTCATAAACCACACTCCGCCATAAAGTAGAGACGATCGTGTTTCTATGTGACGTTATGTTAATGTTTATAATGTTTTGGTGCAAGTTGGGTTGCTCTAACTTTGTGTCATGATATTTACTAGGTTTTATGGTATCAAAATTATGCATGCGTATTATGTTTAAGGAAAAAAGTATTTTTTTTCTCGATTATTGGTTCGATTTTTTGTGTGGTTGATTAAGCTAACTATTTGTTGTTTTATTCAATGTGGTCCGCATGACCCAGAACGTGCCAGACCAGACTGCACCATCGTGATCTAGTCTGAACCGCTTAATATATGACTTGGTCCCTAGTCTATACTGTAACTTCTCGGAATGAACCATTGGCTTTTTAACCAAACTCAACCAAAACGCTTTTGAAATTATCCCACCTTATTATCACTAGATTCTCCAAGCTTTTGTATTGAGTGTGTATACACTCTCTATCGTTGCAATTTTATTAGACGTCCACAAAAGGACTCAATACTCGATAGACAATGATTCCAATAGTGAATTTTAATGAACATCAATCATAACGTCTTTCTATTTCCTCTACCCGAAGTTGGGATTGCATAGCTAACTAGTCTCGTATTCGAGTACTGGTATCTCCTCCATAACCTAGTTGTTTGAGCTCGCAACTATCGATACCCCTGTTAGGGTTGAGGTCTGTAGACTCTGTAAGCTCTCATGATCGATATCTCGAGCTTTATTGCCAATACCTCAAGTTTCCCATTGTAGTTACCATAGCTCTTTAAATTACGCTTATGGCTGATACCATGTACACTTAACACTTCAAAGGCCATTTCTTGTTGAAACTTACTGTAAATTGTCAGCTGGAATCCTAGAAGCACTTGGAGGAAGAAGCAAAATCCCATTCCCACGTTATGAGTTCCACAAAAGAAGAAGATAACATATGAGACAAGAACAAAAACACAAAACTTCCTTCAATTCTTGAAAAAACTTGAGCTGTCATGGCTTCAAATTTCCATAATAAGTTCATTATCTTGTCCATCGTTAATTCAACTAAGAAAGCCAAGAACCAGAACCTGCTTTCTGATTTCAGGAATGGCTGCACTGCAATTCACCTTCTTCCTGCTCCTCCTCTTCATCTCAATGGCGACCCAGATCCCACCATCAAGCTCCGAAACCGAAGCAGCAAAACAGAGTCTGGTCAAGTTCATGGAAAACCTGTCCGGCGGTTCCACTTTCCCGACCCGCCGATTCGGTTGGAACATGACCTCCGACCCCTGCAATTGGCTCGGCGTCGAATGCGACGACTCCCAATCCGTAGTTTCCATTTCCCTCTCCTGGTTCCGATTCGCCGGAACTCTGAACGCCGCCGAATCCCTCTGCACCGTCGTCAAGTCAATCACCGTCCTGAGCCTTCCCAACAACACTATTTCCGGCGGAATCCCTGACTCCTTGGGATCCTGCACAGGTTTGCGAATCCTGAATCTGGGTAACAACCGGCTGACCGGGTCGATGCCCGATTCGATTCTCCGGCTGCCCAACCTGACAGGCCTGGTGATTTCCGACAATGAAATCTCCGGCGAAGTTCCGGATGGTCGGCCCAGCCTGAGGCACTTTCTTGCGGAGAACAACCGCCTCTCGGGCCGGATTCCGGAATTCGATTTCCGGGCCATGGATTGGTTCAATGTTTCGAATAACGAATTCGGCGGGCCGATCCCTGTGGGAGCTGGTAGCAGCGGGTTTGGTGCTGATTGTTTCGCCGGCAATCCTGGGTTGTGCGGCCAGCCGGTGTCGAGTTCTTGCCCACCGCCGGCTTCGAGCTCGGCTCCATCTGCATCGCTTGGTTTGACGGGATTGGGGCTTGGGATGGTGATGGTGATGGTTTCTTGCAGCCTGGGGATTTCTCTTGTTTCTCCTCCTGTTTTTTCTTTCTGATCTTCATTTTTAATTTGATGCAAATGAATTTTCCACAACTCAATCATCTCAAATGAAGAACATCATCACCACGACTTACATCAATAATTAATCATAAAGAAGAAGAAGAAGAAGAAGAAGAAGAGAAATAATTGTTTGGGAGAAACTTTTGAGTTGTGAGTTGTGACACTATTTAGGGCTTATGTTGCATGTTATTGGCCCTTCTTTTTCTCATATAATTTAACCTTTTGCTCTTTGATTTGATTGAATGAGTACTTCTACTATGCTATATAGTATTGGTGCTTTAATGTACAACTTAAAGTTGTACCATAACATTAAATGTATAAGTTTAGGTTGTACCATAAAACAATTTGTACCATTATGTTATGGTACAACTTTACAACTTGAAGTTGTACCATCACATAAAAGTACAAGTTCAAGTTGTACCATAAAAGAATTTGTACAAAAAGTATAGGTACAATCTGAAGTTGTACCATAACGTAAATGTACAATTTTAAGTTGTACCATAAAGGCAAAATCCTATAGCACCAATACTATATAGCATTGTAAAATTTCTCTTGATTGGAATGTTTCAGGACTTTACGATGCCACAATTGCACTTTCCACCGGACCACTAGTCTCTTTTAACAAAGTGAAGGCAAGAGATAGATCAGCAAGAAGTGATAGAGTTAAAATGAGGATTCAATATCATGTCAAGAACAAATAATTGGTTTTAATCATTTAAACTATTGCGATATATTCTTGCCAACAATCAATTGACCTCGATAACTCGAGTTGCTGAGAGATGTTTAATAGTGAATGTTATACAATTCAGTGCACTCACTAATACACATGCAACTTCAAACGAAAGTCAGACAACTCACGAGGGTTTTCTTCTGCATGGGTCCTTAATAAGAGAATACCATGTAGGCATGTACTTCACAAACAGGGGGATCGCCTTGATTCGAAGTTCGAACACAAATCCTCTCGATCGCAGTAGGCTCCCATACCGTATTGAGAACTCGCTAATATGAATTGTTGAGAGATATTCGATTATAAATCTTGTACCACTCAGAGATATGGTTACGATATAGCCATCCTTGGACCACTTTTCTTTAAAACCCAATTTTGTCATGGATAGAAACTGATTAGTAAAACTAAACATCACGATTTGATTTCCTAACCAAAACAAGATATTTGATGGAACTTTCCAATTAACTCGTGACACATAGATCTGCATAATCTCATACCAAAATTCCAAAACTCCCTCAAGTCAAGATGATGCAATCAGCCGTAAGCAACCACACTAAATCAAGATTAGCACGAATTCATTAGCAATTATAGATTGATAAGACCATTATCATCATCATCACCACCACTTTCGATTGTGCAATCCTCAAAACGATATCGGCCCACCCGACTCAAAGACAAGATCGCCAGCCTCTGCATTATCACCAACCATAAGATTCCCCTCTTTTTTTTCATTTTCTTCTTCTTCGTTCATTGAGATGGCTTTTGCCTGCTCGATTATGTCGTGATCGAATTGCTCTGTTTTTATTATGCCAAGTTGGGTCATCAGTGTGTTGATGGTGAACGCCAAATCGTCGTTTTATGAAACCTTCTCTCAACTCTGACAAAACAGAGCATCAAAATGGCCGTAAACCCAATTGCATACTCTGGTGGATATTCTAGTTCAACATTGAGAAATCATCGTAATCACTTCTTCCTTGTATCCAAAAGCTTAACAATTCAAATGAAACCCCACTTAATCCAAATTTCAGTGACTCGTTTGTTCAACAATCGAAATTCAATGACCAGTTTGTCTAGTGACCCAAGACTAAGTGGATGTTTATGTAATTCACCCAGATAGAAAGTGATTAGTTGAGAAAACCCCAATTAAATTAAGTGGTTAAGACCCAACAGAAGAGGACAAAATGCAAGCTATGTGATTCAACTTTGTAATCAACCAGAATGATTCCTCCCTCCAAAAGGATCCACCCTTTTTATCCCCCTCTCCCATATCCTTTGCTAATTATTGGTTACCAGAAATTAATCACAGAAGAATCATCATAATATACTCATAATCCCAAATCAGATCAAGGGTGATCATAAAGATCAAAGAGCTCATGAATCCATAACTCAACAAACAAACAAATCATATGCTGTGAGTTCTCAGTCCAGAGATGAATAACAGAGAACTGAAAATGGCAAAGATTGAAACTTTTCATAAGCTTGATAGGATGGATCATCAATTGACGCAGGTCGATATTCAAATTCAGGATTTCTCGAAACCTCCGATTCGAAAATCAACGGCTTTACCGTGCGACTTCCATCCAGAGAAGAAAACAGAGTACTAAAATTGGCAAACATGAACCTTTTTTTTTTATATAAGCTGATAGAGTGGAACATCAATTTGACACAGCCGAGATTCAAATTCGGGATTTACGAATCCTCGAAATCGAAAATCGGCTGCTTTTACCGTCTACATATCTATGTCTTTGTACATCCACAAACCCGCTAATCCAATCCAAACCCACCATAAAGAAGACAACTTTATACGAACCCAAAAGAAAACAAACAGACCCAAGTGAAGACGAAGAAGAAGAAGAAGAAGATGATGAAGAAAGCCGTGGAATTTGGTTTTCGATGGATTCTCTGTAGTTTCAACAGATCGGATTTTGAATCCCCCTCCCCCCTTACAGCGGCAAAATTCGGACGTCTAAAATTCAGGGGAAAGTGAAATCGATCAAGAGCGCTTACTAGCCTTTCTCATCTGCCTCCGCGGCGGCTGCTGCTGCTTGCTGCGCGGGCGGCGGCCGCCGGCGGGAGGCTTGGGACTCGCGAAGATCGCACAGCAGGTGGAGACCTTGGGGGAAGGCGGATCGACGTTGGGATTCGGCGACGAGGCGACCTTCACGGACCGGTAGGCGCGCCCGCCGGCGGAGTGGCTGCGACGCATCTTGGCCGGCTCCGACGAGGGCGCGTCGGTTTTGACCCGGAGGTTCGTGGTGTCGGTGATAGCATCGGGGGAGGACGACGGATCTCCGCCGCCGGCTGCGGCGGCCGCTGCCCTTTCAGCCCTTTCGGCGTCGGCCTGGCGGCTGAATTCAGCGATGAGCTTGTCGTCCCACACAAGTCCGGAGGATCCCTGGCGGCGATACGACGTCGCGGATCTCTGAAGGCCGCCCAGCTCCATTTTTCTCCTTCCTTTTTTCTTCTTGCTCTGTTTCTGGTCTTGTGCTTTCTCTCTCTCTTCTCTGTTTCTCAGAGTAAGGGAAAGGGAAGACTTCCATTTCTATGAATTCGGTGAGATTTATATAATACGGGGAAGGAAATTTTGAAATATATAAAATGCTAAAGAATTAATTAAAACAATTAATAAAAATATTGAATTGGTCTGGAGAATTCTGTGACAAGTGAGAAAGTAGGAAAAATGTGGTCGCCAAGTTGGACTCTCATCTGCTTCTCTAGCTGTGGTAACTGCCAAATTTTTTGGGCAGTAAAAAATCCCAACAAATTCCATTTATTGATTGAGCCCTGAAGATTTCGAAGAAGGTAGATTTACCTGTTTGGTAACTGGTAGGTATCTTACTTGCCCTTCTTTTACCCTTCTTAAATACGAAATAAAATTATTCGGTTGTTTGGATGAGTTATTTCGATGATATCATATTTGTGGTTAATTGTCTGAGAACCGAGACATTTTGCATAGCAATTTCGTTTGGGAATGGAGAAATGAGATGTTTTTTCGTTTACAACGCTTCATTTGAGTCATTTTCAAATATCTAGCGAGAGCGCGGCCATTTCAAATCTTTCAAATGTATATCTTTCAAAATGTTCCTCGTTTGATTTGGGGGAGCAATATTTTCTATATGATCGAATGTAATAGGAAATTATAAAAGCTCATGATTACGTTTGTACGAGTTAACCCATCCCAATCACGTTCTGTTACGAGCTTATGTTTTTTTCATCGGTCTCATTCCGTCTCGACCTCTTCATTTGAGAGAATAATTGATGGCAATGCCAAGTACGCGCGAGACAACCGTGTTGGCGCGCTATTGTTGAGGAAATTATGCGTATGATGGCCCTGAATAGTGGTTTTTCATATTCGATTTGTAGGTCGGATTAGCAATAGGCTAACCCATCTTGTGGCTCGAAATACCCTTTCTTTGCCTTCGACCTCGTGTCGATTGTATGATTTTCGTTCCTGGGTTGATTCCATAGTGCAACCATAATACAGTCGCGGATACATAGTATCGACCAGAGTCAATCTGTTATGAATTTGGATGAAACAAAAACAGATGCTTTCTTGTCACTATGTGCTAATAATGCAACAATGAAATGCCGGCTGGTCTGATTTTTTATTGTATAACAATCTTTAACGTCTTTATTATATGGGTTTAATAGAATATAAATAATTATGCAGGACAAAAAATAATAAAAAAATTGATTGGGTTACAGAATTGACGTTTTGGTTGATTTCATTTTACTTATCTATCTTCTACTTGGTGGCTGGTTGGAAGTAATTGGACTGGTCCTTATTGAATCTTTGGCCCTTGGGCAACAGCCATTACTTTCTTCCTCATCTTCTTGGCCCCTTGAAAGCAAATGAACAACGACTTCTCAAACTGGGTTCAATAAATGTGCTTGCTTTCCTTTTACCAGCACCCACTCCTTCCCTTACCATTGTTGTAACCATATCTCGAAGTCGAAGGGACCATAACATGGCTCCGTCGCTGATCAGAAGATCGACCATCGATCATCCATCGACACAAGTACTAGTTTTGGTGACGAAATGGACCATAACTTTCGTGACGGAATTCGATCTTCGAAATTTGGATACTGATGTTCTAAGTCGAAACCCCATGTTGCTTTCAATAGTGTTACAATAATTAATTAAGCGTCCTTTTAGAGAAAACAGTATGCACCTAAAACCTAACTTTCAACTAATTAGGACAGAATGATAATGATTTTACAATGCAAAAGGCAGAGACGAGAGAGATATCATATCTAACTCTCATGAGAGCAAAAAGCTGAAGCTGGTAAAGCTGCTATATTGCCCAACCAGTTCCCATAAAAACAATGCATCCCACCTTTGTCCCTATTTAATGTCGACCATATCTGAAATCTTTGCTGCAGATCCAAATGATGGCCCAAAATGTGCAACCTTAACAGTGGGTTGTGTCAATCCTTGTTCCAACACTTCACATGGAGAACACTAAAATCAGTTAATCTACAAAAGAGAAAACAAAGAAACCATGAGGGCAAAGAGCCTAACATAATTCTCAATACAAAGGCCACCAATGGCAAAACCCCTGCATGGTTTTCACTACTAAGCCATGGCAGCAGCAGCAGCAGCAGCAGCTGAAGCTCGACACACAGAAATCAGTAGTCAAGGTTGAGGAACTGTGTTACAAAAAAGAAAAAAAGAGACCCTCTCCCAGAAGACAAAATACACTACAACTCAAATTCTCATTCTTCATCATCATTGCCCTACAAAAATTATAGAACACCCCACAAACTTTCCTTCACCTCAGTTGCTGCTACCGTTGGCGTACTCTACAACAGAAATCAGCTTCTTCTTTTCCTTCAGAATCTCATTCAGAGGCTTCGGTCCATCAAAATTCGCAGTCTCCATTACACCCAAATCATCGTCATCTCTGTCCTCGTTGTGATACCCGTTTCTCTCAACAACCCTTTTCTTCTCTTCTCTTATCTGAGCAAGGCTCTTTGGCCCAGAAAATTCGCCAGACACCTCAACTGACCTCTCCCTTCGAACTGGCTTCCTCCTGACCTCTGACGGTACAGAAGCCCTCTCGGACTGTACAAAAGGTGGCAGCTGCCTTCTCGGTGCTCCCCTTCTTTCCCTGTGATGTAGCCTCGGTGGCCTATCATATGGAGAGTGCCTTGAATGTAATCCATAATCACTGTCATTCCTTCTTCCGACCTCAGATGCCAATCTCCCACGTAGCCTTTCACTCAGTCCGTGCTCATACGGTCTTTCATGGCTCCTGTGCCTCCGCGGAAGTGATTCTTCATGGTGCCGCCTTCTCATCGATCTCTCCAACGGTGGCTCGCCATTGTCTATTGCCTGGCGTTTCCTCAGGTGGTCCCGGAGATCCACGTCTCGACTCTCACGGAATCCCAATCGCCTCTCATACCCGACTTGCCGTTCTTCAAACTCATACTCCATAAATGGATGATTCCTATCGAGCTCTCTCTGTTCTTCCCTGTTGAGGGACACCATGTACTCCTGCTCATCCTTGTAGCATAGATTTTGATCTTCCTCTTCATCATTATCTACCAGAACATCGAAACCGGGAGATGATTCCCACCGTTCCTCTGGTTCTACGCGGCCGTCAATATGATCTTCTGAGTTCTGATCAGCAGCATCCATGTATGACCCAGCCTCGTTGTAACTTTCTGATGGCAAGACGGTATCAAAAGACTCTAGAACAACAGCTGAATCAACTTGGGGCGTCTCAATTTGAAGAGAGGAACTCTTTTGTACCACATCTTTAGGGACAGATGGTTTCTGAGATGTTGTTTGGGGAAGACTTGTCTTCATCTTGGAGGTCGGGACAGATACCGTTTTAGTTCCCGACAGAGTCTTGTTATTGCTGTCGGCAGGATGAACAGCCATGTTGTTGGTGGGATGTGGTTGCTTCAGAGTCTTTGCAGTGGGGACAGTGCTGACATCAGGAGCATGGGAAAATGTGCATTTCTCGCCTTTGCCGCAGTAGCCTTGGAAGTGGAAGTAACAAGGTACAGAGGTCTTGTTTGACGGTTGAGGAGGCTGACCTGAAGCTGGACCGGATTCTGAAGAAGCTTCAGCTGGCTTTTCTAGAGGCTGTTGACAGTTGAGATGATGATATTATCAGATGAATATGAAGTTGAAAAACAGAATCAAATTGAGTGGTCAAAAATCTACATATACATCCTATAACTCATTGGAGATTCCAAACACATAATGGAATAGACAAAAAGTAGGTGGAAAAGAAACAAAATGCTATGTCCCCTCAGTTTTGGGTAGCTGGGAAATTTTGAGACTTCTGGGAGGTAAAAAAAAAATTCTACACTATCGTTTGTGATGTACATCTTTTAACCTCATTCGAACAGGAATAGAAGCATGGTCGGTTATATGTAGAGGTTGGTAGCTTTTGTACGCAAGCAAACAAGTTATCAAACTACCAAATAACTAAGGTTTGTGCTCATGGATGGCAAACAGAAGCGTTCGACTTCCAGTCATACAGGCACTGGCTTCCAAAATAGGTATTACTATCATTGACTGCAGCAGCAAATCAAGAATACATGCTCGCCTGCATGGCCCAGGCAAGAAGCAGTTGGAGGAAAAGAGATCCAGACAGAAGTACCAACATTCTTAATTAAGAATGTAAGCTAGAACAAAAAATAGCAAAAATTTCTTGAAAACTACCTAAAATGAAGAGTTATGGAACCCAGAAAACAGGTACGCCACTTTCGGCCAGTTTTGTTTAAAATGTGCTAGAAAAAAGCTTCGAAGCCTACGATGAAACCCAGAGAGCACATTATCATTCAGCCATAAAAGTAACAACAAGCATGAAGAAACCAATAGGATCGAAGATTACTGACACTTTGCAGAAATTAACTAATATAATTAGCTACCTAACAAGTTTTCAGGAGACACAACCAGGATTAAATTCATGTTTTCTGATCATCCTAGCATAGGAAATGAGAGGCAGTGACTAACTACAGGCCCAGTAGTCAAGTAGGGAAAATGCAGACATGAGGAAGGAAAAGAAGGAAAAAGAAGGCAGAAACCACGGTTAATTAGCAAGCTGCTTATCAGCACAATAACAAATCCTCATCAAGACACTAAATAAAAAACTACCTAAAGGTATTCATCAAAGATGTCAACTACAATAACCAAACACTTAATCCAATACTGTAAATAGGTGAAACATTCACTAAGAAACAAACAAAAAAGGGCGAAATATGCTATTTCCAGAGCACGCTTGCATACAAGGATGTGACTCAGACAGAATAATGCATACATCCATAACTAAGAACAGAAGAAGGAAACAACTCTTGAGACTTATAATCTATCTTCAGACCGAAATGAAGAATGATCAGCATTGCTATCATCTTCTAACACTCAAAGATAAGGCAGCTGGAGCCTCTAAACAGTAAGCAAACCCTCATCACAAAAACCATTGGAACCATGAATGTGAATTCATTAAAAAGTAACACAGCTCACTCGTGATTACGAATTCAAGAATCAATTAGCACAAGTAAGCCAACTTAGAGATGCAAGCATATCGAGTTAGAAGCAACTCCCACAGTAAGTTGGAAGAAAGAACTGCTTACAGGATGTCTGAAGGCGCAGGTTGGATTAAGACAGGTCCCAGACAACCAGTACCAACAATCCCTAGGGTTGAGCCTTGCCATCTCACTGTGCCGGTACTCACATTCAGCTCCCTGAAAAAGAATCAAGTTAGCCATCACATGATTACATAAGAGCGAGTATCCATTACTCGAAACCTAATTGCATAAAGAATCTTCCCCAAGCAGCTGAAAATATAGAAATTCATTGTTGACGACTCGAGCATTATTAGGTAACACCAAGAAACCCAAATTCCCAGTTTCTCCACAGAGCAAGGTGGGTAACCTAACTACCCGCCAAAAGGCAACTACCGGCTACAGCAACATAAAAAAAACCACGGATTCGCGACAAAGCTAACCCGCCACAGATCCCAGAAGCAAAAGCAGAAACCCTAATAAGAAATCTAACTAAACCCCTTCGGACAGCAAGAACGACCGCATTTCATTAGCACGAATTAGAAACTCCGAAAGAACGCATTTCCGCAGGGAGGGCGGGAAGGAATTGCAGAAGGAGAGTGAAGATTGGCGAGAAGCACTGGAAGTAGCAAGATGGAGTTGAGTGGTGGGGAAAGATCGAAGAACAAACCTTCTTGCAAGTGAGGGGAGAAGCGAGGAAGTAAACGCAATCGGTGTTTCGCTTCTGCAATTCCTCCTCCATACTTCCTTGCTGGTTTTTCTTCTCTTTCAATTCAATTGGGGGGAAAAGGGTATGGAGCGGGAGCGGGAGCGGCGGCGGCGAGAGAGTTCTGCAGCGTCGCCCCTTTTCTCCTGCCTTTCGCCGCTGGAGCTCTCTTCTAGTGTAGAGCGCAGCGAGAGAGAGAAAGAGAGAGAGAGAGAGAGAGAGAGAGAGAGGGAGGGACGGAGAGATATTGCTGGGCTTTTAGCCTGAAGCGCTTTAGGGCCTTGGGTGTGGATTTTCTTTGGGCTATTTATTGGGCTTTTCTGTGGTCATAGATTGGATTTGGCATTTGGGCTATTTGTACTTTGTTCTATTTTTCCAACCTAATCAACTTATCACTCAATTGAGTGATCCCGAATGAATGGAAATCAATTTTTTGCTATGTTCTTCGCAACACAAATTGTGAAAACGTGCTCACAAATTTTGAGCGCAACATTGTATCGAGCTGTTGAGTGGTTAGTGATCATCCAATAGATGCACGGTGACTATCGCTCGATACTATAACTATCCGTTCTGTGCGCACGTTTTCATAAATGGGTTGTGAGCATCATAGCCGGATTGTATAGAAATATAACAAACAAACAAACAACTTTTTAGTGTTTTTAGCGACATAACTCGGTACTAGTCAATAAATCACAAGTCGGTCGTTTACGTCACTCATTTATCATGCTTCGACTCGGTATAGTTTAAGTACGAAATATATAATCCGTGAACACCTATTAAAATGGTAACCGAATCATATTGAAATGATAACCTAGTAAGGGTGCTTTGAGCCAAACTTGATTCCAAGGGAGCCGTGCGTGGGACCACTGCTGAGTCAGCTGGATGACATGGCAGTACGGTACTTGCCAGCTCAGAAAGGTCTTATCCAGTCTCCTCTCGTTGTTGTCCAGAACGAGTGCAAACGACGACGTATATATAGTAGTAAGCCTAAGTGCCTAACCCTTAGGTAGCATGTTCGAATCCCCACGAACTCACCACTTATTCTTCCAAACCACAACTGTCCACGCACGGGGAGTAGTTTCTCAATTGTAAATCTCGCTCAAATGAACGAACAAAAACAGCAAATTAACGTAATAATTCTTTCTCGAGGTATTAAACATACTTAAGATTGCATAAGCAGGGGGAATTTCGTCAAGTGTTTGTGATAGATACTACTCTATCACAACTACCAATCTGCTTGTATAGAACTAACCAGAAGACACTCACTCTCCTAATCGACCTAAGCAGAAGTTCTACGGTTTCTTGGACCGGAAGAAACCGTCTCGAGAATTATTCTAGCCTCACGAAACTTGTGGTTCTTTTATCCACTTCCATCTCTGCCTCTCAGATATGCAAAAACAATAGAAAGAATACTGAGCTGGAAAGTCAGCAAGATGGAGATTGCAGATCGGTGGGTGCTTTGTTTGGATCTTGTAAGCTGTAGTGTCTTGAGATCACTAGAACTTGTACACCATTTCCTCTGTGTATCCCAGTTCTTTGAGGATGCCACTCAACTGGATGGAAAAAAAGGAAACCAAAGCAAAAGTTCATGGATACTATTCTAGTTAAAGGGGTCGAGATCACGAAATCAGAAGACGAGGGAAGAACTATTTCCGTACCTCTCCTTGTTCCGCTTTCGCCTTCTCGCCTGAAATCTGCTTCATCATCCCAGTAGGGCCGCATACCTAAATGGACAGATGACAACAAGTTATTCCGCGATTAAGAGAAAATTAATGGCGGTTTATCTGCAAATCCGATGCTATTGCAAGTTGCACGTACTAGGATGATTGTGTCATCCCCAGGAGCAGGCAGGCCTTTCAGAGCCATGTCCTTTGATACGTAACCTACGCCTCCCTTCCAGCTCTTGGTTGGATTGTCCACAGTGTAGAAAATCTGGAAGGGTAGCAATTAGCAGAAGTGCACAAATCGATTTCCTGTTTGATGTGCACAACCTTTTTGATAATACAGAGAGCAGATTGTAACTTGGAGATGATGGTACCTTCAAGTTCGGATGGCGAGTAGCTAGGTAGTCGAGCTTTTGCTTGAGCAATATGTCATCAGGGGAGACATTGGCATAAAGCAGTGACACCTGTTAAGAAGAAGAAGGAGGCTTGTCATCAATTCTAAACAACATACAGGGACATAAAATCAAAAAATATGGATGAAAAAAAAAAGAGAGAAAAGAGATGGGCAATGACGAGGTAATCTTTGAGAAAGCTTCAATCACGTAGCTGAGTAAGAACGCAGAAGAATAAAGCTTCAGATATCGACATTTAAAAGGTTACCTGGGTGTTATCATCTGGATTCTTTAGGATTTCCTCAATTACTTGAAGCATTGGTGTAATTCCTGTACCGCCTGCAATCTGAACAGCACAAGTAGATACATACGGAGCAGCACATAAGTTAGAACAGCTTCTATTGCTACTGATCTCAGCAAGATTGCAAAAAATTTAATCAAAGAAAATTACTTCAAAACAAAATGTCAAAGAATTAATCCGAGCCTATACATATTGTTACTCAACCAGATCCAAGGTTACAGACATAGATTAGAGCTTACCATGCCAATGTGTTTCTTCATATTGGGTGAGTATCTGATTTTCCCAATTGGCCTGCAGCAAGACAATATTGACGGTAAAGTGGATGCGAACTTTTAACCTCCCTACCATGGTTGTTATTTGCAAATAACCTACCCTTTCACCTCAATAACATCACCAGGCTTCAAGCTGGCCAGATACTGACTCATTTTCCCGTCAGGATAAGTCTGCAGCAATTTTTGGAAATATGAGAAGTAACTCAGCGCAAGTGCTAATCACCATTTAAAAGAATTCATAGAAGCCAGACATACCTTGATTAATAGGTCAAAGTGTCCCTTAACAGCTGGATCTGATATGGGAGTGTACCTGAACATAGAATAGGCTCTACCATTTAACAAAAGATAAGACTAAAATACAAATCCAAAAGCACAGACGAAATTCTAGTGGCAAAATAATGCAATCAATATTCTAAAGAAAGAACATGTATAATACGATACAAAAACATCTATCAGTTCAGTTAGTAATTGTATCAAGTTGAACAACAAGCAGAGAGATTCCAACTTCATACAGTCGAAAAAAGGGATATGCTATTTCACAAGATAGAAGGATAGCAAATAAGAGCCAGATCTATAGTAAAATATTCAGTTGAAAGATGAAAAGAAAAGAAACAAACAGGGGCACTTACGGGCGTATTACATATTTAGTTTTTCCATCAGCACTCGTCTCTGGATACCTGAATAAGATAAATAAATGCATCAGCATCAACACACTGATTGTTTGCAGATGTAGAACTTCGAAGTTCTAAACACCCTATCCCTATCACCAAATGATGCAAAATCTAGTAGTTGAATGCTGTGCAGGGCTTTTCATACACTTCACACTATTTACCTTGTAAGGAGGCACGAAGCAACATGCAAACCAAGCTCCTTAGAAGGATCAAAAGTAAACCTGCCATTCGGTAAGGCATAGAGATCAAAAGCTACCCACAGTGAGCAAACTAAACTCCAACTGCAGACAGCATTCGTTCTTCATATTCACATTATCAAAGAGTTGAATTCAATGTTCTGGCCAGCTTTTGATCTCTTCCAATGTTCTGGAAACAACGGATTATTGAAATTAGATTTGGCCATTGGGCATACCTGTACAGATGAGTATTGTGACTAACAGTTGCAGTGTCTTGAAGCTTGAATTCAGTCCATTTCTTCGGATCGAGAGCTGAGAAACGAGAAAAACAAAACAATCAAATCTACCCAGTGAGCTCTCATTATTCATTAGTTGACTACACATAACATGCCTTAGGATACAAACCGTGTTTCATCATTCATGGTCACAGATCATCTCTTGCTCATGAATCAAAACCATACCCTACAATGACATCAAACAAGAAGGAGAAGAAAGGCTTACCAACTTTCGGACCATCCTCTTCTTTCGCTTCCTCCAGGTGAACCTATCATTAAGTGCGAAGACATAAGTTCCCGATTTTAGAACACCAACTGACTAAAACCACAGCCTGGAAATGGACCGCAAAGATAAAAGAGCAAGTTCCAGCAAAAACATTTCCACTGTAAACCCTACGAATAAACCCTGATCCCACAAATTAACGACTACAGGTTCCCAATTTAAGCATTGAACGAGTTCATAGCTCCGATCATAACAGATACACACCAATCCATGAAGCGTCAACGAAGGAGAAGCGTCGCCACTGCCGATGTATGAGATTCCAGAAACGGCCGCAATCGCGCCGAGGGGGAAACCAAACCTACTGAACATTGACCGGGAATAGCCTCCTCCTCCTCCTGATCCTCCGCCAGGAGAGGCAGCAGTAGGGACGGCGGCTCTCGCCAGCCGACGGAAGAGCGTGGCCGCCATTTTCCTTGGTGATGGGAAGATCGGAGATGAGAATAAAGCAGAACTGAACGGGAGTGGAGTGAAGCAAATCGCAGGCTCGGAAGTCCGTAGTCTTCTCCGAAATAATAATAAGCTGCGGTCGTGTCCATGAGCATTTAGCGTGTGCTTATTTTTGTTGGGTCCGTTTGGGTGGGCTTCAGCCCGTATCGCTTGAAGATCGATTTGGGCTTTGACACTTCTTGCCGCAGATTTGGTTTCAAACTCAGCCCAATACCAAATTTGATTTTCTTTGAAAGTTGCATAAACACTCAAGACCCGTGTTTGCAAACCGGTAACGTACCACCGGTTCGACTGGAAAAAAAAAAATTTTGTTGGAGTCTGAGTTGGTAATCGATTTGAGTGGTATGGAAACGGTTGAATTACGATTTCAAAACAAAATATTTTACCGTTGAGAACATTCACACTCTTATTTGAATTTCATTATTTATGTTGTTGATCTAATGATTTTACGTACTGCTAAGCATTATACATTTGGTGGAAACCTTTCTAAAGCTCGATTGATTGTGAATGAAAGCTAACTTAGATTCACATCCAATTAAAAAGTTCCACTTACCAAATTCTAGAGCCAATATAACTTGGAAAACGAAGGGCACTTTGAGTTGAAAAAATTCCTTAATATTGTATTGGTTTGGATAATTACGGCTTTGATTGGGCCAAGCTAGTAGATAGCACATCCACACGTGGACCAAGTTCTGCAATATGAGCTAATTTTCTGGCTCAATGGAAATTTGATTTGATTTGATTTTGATGCTGATGTTGGTTGGAAAAAATTGCATAAGGGTTGTTGTCACAAATAATTCAAAGTTCATTATAGCAATAACCACAAAATTTTATTGTAGCTAACAAATCGGTAGCTTAAGTTTGATCTTCACTAATTCGTTCAAACGGTAGTTGTGTGTAGTCAATTTTCAATATACCTCTTGAATATTGTTTACCTCGTGTAAAATATTAACTATTGAGCATCTCATTTGAACATTTCCTTAGTTACTTTAGGCGAACTTGCACATTGGTGTGTGAATACATTAGATAAGTCTGAATTTTAGTAGTGAGTTTGTTTCATGATGACAAAGTTAAGGGGTCGTTTGGATGGGTTAATTGTCAATGTGGTATTTGTAGAGTCAAATAACTCATTTATTCTTTATGTGGTATTTCAGTGTTATTTCAATGGTAATTGAAATAAAGTATCTCGTTTGGTTGAACCATGCAAATGTGGTATTTGGTAAAAGCAGAGTGATAAAAATGAGTTATTTCGAAATAACACATGGGTATAAGTTATTTCAAATAACTCGTTTTGAGTTATTTGTAAATAACTCACTGTCCAGATAACTCATTTCAGTAAAACGCTGCCAAACGAGTTATTTGAACCCAAATAACTCATACAAATACTCCATCCAAACGACCCCTAAGTGATTGATTTGTTAGTTATCTCGAAGTTCAAAGATTGCGTATGTAGTTAACCTAACCCCAAAAGCTCACCACCTGTCCCCAAGACAAAGTTCCATGTTCCTATCATTTGATAAGTGATATCCTAGGTTTATTTCCAATAAGCATCATTGTGATTTCCAAGAAGATAAATGAAGGAACATGAGAAAATAACAAAAGATCAAGCTCACACCAGTCACCACCACTCTTGATGGTTTTGCACTCTGGGATTTTGTAGCTCTCACAAATCTATTGGTAGTCATCAATAAGATTGCCAAATCCAAATTACTCGCTTATGAGTTTGCCATACATTCATAATGATTGAGGTAGTTTCAAAGTCAAAATTATATGCGGTAAAAATGCACAAAATGATACGAACTTCGGAGTCAACGGATTAAAAACATCTAGACAAAGATTCTATCTGTTTTGCTCCCAAGAATTTGCTGATTATCCATAGAAGTCTTGGTTTGTATCTGACTGCAGTAACAGTGAGAGACAAGAGGAGAACTGATCACCTTGGGATGAAAGGTTCACAGTTAAAGAAAGAGCATAACATAGAATATTTTACAGTTTCCAAATTTGGTATCTTTGTCAGATATGGGGTGCAAAAGAGATTCACATGGAGGAAGACAAAATTTCCCAGCCACTGGGCAATAGACACCGTTCACTTCTGTCCTTTGCCCCACCCAATCAATCACCTCTTCCATATCTTACCTTTCCTGTCAGCGAGACAGTGATGAATCGAAAGATACCAAACACCCAATCCCTCACCCACAGCTGTTGGAACTAGATTCTTTGTCCTCACATGGCCAGGTTTCATTCCAGAAGCATAGTTGGCAACATCATTAATCCCCCTCGGCTTGATCCCAAAACAAAATCGTACCACCACTTTCCTCCAATGGCGCTTCATAAGGCTTAAAAGTTCTCTTCTTTGCACAGTTTTTGCTTACCAGTTACTAAACTCTCAAGAACCCATGATCAGGATTTCCCATTTCCTGATCTGGGTTTGATTCGGATTTCGAAATTTCGGAGGAAATGTTGGATCTTGCGATGTACCAGAATCTGGGTTCTTCACAATTTCTGATCTGCAGAATGTTTCTCCAGGCTGATAAGGAATCCAGAAGTTCGCTTCTTTCGAGGGGAATCTCCGGCGCAGGATCCTCTGCGACGAGGAATCAAGCTCTTCGCCTACCAATGAGTCACCGGAAGAATACAGTGGGGATCATTGCAGGAGTCTCTGTTTACTCTGCCCTCACTTTTCTAGAAAAGCTAGCTTGGATGAGCTCGAAGGACGCCGAAGACTGCCCGCCGTTCCTTCTCAGCTACGATCCAACATTGATTGCGCTGCGGCCCAATTGTAGCAGCCCGGTGATCGTCGACAACTTGCGTGGAAAAAGGATGTTCTTGGAGCAGTCAGGAGTTCACTGCCTGGTTATGCCATGCCACGTTTCTCATCATTGGTACGGAGAGATATCGGAAGGATGTCCCCTGCCTTTTTTCCATTTCGGCAACTGCGTCGCCGGCGAGCTGAGGGATGCTAATCTGAAGCCGATCGTCGGCGGGACAGCCGTCAGGATTGGTGTGCTTGCCACGTATGCAGTTCTTGAAGCTGGTTTTTACCAGGAGATGTTGCAGAAACAGGTAAAAGTTCTTCTGGTTTGGTGTATATAGGAGGAAATTTCGCAGCATCGTGACAAATGTATAATTTTCTTTCAGGGGTTTGAAGCTGTGGTGCCTGATAAGGCGACAGTGAACCACATTTTGATACCTGGGATTGAAGCGTTGAGCAAGGGGGACATGGAGGGAGCTCAGATCTTGTTGAGAATAGCAATTCAGATACTTCTGGTGAGGGGAGTGAACATTGTAATTCTTGCTTCTGATGAGATTCAAGGGATTTTGCCGGATAAGGATCCTCTTCTCAAGAAGTGTATAATTCCCATGGATGCCTTGGCAAGGGCAGTCTTGAGTTGGGCGAGATTGAAAGGGCAGATGCGCGCCAATGATCATTCTGGCTACTAGTAAAATGGGGTTCCTCTTGCTATGTAGATGAACATATAAACATACACAAACCATTTTGATTCGACTGGTTGATCACAGTTGGTACAGTCTGATAATCAACTTCTTGATCAATCGAATCCACTCCAGTCTTGTTCCAGAAAGCATCATCATCCCAAATCGAAAAACAAAGGGGGTGTTGATACTTTCTGCACTTTTGCAAAGCATTACTGGAGAGGTGCTATAATGTACACTAAACACAGCCACTCGGCCGGGGTTTGGTGATGTTTTCTGGGGATGATGAGTAGAGGAGCTATAGATTTGAGAGAGAAGTACTGATTTGTCTCCCACCACCGCCGATTGTTGTCTGGCCGTGGACCCACGAAGAGATGAGGTGATGAGCGATTGCGGAAGGGCCAGGGAAGAACATAGGAGCGAGTTCGCCGCTTTCTACATTGAAATCTGCAGACAAGCTCTGACCTTTCTCGACGCCCTTGCACATCTGCTCTACTTTGGCTGCTGCTGTTGTTTGTGCCTTCTTGTACTCTGCTAAAGACAGTGCCTTCTGCACGTCTTCTCGACTGAGCCATTTCGCATCTACACAACACAGCAACATGGCAAAATTCAATATCACTCTCATTTCAAAGAAACATATATGCATCCATTGGCCAACCAAAAAGATCCCATCTACATATGCATCAGTGAGCTTTCTTTGTTTTCATGAGGGAAGAGCAAGGTTGAACAAAGAGGCACGAAAAATGGTTTTTGGTTACCTTCTAACTCGGTTTTATCGACATTGATTTCCAGTGTTTTAGCGTAAGCTAAGAAACCCACCATCAGTTGGCATGGCATGCTGTTTGGGCCAACTGAAAAGAAACAGCAATAGCAATAAAACATTAGCAGCCTACACAGAAAAGAGAGGTGAGAAGTGCAGGTTAGAAACTTTATGCATCCGTACAGATTCGAATCAATGGTAGGAAATAGAACTCTCAACAATGCTAGGTTTTGAAATAAGGGCACTTATGAAAGGTTGCCAAGTTCTCTATGTTCTGATTCAGAAACAAGCAACTAATCCTGTTTCCTTCTACAAAGTTCCCATCTTTCCACAGCCATAATACAATCAACTGGCAATGATGTAAAGAACAGATGAAAAGATACCAGGCCATGGCTGAGAGCTATGATACACAACTTCTCCTACTTCAATTCCAGCCTCTTCAAAAGTTTCTCTCCTCACAGCTTCCTCTAAGCTTTCTCCAGGCTGAACAAGAATTCCCAAAACACAGAAGTCAAGCAACTGAACTACAATTCCCCCGAAGGGAACAATTTCAAACTTCTGCCCTCATACCTCTATAAACCCAGCTAAGCAACTCCACATTCGAGGTACAAATCTCGATTGTCTGCTCAAAAGGACTCGATCATTCTCTTTGTCGATAACCAACATGATCACAACCTGTATAAGAGTCGGCCAAGAAGGCTTAGAAGGGTATGCACTCACCAATCAAAGCGAACTAAGAATCACAGGAAGACAATGGACGCATGAAAATTACCGGATCAATACGAGGATACACCCTCGCCTTACATGTCTCATTGGAGCACTGTTTCCTTCTGCCAGCTTCGGCAGGGACAGTATTTGCTCCACATGATCCACAAAAACGACTTAGCTTATGCCATTCTAGCAATGCTCTTGCCTAAACAACAGAAAATCAAACAGCCAAGAAATGTCTGTAAAAATCGGCAGGCACAGCAGACTGGTCACTAAAATAACCTAAGATAGTACATTCACAAGTTCATCCTTTCATCTTTACCACATAGCATCAACCATAAGCAAATTACTGCAACAGGGGAGGTTAAAAAACACAGACTTACATGACCAGCAATGGCCAAATCCGCCATGACTCGATCATCAGTCCAATCAGCAGCCACCATGAGAGTCCTCAACTCCACAAAACAGAGCCGCTTCCCGCCAAATTCAGGAACCAAACTACTCTCGCTAGAAACATCAATTGCCCAGTAAACCACATCCTCATCAGGCATGAAACCCAGAAACACCAAGCTCTCGGCGGTCAATTCAACACCAGACTTGGCCAGAAACCCTCTGCAATCAGCAAGACCAATCCAGCCCAGATGCCAATTCGGCCCCGAAGCACCGTCCCCATCGACGGAAGAAGCCAGAGGCCTGCCCTTTCTGAAGGGCAGAACCTGGAAACTAGGGGAAAGCAACTGGCTGTGACCACTACTGGCACTCTCCATGAGCCGGCTCCTGAGGGTTTCGAGGGCGGAGGATGGGGAAAACGGGTCGCCAGGCTTGGGAATTGTGGATCTCAGAGGGTTGCCGGCGAAGGCATGGGTTTGCAAGTTAACGGACATGGTGGTGCTGGTGGTTCTGACGCAGAGAGAGATAGCTCTTGCTGTGACTGCTCTGAGAAAGAAGGGAGAAGCAGGGGAAGTTCGTCGGGGGTTCAGAAGAAGAGAGGAAATGAAAGCACAGTTGGGTGGAGAAGAAGAAGGGAATAGGGAAAGGAGCATGGCTCGATTATAAATTGCTGTGCCATTAGCTGGGTTTCGGGTTGAATGTGGACGAAAAAGGTTGTAGCTTTGTTTGGCTATGGTGGTGAGTCAGGAAGGCGAGCCGCTGGTAGGTTACCGACATCTGTCCCTGTCTCCGTCTTTCTCAATCCTCATCCAAAACTTCCCTGCCTTCCTCGTGGACTTCTCCTTCTCCATATCCAAAATTAAACTCTTTCAACCATACTGACCCGAACATTTAAAGCTAAGCAAATACTGAAAATGACCAATATGGCTCTTAGGACAACTCACCGAATTTAATTGATCAATGGGAGTTGTCATACATACAATAAGTTAAGAAGTCATAAGATCGATTAAGCTACAATCATGATTCATGACCAAGTCTAAAAGTCTGTATGTAGTGCATAGCAGCATGAACTTACAATGCACAAGATATCATGGACAAAGTTCAGGCACCACATAAGTTTTATCACTGCGTTTGCATTCTGAAATGTCTTGCAAAGAAATCACAAGACCAATTTCAGTAAAATAGGGAATGGTTACAAATTACAAAAATTGCCAGTTTTTGCAAAGTCTATATGTGAAAACTGAAAAGTGAAAAACAATGAGGGAGACCAAACAAGAAAAATATGGAAACGCCTATTTCAACCCTTTCCTTGCAAAGGGGCCGACTGCAAATTCCTGCATCAGCATAACATCAAACGAATATAGCTAGAGAACAAACAAAGGAATCAATGCAATCCCTCTTCTTCAACTTCTTCTTTCCTCCTCTTCGATTTGAACAGAAAGGCAAAGAGAAGTTCTAATCTAGCCGGAAAAAAACTAAAACAACTCTTCCCTATGGCCATTGGTAGAATGAACCTCTAAGTATGCTACTGAACCAAAATCTTCAAAAAAAAAAAAAAATTGCAGGCAATGCAAGCAAATCAAATCATCAAAAGAATCTAACGACGAAGCAAATCAGAAGCTCTCTCAGCCCTCCACGTTTGTCAAGTTCAGTATTAATGGCTGATCCTCGAGCCAGTCACCATAAATGTTGTTGAGCTTCTTTGGGTCTTTCCACTTGAGCAGGCACTTCTTCCTACCCTGTGAGTCTTCAACAGAGTTAGCCATGCTTGGGGATGGATTGCCGTTGCCAAGAACAGACGACTGCTTTGTTAAAATGGAGCCCTGATTCACTGGTTCCCCATCTAGCCGTCCGCCATGAGCTTGTAATTCTGCTTTCAACACAAAGGTCGCAGTATCAACTAAGGTAACGATCAATTCATCCCCCTCAAGTTGTCAACAAACAGAATCAGAGGTGAGACTCAAATGTCCTTCCATATTTGATTTGGAAAGCAAAGACATGACATTTTCTAGTACTGAAAAGAATCTGAGCTAGAGCATGTATGGCTATAGTGGTACACTAGTACTGGTTCAGTTCATTATGTGGATGTCCTTTCTTCAGAAGAGTAAACATGTTCTTGAGAGGTTAGAATGTAGGAAGCCTTTAGTTTGGTTCAGCTCCAAAATCATGCAAGACTATTAAACACCATTCTCTAACCACTTAGATCCCAAATTGACAGACAAGTCGTCTGGTTGGGTGTGTTTTGTACAATGAAATTTGCAATAGCATACAATTGAACTAATATATCGTTAACACTACTGCTAACATGCAAAATGTAGGCTGTTGACACAAGTAACAAATTTAGAATAAATAAAAATGAAACTGCTAGAATATTACGAGTTAAGACACCAATCAATAAACTAAACTGAATACCTGCTAGTCCATGAGCAAAGTGGCATTTCTCACCAAAGGGGCAATGACCTGTGATCTCAAATTTAGAGCACAATTTGGTCTTCCAGTACACAGGCTTCATCATCATGGCCCTAAGCGCATCTGAACCAGCAGCAGCATTCTGAGCAGGCCTAACAGCTTCAGGCAGAGAATATCCACCACCACCACTTCCATTCATAGTAGGCATCCCAGTAGTCCCAATGCTTATTGCAGCACTCTCCCTAAACCTCCCGCCTGCATCACTCCTAAACTTCGCAGGCTCCTCGTGCAGGAAATTGCACCTATCCCCATACGGGCACTCCTCCCCATTACAAAACTTCTTACACAATTTCATCTTAAGAATTATCCTCTGATCATCCTCCCAATTCACCACCGGCGGCTGCCTACTATTATCCTCTTCAACCCGTCCACCACCACCACCACTAACCCCAACTAGCTCTTGCCAATTGGGAGGGGGCTGCCTCAAATCCTGCATCCCATGAGCAAAATTGCAATTCTCTCCATTCCTACAGGTCCCAGTCTTAAACTTAGCGCACATTCTAGTCTTGAAGAAGATGTTAGTCGTCCCTCGGTTGATAGGGAGGTTGCTCGGTGGTGGCATCGGCATCCTTGAACTCGCAGGCTGGCTGTTGTCATCGTCAGAAGAATTCTTGGCCCTCTTGTATGGAGGTTGGTGTTGTTGCAGTTGCTCAAAGGGCGAAGGCGGGTCAAATTGTTCATTGCCGCTCATTGAGAATTGAGGCCAGATGCCAATTGCATCACTACCTGATTGAAACGATTGCTGTGAGAAATGAGGCTGAGAATCCGAGTAACTCATTCTGCTGGTGTCAATTTCTCAAGCAACTCCTATCAATGAATAAAAAAACACAAGTAATCACTAATCAGTAATCTTCATCAAGACTAATTCAACACAAAGCACACAGATTAACACCATTAACCTGACAATTTAACCAATGATCACTCAAGAAGCTAGAATCTTTCATCCCGAAAAAAATCTTCCCCAGTTGGAAGAAAAATCAACACGGTGATCTGAATTCATAAAGAAGCATATAACAAGGACTTACTTGAGACACTGATCAAAAGATGAAGGCTTTAGAACCTGGAGCGGTTACCCAGATAGGAATTTCGGCCAAGAACAAAGAATCAAAGCAAACCCAATGGGGAAAATCACGACTTGAATTGAATTGAATTGAATCTCGAAACAGGGGCTGGATCAAAATTTTAGGATGAACCTATCAATGGGTGTATATATATGAGTCTCTTCCCCTATATATACACAGTATATGGTTAAGGTCTGAATGTGCGAAGAGTCAAAAACCCTAGCCGCCAAAAATATTGGCGAAGAAAACACCAAATTCTGAGGAGGAGCAACGTACTGGGTAAAAGATTAAAAAGAAAGTGAAGGGTTTAGTCCTTTTTTTAAACCGAGGCCTTGCTTCAGGGAGGAATTGCAAAAGAGGAGAGGCAGTGAGTAAAAGGGAAAAGCAAGGAGAAATGGCGTAACTGTTCTCCCAAACCCTAAAGCCCTAGAATTAAAGAAAAAAAAAATAAAAAGAAAATCCTCCAAAACCCTTGAAAATTGTAAATTTGTAACAGAATGGGGAAATTTGCATCCCTGTACCTCCACGTGGCAGACATCTGTTGGATTCGCCAGAGTGTACGACAGACTGGCCCGCGCTTTACACGTGTATATATTTGTATTTATTTCTGTTTGCAGAGTTGACTTGGACGACGCAATTGCCACCTTGTTGTGGGTTGGGCTGGGCCCATTAAAACTCTGTGTGACTTGGGAGTTAATACGGGCCTGAATTTATTTTTTAACCCACTTCTTAGGGGCTTTGAGGAAAACCTTGTTGGACTAAAACTTTGAATTAACATTTTGAGCCCAATGTATGGTAACTTGCAAGAGAAGTCATATGGAAACTACCAAAATGGAGGACCATATGAAGTTACTCATCAAGCAATCCACCAAAAGAGGAAAGCCAAAAAATAATATTCGACACCAAGACGATACTAGTTCGACTAATTAGTAATGAGTTATTGCAGTCACTATTTGTTTCTATCTGTAGTAACGAGTTGGGTCCTCTGTTAGAACCCGTGGCTAGGGAGCTCGAACGAAAAAACTTCTTTTATAAGAATGATATTTATCACTGGACCAATCTTTTGGTCGTGAATTCGATCGTAAAATTTTAGTAAGCAATACTAACTGGAATAAGAACTCCCTAGGCCCATGATAATGAAAGGCAAATGGAAAGGTAGCAATTGACAAGCATCCAGTTCTTTATCTACTTGAAATTATTGAGGTGTGAGCCCTGTGTATAAAAATGAGTCCCTCCCTGTAGATTTTTTTATGCCTAAATTATTGCTCTCAGACATATTGTCTCAGAACCTGTCCACACACTCTTTGAAGCCAACTCCTCAATCCATATTGTTGTGTCGAGGGCTCCTTATGATATTGTTCGCTTTTGGCTAAATACGTATGGATTTATTTTTGGATTTTCTTTCTAAAAGGTCTTGTACTAATGAGCTTGGTGGACACTTATATAAGCAATTATTTTGATCTACCAGATAGACACAAACATCCACTGATCCAACATAGGAAGATCTCAAATCCTGAGGTCACCGAATGAGGGTCCACAGAATCGACGTCCACCACCCTTAATCGAATCCGAACCAGGCTATGATATCGCTTGTTGTAACCGAATAGCTCTATTTTGTAAGAGTGAGAGTGTTATCTCCATTTAGTATAGGAAATGAGAGGAAAATGGGGAAGCAAATGGGAATTTTTCCTTCTCTTTTCTGTAACAGATAGTAAGTACATTACCCTCCATGCACCCACTACATCACAAGAGTTACAAAAGGCAGGAAGAAACACCCTTCCCCAGAAGAGCAAAATGCTAGAAAATAGGTCCTTAACCATAAACAAAAACCTAACCCTAAAACTGTTTATTAAACTTCAAAATGAAGAGGAAGAAAAGAGACCAAAAGAAGTTGTTGTGTTGGCGTTAAGCTTTAGACATCTAAGTTCCTCTGCTGGTTTACATTGCACCACCTGCAAACCACAGGAAGTGAAATGGAACATTTGAGTTAGACTAACTCCATTAATGTGAAATAATGATAAGAGTGGTTGACTGGTTTCATCTTCAATGGAGGAATTATAAGGGAGCTTGAAATGGGGAAGTGTCATGCATACCATATTCCCTTGGTGTCCTGCATTTGAAGCACTCTCCCCTGCTAGCAAAATTATGTGCTCCACAACCCATCCTGTAACACACAAAACCATACTTCATGTTAGATTTCAACTTTCCATTCTAGGGTAACATTATTCTGAACTCCTAACTGAAGTTACTTAGACAACAAGAAACTGACCTAGCACAGATCCAATCACCAGACTTCCATCCAGGAGGTGCATTGGGATCGGACCCATAAGCAGCAGCAGCGCCATAGTCGTTCTTAATCGAGCCACATCGGAAGCAGCTGGTCCTGCTGGCATAGTTGTGTGCACCACAGTTCATGCCAATGCAATACCAGTCCCCTGCCAGCACCTCTGTCCTGTTGTACAGGTATGTTGCCACGTCAGGCCCTCCGTATTTCGGGTAGCCACATCTCTGGCAGCCTTCCCTCTTCTTGAAGTTCTGGTGTTGGCATGCTGCACACATCCAGTCACCTCCTGTCCAGCTCATCTTGCTGTTCTTCTTCTTGTTCTTGTTCTAGGGAAGAATCAAGGGGCTTGAATGGAAGAATTTGAAAGAATAGGGCTTAGTTAGGAAAAGGAAAAACTAGTTGTTTAGTAGCTTAGTGAGTTCTATGTTTGGAGAGGAGAGCTTGCAAATGTAAGGTGAATGGATTTTGGTTGGTTGAGTTTGGAGTCCTATATATACTAGTTTTGCACCCACCTTTCCAAGTCTTATGGGACCATTGTATAATAGAAAGGGAATATTTCAATCCCTAATATTATAAACCCTTTTTGGCACCTTTAAGTTGAGATACATTGATGGTTAACCTTGTTCTTTTAACTTTTTTGTTGACCATGCTTGATTCATATTATGAGGCAATGGTAATGCATGTTTCCATATATCAATAAATAAGGGTTGAGAGAGAGAGAGAAGTAAATATGGTCAGTTGCATGCAATTATCTAAGAAAATGAGGGGAAAGAGACAAAAAGTTTACAACTTGGCATATGAATCTTTAATAGAGTTGTGTAATGGTGTAAGACTCATATTATTCAAAAACTAAAAGATTGTGCTTTCAATTGGTTATAACCGTAAACCTCATCAAGTATGTTTTAAATTGAAAGAACGTTTAAAAAAAAAATTGTGTTAGCGAAGAAACATTTAGTTGAGTTTTGATTCTATCCTAGAGAGGTTCTCCCTTATCCGTTCATTGATCTCTCAAATGCTGACTTGGATGCCACATGTACGAGACAGCCAGGCACGACTCTCGAAGGTGGAACGTGTCAAGATGACTTAAGTTTTAGGAAAACTTTGAAACTTCACAATCATAGAAGTAGAAGTATCTGTTTGAGTGAGATCTAAATGCCTGCACCTTGTCTTAATGAGGAAGGTTGTATCCAGTTGAGGTTACACATAGTGCAGTGAAAAAAGAGTGGGTGGTGGGAATCAATACCTTATAATGCACATCCATTGGGCAAATTCTCTACTCCTCCAAAGCCTGCCTTCCTTCCTTTCTTCTTTCACTTGCCAATAATTCATTCAAAACCAATAGATTCATATGTTCATCCCACTATCAACCCTCTCTCAGCTTTTTTCAGTCATTATTATGCATATGCAGTTATGATCTAGTAGTAAAACAGTAGCAAACGAACACAATGTGCCCAGAGAGAAAATGGGAAATCAAGCATGTCTGACAGTTCTCGTATTAAAGGTTCTCTTCGAGATGATTTAGGTGTTGAATTCATCCAGGTTCGAGCTCAGTAGTCTCCTCTTGAAACTCATTTTGAGGAGACTGAAGTTTGCACAGGTCTAGAATACCATGTGCTTAACAGAACATATGGCTTATGGGGATCATTGAGATCGACCTCACGATTTTAGAAATCTCTAATACCATGTCAAAAACCAGTTATTGACTTATTGGAGGCGGTTAGCAAGGCTAGCTCAATAATATCTCTCTGCCCTTTTCATTTGTCTCTATTGTATATTGGCATTATTGTTATCAGCACCTGCAGAAAGGTGGAAAAGGGAATGTTCTGTAATGACAGTTAACATGAACATTGGACTGCGGCGGGCCGACGCAGGAAGCTGGCAGATCTAGCCTGGCTTTAGTCATCTGAAGATAAAAAAAGAATAGGGCTTTATCTTGGATAGATAGACAGATAGAGTAGATTCCATTATGCAAAAAGAAAGTCTGGTTCATTTTCATGCACCTTCCAACTCTTGAGCCATTGTTGCAACTTGATGTTGTTTTAGGGTTTTATCTTCCCATTCAAGGGATGTGTAAGTAGAATGTGCCAATGCATGCAAAACAGAATCCAAACAAGTTCCCAGTTCATGGAACCTGATCATATGAACTTTGCTTAACTTGCAAGTTCACTTTCTAGACCTAGTTTCATTTATAGTTTTACTCGGAAATAATATTGGGAGCTGAACGAACAATTTGAGTCATTGAGATAGATCATACTTGTACTTTTGAAGTTTTCTCATGTTATGCATATCATACCGTGTGTTAATTCGTTATTAATAATGGGAGTTATCATGATGATTCAAACACGATACCTCTATGTTAAAGACTTATGAAACAATGTTAACAAACAAGCTATTTAGTCCGAATCATTCGAGTTATCGGGAAATTCTTCCATACGAATTTTATATTCCTTTCTTTTGACATGAATCAGGGGCATAAAAAAAGATTTGGTTAGATAGAAGTCAGATGTTTAACTTCAAATCTCATGGCCATGGGAATCCTGGACAGGGCATTGGAGACAAAGGGCAAGTTGCTAACCTTTTGGAAAAGATTGCAACTTCACTTCACTTTGGACAAGGAAGGCATCCAGTCCACAAGGCAGACTTTGGCAATTCACATGGCTATCTCAGAATATACTCAATTATTTATGCTGACATGGCAGGCTCACCTCTGCTGACGCGGCAAGCATGTCTAGTGCCACGTAAGGATTAAGGACCAGGGGGGAAAGGGTCCTATCATTTTGTGGTGTTAGATAAGCAGGAACCCTAAGTCACCATCTTGACATATCAAATTGTAAAATTATATCGGAGATTGTACCGAAAAATTTAATAGTATAGTATTTTATGCTAAAACTGTAATGTAATCGTAGCTCAGCTATTTCAAATCGGTACAATTTTTCAATCCTTATCTAAGTACCACTTGATATAATGCCCTAAAAGAGTAGTGTAAAATCTAAACTTGATATTCTCTTGATAATTCTTGATAGCGGGATAAATTTGGTTGGTATAAGAGCGTTTCTCTCGTGTTTGAATCTTCATCGGTCTGATCACATTAACATCTAGTCTAAGTATAAGTTAAATGGTATACATGTGTACACTTCAAATCTATGACTAGGCTTTTGTTTGAGAGGTCATGTAAGAAAATGCTATGACATTTTAAATTTTTTGGGATAGACCTGTTCTTGAAGGTTACTAAGTCATCCATCAACAATAACTGACTTACCAAGACAAAAGTAGTTGATGTTAGTATGTGGTATAAAATTTATTATTGAATCTCTCTCAACAACTCGAGTTATTGGAACCAATAAATCTTCTTTTTCGAATCTCGGTAATTGGTTTGACGGTCGCACAAAATGGTAAATGACTGATTACGTAGCAGGTTCCATTTCCATGAGCACTAATCCAAGTCTTTAACACATAATTTAGTAATATTCAGTTGGTCCCACAAACTCGAATTTTTGAAAGTTCAATGATAAAGCTAATACTAATCTCTTCCACGCCCCTTTATTGCAACCAACTCATAAACTCGAAGTTTGCACATATCTCGCACAATTTGTGCTATAAGTTGTTCATATTGAAAGCAGTGGATATTCAAAACACCAAGCTCTTGAACATATCTCACTCTAAATACCATGTCGTAGAACCACTTAATTCCAATAACTTATAATACTCTTTGTCTCACATAATAATTGACTAACAACGAATCCAATCTAAATATGCCATACATCGACCATATGAGATGTCTATTCTATCTGTGTTTCTTTCTCTTTACATGGTTAATCTTCATATGTAGACCCCAAAGAATTGCACAATTACAATTCCATCACTTGATTTTATTCTTGCGTGTGATTGCTTTCAGAAAAGAAAAGGATGATGGAGAGAGATATCCTCAAAATTATTAGAAGGGGAATCGAAACCCTATGGATTGGACGAGAAAAATAGCCGTTGCTTTTGAATCCCTGAATATTCATATATTCCCTTCGCCTTGGTCTTGTGAAGTTGATGTATCCTCATTCCTCACTTCCTCAGCTCGAAGAAAATGGGGGAAAAGGTAATGGTTTAGGGAATTCTAGGTAGTCCAACGGCTTCCAAATAATTAGAGTTGTTGTGAGAGATTTATGTATAGACTTTAATCAATTTGTTATACGCTCCCTTGATGAAAGCCAACTAACTTATGGGCTTTAAGTTTTTACAGACCCGTCATATTATATGCTTTAAGACAATAGTTAATTGTGGAGTCACGAGAAGTTGAACACGTGACCCCAGGTACAAAACAACGTTGATACCATGTCATTAACCAACTTGTCTCGGTAACACGATTCGTTGGGAGAGGTCTAGTGACGGTGTTAGGATTTGAAACTAGGTGTATCCTCTTTTCCAGATAAAAATATATGAATAAGTATTTAATGATTATAGTTAAAATCGAGGGGAGACTAGCCGACTAGAAAACGGAGAGCCCATCGGCAGATGCTTTTGCTTCAGACTTCATAGTTGCTCGAGAAAATCAAATGTGGTAATTCAAAAAAAAAAGGACAGAGATTTATTTCAATTGGGAATTTTGTTTATAGTGTATAAATTAATTTTATGCCAATCAAATAATAAGAAGTGAGCTTTAATGTAGTGGTACAATACTCTTATACTATCTCAAAATTGTGAATATTTTTGATCCCTTGCATAAGCATAAATATATATAGGGTTGTATGATTTTTTTTTATCAAAACTTATCCATGTCATGTGACAGTTCTTGAACCCCTGTCTCTCCCGATGGAGAGATCCACGTATAGATTTTAATCACTTCCTTACATTAGTGACGAGCAATGATTCGGCCCACATCAAACCGGATTGAACGTATTTTGATTTAGGTTTGATCTTACGAATTATCTTAAACATGAAGAAAAATTAGATTGGAACTGAATTCATACTCGAATAATCTAAGCCAAATGAATCAACCGTGTTTTCAATATGATTCCAATTCTCAAATTTCCCTTAATTGGTTCTATTATTATATTTTAATTCTATCCATTTCCGGATCAAATCAACCGATGTTCACTCCTAAATTAAATAAGAAATTTCATTAAAAAAACTAAGATTGGTTATTCGAACTATTATAAGCGACTTTTTAGCAATGGATGATGGGAAATAACTAGCTTTCTTCAAATAAATCTAGGGGTTCAGATTTGGAGAATGAATCCTTCTCAAATGCATGGCTATTTTTATATATGCTGGCATTTTTTTGTGGACTATTTTCCGGTAGTGAGAACATGATTTTTTGTGAGCACCATTATATTGGTCCTTTCTTTTACTTTTTCAATTATTGATGTTCTTGTCTCATATTGGGACGCCAGATGTCCTCATGTGGATGCATGGAAGCATAAAATTCTCATTGTCTGGACTTAGTTCTGAGATTCTGATCTGCCAAATTTCGATTTGATGTCTCTGTTTTACTAGGTTTCGGGTGAGTCAGAGGACGAACAGGGGAGTATAGAAATTAAGAAGTTAAGTTTTCTGGGCATAGATTCATTTTGTTTTCTCAACTTGAAATGTTGATGTTATCCAATTCGATTGGTATATGTGTTGGGGGAGCAAGTATGGGTCGAGGGGCAATACAATTAGAAAGACCCAAGGAAGCTTGTTGGGGGGTGCAGACATCGGCCAAGCAGGGACCAGGCAGAGAAGTCCAAAGAAGCCCACAAGAGTAGGGGCCATGGGCTTGAGTGTGCACTGTGAACGGCCCAAATGACCAAGACAGCGCACGGGACATGTGGGGTCGGACACCTGGCAAGGGGCGCATGGGACAAAAGACATCCAACGGTCGGAAGTGTACGTAAAGCTGGCCACATGATGTCATGCGCCTCAAACGCCTGACGAAAGTGTCAGGTGGTCGAGGCGCATGCGCAAGGGTTATACGGCGCATTTATTGCGGACCTGACACAAGGCGAGAGCGATGGATACCGGTCGATCTCGCTCCGGGTATAAATAGTGAAGTAGGTAAACCTCATTTACTCAGTTTTGCTTCTCTTACTAGAACTGTTCTCCACTTCTCTCTAGAAAGAAGGGTTCTCGCTTGGGCTTCAGAGTGCTAACGGATCTATCCGGTCTGCTAGGCGCTTGTGTGTGCAGGCAGGAGCACGTCCTGAAGCGCAATAAGAAAGGAGGCGCGCAGCGTGAAGGGGAAGGTTTCGGGGCATAAACAATATGTTATTGTATAGATTTGATTTAATTTTATCTAATAATGTTAACTTGTTGTGAGATATCGAATTAGAAATGATTTTTTGGGATTTACATTTTACACACACAATGAAAAAAATACAGTGCAAATGTTATCCATCTCGACTGATGTAGGTTCACACATGGAATCGTGTTTGAGATTAACCTCATCAAGTAAGTCTGGTGAAGGTGAAACCTCATAGTTTATGATATAGATTTGTAGAGTCACTTCGAGGAGGCTCAAAACAGAAATAGAGACTCGCTGCTTGAGCTCCTCTTCCCTTTTTCGACTGAAATCCAATTATCCAAATCAATAAAAAAAGGTAATTTCTTCTTAACACTGGATAATGTTACACTTTTTTCGATGACGTCACAGAGTTTGAGAAGAACTCTTCGATTAAATCTATTGTGTACATTTCTCCCCCGTTTTAAAAACCTCATTATTGACGGCAACTAGGTCATCTTGGCCTCCTATATTTGCAAATATTTTTTTGTAAATGTCGTTCATCCTGGAAAAAGATCAACTAATGAAACTTGGCTCATCGTATCCACAAATCTCACTCTGTGTTGCTCTGACTTACAAAATTAACCTAAGCAACTAGAGTAATTAGCACTCGGAGTGCCACGATGGTTAATAATTTCAAGATACGGTTTTGTTAGAAACGAAGAACCAACAAACAGAAGGAAAAAATCTGCAGAAATCAGAACTTGTGCGCAAGTGTTTTTGGGGGGCCGAATTCTTCAATTTTTATTTACTCATAAACCAAGTCTTTTTATTGGCATGTAAACCCTACAATCAGTACTCCTCCTAAGACTCGGGAGAATTTACAGCCCATGATTCAACAACTCCACTAACCCTCCACAAATAGCTAACAAACTTCAGTAGCTGACTCTACTGCTAACAGACTACTTGGAAAACATGAACTGACTCGAAACAGAGCGAATATCCAGCAGTTTTTCTTTCCTTAATCCGATTAGCATGTCAAAATGTGACAGTGGCAAGGTCACATCTTCTGTTCTGCAGAATTCTAGGTCCATCCACTATGGACGACCTGAAGGCGCACATCTGCATCTTCATCGCCACTGTGTTGTGCGTTTTCATTGGGTGGTACAGGGATTTTAAGGACTCGAAGCTCCTTCTCGAGAAGAGGAGGCAGCAAAGGGAAAGGAAGAATCTGTGAAGCCATGTTTGGGAATGGAGAAGTGGTGTTAGAATCCAATCAAATTGAGTATGCTGTGAACTTCAACAGTGGGATGACAAATATATCCGCGATCGGTAAGGTAAAACTGGAATCCGAAAAAATTTTGGTGGGGATGAAACGCTACAAATTCAAATATTGCGGGGTGATGGGTGGTGCATGGTTATCTCATTGTTCAATCCGAACCCAACACCGACTGTACACGTGCATATGTATTTTACCTGGAAATGATTATTGTTTTTTTTCAATGTATTTGATATTTAGCATATAGATGTAATATTTTTAACGAAATTGTGTTATTTTTAATTAATTTTTTTTAGTTCTAGTGATATATTATCGTACTTTTATACTCATGCAACGTGAGTATATCTGTGAATGTTAACAGGTTAGTTGGATTTATAAAAGAGAAATTATTATCAATGGATAACCGTGGGTATCCGAAACCCGAATGGGTATGAGCATGGTTTCAATTTTCTACTTGATTCTTATGTGTGTATGGGTAAAATTCGAACGATTTCAAGTATGGTAACATATATGCACTATCCGCCTCCGACCCTATCCGTTGAAATCTCTGTTGGAGACTACAGAAATCACGAAATGTTGTTTGCTTCTAGGGATTTTAATTTACATTATAATTAATTTATGACATGCTATTATAATTGCATTGTTTTTGAGGTTATGTGTTCAAATTCTCATGATCTCAATACTAACAGTTGATCATATGAGTTGGCGGTCGTTCAAGGGGCTATGAGGAAGTGGTTAAAATACTATGTTCAAACCTGCCACCAATCCAACGGTATTTCAAAACATAACGACCTTATCCGTGTCTCCCTCCACAATCCAGCCATGGCAATGGCGGCGTTTTCTTCTTCATCTTCTTCTCCGCTCGCAGTTTCATCAACCGCAGTTCCCCATTCCCTACCCGTCTCATATCCTCCATCCCAATTCCTTCCAAACCACCCGCCTCTCGCTCTTCTCTCCACCTGCAAAGACCTCCGAACTCTCAAGCAAATTCACTCGCTCGTCATCAGAACCGGCCTCCACCACAACAACACCCAGTTCGCTCTCACCAAGCTAATCGAGTTCTGCGCGGTTTCTCCCTTCGGCGACCTTCCCTATGCTCTGTCGCTCTTTCACACCGTCGAAAACCCTGATCAGAGAGTCTGGAACCACGTAATCAGGGGATTCGCGCTGAGTGAATCCCCTGCTCTGGCCGTGGAATTTTACATCCGTATGATGGTGGCTGGTTTGGAGCCGAATAACCATACGTTCCCCTTCGTTTTGAAGTCGTGCGCGAAGCTGGGGAATGCCCATGAAGGGAAACAGGTCCATGGACATGTTCTGAAGCTTGGTGTTGAGAACGATCCGTTTGTGCATACTTCTTTGATTAACATGTACGCTCAGAATCGTGAATTGGGTTATGCAAGATCAGTGTTCGACAAAAGTCCTAAGAGGGATCCGATTTCGTATACTGCTTTGATCAATGGGTATGGTTCGAGTGGGCTTATGGATGAGGCTCGCAAACTGTTCGATGAAATGCCTGTTAGAGATGTAGTGTCGTGGAATGCTGTGATTGCAGGCTATATACAGAATCGCCTATATGAAGAGGCACTAGCTTTCTTCGAAGACATGGTTAGGATGAGAATTACTCCGAATGTGAGCACTATGCTGTCTGTCCTTTCCGCGTGTGCGAATTCAGGATCTCTTGAGCTAGGCAATTGGGTGCATTCATGGATTGAGGATCATGGGCTAGGATCAAATCTCAGGCTTGCCAATGGTCTTGTTGACATGTATGCTAAGTGTGCAGATCTAGAGAGAGCTAAGAACGTGTTTGATAACATGAAAACCAAGAGTGTCGTCTCATGGAACGCTATGATTGGTGGGTATAACCACATGGGCTGTTACAAGGAAGCACTGGAGATTTTCAGACGGATGCTCGAATCAAATGTTGACCCTAATGAGGTAACCTTGGTAAGCATTCTTCCCGCTGTTTCAAACTCAGGTGCTCTAACTCTCGGTAAATGGATCCATGCTCATATAGACAAGAACATGAACAAATTTCAGTTGACTAGAAATAGTGCTCTATCGACAAGCCTCATTGACATGTATGCCAAATGCGGCGATATCATGGCAGCCAAACGAATCTTTGATTCCATGGAAATTAAAAGTTTGGCTTCTTGGAATGCAATGATATCTGGGTTAGCCATGCACGGGTTTGTTGACATGGCACTCGAACTCTTCTCCAGAATGATAAACGAAGATTTTGTACCAGACGACATCACCTTTGTTGGTATATTATCTGCTTGTAACCATGGTGGTTTCGTAGAACTTGGAAGGAAGTACTTCTTTTCAATGGTAGAAGATTATAACTTTACTCCTAAACTTCAACACTATGGTTGCATGATAGATCTTCTAGGCAAAGCTGGGCTATTCGATGAAGCAGAGATACTGATAGATGATATGGTAGTGAACCCTGATGGAGCCATATGGGGTTCTCTGCTTGGCGCTTGTAGGCTTCATGGACGAGTGGATTTGGCCGAAATGGCTGCCAAGCGTGTTTTCGAGTTGGAGCCTGAAAACACTGGTGCGTATGTACTCCTGTCAAATATCTATGCTAAAGCTGGGAAATGGGATGATGTGGCGAGAATAAGAACTAGGATAAACGATAGAGGACTGGAGAAAGTGCCCGGTTGTAGTTCTATTGAGGTGGATAGTGTTGTTCATGAGTTTCTAGTTGGTGACAAGACTCATTCTCAGAGCGATGAAATCTATGAGATGGTGGATGAGATAGATGATCTGTTGGAGAAATATGGGTTTGTGCCGGATACTTCCGAGGTGTTGTATGATATGGAAGAGGAATGGAAACAAGAGGCTCTGAGCCATCATAGCGAGAAGCTGGCCATTGCTTTTGGGTTGATCAGTACAAAGCCAGGGACTACCATACGGATAGTGAAGAATCTGCGTGTTTGTGGTAACTGTCACTCTGCAACTAAGCTGATTTCGAAGATATTTAACAGAGAAATCATTGCTAGAGATAGAAATCGGTTCCACCATTTCAAAGATGGGCTTTGTTCGTGTAACGACTACTGGTAAACCATGTAAGTAAACTGAACTTAGTTCCCGTTTGATTACTCCAATTGCTGAATACATATATGTCTTAGTTTCATAAGTGAAGTTCATCTTATTTTTAAACAACAGTGGATGAAGTTCACATAATTGGTCATAGTAGAAACTAGAATCCATGCTTCTTCAATTGTTGGAAGCATGCTTGAGTGAGTTCTTTCTTGCAGTAGCTAGGACAGTCTTGTCAGCAACTATGAAATAGGCTGCTCCAGCAACTGCCGTCCAAACCATGAAACTCCATCAACAACTAGGCAAAACATAAGATAAGAAATAAGATAATCACTTCTTTCTTTGGTGAAAGTGAGCCGACCTGTGGAGATGATGAGAGCTTGGGCAGTGTGATTGAGATTAGCTCTTGCCCATGGAAGCACTCTTGCACTGGTCAGCTGCATATTTCCACATGCATGGGCCACAATATGTCAGAGTTTGGGAAATGTTTTAAGTCGTCTAGGGGTCAAGAAACCATAGAGAGTCTTCTTACAGAGATTTGATGAAGAGAAGGAACTTACAGTTGGAATAGCAGTAGCAATGCCAGCTAGGACAGCTGCCTTTGCTCCTGCAACCACTCCCTCTGTTAAAAGCAAAACCATAAAAAACATGGGGAAGAATGTTAGTACTCAATAAACATAATCAAAAAGCAAGGTAATTATTCTACTATTAATTAACTTATTCATTATAGGTTATCCAGCAGCAGTAAATCTTGACCGAACATATTCCGTAGCTTTTCTTCATGTGCAATTTTGAGTCTAAAGTTACAAGCTTTGAAAAAACCTCTCTATTGTAGAAAGAAAATCGGAAAAAAGGAGTTGTTTGGTTGGTGACTTGGTCTAAGGTTAGATCCATAATCATAATCAAAGTTCCCCTTTTCTTCCCTTCCTTTCCTTTCCTTTATATCCATTTTGATGCTGAAACATACAAAAGCTTTCTATGCATAAGATACTCTCTTCCTTGGGGCCAAAAGTGAGGGGATTTGAATTGATTCATTCAAAAAGGCTCCAAATGGGGATGTGGGTATTATCATAAACCACATCTTTATCACATTGTAGGCACGTATGAAAAACAATACATAGAGTATACCTAGCTCATAATCATGACAAAGACGCATCATAACAATAACATATAGGTTTAAGTGTTTCTATGATGGGTGGTGGCTGCATTTTCTCCTGAACCCCAGAAGTCCCAATCTCAGGAACAGCATGTGGAACCAAAAAAAGCAATTTGCTATGCATGCTCAAAAAAGGGGATACTGATGATCACTAAAGAAAGGAGGGAAAAGTAAAACTACATACCATGAGAGCAACGCTTGGCCATGGCCAACCTTTGGTCAAGTGAAGCCATGCTGGTTTCCAGGGGAGATTGAGCCACATTCTTTGCCATTGTTTGTATTTAGATTTGAAAACAGAAGAGAAGAGGGTAAAATAACTTGAATGCTGAATGAACTTGCTTGCTTTGCTGCTGGGTTTTGAGATGAGTTTGATGAAATGACTGAGCCATGGTTGTGGGGTTTATATAGGAAATGGTTTTCTCAGGAGGGGAGTTTGATGGTTTTGCAGTTGAATACCAACAATAGGAGTCGCTTGTTTTGGTTGTGGTTACAAAGGTTACTAGTTATGGTCGGTTGATTCCTCTGTCTTCTGCTCCCCTTCCCAAAAAGTACTCTGTTCTTTTCTCTGTGTGGCTTATTAAATATTAAGCTGAAATGTGACTTGTGAGAAGAAAGGCAAAAACAAAGTCCCCCAGGTTTAAGTCACACATGTGCTAGCTAGGTATCAATTCTAAAAGTAATTTGTATAGTTTATTAAGCAATCTTCATAATCTTGGATTCGCCTGAACTATTATGAGTGCCCCAACAATATTTAATGCCTCTCGTGTTCTTATCATGCATCACTGCTAATGGGTATTATTAACATAATTAAGCACAGCTTAGTGCTTTGTGATGTCTTAATCATCACTGAAATATAAACTGAGGTCTGTGGAGGTGGGCACGGGGATCTAGTACTAGTAGTCCCTTATCCACTGGCTGCTTTGCATAATGATCCTCTCTGAAATATACAGCAGCAGCAGCAGCAGCAGCAGCAGAGCAAAAAACCAATGGAAATGATGCAGAGGCAAACAAAATGAGGACATGGTATTACAATATGTTGTGCTTGCATACTATCCCTCCTCCATTTCTCGAAGTCTTAAATCGAAAATTTTAATATGAGTAGATCACTCCGTCTGGACCGGTTACATATTCTCGATCTTGTTTCGGTGTGGCTAGACTAGTCTAGCTTGATTCAGGTGATAATGGTTCTTTTACTTGCTTGAAAAAAAACCATTTTATTTCAGTTGTGATTGATTGTCTATGAGATGGGATGATGTTTGTTTTGACAGATTTAGCTCAGGTAGTTTGCTTTTGAAGGTTTGTCTGTGCTGCTTATCTGGTTTTAGGCCAGGAAGGAAGGAAGCCAGTGGTTTAGTTAGTGGGTTCGCTAAAGATTCTGCCCAAAACCATGGGTGGGCTGCCTAGTGCCTGGTGCTAAAGGTGTACAGATCCAAGACCGTTCGTTGTATGTAAATCCCAATTTACTTTCATCTAGGGATGGGAAAGGTCGAAAGGATTCGGACTTATATCGAATCGAATTGTATCGAATCGAATTTTTGGACGGAATCATATTAAATATGTTTTGATTGTGCAAATTATTTTAAGTATTAAAAGAAAAGTGGATTGAATTTAAATTTGGACGGAACCAAATATGCTTTTGATTTAGTTTTTATCCTCGATTTTCCTTTGGTTTTGATTACTGTCTTTCCTCGATTTGATTTGGTTCTGGATCGAATCAATGCCCACCCTTGCATCCTTTGATTGGGACACATGTCCTCCAAAGATGGATGGACAGATGGTCCTACATGTAGAGATGGGGCAACGGTAGATCCAACCCAGAACTGGATCGAATCATGATAGAATCATTTATCAAAAGGATGAAAAATCAATATATTTGGTTCATTTTATTCAATTTGGTCATGTCTAATTAATTTTCGATCCTTTTTTTTCCTTCATACTTAAATAACTCATATTATCGAAATTGAAATAACTAATTCGACCCAATTCGATCCAAATATCAATTCGATACGATTTATATAGTATGTACCGGATTGTTGCCTACCCTTATCTACATGCACCAGCAAGGACTTGGACCTGTAAACGAAATTGAGGATCCATGAACCCTCCCACAACTTTGGACCTCCAAACTAAGCCCAACTAATTAGGGGCGGCAAAAGCATCATTGTACACCTACGGATTGTTGCCCGTAGGTGTACAATGAAGCAAGATGTCAAACAATTTGTCGAAATAAGACACCTGACAAATTTAAATAATCGCCGAGAGATATGACATGAAGTTCATGATCATTATTTGGAGGTTACCTCATCATGAATACAAAGTAAATTATTCTTACTTATACTGTTATACAAGGACTAACTACCAACCAATCTTTCAGTAGCACTAGGCCGAAGGAACCCAAAAGTAGTTCCATGCATATTTCACTCAAAGCGGACAAAATTGTACTAACGGAAACCTCCCGCGGTTCGACGACGTAAAATATGTGTTTGCCTAGTGATAGACTATAGTTGCCCCGTTGACTGCATATACATACAGAAGTATCACTTCCAAGTCTACTGTTCGAAAGCTTCCAATTCCTTTTCTTTTGGGTCTGTTAGAGTTGTGGCTCTAAAAGGGCACACTGAGTGCCGTCAGTTTTAGGTAATGAAGAAGACCGGCGTTTCTCTGACGCGAACACTGATTGCCGTCCGTTTTGAGTCGAACAACAACAACAACAACAATACAAGATCCAAAACCCCAGCCCCTGTTCTTCACGAAGAAGACCGACTTTGACTTCTGCAGCAACCAACACACAGACAAAATCATCAGCAACGACCGAATCCCACACCACACAAACATTACTTGGATAACATTCACCACTACCCTGTTTATAAAAATCAAAGCTTTACAATAATCCAGAGCACAGCACAAATTCAACCAAAACCCACCAATCAAAAATGGCTCCAAATCATGAATCCCCTGTTTCTTCTGCTTCTTCCATTTCACATTCAGTACTAGTGATTCTGCAGGCCATCCTGATCCTTCTGCTTCTTCCTTCCGCCACCGCCTCCTCACCGTCATCAACTGCTCGGCGAGAAGCAGAGGCTTTGCTGGAATGGAAAGCCAGTCTCAGCAAAACCCATCCCCTGATGTCAACCTGGGCTCCATTTTCCTCTCCCTGCAGCACCACCGCCGCCGCCGCCTGGTACGGAGTCCACTGCAACCGAGCCGGGCGGGTTCACCGGTTGAACCTGACCGGCTCGGGCATCGAGGGCACTCTCGATCGGTTCCCGTTCTCCCGTCTCCCCAAGCTCGCCTACATGGACCTCTATCAGAACCGGCTCTGGGGCTCGATCCCGACTCGACTCGGTGTCCTCTCGCGCCTGGTCTACCTCGACCTGTCCGCGAACCGGCTCAACGGGACGATCCCGCCCGAGATCGGCCGGCTCGCAAACCTCGAGACCCTCCACCTCGTCGAGAACCAGCTGGTCGGACCGGTTCCTGACGAGATCGGCCGGCTGGTTAACCTGAGGGAGCTCGCCCTGCACAGCAACCGGCTGGACAGTCCGCTCCCGGCTTCGATTGGGAACCTGACCGGCCTGGCTTTTCTTTACCTCTACAACAATTCCATCTCGGGCCGCCTCCCCGATGAGATCGGGAATATGTCCGGTCTGGTCGAGTTCTATATCGACACGAATAACCTGACCGGTCCGATTCCGTACAGTTTCGGTGGTTTGCGGAATCTCGCCCTGTTCTACGCTTTCGAGAACCAGCTTTCGGGTCCGATTCCTTCGAGTTTCGGGAACCTGGCTTCGCTTCGGAATCTGAGCCTTCACTCGAACCGCTTCTCGGACCGGATTCCACCGTCCCTTGGCGGTCTGTCAAGTCTCGTCATGCTTCACCTCTATGGAAATCGGCTTTCCGGCTCGATTCCGACGGAGCTGGGAAACCTCAACGGCCTGGTTAATTTGGATTTGAGCAGGAACCGACTCAACGGTTCGATACCTTCCTCCTTTGACCGACTCGTCAATTTGAAACTGTTGTTCCTTTCCGGTAATCGGTTAACCGGTTCGATCCCTCCGAGGATCGACAACTTGTCGATGCTGATCGAACTTCAGGTATTCGATAACCAGTTGACCGGTTCGATTCCTCCGAATTTGTGTGGGTCCCTTCGCAGAATTGGAGTCAACGGGAATCGCCTCTCCGGTCAAATCCCAGCGAGCCTGAGAAACTGCTCCAGCTTGGAAAGAGTCGTGTTTCAAGGGAATCGTCTCCGAGGAAACATTTCCGCCATTTTTGGCATCTATCCGAAGCTCAAGCTAATCGATCTCAGCAACAACGAATTCGACGGTGAAATTTCAGCCAATTGGGGCAACTGTCCACAGCTCACCACGTTCAAAATTGCAGGGAACAATGTCACCGGCGTGATCCCGCCGGAGCTCGGAAAGGCAACTCGCTTGCAAGCCCTCGATCTCTCGTCGAACAACTTAGTCGGCGGAATTCCGATCGAGATCGTCGATTCCCTTCCCCTAACGACGCTGATTCTTTCAGGGAATCAGCTCTCCGGCTCCGTACCTCCGGAGATCGGAACAATGCCCGATATCCGGTATCTCGACTTGTCATCGAACAGACTCGGTGACGAAATCCCCATGGAAACAGGGAAATTGGTAAATCTGTTCTACTTGAATTTGAGCAGGAACGAATTCGGCGGGAAAATCCCGGCTGAAATTGGGGATCTGGAGCACCTGTCGCAGCTAGACTTCAGCCAAAATTCGTTATCCGGAGAGATCCCTCGGGAATTCTCCAAACTCGTGGACTTAGAAGATCTCAACCTCTCCGGCAACCAGCTGACCGGAGAAATCCCAGCGACTCTAAGCGAACTCCGTGCGCTGAAAAACGTCGATCTATCAAACAACAATCTCCATGGACCAGTTCCTGATAGCGTTGTTTTTGAAGAAGCCAAGCTTGGAGGGAACGAAGGACTCTGCCGCAGCCATGGAGCTCCCACTTCCTTCCCGCAGTGCAGCAGCACTGGCTCTCGAACGAAGAAGATCAAAATTCTCCTCATCGCCTTGCTCCCGGCGCTAGGAGTAGCTGTGATTTGCTGCGGCGCGGCGATGTGGTGGAAGCGCGGAACAGGGGAGGGACGAAAACAGGGGAAAACAGAGGAGGATTCTTCGATGCTGCTGTTCGCTTCGATCGCCGACGGGAAGTTGTTCTACGAGGAAATCATCAAAGCCACGGGGAATTTCAGCGAGGCCCACTGCATCGGAGAAGGCCGATTCGGGACCGTCTACAAGGCGGAGCTGTCTTCAGGAACCACCGTCGCCGTGAAGAAATTCAAGTCCCGGCACGAAACCGGCAGAGAAAGCGAGCTTGACGACGGCGATCAGAAGGAATTCCGGAACGAGATCGACGCGTTGAAGGAGATAAGGCACCGCAACATCGTGAAGTTCCATGGCTTCTGCGCCCACCCTCGCCACTCGTTCCTCGTGTACGAGTACGTTCAGAGAGGCAGCCTGGCGTCGGTCCTGAGGCACGACGAAGCCGCCATGGAATTCGATTGGAAGAAACGCTACAACGTCGTGAAAGGTGTGGCCGATGCCTTGGCTTACATCCACCATGAGTGCACCCCTCCGATCGTCCACAGAGACTTGTCGAGCAACAACGTGCTCCTCGATTCGGAGTACGAAGCCCACGTCTCCGATTTCGGGACGGCCAAGCTTCTGAAGTTGGATTCCTCGAATTGGACCGCGGTTGCAGGAACCTATGGTTATATCGCACCAGGTATGTATGTATGTATGTATACATGACTACGATATCATCTCGATTTGATTACGTGACGATGTTAGACGGCTTGGTATAATAACTCGTGTTGTTGGCAGAGTTTGCGTACACGCAGAAAGTGACGGAGAAGAGCGATGTGTACAGTTTTGGAGTGGTCGTGTTGGAGGTGATGAAAGGGAGTCATCCGAACGAGCTGTTCGATGCGATCTCGATGAAGACGGAGATTGAGATGAATGAGATGTTGGATCCACGACTGTTGCCTCCCCCGCCACAGGTCGAGGATAAATTGAAGTTCGCTATCAACATGGCTTTCTTATGTTTAGACAAAGATCCAAATGAGAGGCCAGATATGAGGATGCTTTCTCTCGAATTTGCTAAACAAAGCTATAACCCAACCTGAAAACTTTGTACATGTGCTTTTAAGGTTTGCTATTTGGTTCGGTTACGGGTTAATTTGTGATTGGTATTATCGGTCAACCGTTAACCAAACAAGAGGTTCTGACAGTCAACGTGTTTAAGGTTATCGGTTATTCGGCTGCCACTGGTTCGGTGCGATTTATTTTATTGATTGTTCGATAAATCGGTAACACATCGTTTGATTGATAACTAATGAAATTTGAAGGCCGAGTGAGTGCATCAATTTTAACTATCACGGATACTAATTTGATTTCCAATACGATCTGGCCATTTCCATCCCGTGATTAGATAATCTTGGTGTGGGGGCAATTTGAGAGGTGGGTGGTTTCCGAGTAGAGACTTGGTGTGTGTTTCTTTCGACGTAGGTGATCTGAATAATACCATGAATATAAATTGCTACATGTCAAATCAATTGACAAATAATTGGATAGGATGCATGTGTCTTTCAAGTTTGAATATGATATCATGGTGCTAAGTACATCAAGCACGCAATTTATGTATTAAAATCTCTAAAAGAAAGCGTCATATTATTGCTAGGGATTGACCTAAACTCTAACCACTGTCCTAGGGCTTACACCAACTGAAGACAAACTGAGAGAAGTTATTCGCTTATCTCGTCTGAAACAACGACATCGAATAGTTGACTAGAGCAACTTTCCTCTTGGATTTTTTCAATTGGACACCAAGAGCAACCTATCTCTAGCATCAAGGAACTCGACAGGGTAGGGATCTGATACATCAAGATTTCGGAGGTCGGGTCGTAGTTCAATTTCGTCATTTGTTTCTCTTAATACGAGACAAGAGGTGCGCCCCTAAAAAGATCGGACAACAACCATTGGAATATTACACAAACATGTTTCATTTCAGAGCGGATATAATTTCGTTCTTGTTTTCAATGTATTAAGAGAACATTGTCATCGAAAATAATGACTAACCTCTCTTCGCACGTGATCGTACAAAGCGGTAAATGATTGCCCACAAAGTGAAATTGTGGCATAATTTTTTTTTTTTGTCATTATAAAGTTATATTTTTTATTTAAAACATGGTTTTACGTTATGGGCTTATGGCCAATAGAGCTCCAAGCAATAACCAACGGGCCTGTCTTGGATTGGGCTTCCCGTGATATTTTCGGCCCGCAAACAACTTTCTCGCTTCTTGATCCAGAAAAGCTAATGCTTCTTGACCCATTCGTCAAAGATGTATTAATCTTTCCACCCACACCCAGGGAAGCAACTAGCTCGTGCAAGACGACGATCCCCGTCTGCAACGCACACCAACTGTTCGACGAAATTCCCATTAGAATCTCGCTCAACCCAACCAGACCTAAAACGCTGACACCATGATCCCCAAGCAAATTCGGCCATTGGTGACCACCGCCGCTTTCGTCTTCGGCGGATTGGTGGCTGTTAACGTCGCCACCACCCTCACCGTCAATGCTCTCCGCCACGCCACCGAACTCAAGCGGGTAAAAACCGAACAACTCAACGGAACAAATTCGTTTCCAGCGCCCTTTTGATGCTGTGCCATTTTCAAATTCTGAGATATGGGTTTTGTATTTTCGTTCGTCACCCGCCAGAAAAAAGTTGCTTTGCCATGTGGGGTTTGCCGGGGGAAAGGGTTCTACATCTGCAAACTGTGCGGCGGAAATGCCACCATCGAATGGTCGCCTCTGTTCGACCCTGTAGCCATGAATCCTTGCCTCTGCCCTACCTGCGACGGCAACAGGTCAGTCATTCAACCGCCAACCAAATTCTTAGATCGACCCTTTTTCAATGCGATGCAATTAAAAGGCAGAATTGTACTCTGCTTTGCTTGCAGAGTCCAGCGATGCTTGAACTGTCTTGGTAAGGGCTACAGTTGATAAGGTTAGGAACAGAAGTGGTTTTCTGTGGCTTTGAAGTGGGTAGTACATGTATTGGTGAGATTGGTAATGGGGGAAGTGGGATTTGATTAGCAGATCTAATCAATGTCATTGTCAATCATTCCATGGTGTTTATGCAAACTTGTAGCTGCTACAATTCAACCAACCATCATAGAGTTAATGATTTGGGGTGCTGCTGGAATCCTCGACTATTTGTACTTATTCAATCATGTGAATTTATTGTCAAAAAAGGGGATGGCAATGATCATAAGCCAGATGACAAAACTGACGAATGAGGGAATTCATTTCCTTGTTTTCATAATCCAGCTTCAGCAATCATGTGACTATGTCTACTGTCTACCACTAGTTTCTATGTGGTGTAAAGCAGCACCTACAATATTAATCTCGTTAGCATGTTGATGGGTTTGGACTTTGGAGTGGGGAGTTGACGTTTTTCGAATTATGTAACCTGTAATGCAAGTCGTAAGATGTTCACTTCACATGTTTTACAAAAATATCACTGTGTGTATTCAAGAATGGAAAATACGGAATTCTGCTATCCATTGGTACCAACATCGCTAATCCCAGCCCGATTCGTCTGTCTGCCATTTTGGTGGTGAACAACCTCATCCATTGCACATTGGTGTCGAGCTTAGTCATCAAAATATCTTCATATGCATAAAAACAACTAGTTCCGTAGACTTGTGCCAATTCGACGATGTCAACCCGCGCTGCGGACCCTAACCCCATCACAACCTAGCAGAATTCCTTGTTGCGTTGGATCGACAGATGGATTTGTCAACCATGTGAAAGCAATGACAAAGGCAATGTACTTGGCAAACTATTTGGAGGAGCCAATCATCAAAACCACCATATAAAGCCTCCTACCCTACAACGGCTCATCATCACTTCACAGCACAAACAACACACCAGCACCAGAAACGCACTCTGTCTCTGTCTCTCTCTCTGTCATTGTCCCACCTCCGCCATTGACAGAAATAGCACATGAAGGGCACATTCCCTCTTCATGATTTGTGCCTACGCGACACCTCCAAGGTGTGCTCCATGTTGTATGGAATGAAGTTAACAACCTCCACCATAATTTTTACACATGACTTCCACGATAGGACTCCGTCCTTCTTTTGGGCTGTTGCTGACTTGCTGTTGTTGTTCTTCTCCTTGCTCTGTTTTTCCGTTTCATTCATCTCGAGTTGTCTCTTTCCCTCCATAAAGATTGCATCTTTCTAGGTTTTCTGGCATTGGGTAAAGCTATCATTTACTTCTTCTTATCAAATATTCCTTCGAGGCGCTAACCCCCTAGTTGACTTTAGGGACGTGGGGAGCCAGCAAAATATGTGCCGATTTTGTGGCATGGCCGGCTGAGTACTCCACGCCCTTTAAGGCTTTAACTACGAGGCCGGCAGTTACTCTGTTCCAACTAAGTCAAGCATCAGTTAAAGAGGCAAAAGGTATTGGACTTTGTTCTCCTAACCTTTTTGCGAAACAGCAACATTTGACCGGCTGATCATCTGGTGGGTATAATAAAGTTGGGAAATGAATTTTAGCCTCAACCCTTTGGATCGTCACCGGCGGCGGATTCAGGACTTGGATAGAGCACTGGAGCATATTTTGAAAAGAGGCAGAATGGGTTGAGTCGTAGCTTGACAAAACACTTAGACGATTACCGAAAATAAAAAAAATTTACAAGTACTATACTAGCTTTGATCCAGAGGAGGGTTGGGTCGCAGCCAGGTGGCGGCCCCCCTGGATCCGCCGCTGATCGTGACCTAAACAGAGAATATACGGTATGAACCAGGTTGGGTGTTGGATGGCTTTCGATGTGATCGAGCCAAATACATACTTGTTTCGCCTTACTTTTGATATTGTCGAATTCTAACTCATTTGTAACAAAGAGTCGATAAAGTTTAGTTCAGAAGATTAATATGTTGAATTCATTCTAGTGAGATTTTCATATCGAATTCACCTTAAATTGATCAAAATTTCACTTGAATGCGCTCGTTGGCTTTTATAAAATGAATGTTTAGACTATTTATTAATAAAGAAGTAAAGTCATAGACTTGCCTTAGAACATCAATCATCTTAAACTACTATTACATTCTTGAGTATTGATGATGGTTTCAACTCTAGGTACTCACCAAAAGGAAAGACTTGTATTGGTCAGTTTTGACTTCTTATTGTATTAGTTGTTCTCCAATCACCATCCGTCTGAACTCTGAACCTATTCTTCCCATGGAGTTTGATTGTCAAACAAACATGATGAGAAACCCATCTCGTGGTTGGACTTTTTGAGTTCATTTTGCAAACCCTAGAATGCAACTTTACAGAGGTACAAATCATGCTATGGGATAATGATTAATGGGTAGGTGCCAGGCATCCTACCTTCCTTTCATGCATAGAATAAAGTACAAGTCGAAATTTGTACGTCGTGTTTGTGACGTCGTATTGGTTTGTTCTTATGCGTTGAATCACGCGTGTCTAACATGCTACCTTTCTAGCTCTTTCAATGTCTAAAATAATGTACATTTTGAAATTTGTACAACCTATTGACAACAGATTAATTGTTTCCTTCATAGTAGTACCGTAACAACTTTTAAACAAGTTTCGATGATGCATTACTAGCATTAGTATCGTAATCTGAATAGTTAGTCTCAATTGTTCAATCCTTGCTTCGATTTTACCATCTCACGTCAACCAATTGTAGTTACTTACTCACTTACTTTGGATACATATTCTCTTCACTCGGTAAGTTTCAACGACCAATTTCAAATGACAGAATAACAAATCGAAAATTAGAAACTTGTAAGATGATGAAAAGTAACAAACAATCTGACTTCTCAATCGAATCGAAAGGAAGCAAACACATGCAAATCCTTCAATACATCCTATTCCAATCCCTAATAGTAATAGCAAGCCCTAACCCTCCTCTTTCTTTCCTTCCTTTATGTTGAGTTTGAATCTATACATGGATTGTCAATCATGTGAACCAATCACAAAAATCCCAAAAAAACAGAGTATAATCCCAGCAAAACAGAGTATCACACCAAATCTACACCAATCCCTCTCTTCCAAACCTCTTCTTCCCCTCCTCCTCCCACACAATCGCCGACGCCACATCCGCCTTCATCCTCTCCACGATTTCCCCCGCCGACGGACGCTCGCTCACCGCCAGCCCAACACATCTCCTCGCGATCTCGAACATGGCCTCCACTTCCCCCAAATCAAACTCGCCTCCCAATTTCGGATCCACCAATCCCGCCAAATCCGCCGCAAATTCATCCCCGCGCTCCCTAATTATCGCCGCCAGAACCTCCCCTTTCTCCTCGGAGAACGCCTCCCGCCCCGTCAGAAGCTCCAAAACGATGACCCCAAAGCTGTAGATGTCGTTCTTCTTGGAAGCCAAACCAGTACGGAGATAATGCGGGTCAGAGTAACCCAGCGAGCCCATCATCACCATTTTCTTCCTCCTCTGCCCTCCGCCCACCGCCGCCACGGCGGAGGAGAATCCCATTTTCGCCGACCCGAAATCGCAAAGCTTGCAGCTTTCGTCGGCGTCGAGCAGGACGTTGGACGCCTTGATGTCGCCGTGGACGATTGGGATGTCGCCTACGCTGGAGTGGAGGTAATCGATTGCTTCGGCGAGTTGGTACGCAATCGCCATCCTTCTGCCCCACGGTAGCGGCCGGCGCCGGCCACTCCCGTGGAGCCTCTCTTGCAAAGTTCCATTCGGGACGTACTCCATCACCAGCGCGCCACCTAAAAAAACCAAAAAAGGGTTTCACTTTCAGTCAGTTTGCGTGAAAATTGAGAAACCCACTTATACGAAATTCGGAAAAAGAACGAACCTTTATCGTCGGAGTAGCCCAAAAGCTTGACGATGCGCCGGTGGTAAAGGCGGAGGAGGATGTCGAGCTCCTGATTGAACAGCGGGCTGAGATAGTCGCCCGAGCAGCTCACTTTTACCGCCGCCGGACCACCAGCCAAGTACACGTTGCTGAACCCACCAGATCCGATCAAACACGCGAAATTCCGGGTCAGATTCTCGATCTCTTCCCAGCTGTACCTCGCCGGAGAACAATCATCAAAATCACCCCTTCCTTTCCCTTCCTTCTCTCCCCCGCAGCAGGATTCGTCTGAAACAGCCGCAATCCGGTCCCCATTGGGTTTCCCCCGGCGGCGACGGCTGGTTAGGAAATTGGGTATACATCCAAACGCCATAGGAAGAAGAACAAAAACAGAGGATTGGGAAAACAGAGTACTGCAAAAACAGAGTAGCAGTACAGACTACAGAGGGAGAGAGAGAGAGAAAGAAAGATGCACGCTTTGCAGGGGTAAGTGAGAAGCAAAGGGTTTATAAGGGAAGGGGAGTGGGAGAAAGCTGTCGGTGGGCAATCGGCGGTAGGAGAAGGGGACAAAGGGGGTGATAAAAGGAGGAAAATGCAGAGAGCGGAAAGGAAGGGACGAAGAAGAAGTGGAGACTTCAGAGAGGGAAACAGAGTAAGTAGAAGGAGAAATGGAACAAAAAGAGAGAAAAGACGGGCCAACCAACAGACCCTGGGGCCCTTTCTCTGTAGGGTAAGGTGCCCTGCGGTGGCCGAATTATAGGACACGAGTGGGTTTCTTTATAGTTTTGTGGAAATGAAAACAAAAAGAGAGAATGGTGGAGGGAAAAGGACTGTGGAATAAAGAAAGGAGGAAGGAGATGAACCATGGAAGCAAGCAAAGGAGGGAGGGAGGAAGCACTCAGATTTAGATAAGTACTTCTCTGCTACCACCCGGCATTCGGATTTAGACCTTTGATTTTGGGGTTTATTTAAATTTGATTTGATTTTGTTAGGATTAGGAGGGGTGTATCCTTCACACGGTCACCACCAAACATCTTTTTCCAAATTGATTAATGTGAGCCTTGATTGAAATCAATATCACACATCGATGGAGTTGATTTGATTAGAGCTTGACAATGAGATAAAATTATCGTTAGGGTGATCGAAAAGTGAAAAGTTCATTGTTTGTAAGATCGGAGAATCATGTTTTGATTGGTTAATTAATCAGGATGAAGCGACTGCGTTGTCTCGGAGAGAGAGTGAAGGGGGAGGAAAAGGAGGGGGAGAATGATTTGTTTTGTGATCGAAAGATGACATATTTGATTGCGCGAAGGAAAGAATCTTGCATGTTTTTTTTTTGGTTATTCTTCGTCTGTATTTATTGTTGAGATATGGATTTTGTTGTGTGTTCGTGGAAAATATTTTCCTGGGAAATGTGATTGTTTTGACTGGAGCAGTTAATTATGACAATGTGGGAGGCATAAAGGGAGTGGATGAAAATGTATAAGTTATATACTTTCTTTTACCGCAAGCTAGAGGATTTGATTACGTAAACAAAAACTTGAACGCATCAAGTTATTGTCTTACTATGTTTATTGCATAGGCATTCTTCCTATGATTTTCATTTTGGTGGAAATGATTTGTTGGATTGGAAGTAAGTTGATATCACAGAATATATATTATCGGATTTGAAAGAATGACTGAACGTAAAAAGTTTCGTCTTCCATATATATAATCGCACTTGATTGGGATTAATAATAACGATGCGGACAATGAGCGGGAGATAGGAGGAAACGAAAAAGGTAGGGGGATGAAATGTTTTATGATCGAAAATCGACATATTTGGTTGCGTGAAGGAATAATGTTACGTTTTTGGATTAGTCTTTATTAGTATTAATTGTCTTCAAATTGAATTTTGCTACGCACTCGTTGGAAATGTTTCTTCTAGAAACTATGATGGCGTTGAGCAGTTAATTAGAATGATGCGGATAAGCAAAATGCAAGAGTAAAAAAGAAAAAGTAATATATTTCGTGATCACAAGCTATCATGTTTGTTTACATATATAACGAATTAACGATAAATTAATCGAATCAAGTCATTCTTTTGCCGAATTTATTACATGTTGATTCTTCTCCTAATTTGGTTTTTTGTTTGTATTCGTGCAAAAGAAAATTTCCCCACAAATGATTTGTCCTTTGGGTGTTTGGTAATCAATCACACAAAGTTAATATCAGAGCATGTTTATCATTTAATTATGAAGATTTTGTGCCTTTTTAAAATTGTGGCCGTGTGGATTCTGTCTGTCGAGGAATTTCGGGGGCCCGCTGAGTGTGAGAGTGGGATTTTAATTTATGGCTTGCCACGTTGGTTCGCGTTGAAAATGCTCCTATAATTTTGAGGCCCAAAAAGAAGAGATTTGCAAAGTTCGGCCCATGCTAGAAAACGGGCCGGACAATAATGTCCGGGCTTAGAGCGGACACAGTTTATGGCCCATTAGACGACATTTGATTGTAGAGCAAAGTATGGGTAAGCCCGGGATGGATGATCATATGTCACGTTTGTAAAGCGAGCGGGGTAAAACTTTTTTATCACCTTGTTACATAATCTAAAATTGTTATGGCGGTAAAAACATTTTTCTATTCCGGTGCCGCCCCGAAACGGCGCCGACTCTGCCCAAATTAAATTTGAAACGCCACCTCATTTATTATTTTTCTCAAAAAATAAATCCGCGAAGGTACTTTTCTCCACGTCAGCTTAGGTGGGCCCCACTACATTCGTGTCACCGCCTGCGTTCATATAAATCTCGTTCGTCGCCTTCTCCCTTTCTCTCTCTCTCTCTCTCCCATTCGTCCCCCGAAAATTTTCTCCGAGAGAGAGGAGCTGAAAGGGAGCCCTAGCGGCTAGCACAGGCAGCTCTGCAAGCCGAATCCGGCGGCTTTCAGCTCACTTTTCCCCGGCGACTACTATAAGATTTCTACGGTTCTCGCCGATCTTCGCTTCTTCTGACTATCCGAATTACTTTCAAGGACTTAGCTTTTATTTTTCCTTTTCATTTTGGGTTGTTTTTCTTCGCCGGGTGTAATTTGTGTTGATTAGGGGAGAGGGAGAATTCAGGATTTTAATTTTGGTGGTTTCAGCTGAATTCAAATTCTGGAAGGCTGTTAGTTGGTAAAAAGTTCTCGAATGGATTTGGGTTGTGCCGTCGATTTTGGGTGGGATCTATTGTTCATACTGCTTTCTATTCAACCTGTTTCGTCTGATTTTGGTTGTGGGGTTCAATTTGCTCATGTGTGTGGGGGGAAGCTGTGGGTTCCATGGCCGGATGAAGCTCTGATTTTCCTTTCCTGTGTTTGAGTCGGTTTAGGGTTTGATGACGAGGGGGCGAAGAAATGAAAGCTATTGGGGAGCTAGTGGTAGTGTTTAGAATGGATTGTGATGAGGGTTTGTTCCAGTTTTGGATTGCAATTTCGCGCCGTGCTTTGGCTCTACTGTGTTTTCGCTGTTGATTGTGGTATTGTAGTAGGAGGTTAAGCCGTGGGGGTGCCTATGTTTTATCGCTGTAAAATTTTTATGGAAATGATTGATGAAGAATGGAAGATTTGGGGTTTGTATATGAGGTGTAGTGGTACTAGTCGTATGAGTGAATTGAGTTTCCGTTTGTTCGTTAGGAAGTATGGTCATTGATATTGAACATTTGGGGGCGTCTCTTGGTACTTCGGTGCTACTATGTCTTGCTGCCAGCGGCTTTTTGGATGGGTTGTTAGCTACCAGTTTGCCCTGCTTATGGATTGGATTGCTGATGTTTGGTTACTGTTGTTTCGGACCGAATATGGTTGCCTGGTTTTGTTTCTAAAACTTCTGTTTTCTATGCTGCTGCAGTTGAAGATCGGGTGTCTGGGTCCTTTTAGGGTTACATTTAGAATCAATCAGAAGTTTCAACGATGGCGAAGGATAGAAGAGATCGTTCTAGGTCATTTGATAGGTACAGAACTTCCCCTTACCCAAGCAGTTCCAAACGTCCCAAGCTCTCTTCACCAAAGGTGTCGTCATCAAAGCCAGATGAAAACATACAAGAATTTGAAGATGCCCGGTGCCCCGTTTGCATGGAGCATCCACACAACGCCATCCTCCTCATTTGCTCATCGCACGACAAAGGTTGTCGGCCGTACATGTGTGACACCAGTTATCGTCACTCGAACTGCTTTGATCAGTTCCGTAAATCGTTCAAGCAGCAGCCCCCCTCAGCACCACCGCCCGAAGAGAGTAGTATTAGGGGCTCAACAGAGGTAGTAGTAGTCAATCCAGAATCGGCAACTGTTCCGAGCTCTGCTGGAAGTGGTAGTAGTAGCTGTGACAACAAGGTGCCACCTCAGCTGATGTGCCCCCTCTGCCGAGGCCACATCAAGACGTGGGTGGTACTGGAACCAGCTCGGAGCTTCATGAACTCGAAATCAAGAAGCTGTGCCAGCGAGGCCTGTGAATTCAGCGGCACGTATTCTGATTTGAGGAAGCACGCGAGGCACGAGCACCCCCTCGTCAGGCCGTCGGAGGCCGACCCCGAGAGGCAGCGGGATTGGAGACGGCTGGAGCGCCAGAGGGATTTGGGGGACTTGCTGAGCATGCTGCAAGCCTCGTTTGGCGAAGAGAGGGTGGGGCTCGACGATGACAGTACCGACATAATGATGCCGCCCATTGAAGATGGCAGTTTCCTTACCTTCTACTTCCTCATTAGGGTTTTCAGACCGGGGGTCATAGTCAGTGGGTCAAGGAGTAGAGGGTCATCAAGTGCTGGAAGGCGGTCGACTGCTACTAGTGCAGATCGTTGGGGGGAGCTTCGCAATGATGAAGAGACTGGATCTTCTTCCGGAGAAGAGGAGAACAACAACAATGATGACTCGGACGGAGCGTCAGTACCCTCCAGGCAAAGCGAGCGGATTCGAAGGCAGCGGAGTTCACCAGACTCTGATGGAGTGCCCCCGGCTCTAAGGCAAAGCGAGCGGATTAGGAGGCAGCGAAGGACTCCTGACTCGTCGTGAATGTTGTTGTTGTTGTTTCTTTTAAGTCGGGATGTTCGAAATGTAAGTGCAAGCCCCGACCTTCTCCTCACTCTTTCACACGTTTGTGTAAATGATAAGAGAGCCTACAACCCTAATCTCTTCCTGTTCTGCTTTTGCAGGTGGTAGAAGTGCGCCGTCGCGCTCCTGGATTGCTTACAGACAGGGTTCGGATGGGGGTGTGAAACAAAAGTGTAATATGGAAACAGGGGCTTCTTGAATTCAATGAAGTGATTTGTGTTTTCATTCTCGCAAAGTGCATTTGCTTCAGTTCATCAGCTGTGATTATCATGGAGAAGCTTACATTTTGTTTCTGAGGTGATCATCAACAAAGCAGGTTGCTGCTATATGTTGGTGGATTCTGTAAATCAGTTGTGTCTTAGCTAACATGGGTTGGCTCGACTTTGGCTGACTATGGATTTCAAATGAAACAATTTTGAGTAGCAATCATGAGGCCAACCTGTGATTTGCAGTGAACTTTGGAACTCATCAATTAATAAATCTAATCGGTTGAAAGCTCTTTTGTTTCTTGAAAATGAGCCATCTATGGAGACATTAATGAACAAACAAAGAAAGAACGAGGTGGATACGAGAGTTGATATGATGAGAATTATCTTTTCGCAAATACTCGTAGTAAACTGATGTTACGAGAATAGTAGATCTACTACTGATGTTACGAGAATAGTAGATCTATCAAGTTGTCTATAAGAGTACTGAATAGTGAGATAAGATGTCACATACCAATATCTATAATTCTCACTAATTTCAAATTTGTTTATTAGAATGATAATCTAAATTGTTATTGCGATAATAATTAGAGATCATCGATTTGTATGTATTTGATATTGCTATCATATATATTTGAGGCATTATGCACCATTCCATTCCATCCAAACAAATACTTCATACAAAAGATAAATTAAATGTTATTTATGCGACTCATACTCACATTTCATTTTACTACTGTGGTGGTTGACGAGTGTCGCATTAGTGTGCACTGAATATAAATATAGGTTATTTGCTTGTTTATGAAGTTGCTCTAAGCAATAATTACAAATTAATTGAACCTCACTATATAAAAAAAAAAAATTAATTGCACCTTGCAAGTTTGGTGAGTGGCGATCGAGAAATGAAATTTTTTATTAAAGAGAGAAAAGCGCTGGACAAAAATAATGAATTTATTACAAAAAATTTTTTAATTTTAATTTTAGTGTATATATTCAGGTTAGTTCGTTGTTTGTTACTTTCCATTTTCACCTCCTTTCTGGCTGGACGGAGGTGGTGGTGACGGTGGATCTCTTTCTCAGCACCTCGCTCTCGCTCTCGCTCGTCTTTTCTTCTTCCTCATTGCTCCCATGGAGTGAACCGAGCCTCCACACCGCACCAGCTTCCGAATTATTTGGGAGGGGCAAAAAGCTTTTGCTGCTCCCGCTGGCTCTGTAATTCGTATCTGTTGCAGCTTTCGCGAATGGGGTCTGAAACCATCTCGGGCTCCGAGAAGGAGAATTCGAACCATAGCGCTGAAACCCTCGTGACGCTGAATGTCTACGATCTCACCCCTGTCAACAATTACACCTACTGGTTCGGATTCGGGATTTTCCATTCCGGCATTGAAGGTCTGGCCTTCCCTTCTTTTCTTTCCTTTCCTTTTCTGGGTTCGTGTTTTCAAGAGAGCTGCTTCTTGGGTTTAATTCCTCTTATGTGGAGGGTTTTGGGTTTTTGCCGTGGTTGGATTTGTTTGAATAGGACTCTTTCAACTGCCTCCAATTCCAGATTTGATAATTTCTGCGTAGATGCTTCTTGAAAATGGGAAGAATGCGATTGGATTCTAGGGGTATCTTTGAAGAATTTACCATGTCAAATTGTGTGGCCTGATAATGGGGAGACGATCTTTTTTGTGTGGAAATTTGAAGTCAGGGAAAGCTGTTAGCTTTAAGAAGTTGGATTTGATGATTCTTTCTTTCTCTTTTCACTGTTTGCAGCTTGTGGAGTAACTTCCTTTCACGGGAATAGCATAGCATCTTTGATTTAGACCACCTTTGTGATTCCTTTGATCATTCTTTGCTGCAGTTCAGTTAGCCTCCTTTCATTTTCAGTCGCTTAATGGTGTTTGACTTTCTGTTTCTAGCATTGGATTTCGACTAGAACATGAGATAGTGCATTTATGGAAGAAGGGTTATGATCCTGTACGAGTTGTATGAAAGTTGGTGTAGATTTTATCTGGAGATTCCTACAATTTGACAAATGGGCAAACTCTAATTACAATGTAACGCCTTTCTCTAAGTATTTTGGTTCGAATAGCTCGCCTGATTTTGCGTATATTATGTTAACAGTTCATGGGAAGGAGTATGGATTTGGAGCTCATGACTTCCCAGTCAGTGGAGTTTTCGAAGTCGAGCCAAGAGAATGCCCCGGTTTCATTTACAGATGTTCCATCCCATTGGGGATCATAAAGATGCCGCCCACTGAGTTCAGGACATTCATAGAGGGTATGGCTTCCGAGTATCATGGAGACACGTATCACCTAATCTCCAAGAACTGCAACCATTTCACAGATGATCTAAGCTCCAGATTGACAGGAAAGAGAATCCCAGGTTTTGTAAATCGCCTCGCCCGCCTAGGTATGCAAAAGCTAATTATCATTGAGACATTCAATTACCATTCAGCAGTAGTTGTCTTGTATCTTGTTTGACATGAATTAGAAAAATGTTCTCATTTCTACGGTTGTGTGTTTTGAAATCCTGCAGGTTCTCTGTGTAGTTGTTTGCTTCCTGAAAGCCTTCAAGTAACTTCAGTGAAACCGCTACCTGAACACCATGACCTGGGTAACTACTGCAGTTCCTTCCGACTTATATCTTTGATCTTACATCCATTTGTCAGAATTTCCTCTGAAACCTATGATGAAATTGCTTTAAATACAGAAGATGGAAGCGAGTCCGTGACAACTGGCACCCCACTCTGCGAACAAATGGAAATCGATGATACCGATCAAGAGAGGCACCTTTTGTCTCCCAGCAGTGGAGCTATAGAAGTGTTGTTTGTCAAAGAGAGAACTCCCACAGAAGAAGAAAAGCTGCCTCATTGAGGGTTGTATACAAAATCCTTTTCAAATTCACTGCTGCAGAATCCCCCAAGACACGAACTCATGCGTAGGATGCACAGATATAGGATCCTCAATTTGCTTGCTTTTTCCCTTGCCAATCCCTGTATAAAGGCTGCAAGGAACGAGAGCCTCACAAGTCACAAAACTTGGGTTAGTGCTTTTGCTGATGGCTTGCATTTTTTTCTTTTGCTTCTGGTTTTTGTTGTACCATTGTTAGGTTTACCACTTGATTGTCATACGGCTTCCACTCCACTCTGGATTGTGCCACAGATTGCTGCTACAGACATTCTGCTTTGATCTGTTGCAAGGAAAAAAATCAGAAAATCTAGTAACCCGTTGTTGGTCTGTAATTGTATTCATGCCTTGTACTGGCACTTTCCTAGTTGGTGGAAATGATTTCTTGAAATTGATTCAGAAGTCAATGTGGTATTATCTTCATCAATGCAATTGTCTTGTTTGTAGGGTTAACAGAAACAACTAAATCTGGGGACCAACCTAGTTCAATTGCCGGGAAGTATTGGATATACGTATTTCGGTTAGCAGTTTGATGTTGATGTGCTAGTAGATTTAATTTGTCTTAGTGAAGAACACTGATTCGATGTGCTCGTACGTTGATGAAATGTAAGAACACGATGCTAGTTTTGGCTATACAAGTGCAAATCTATAATGATACAGATGAATCCGACCTAGCTTCGATCCAAAACAAGCGACTTCGAATCCGGTCAAAATATTGAACAGAATGGTCCATGCCATTCATACATGTTCTATTATACTCTATCCAAAAGAAAGTACACCAATCGATTCAATTGTACATTATGGTTGTCAAAATACCATAAAGAATATATGTATCCAAAAGTGGATAATAAATTACATCAAGCTCATGATTGAAAAGAGTGCAGAGTAACCCAAGTTTCTCATTGCTCACAATACACTAATAATGTGAACCACCAAAGGGTAGCTAGCCTTACATGTCTAGAACTTTTGGCTCCACTGGTTTGTTTCATCAGGTTGTTGACCCTCCCTCTTTCCAGCCTCTCATTTCCCATGTCACTTTAGTGATGAGGAGCTGGCGTCGAGCCCCAATTTGGACGATAGCCAGGCGCAGACCTCATCCATCTCTTGAGGGATTGTGTAGTGCCCAAGTCTATATGATTCAAAGAAATCCACAAACATTAGTAAATGCTTCGGATGTTTGATTAGTGTTCTTCGGACTAATGCATCTGCAGCAAACATACCCACTGTACGATTTGAATGCTACGTCTTTGAATCCAAGCGAGCTCAACGCATGAGATGACTTCTCGCCGTATTTGTGAGAAACCACATCATCAGCTAGCAATGACCAAACAACAAAAATAAGCCAGTATAACTCCAATCCTGGCAAGTGAGACCGAACAGGTAATTCAGTAGTTACCTTTTCCATGACATAGCAAAATGGGCAGGGCTGCTGCACGGTCAGCTGCTCCATCCACTCCTTCAAGTTCTTTACCCCATCTCCTGAAATATAAGAACAAAATACAATCAGAAAAGAATTTGACATGGAACAGAAAACCAATGAGAGAAGAGCCAAGAAGAAGAAGCCGGACTTTGCACAAGGAAGCCAGCCGCTTAATCCAACAACAGCACTCAAATTAGCTGTAAACGGGTTGCCATTTGCATACTTCCCCACTGAGAAGCAGGCCCCAGAGTATAGCGCGGTCGCTGCACCCATACTAAAGCCTCCGATGCCTACTTTAACTGTATAAAGCATAACAGAGAACGCATATAAATTTCATGGTAATAGCCTGAAGATGAAAAAAGTCAACTGCAAGATGACACCTACTGTCAGCAGGCTCTGTTGACAATAAGTTAGCAACATGTGTTGCAGCAGCATCCAGGCCCTCCAAGTCATCCGGCGCATCCTCCGAAAGTTCCTCAACATCAAACCCTAATTTCATCAAGCCCATGTTCAGTTCGTTTCAAATAAGCACGATAAGACATAATCATACAGAAGAGAACTTTAGTTTGCGGTAATTTCAGGTGAACTGGTTAAATGAGTCTATTAGGCAACCAAAACTCACATGCTGTAGATGGGAAACCACCAAATAGAGTTACAGGTCGAGTTGGAGCGGTTGGACATATCCATTTAATCTGTGTACACAAGACCAATTAACCGAGGACAGACAACTTAAAACTGAGGTCACTTCTCTTAAAAGGAATTATTCTTACATTTGGAAGAGGGATGGTTTCCAAGAGCTGGGACCAACTGCAAACCAAACAAGACAGCACCAAAACAAAACAAAAAAATTCAATACTTGACAAAGAAGGTGAAACAGGAAGTTGTATGTATTCATTGAAACGAAGAATAAAAATGCTAACTAGTCTGCACTTTTTCGTATCTTCTTAAAATGTTTGGAGTTACTATAACAAACGCTAGATTACAGCTCCGCAGCAAGTAGGAAAAAAGAGATTGGTTAGAAATACAAGCCACCTTAAATGATATTGCAAAAATGCACAACGAGCACAGTATTAAATGGTCAAACATCATGCAAAATTTTCATCAGGGATCTGGTGAAGAAACGATACATAAGAACATTGGTGCAAGACGCAAGTTCACAGAGGTAAAGGGGAAAAAGCAAACTTCCAGATATATCTCCTGAAGGCCATGCATACCAAACTTGTTCATGAGTACTGCCTAAGTAAGAGACTAAAAGGCATTAGTAAAGGGAAAACTAAGATTTACCTTGAGCCATTATCACCAAGGCCATGCAGCCAAACCACAGTAGCTTGGTGCTTGCCTTTGGGCTTAACCACAACCGTCTTCCCAAAATCAAACGCTTTACTAGCAGTCTTACCACCTGTAACCAACCCAATGACATTAAGCTGGTTACCAAACTACCCATATTCAAGAAAGAGCAGCCAATCCAGGCATAGCAACAGTACAAAAGCCCAAGGAAGGAACTAATAGATTTCAGTAGCTCGGTCAACGGAACCAACATGCAAGAGAAAAGCACACTTGGAACCCATTAAAACTCACCAGAAGCCATTGAAGGACCCGTGAAGCTCATGTTGGACAGCAACAGAACCGACCCAATAATCCCAAAACCTACAAACGAAGAAGGCAGCGGGGAAGGAATGGCCAAAACCCCGTCAAAAAATCACACGGTAGAAATGGAAGTTGGGATATACATAGTTGGAAACAAGATTTCATCCGTTGGGAAACCCAAACCAATTCGAGCCTCCATTGATTCCATCTCCTTCCCCCCACATTGCCATAACCGAATCTCGAAAACCCACATCCCAGCAGGCATGAACGCATAAAACGGACCGGAAATGAGAAGATCCACAACTCCGAAAATTCAACACAACGAGAGGTTCCCGACTAGTTCGTCAGATCATCGGCTTAACTCTGTTTGAGAGAAAAATATCTTGAGTCGGCGGAGGAACGAACCTTTTAACGGGGTGCAACCGCCTCGAATCCGGTACGACGCAGCAGCTTTCACAGGCAGCAAGAGCCAAAGAGAGAAAAGCTCTCAGCTCTCTTTCTCCTCTGCACTGGGGAAGAAAACAAACCAAAAAAACTGCAACTTTTTCGGATGACGTAAATCTCAATACTCGGTGTCGTTTTGTACCTACCTAGCCTGTGGTTGTGTCCGGGTCTCGGTTTTTCTCTCGCTTGGGCGGGCGGTTGGACCCGTTGGTTCACCCACAGGCACATAACGTTGATTATTCCTATTGGAAGGATACAAATTACAAACAAAGTTAGCTACTTTCCATAGAGCAAAACAACTTCCTTCATAGTCTCCAAAAAATTTAAAGAATCACGATCAACAACCACCAAAAACGACACCCGACCAATGCTTTGGTCGGTGTGAGAGGAAGCTCACAGGCAAACCAGAGGAAGACGGAAAGGAAAGAACGATCGATGAATATGCTCAAAAAAATAAGCACACCAACAAAGAGAATAACCCCCCGACATCGAAACTCCATTAGAGGATGTCAAGGCGCGGCAAATTTTCAGATCCTTATAAGAGCAAGGCCAAACCAGACCTAGAAACCTAGATCAGACACTGTGGATGAAACCACCTTGGAGAAAAGAAAAGACAACATAGATTTGAAAATGCTAGAAATAACTGGAAAAAAATACTGAAAACGCAAGAAAAGTACAAGGTTGAGCTACCACTAGTAACTAGAAGGAGCTGGTGGCTGCCTTGCGAAGAAGACGAAAGATGAAGAGTTTTAGAGATAAGGGAGAGCACAACTTTTCAAAATAAAGTAAGAGAGAAGTGGTTCACGAACCCTTTTTAACACTATAGTTGTTCTCGTTGTTGTGAATTTTATTCCCCAAGATGGATAACCAAAAAAAATGTTAAAGGACCTCATCAAACATATAGAGAGTAAAATAAATTTTTTAGCTTAGAGGATAAATCAGACATACTAAAATAAAGATCGAACAAATCGAATGATTCTATCCCTCAAACCCCTCCAACGAAGAGAGTGAGGTCCCTCGAGATGGGTTAAGGGCAAAGAATACATGAATTAGAGAATAGTGGGTAATTTGGGACATGTCATAGGAAAATACAACAAGTCACATAACATATATAGATGTAAACCTCTATTAAGATTTATTCGAATAACCATAATTTGTCGGGAAGCATGAGATAAATATAAAAAATCTAAAGAACATAACGTGAGAGTGTACTCAAGATTATGTTATCCTCTTAATTACACACAATTGTAAGAAGTGCGTGATGGAAATTACCCACAAGCAAGGTTGTCAAACCGGTTTATGCCAGTGTGCCGGTTTAGCAAGTGGAATGGTTCAACCAGTGGTACATACCGGTTTGTGCTGGTTCATGCCAGTTAATATTATAAATAATTTATAAATTCTCATATTTAAACACAACATTTAACGTCAATACCTAAATATTTGTGCTTGAATCCAACAAATAACATCAACATTTAACTTTTTAACACATAAAATAAATAATAAATTACTTTTTATCAATTAAATCCACTAAGATAAGATCATTTTATTTGGATATTCGTATATCGATCATGCCGGTCATACCGGTGGTGTCATGCCGGTTTTATGACCGGTACAGGTTGAACCAGTGGCACGCCGGCCGGCGTGACAACCATGCCCACAAGTGTTAAGATCATAGTATTGTCTTGTGTAACCAATTTCGGGTACCCGGGTCAACCGAATCAACCGGCTAGCCCGGTTCCAACATGACCTACTACAAATACGAAACAAACGCAAACGTCGGCCTGCCGCCTTCGAAGAGAAGGAACACGAAAACGAAACTAAAGCTTACCGACATGGGGAGCAGGCATAACGGCGGAGCTAGCGACCGCGCAGCCTTGGGGAATGGCGGAGCACCGCCGGTGGTTGACAAGGAGGTGGATTTCGCCAATTACTTCTGCACATATGCCTTCCTCTACCACCAGAAAGAGATGCTCTCCGATCGGGTTCGCATGAACGCTTACTACGACTCCATTTTCCGGAACAAACACCACTTCAATGGAAAAGTAACCAACTTTGCTCACCCCACCTACTCTGTTACAGCTTTTTTACCTAATTGTTAACTCATTGTAAGCTCTTAACGGGTCGGAGCTCTGGGATTGTCGTCCCCGGAGTCCAAAGCTAGTATCTTTGGGTTTGACTTCATTGAGGGTTTTAGCTTTCTGGTTTTTTAGTTGAACCAAGAGTGATTGCTTGAGGCTTATTTGACTTGTGACTGAATATTGGCTGCAACTAGTGGGAACCCGGGAGATTTTGTTTTTACAAGTATGGAATTAGGGTGGGTTCAAGTTTCTGATTGATTTAAGGCGTGGGACTTCTCTGGTTTTTGGTTCTTTGAAGTTAGGGTATTTGTTCCTATGAGATTATGGTTAGCTTATGCTTAGGACTGATGATGTTGGTGATTGTAGACAGTACTGGATGTTGGAACTGGCAGTGGCATTCTTGCAATCTGGTCAGCACAAGCAGGTGCAAAGAAGGTCTATGCAGTTGAAGCGACCAAGATGTCGGAGCATGCTCGCGCGTTAGTTAAATCGAACAATGTCGAGAATGTGGTTGAAGTGATCGAGGGTTCTATGGAGGATGTTGTCCTGCCAGAGAAAGGTTTACACTTTGCTTTTAGTTTTGTAGTTGACAGTTCGTTCTCATGGGTCATTTTCCTATAGTTTAGTTGTCTGATTTTGATTTTTGGACTTTTGATGATGACAGTTGATGTAATTATCTCGGAGTGGATGGGTTACTTACTTCTGCGAGAGTCGATGTTTGACTCGGTAATATGTGCTCGTGACCGCTGGCTGAAGCCTAATGGAGTCATGTAAGTAGTTCAATGCCTGAACTTAATATTAAGATAAATTAATATGCATTGCTTTTTCTACTTTGAGGTCAAAGGTCTTAGCTTGCTTCTGTTTTGCACTTTTGCTGATACTATCTCTTAATGCGGCAGGTATCCTAGCCATGCTCGGATTTGGTTTGCACCTATAAGATCTGGATTGGTGGAGCGTAAAGAGAACGATTTGGAAGAAGTAATGGATGATTGGTATAATTTCGTTGAAGACACAAAGGATACCTACGGGGTTGATATGGGTGTTTTGACTCAACCTTTCTCCGCAGAGCAGAGGAGATATTATCTACAGGTTGGCTCTAGAAATAAACGTCCTTGAGCATAGGTTTTGATAAGTTATTTTGGCATTGCTAATACATGAGTCAGTGAATGAAATCTTCTTATTTCTCTTTCCCCTAATTTTTGTTGGTCAAAGAGTATGAATTTTTAAGAAAGGTAGATAAGATGGAAACGAACCTCAGAGGCAAAATGATACTACAATGTTGAGACATGTGAATTAGTGAACTCATTTGCCAAGATTTGTTTCTTATTGCTAGGCTTCTTGATTACCTTCATGATTTTCGCATATTAGAGTTGTGTTGTTTTTCTCTTTTCATTTATTATATCTGTCTGCACGAACAAAAAGGTAGCCTTCTTTCTGCATGCAAAATGATCCGTCATCCTTGCTCTTTTAAATATGCTCCATATCTGAAAAGACCTGGTATTCAAATTCCTGTAGACATCCTTGTGGCAAAACCTTCATCCAAATCAAATTATCGGGACAGCTGCTATTATCAAGGAGATTGATTGTCTAACCGCCACTGTAAATGACATCAGTGAGGTCAGGTCCAACTTTTCTTCTTCGATCACCATGGAAAATACAAGCCTCTGTGGATTTGGTGGATGGTTTGATGTCCATTTTCGAGTAAGTTGAGAAACAGATTTGCTTGTTTTTAGCTTGAAAGTTGTCTTCAGTTTTTTTCCCCCCTTCTTCCAATCAGCAGAACATGATATTGTTTCCCTATGGTACCAGGGAAGAAAGGATAACCCGGCTCAGCAAGAAGTTGAGTTGACAACAGCTCCTAGTAAAGATGCCGGCACCCACTGGGGCCAGCAGGTCTGTACTAAACCAGAACTAATCGTTCAAGGACGCAAACTTTTCCTTTTAATTTATCGATTGATTACTTGTTCAATGTATTGAATTGTTCTTCTAAAGTTCATGTCTTTGCTGATTTTATTAGGTCTTCCTCATACACCCTCCTAGTTGTGTCACTGAAGGCGATAACGTGAGTGTAGAATTCCTAATGTACCGGTCAAAGGAAAACCACAGATTAATGGAGGTAGAGCTCGGCTGCGAAGTCAGGCAGTCTTCTGGTAATCTGCTTCCAGCATTTAAAAGTAAATTCCACGTGGAGTGATCCAGCCACGGGGTCGTCTGCTTCCAGCATCAGTAAGGTACATAATGAATTTGATTGGCTTGTTTCTTGGAACTCCATCTCACACTTGGATCTGTGTGTATTCGATGGACTACATTTCACCTTCATCAACCTTCTTCAGTTCTTCCTCCCCTTTGCTTTAATTGCTTCACTAATTTTTTTCTGATTCTTGCTTACTCTTGACTTAGAATTTCGTTTCCTTCACTTTTCAGGGTGCTGCCGTGGAAGAACAAAGACCCTGCAGGACCCCGGATATGAATGTAACTGTAAAATTTCAAAGCAGAGTTTGGTTTGTTTCTAAAAGAACACTTTCTTGACTGCCATGTGCATTTTAGGTGCTCTCATTCCTGGATAAGATCTTCTAAACTTCACCAGATTTGGTTTAGCAGTGGTCTCTGTACTATGTACATCGAACATCCAAAGATGGGATTATGGTTGTTAGGCTGTTTCGCAAGTAAACATCGATTTATCCTTACCACCATATTGAATTCAGCTTCAGGGCATATCTCACTTGTTATTTACACTTGCTTTTATGCCTTCATGGTTGAGACCTTCATTTTCCTTTCTCCATGTTTCTTTATTCCCAAGTCAACTTCAAAATCTGCAGAACTCAGTAATGTGCATCTTGCTCAAGTGGGTGTTGGGTTTTGACTTTCATATCCGTGGAAGAAGCATGATATCTTGTTTGTGGCAAAAGTTCTCCCGCCTTTCTATAGCTTAAGCACATGCATGGCTTTAATTACTCTGCAAGTTAAAGCTGGCTGCTTCTGGTTGTTGACCAAAAGGGCTTTCAATAAAATGCATATTTCCAGCTCTCTGGATCTCATTATCAACTCAGCTTTTCACCCTCTTTATAATCTCTGCACGGTTTAGAAACATTCTACACACAGCTTTCCTATTGCCATTCTCATTCCTCTGCTGCTTGTCTCCAAAATGTATCGATCTGCAAGGCCTTCATCCGACGAGTACCTCCTCAACTTGTCGCCTCTATTGGCTTCGAATGGTTCTTCTCCTGTGAAAACAGTGGCAGGGTCTGCGTCGGAGCTGCCAGTGGCCTATTCCCCTGTTCCCGAAGGGAGCAAGAAGGATCTGCAACATCACAAGCCGCTAGGTGGGGAAAATGGTGTTCATCTCATCCCAGTCGTTCTCTTCCTCTGTGGTTTGGCTCTCTGGCTTTTCTGCCCCCATTGACCGAAAAAAATTCGTCGGCTCGTCTCCTAGAGCAAGCTGCCGTTGGTTTTCTGTTCTTCAGTCTGTGCATTTAACTGTCGCCACGAGCAAGCATTGTTACCATGTCCCAAAGCGTTCATGGTTTTGGTTTCTGTTTGTTACTTGGAAGTCGTTTACTACACAGTTCAACTAGCTTAGCTTCTTTTGCAGAGTTATAAAAAAAATGAAAGATACATCTCCATCCTTCTTTCTTGATTGCATCAATTGTTTCGTGGTGTTCTATTTCTTTTACAACTACGGCCATATCCATAGACAAAATCAAATGCAGAAATAGAAGAACGTTGCAAGGTCGTTTTTCGCCATGAGATGGATTAGCCCGATTCGCAGACGAACGAACAAAACGGTTACTTGTCTGTTCCCCAACCGTCACCATTAACCATCTTCAACCTCTAGCAACCGTTTCTATGGAAAGAAGAGTTCCTAAAAGGCTAAAACAGACGTGGCAGGATGTAAAGGTTTTCCAAGACGACAAACAATCGGGTGCTGTGGATGACTCTGTTTTAGGGAATTAACAGTATGGAAACAGAACTAGTTGGAAATGATGACAAGAAAATCTGGTTTCTTGCTTGCTTGCTTATAAGGTATAATGCTGTCTTTGGCGAATACTACAAGGAGAAGAAAAAAAAAGGTTACTTTTAAGTGTGGAATTGAAAGAAGAAACGCCATGCCATTGCCAAAAAAAACAGAGGGATGAAACAAAGGGATGCACACGCAATTTAATTTTTATATGAAAAATATTATTGGAAAATTACGTTTTGGTACCTGAAGTTTTTCATTATGACATTTTAGTACCTAAACTTTTCATACTTTACATATTGGTCCTTGGTTGAGGATGTCATTTGGATTCATGGATAATTCACCAATCCACTTGATCCAATCCATGAATCCACAAATCCATTGGATTCATGGATCCACCAATCCACGGATCAATCCATTTGCCACCTCTACTCTATAGTCATAGTAAAAGATGGGATGTCATCTTTAATCGTCTTGTAACTTGTAATACTTCCACATCCTAGTAAGTTTCTGCATAGTGCACTTTGTGTTCTTTGTTTCTCTAACTCGTTCTCCAATTTTGCAGCAATACCAGCTGCCTGTGCTACTCCCTATCCTAATCCACTTCGTATAATCTACGTTTGTAATTTTACACACACGTACGTTTGAATCGCTTGAGAATTCATCGATATCATCATCATCATCATTACCAAGGTCTAGAAATGAGAATAATGAGCATTTCATCTTCTCGGCCTCATGAACAAATACTTCTAGAACTTGATTCGATATTTTGTCACAACTGCCACACTATATAACTCGCCTCGTCTAGTGCTTCCTTTCGATCTTTAACCTAACTTCTAAGTATGGGATCATCTGAACTTTGTAAGCACTCTTCTTCTTCTTCTTCTTCTTCTTCTTCTTCTTCTTCCTCCTCCTCTTTGTCTTTGATTGCAACGTGAAATCCTTCCTTTCCCATGAGAGGACAACAAATGGAAGAGCTGGCCGATAGATAGATTCCTCAACTTGGAAGCCTCACCACCACCACCAACATCAAAACCGGTCCATCCTAACGTTTTCTATTTATTTATTAATTGAATTAATTAAATGTATGAATTTAAAAAAAAAACCTATAAAAAAAAAAGAATCATTGCCTTCACCACACGTTGTCCTTGCCAAGTCTTTTATCATTTCTTTTCTTTTCAAAATAAATTACGATTAAATGGCGGTACAAATATACGGCATATATACGCCAGTTGTAATGCTCGATTATGATAATAGAATCTATCATCCATCTCATGCACAACAAATGGTTGATTGCGCAAAAAAAAAATTGAACTTTATCGATGGATCATCACGGTAACAAATGCGTTGTATGAATTTGTCGATTCAATGGTCGATTTATCCGCATCAAATAGATTAGAACCCGACATAACTTAAGAGATGTTGGCAGTTAGGAGAATTTAATATCTAGAGCTGCACGATCCGACAACAGTGAAATTGGTGGCTTTATAAGTAGGAGAATTTTTTTCTTCTTCTTCATTTGGCGAGTTGAGATGGGTATATATGCAAGGTGTTTCCAGGGTCATCATCGACAAGGGTAACCAACGGAGCGAAGCGAGATGTGCTATGGGTGGGTGACCTCGAGGAGCTTCGTCATGGGTCTTGTTTAGTGACCGTGGAGTTCGATTTGTACGTAAAGGAATAAAATTGGATGGACGACAACTTAGTGGTCATAAATACAATTTTTTGTTATTTTCCCGTGAATTCGAATGGTTTTGATTTTCATTGTTGGTTTTCGGTCGGTTGTGTGAATATTTGCATCTTTTGTTTGGCTTGTTAATGCAAGTGATTATACAGAGAAAACAGATCTCACCTAACTCTAAGCCTAATTAGATGAAATGACATGATGATGTTACTTTCAAAGGAGAAAATTGAATCAACAAAGTTGATGGCACAAGCGATCACAATCTTTAAACACAAATTTATAGGAGAGAAAGGGATGTGTTTAATTATGTGGGCATTAAGCATATGATAAAGATGTGGGCATATCGAATCGAATTCATCCAAGCAACCCATTTGATGGTTAGTGTCTAACCTTTTTGTTAATCACTTTGATTTTGATTATATATATAATACCACTTGCTTGCTTGGTAGCTAGGCCCATAGTACTACGTATATAGTACCATATTGCTAATTACAATTAATAATGATGATAATGGCTGCAAATTGATCTTTGACATGTTTAATGCCTTGGTCCTCATCTTCTCAATCGTCAAATATGGCACTCTTTTTTATCTTATATGGGCTCGTTGGAAATTTCCGTTTGGTATTGAGGAAGGAGCAAAAGCAATATTGTTCTTGACTACCATTTTTCCCCCCATGACATTGATCTTTATTAACCTTGAGTACTATCAAAACAAAGAAGGAATTTTTGTCTAATCAATGAGATGTTATGAGATGAATTAGCTCGTTTTGTGTTGAAGTACGTTGTCACACGATTATATGTAAATTTTGAGTTGGCATCGTCTGATTTCTATGTGAATAGATCGTAACGAGGGTATATTTTTACTAGAAAATTAACTCGTTTCAGTTGGCCTGTGACATCATCCGTATGTGCTTTGCCATTTCATATTTGTGGAGTCATCATTAAAGAGGGCTCTCAAGTAGTCATATGTTATGATTTGTTCATAGGTCATTGATTAGCTAGCTGAAAGTTGTTCTTCATGTTGATCGATCCCTTTCTATTTAATTACGTACCCAGGTCTGATTTTGGTCCTTGATTTTTGTACGACGACATATCCAACAATTTAGTTCTCTCAACATGTTTCGGTCAAGTTAAAGGAAAATATCAATCTCTAATAAGTAATTAAATAACAACATTTTTCGACGCAAAAATACAGAAATGACAAATCGATTAACATGACCGCGAAATGTAAAGAACCGCTTCATCAAGTTTCGACCTCTTTTTGTAAGTGACATCTTAACTAGATCTCAAAGCTTGTTCATTGAGAAGGTTAAGCTTTGGACCAGACTAATCTCTGTATTGTCATTTCAATTTCATCATGATCACATAATGAAGGCTATCAAATCAAATACATTTAAAAAAAAGGAAAATAAAGAGCCAAAAAGGTAGGCTAACACCCCTAGGCGCACAATAGCAAGAGGCAGTTAATGACCTACCTGCCTGCCTTATCCCAGGCCCAGCTCAACAAAGGCTATTATCGGGCGCCGGTTAGGCAACTGCGCGCAGGAACGGAAAAATTATTATTATTTCATAATAATAATTTAATAAAATCACTTGAATAAATTTCCAGTTAAAAAATTGTCCCTCACATTTTCCTTCCCAGTTCTTGAAAAAAAGAAGAAAAAAAAAACCCAGAGAGCTATCGAATCCCAAAATACGAAATTCCGTGAAGCAATTTAACTAAAAACGAATAAGAAAGAAAGAAAGAGCAGAAGCAGCAGGAAGAAGAAGAACCAAAAAAAACATTCCCGAGAGAGGTGAGCTCGCCCTTCTCCATACATTTGTTGTCTTCGATTTTATTCGGTTGGGTTTTGTTTGATTCTGTCGAGCTCCTTCAATGGCGGGTTTTTAATCATTCAGCTGAATTCAGTATGATTTCATTTCTTTTTTATCTTCTATTGATTATCTGGGTTGGTTTTGATTCGGCGCAAGCTTAGATTTTTTGTGTGTGTTTATTTCTTTTTTGTTCACCTCGTTGGAGTCAATTTTTCTGGGAGTTGGTTTGACCTGTCTGATTGGTTGCTGAGAAAAGACGGTGAGAAAATACGAGAAAAGTATTTTCCTTTCCTCCTGTCACCACCGGTTTCCATTCATTCCCTTTTCGGCTTTCGCCGTTTTTTTTCCATCTTCTTCCTGTTGGGTTAAACTTGTTTATGCTGGCGAGCCGGGGAAAAAGGGAGGTACAGAGAAGCTCAACTTAGTGAAACAGTGATCTTTTCTTCAAAATCTGATCGTGGAAATTTTCTCTGTTGTCAAGCAACGAGCTCGCGAGAACTATACCACTGTGTTCTCAATTTCCGATTTTGGGTTGTTTGGCTCTTTTCCGCACGTGGATTCGTTGTTAGCTTGTTCTGCTATGATCGGTGTTGAATATGGTTTATCTGGATTCGTTGATAATTTTCTCAGCAACCGAACAAAAGGGTGATCAGAAAGCGTAAGTTTTGGGAATTGGATTTATGTAACTGTCTAAAGATCGGGACTTTGCAGTTGTTTGATTTTGCCTGTGCTGAGTTGTTATTGTGATGGTGGTGGGGTTTGTTTATCTTTGATTGACATGGTGGTTCTTCTTCCTGGCAAACAGGGTTTTGCTATATTGGCGGTGGTGATCATGATGCGATTCAAGAGCGGAAGCAAAGTGGAGGTGCTGGAGAAACGAGATTCGCCTTCAGGCTGGTGGCGTTGTGCCGAGATTGTGTGTGGGAATGGGCACAACTACTCTGTGAGGTATGATGGGGATGCTGAATTGAAGAGGATTTCGAGAAATGCTATCAGGCCTTGCCCACCTGCATTTGAAGTTTCTGATGCTTGGGTTCCGGGCGATGTAGTGGAGGTGTTTGATGACTGCTCCTGGAAAATCGCCACGATCACAAAGGCATTTGGCGATAATTACTTGGTGAGGGTGTTGGGATCATCTGCTGAGTTCAAAGTCAGCAACTTTTGCATTCGAGCTAGGCAATCTTGGCAAGGTGACAAGTGGGTTGTGATTGGAAAGGTACTCCCTCGTAGTCAATCTTATTTCTGTTCTGATTTAGCTGCAGCTTTATACCTTCATTGTCTTGCATATTGCATTTGTTTCATTTTGGCTGTTAATGTAACTAAGCTTTGAATTTCTAAATTGGCCAGGGCCTACGTATTTCAAATGAACTTTAGCTTTGATGATTTCGTCGGTTTTCTTTTTCACTAATTGGCTAAATCTCATGTTGTATGAACTAAAGATGTATACTTTAGGTTCTATCTGAACTATGAGATTCATTACTAGAAAGCTATAGTTAAAGTTCAAGAATCTCATGGAGCTTGTTTCCAGCATCTGTTATTGTGCAAGTCCTTATCCACTCTGCTTTTTTTTTGTGTCCAGGGAAATGGGAGCTGCAAAGATAGGAAACCCCAGGGGAAGTTATCCCTGAAGAAGAATGCAAATGAGAAAAATGCTTCTAACGTTCAATTGGTGCACTCGAGAAAAATTGTGGTGAGGGAAAGTGCAGTTATGCCGGGAGCGAATAAGGGAAATCTCCAGAAACCCAACATGACTGTTTGTAAAAATGTGAAACGAGGTGCTTATGGTGATTCGCAAGCTGAAGCATATTACTTGACTCCAAGAAAATATAGAGCTGTTGAGAGAGGGGGCAGGCCGAACCGACTGGTTGCTGCTAATAAATCTTCGCTGTGTGAAGAGGTATTAGCCATTGGTTTCCCCAGCCAAGCTGGGTTTTCCCAAGTGGATGCTGAGAGGAGGCAGCTTGGTGGAGCTGTTGGATGTTCATATGCAACAGACCTAGAATCTAGTGATGCTGATAGTGTTGCATGCTCAGTTGGTAGTTGTAGCATTGATGACAACTATTCCAATAGATTCCGTCTTCGTGCAGGCCATATTGAAGATGCTGATTGCAATTCTAGTGATGCAGAATCATTCTGTCCGCGCGAAGATCAGGAGGCAAACATCCCCCTTCCAACACAAGAGCAATTGACTGGTGAAATCCATAGGTTAGAGTTGTATGCCTATCGTTGCACGATAGAGGCATTGCACGCTTCGGGCCCATTGAGTTGGGAACAGGAAGCATTGGTGACAAATCTTCGCCTTTCCCTCCATATATCAAATGATGAACATTTGATGGAGGTCAGAAATTTAATTTCTGCTGATAGTACCATTCCTTCTAGATGACAAGCCAAAAAACTGGATTCTTTCTCTTGTCAAATTCATTTCCTGTAGCTGTAGGTTCTTTGCAAACGTTACTTGGATGCTCCATTGTAAGAAGCAGGTTTAACATTTTGTCCTCATTGCCGTTAGTTTTAAATCGTATAGCCGTTGAGTTAACGTGAATGTACCAGAAAAACCTCCTGAGTAATGAATATACTTCTACTCATCTTTGCCTATTCTTGTTACTTTATTTCCTTAAAGTTGGCATTTTATTCTGTATGGGGGCATTTGATTCTGTATGGCCTTTGAGAAACAACTTATGGTACATGCTTTGAGTTCATGGGAGTACATGCTTAGCTGTTAAATCATATGGGAGCTGATTATGGTTTGGGTTCTGTGTATGAAACAATGTGGACTGTTTTATCTTGGTGTTATCTGTACCAATTGCAGTGGAGAAATTTTGCTTACAGGATATTATTGATACGTTATGATGTATTTTCCAGGGCCAAAGTAGGAGGCTTGTACACCTCAATTCAAAAGTGTTCAAGGATGATTTTGGGGTTTGCTGCCTTCTCTTGGTCTGCATAATCGTCCATCCGTAGAACATGATATTATCAGGCTGCTTACTTCTTTGGTTGTTGGCCTATGGCTCCAGGCAAATATATGGATCACAGATATTGGGATCTACTGAAACAGCAGCCCTAGCTATCTGGTTGCTGCTTGATGATCTCACTTGTGAGATATAATGTATCAGGTTTCCCTGATTTAAATTGTTTATGCCTTCCTTTTTAACATAATTTCTGATGTTTTCTGCTCATTTTATATCCTGCATCGCTTTTTTTGCACAATGCATGCTGTCAACAATGGAGTATGGACCAGCATCTTGATTTTATTCTGGGAACTGCGACGAAGTTGAGGATCTGTATCAGAGTTACCATTAAGAACGGAATTGAATCTTGATGTACAAGATTGGAGAGATTGAAATCTGTTAGCTGTGGATGGTATGTTTCAGCTGCCCAGGAAATTTTCCGGCACCTTTCTTTACACATTTCAGTTAATTGGCAGGATGTATATGACTAGAGGCATGAGAAATCAACCGCTGATCATATCACAGCTATGCTTTTTTGATGAATGATCACAGCTATGGTAGCATTTACTGTGTTCAGGTATTTCTGCAAAATTCAGGTATGATCTTTGGAATCCTGGTATATGCTGCTGATTGATGTTCCACCATTGTAAATCTCTCTCTCCATTTCAGGTCAGTTTGTATCAGACGTTCACATTGTCACGTTGTGTCGTGCTTGTAGATGATTGATCAGAAAGTGTGTGGATCAAGACCCTGTCCAGCTCTGGTCAGAAGAACTGAAGAAGGCTGGAACCATACGAATAAAGCACATGCTAAGGCCTCCAGCGACATTAGGGTGCGATGATCCCCCGATGATGTCACATTGTAGAGTTTGTCACTCAGGGGCAGATGCTGGAAACCTTGGTCTGTGATATAAACGTCCCCGTCACACATTTGTTTTACTGGCGGTCCTATCCGCCCAACTTAAGGCAGATATGGCATGAAGGAGGTTTACTTTAGCCACAGACATTAGAGGACAACAGTTACAAGCAAAACTCAACTCGTCTCTCTGTTCTCGCCATCGCATCTTCCCTGTAATCGTGTAACTCGGACATCACAAGGCCTGTGGAGGGAGAAATTCCCTCCAAGCAAGCTGTATGCAGGCATCAGAGACCAGTAGGAAGATGATCGGAGCTCGTTTTGACCCTTGGATACTGAGATGCAGGAAGATGAATAGCTGAGAGTCGTTGTGTTTACTACTAGTCTGCAGCAAATCTACCACCACCACCAAAACCTTAGCAAGGGTGAAAGGCAGTCATGGAAGATATAGGCCTAGTTGACTTGAAGCCCATTGGGTTGGATCTCAGAATTCTGCAGACCCATATCCGTTCCTAATCCTGCGGGCTTGGCCCTGAAATATGATGCCCTTCAGTTATCAGCATGTTAGGCCTGGTCTCAGTCTGTGTACTGATCATCACAGTGAAAGGAAGGGAGCATTTGAGTTGTTTATGTTCTTCTTGCCTCCAGTTTACATGTAATCTTTTTGTCCTGACATCTTCAGCCTTTAGTAAAGGAATGAATCCCTACTTCTCCAATGTATATCATTCCTCTCAAGTTACTACTTACTTGGCGTGCAGGCAAAGAATATCAAGCTATAGTCTTTTCGTCCAATGGACAGGAAATCTGATTTTATCTGCCAAACCCATTACTAAACTCCCTTTCTTTTCTTAGTTTTCTACCCAATAAGACAACAAAAGGCCATTAACCTTTGGACCCAAAAGTATATACATCTTTTCCCTTTCTTCCCACGTTCTCTGTGGCTGGGTTCTGTTTCTGCCTGCCCTTTTCGTGTAAATCTTCTCCTTTTTCTCCCCTAATTGGGAACAAGAAGTAAATAAACAAAGAGAGGCAAAGAACCAGACGTGGAAGACTGACTTACATATTTGTTTTTGGCATATCGTGTGAAGGAACAACCCCCACTTGGATCGACACAACCTCGCAGAGAGAATGCTAATTCGAGTTATTGAGAGCAATATGATGTTTGTTAAACCTAACATTTGCTCATGTTACAGTAATTCGCAGCACCTTCTCGAGTAGGCGTCAATGAGAGCTTTCATCTCTTGATTCCAACATGTCTACACCAAAAGCCAGCCTTGTTGATGATAATTGTTCTCATTGTGCGAACAGTACTCCGAACGTGGTTATTGACTATCTTAAATGATACTCCATACCGTATTAGTAGCGGACGTTATGTGCTACTGCTTTGCGTTGTAAAACAAACCATTTTGAGATCGTATCAACCAAGTGAACATCAATTAAAGAAAAAGGGTTGAGTTGACAGAATCAAGAATGGGAACAGGGGTGGCAATGTCGCAGAGAGATCAGCAGCAGCAGCAGCAGCAGCAAGTGTGTTTGCAAGGTGTCATTCCTCCTCCACCTTTTAAAAGTCCCATGAAAACGTTACTGAGGAAGCAGAACATGTACAGAGAATACAGGAAGCTTGATCAGACAAAAGCTTCTGCAACATGTACACTTCTCTATGTAACCTGTCTACCCAGATTAATAATTACAATACAGTACGTATGAAACACAATCTGACTGACTGAGTGGGATGAGAATGTGGTGTTTGTGTTGGTTAAGGCATTAAACAAAGAAGTCCCTACCAAATCCTCTGCCCATTTGTCTCATTTGCGTTTCCATCTTTCTACATCTCTCCCTTTGTGATTGCAACTCTCCCATGTGATGATGCTTTCTCCCATTAATCAAAGGGAAAGAGAATGACAATGAGAGAGAGAGAGAGAGAGAGAGAGAGAGGCATAGTGGGGCTTTCTTGGCTTGGAAAATGTTACCCTTTTCATTAGTTGGAAGTTTGACCTCTACTATGGTACTTGTCATCAAAATTATTCTTTCTTGTGGGTATGTGGATGATTATGATGTTGATGAAGTTGATAACCACCATAATGATTTGGCTTGATTTCATCCACACCCTTATTTCGGTTCAAAGTATTTTAAGTTGTCTACATCACATAACAGGTAAATCAATTTATCCCGCGATCTTACATTTGTCTATCTGCGGCGATTACTTTCTGGCCTTCACTTGATTTCTTCAAGCCCACATTGGATTGGATGATCATAGAAATGATTCTTTGTTGTTACCTTTTGGGCATATTCCACCATCTTCATCACTAATTCTTTATATATGTTTGGTAATCACTATGCATATAGAGTAAGGTGTTTAAGGAGGGATTTTGGTTCATTCTTTTGTCCTTTCCCCATTGTGTAGTTAACCTCAATGTGTTCTTTGTTTCCAAGGAAAGCAAAGCCCCAACATCTCAACAACCGAGGTACATAAATACTACAAATAACATTCGAGATCATCATCCTAACTACATAATTAATAGGTAAACAAGAAGAGTTTGGCAGGGACTTCTCCTTTAGGCACACTTACTAAAATATATTACGTGTACTCATCAACATGTCCAAATCCATGTAATATGTTTGGAGGGTTTTAAGTGCATTAGTATTGATATCATGGAAATTACCTAATAAGTGAGACAGTTTAGAAGCAAGAGATGTATTATGACAAACAATCTTGTTGGTAATTTGTACTAAGAGAATTCTCTTCCGGAAACTCATGACCCGGAAGATCAGTAGGAAGACAACCCACAACCCAGCTAGTTCTAATGACAGCTTTTGTCGCCCGAATCCATCATACGAACCTCTCACAACATCACCGAGCACGCTCTAGTATAGCGGTGAAAGTAAATTGATGTGGACTCGTTGATACCTCCTTCAATAGTAACGACAACCCAATCCCCTCGTCGAGGCCGTTCAGCAATATGTGGGGGAATCATGGCATTAGTGATTGGTAAGTGCATTGGGAAGGCTTAGCCATTGCCATGGTTTGGGAAGACAATTCCCTTGGTTAAAGGAGTTTGAGAAGATAAGGTAAAAGTATCCATTAGCATTCTTACAAGGTAGAAAAATGTCAAAAATAAGGAGTGGGGAAGGAAAGGAAAAGAGAGAGAGACAAGGGGAAGACAAGAGAATTAAAGAGGCAAGACAAAAGGTTTGTTGAAGTATCGAAAGTTGTCTTTGGTTGTCTTGGCCTTTTTGTTCACTTGTTCTTGTTGGATCTTCTTTTGTCTTGGATCGATTTCAATGGCAGAGTGAGTAAAAATAAATTTTCTTGGAAGAGGTGTGATCGATCATCAAAGTTGCTATCAATTATTATTGGTCCCAATCTTGGACCATGGCTTTGTATCTTTCTCCTCCTTCATGCCTTTAGAATTCATATACCAAACAAAATTAAATTACATAGTACATAGTCGAAATCACTTCCTTTTTTTCGTTGTGTGATCGATCATATTTTGTTCGTATTCGCTTTATACATAGTTGTTTACTCTGGTCTCACGTTACTGAATTCCACCACCAATAATTCTATCCACCTTTTTGACCGGAACTTTTCAATCGTCACAAAAAGAACTATGTAAAATCTTGAAACGATTTGTAACGATTAACAAACTAATAGTACACGATTTAATTTTTATTTTATTTCTCAGCAACTAAAGTTGTAGGAGCTAATTTGTTTCTGATCTCGAATAAGAATTCCTTGTCGAAATATCGGAATTTACAGTGCGATCATGTCATGCATGGTGATGCAAAATTAATTCGATTGTAGGAGCTAACTAGAAAAATGACCAATCATGGAGAAGAAAGTGAGATCTCTATATTTGTCTAGAAGTGACCAGACAATGGCAGCATTGATCAAGGGGGTTAATGAATAATATATAGTATTATTGTAAATAAAAATATTATATATTTTAAATACATATATAGAGAGATCATATGTAGCAGCCAGCTAGCTCAATGGCTATACAGCTATATAACACACAATACATTAATGTGTAAAAAATAAAATATGGAATTCAATGAGATGGTTGTATTATTGAAACATTATTAATTATTATCATTCTAACCATAATGTTTTATTATGAAGAAGCGTGTTGAATTATGGAATCGAAAGTATCATTCTATAGTATGAAATTCCACTCAACCATAGAGGTAACAAGAAATTCTCTTAATGATGGTATCTCTCGTAGGACAATTAATAAGAAGATTCTTGTTAAACCCTACATTTACAAGTAATTTATATCAATTTGTCAATGAGAACCATCGAGATTTCATTGTTTACAACTCATGGTGAACCACCTGAGGGTCTAAGGCTATGAAAGAAACAATCAGTTCTGTGTGACGCTATGGAAGAATACTATATTTTTTTAATAGCACGCTTTAACAAAACTAACAAAACATCTGTTATACAATTATTGGAAAAAAAATTGTATCGATATGGTGATATTTATATCAATTTGTCAATGAGAATCATCGATATATGAGAGGATTCACGGTGATGTCTTCTCATTTCCTTCCAGTATACTAATCATTTTATAAGTTATGACGGACCATGTCAATCATGATGTGAGACCACAAATGAAAACATTCAATTCGGTGTAACACTATATATGAAAGAACATTATTTTTTAAAATTATTCTATTACTTTTTCAAAATTATTCTTCATCGATGCGACGATGTCATGAAATTTATTGGAGATTGGCAAGTAGATCCTTAGCAATGGAATGAAGCCAAAGAGATATTATTTTTGTCGTACGTGATGAGAGGTGGGGATATAACTATTAACTATTATGGCATGCTCGATACTTGAAAATAAAAACCCACAAAAACAATCAAATCAAAGTCACCCTTTTAATTAACAATCCATCCATCCTCTAATGTTTGTCTGATAATTAAGGGCCGAGATTAGGACCTTTAATTACCCCTCAAACACCCACATTAAAAAGGGGGGCCAAAGAAATTAAAAGGAAAAGGGTCATATAAAAAAGATCATGACTACGTTGAAGACCACTAAATATTGATATGGGGCCTAGATAGGTCCCTTTTGATCTTCTCATGCAAATCAAAAGCACACAATATTTCATTAACCAAAAAAGACAATGGCTTTATTTAGATAATCAATATTCCCCAAAGGATCACCCATCATCCCTAGCACCAACACTAGTTAATCATGTTTAGAATAATGAAAACACCCTTCCCCCCCTAAATTTGGGAAGATTTGGATATTTTTACCAATTAAAGTGAATCATGTGTGAAGATGGAAGGAGTGTCGACTTTGACACATGGAATGACTTTGATTTATTATATGAAATCACAGTGTTTGATTAATAACAAATATTTTTAACGAAAAGGGATATCATACATCCGAGGTTATATTGGCTTCGTTGAATACCCGACCAATTCACGGAATCAAGTGATTCGGGCATATATCCATGCGAGTTGTCGATAGTTTTTCCTGGAAATGGGGGGGGGGGGGGGGGGGGGGAATCGAACAATCCCGAGAGCATACCACATGTCTTACTACTTGAGCTACCTTTTGGTGATTACAAAAAAATGTTAGTTGTTGATCTAACTAAACGGTATCTTGAATATGAGCGAACTCCAATGCCAGCAAGGATACTCTTCCTTTTAGCGTTGCATAATAGTAACGATATGATATTCGTTTGTGAACTTCTCCTAGTAACTTCACTCACTTAGACGAATGATGTGCTGAACGAATAAGGATTGCACGACACTCGATAATCAAAAGTAAATTATATGAAGTTGGACGAAGTTAGTTAAATATGAACTAACCTCATCGAATTAACAAACATTTTCTTAGGAGGAGAATGTTTACTTGGAATGTGTTAGTATATGTTGGAAAGCATTTTAATATTGAACTTATTATATGAGGGGTTAAGTAATTATGAAATGTGATCACATGCTTCCATGACATGCTTAGATTCCTCTTCAACCCATAGACAAAGTTTTGCCAAAACAACATAAATAAATGGGACAAAACACAAATGCAAGTAGTGGAGAGAGCAGGGAGAGTATGGTGAGATCTTTCATATCCTCCCCTTTACCACATGCATCTCTTTGGGGACCATTAAAATTGCCCTAAGATTAGAGGCCCTGCCTCCTTCCAAGGGCAATGAGAAGATCCCAAAAGGCCAAATTACAAAAAGGAAAAGGCCATAAAGCTAGTGCCTTCAAAAAAATGATTTAACCATTCTAAAGTACAACTCAAACAAAATCCCATAAAAAAGCACCATTTGATGGGTGTATTTAAAAGAAGAAGGTTTCCATTTTGCATGTTGGATTACAACCACCACTTACACCATTTATTGTTTGCTTTGAAAGAACATTTCATGCCCCTTTCTTTCTTGGATGGTGCAACTATCCCTTTTGATTAGTTTGCCACTCTTCAAAACCTTGGAGCTAGGAATACTTTGATTGTGTCTAGTGTTAGTGGATAGATGATCATTGAGATAATAGGTATGTAACAACGTAGTCACTGTATTGAAAATTTGGTGAGAATGAGATAATGACTAAACTAACATACCGATCGAGTCAATATGCGCAAGTAAGTTTGTCACAGTATTAGAAGCCACATTCACCCCAGTGCACATCCACATGAGTGAACCACTTCTCGGACCCAGATTACAAATGCAAGCCACCCCTTCATGTCCAGTTGACTTGAACCGTCTTGCTGATCTAGCTCCCTCCCAGCGAATGTGGGTGTGCAACAAGTGCTGATACAACAACTTTAACCACTTGACGATACTATTCGACGTGCTTTGACAAACTTAATATAAATTAGACCAAATAAGTAAGGGTGACTGATGTGTTATATGCCAATTAGTTATAATTTAGTTTAGAACCCCATTATTTTAATTCTCTAATAAAACTTAACTTCTTGGATGAAGGGCCTCTAACCTACTTTCCTTCACCTTGAAACCGGGAAGGAAACTTCCACTATAACGTTTTGTTTCCCAAGAACATCCTATGCTAGCTTCTTAGCTCTTCCTAGTTACTAAGCTCTAGGCCATGTACCGAGCTTAATTGATTACAAAGTTTTTAGTGACGTGATCCACGAGAATATACGACGGTGATGGTGTTCAGGGCAGAAGAGGTTGATCGAGTCCAGAACAAATTGATATGAATTTGTATAAGTTCGGGGTGCCTTGTGCTTAAACCCTTTTAGTAATACCGAGATTATCAAGATTCGAACAATAGACAACTCCGGATCACTAGTTGTGATACTATGTTAGAACAAAATCTCTTTCACCTCAACTTCTTTTTCAAAAAAAAAAAAACTAATTACAACGATATTAATGGAGAAGGCGGATCACAATGTTACAAAACTGTGTCGGGATTCTTGAACATATACACATTACATACACATGAGAAATTAAGATAGAGAGATTGAACATAAGGACCTTTCCTACCCTACTTGTTAGCTAATTACCCCTAAAATGATCCTAAACCCTAAACCCCAAAAATTAACCAAAAAGAATAAAATAAAATTACAACCAAAGGCAAACACCCTCCCTCCTATGGTATGGAAACCATGGCCATCCTTCATCCCAATTCCTAAATCAGGGTTTCACCCTCAAACCCCAAATAATAATAAAAAAGCCCAAGAAAACCAAAAAAAGAAAAACCCATAGCCTCCATTTTCTCACTTTTTTTTAACAGTAGGGGTTAGCAAATGTATACCATATTACTTGGGGTATCATTTTGTACTTTTCCATCCCTTTGCTTTTTTCTTTTTTCACATCGACACAGTATGACGACCGCTGGATACCGATTCCGATTCCGATGACGGCAACGATTCCGATGACGGGGCCAGTTTCTCAAAGATCACGGGGGCGCCGTACTGAGGGTAGAGCAGCATCAGCACCGTCGGCGCGTGCTTGTACGTCGGCGCCAGCTTGAATCTGAACCGTCGGATTACCATCGCCAGCGTCAGCTTGGCCTGCATGATGGCCAGGTTCTGGCCCACGCAGCTGCGGGCCCCGAGCCCAAACGGAATGAAGGCCGCCGGATGCTTGGAGGCCCGGGTCACGCCGTCCGCGAACCGGCCCGGATTGAACTCGTTCACGTCGTTCCCCCACACCGCCTGGTCGTGGTGCAGGGCCAGGATCGGGATCAGCAGCTCGGTCCCACGTGGCACCTTGTACCCTCCCAGCTCGACGTCGGCCCTCGTCCGTCGGATCGTCGCGATCGTCGGCGGGTACAGCCGCAACGACTCGTTCAGTATCATGCTCAGCTGCACGCACATCAGAGATTATGTCGAAAAAGTCAGTCACAAAGTATCGTTACAACAAAAAAAATGTGGTTCAACCGTTCCACAGCGTTAAAATCCGAACGAAGAGGATTAAGCAGTAAAAAATTTGAGGGGGGGGGGGGGGGGGGGGTTAAAGTAAATTAATAGTTACCGTTTTGAGTTTGATGAGGTCATCTTTGGAGGGAATGTCACGTGACCCGCACACCCGGAGGAGCTCGTCACGTGCCAGCGCCTGCCAGCGTGGATGCATAGCGAGAAGGACGGTTGTCCACGTCAGCAGATTGGATGTGGTATGTTTGCCGGCGAAGAAGAAGCTTTTGCACTCCTCTACGATGTCGTTTGGCGTCACGTCGTTCGGCCGGGACTTGGACGCTTCAATCATCAGCCCCAGCAAGTCCTTCGCCGGCGCCGGAGACGCCGCCGTTGCAGAGAAAGAGCTCTCCCGCCGCACGTCGATCAGCTTCGTCAGAGATTTCCTGACTTCCTTGTCGAATTTCCACGAATTCACATTCCTCCTCGTCGGGAAAAACCTAAGAAAGAAGAAAAGTGAGTTTTTCAGTTTAAAATTGAAAAAAAAAAAAATCCGCCGCAATTCAGGGGAATTTTTTTTTACCGGTAGCCGGGGATGAAAACTTTCTGGAAAGATTCGGCGGCCAGGAGCATCTGCTGGCCCTGAAGCTGGAAGATGGCCTTGCCGTCGTCGTAACTAATTCCGAAGGCGGTTCGAGTGATGACGTCCTCCGTCAGGTTTTGAAACCACTCGGAGACTTCGACCTCGACCTCGCCGGAATTGGACATTGCCTGGGTCCACTTGTCCAGCATTCCGGTCACGCTCTCCGCCACCACCGGCAGCAACAACTGAATCAAACAAGAAAGACCCATTTTTTTTTTTTTAGTTACAGATAATGGAAGGGAAGCGAACTGATCGGTGAGTAATGGAAGAAAGCTCTGACCTTGAGATTGTCCATGTGGAAAGTCGGGGTGATGATTTTGCGGTGGTGAGCCCATTTCTCGCCCTTGAGGCTGAGGAGGCCGTCGCCTTCGAGCTGCTTGACCAGCGGATGGGCTTCCACCTTCTCGTAGAACTCGGCCTTGGAGGAGAAGATCTCGCGGATCAGGTCCGGGTCGGATACGGTCAGCCGGGCCGTGGGTCCGAACCAAACCAGAAATGTCGAGCCTGCAAAACAATCAATAATGAAAATGAAAAAACAGAGCGTGATAAGCTCTTCCCGTTTGCACCGGGACGGAAATTGTGGGGGAAATGGAAAATCCTCAAGTAGTAAGTGGGAAGTTAGCAAAAAGAGGAAGGAAGTGGTGAAAGTGAAAAAACAGAGACAGTGAGCAGCAGAGGCAGAGGCAGAGGCAGAGCCATTAAATTCAGAGAGGAGGAGGAGGAGGACTGGCGTGGTGGCGGGGCACACAAATGGAAGAAGCAAAGAGAGGAATTGCAAAAAGACAACTGGAAGCTTAGAACTTCATTCATTGTCATTATCAGAACCGGGAACCCCAAAAACCATAGAAAGGAGACTCCTTTCTCGCCCTATCCCTCTCTCTTGCTCTGTTTTTCATGAAAACAAAAGGACAAATTCCTTGATAGATGTTGGGAAGATGGTGAAAATTAAAACCCAGCAAAACCCACCAAACCTAAAAAGCTTGGCAAGAAGAAAAGAAAAAAAGGCTGAAAAGTTGCAGGGGAAGGGGGAGGGAGAAGAAAGAAAGCGGTTTAAAAAAAGAAGAAAGTAAGAAACTTTGGAGATGGATGAGATCACAAAGAAAAGAGAAGGAAAGGAATTAAAAGCATCACATCATAATATATAACAGAACCCCCAGAAGGAACACCACCACCTCCCCGCCATTAATGACTCTGTTTTCCCAGCAAAAAAACCCCCCCTCAAAATGCTGTTCTCTGTACCCGTCCCCCATACATTATCACCAACACCCATTAATTAATGTAACAGACGGGAACCCATTGGCGGAACAGGAACAAGAATCAAAACCCAGAAACCAAAAACCAAAAAACAAAATCCAGAATTGAGAAGTGGTAGTAGTAGTAGTAGTAGTAGTATTAGTAGTTACCAAGTACGAACTCACCATAGATTTTCTTCCACTGGTGGTAGAAGGAGAGGACGCGGGGCAGGATGTTGTGGGAGTAAGTGGGCATGGGCTGAGAGGAAGCCTTGAGCATCATCTCGACGAGCTCCTTGACATTGCCGATGAAGAAGCGATACGGCGGGCCCCGGATGCCCTGTTTCGAGAAATGGTCCTCAATTCTCCTGGGCTTCCACCAGAGGAGAACAACGATCTTGAGGACGAACACCGCCGCCAGAAACGAGGCAGCCGCCAGCTTCAGCATCAGCCATAATACCACCACCACCCCTTCCCTGTCCATTTCGTTTCTTCCTTCTTATCTCCTTCTCTGTTTCTCTCTGTGTTTTTTGGTTTCTCTCTGTTTTGTGACGAGGAGAGGTGATGATATATGGAGGCTCTGGTTTTTGTTTCTTGTGCTGGAGGAAGAGGAAGGGGGAGAGGAGTTTGTTTGTAGGCGTGAGCTAAGTGTGCGTTGGCTTTTTAATAGAGCACGAGAAGAGAGAGAGAGGGAGAAGAGAGAGAGAGCAAGGGCAGCGGCGTAGGGGCCGCTGTTGGAGAGAAAGCTTGGAATTGGAGGGAGGGGATTTTGGTGGTGACTGGTGAGGGTCAACGACTTGATTTTATGATTTTTTTTTTTTGGTATTTGGGTTCCTTTCAGGCTTCAACTGCCTTCTACTTTGCACGAAATTTCAATACTGTGTATTTTAAATTCACTGTTTTTTATTCGAATACGAGATCTCTCAATCGAAAACTATGATCTCATTTCAAATTAGTCTCAATAACACTTTCCTTCTTACCTAATGGTATGGTACTTATAAAAGTTGTTTTGCTCCGGAATTCTCGGATCCAGGAAATCGACTAGGGTTTCTCCCAGTTGGCTAGCTCCACGATGGCGGCGACGCCGTCGCCGGTACCCCCAGGCGCTGCGCCGGAGGAGCCAAAACCACCGGACCCTACTGCTGGTGTCCGTCGTCCACCTGAGGTAACTTCGTCCCCGGACGGCAAGAAAGCTCGTGAATCGCAACACCCAAAGAAAAGAGTCCGAGGGATCGACTTAGTAAACGAGACTGTTAGTATGGAGGAGGTTTTAGTCGAAGACATTACTGATGAGGAAATACCAGAGACTCAGAAACAGGAATACCAGGGCACCCAAATACCGAGCCCACCATCCCAACCCCAAAGCCAAACCTCCCCGGTCCCGGCAATGGCCTGGGGGGTAGGTCGCAAAGCGGTCCGTGAAGAAGCTTGGTATGTGGAGGACTCGGACTCTGAAGATGTAGCGGAAGCCATGAGAGAAGATGGTGTCGATGACTCACCAGTTGAAGAGGAAGACCCACGATGCCCTACAATTTGCTTTACTAAGGGTGAGTTGCGCAGCTACCGTAGAGAATGGCGATCGGCCCTAGGTCGTTCTTTCCCATATCCGGTGATTGCGAAAAGACTCAACATGCTGTGGGCTAGGAATGGTCCCATCCAAGTCACCAATAGAGCGAACGGATTCCTATTTGTCAGATTCTCTCAGAAGATAGACTATGAATATGCCCTTACAGGAGGCCCCTGGATGCTTGGAGACCATTACTTGACAACACAAAAATGGAAAATGGGCTTTAATCCGCGCACTTGCACAGTTTCCTCTACGCTGGTGTGGGTGAGGCTCCCGGATCTCCCTATCGAGCTGTTCAACCCGCAAGCTGTCCTTCGCATAGCAGGCAAAGCAGGAGTTCCAGTTCGGGTGGACCGAGCTACTGAGTTGGGTGCACGTGGTTTATTTGCTCGTGCATGTGTTGAAGTTGACCTTACCAAGCCGCTTTTGTCGAAATACAAGGTCGAGGGGGTGGAATATGAACTCCAGTATGAGGGCCTCTCGAATGTTTGCTTTGAATGTGGCTCCTATGGCCACCAAAAGAGTCACTGTCCCACTCTTCATAGGGAAGGGTCTGATAGCCCACCACCTCAAGCTGAACCAACCCACCCAGTACCACATCACACGGAAACCTATGGGGAATGGATGATTGCCAAAAGAAGGGAGCGTCGTCCGACCCACAAACAGCATCCTGGTACCCGAGGCGAACAGCCAAACAAGAAACATGCTCTGGGCCAGGTGCAACCATCAGGATCCCGATTTGCAGTACTTGATGAAGAGGAAGGAACTGGAATGTCAACCGAGGGAGAAAAGATGACCACTAAAACGAGACATATGAACGCGGTTACACCGGGAAGTGCTACACGTACCGGAACCCCACGCCAAACTCAGCAGGTGTGGGTGGAGAAGCGAGGAGGCTCCTGCTCAGGCGAAACCAGTGCCGAAGTCACTGCTCCTAACGAGAGTCCCAGCGCACAGAAACAGATGGAGACACCGAGCCCGAACAATCAGCTGGCAGGTAGAACTGAAGGAGATAAGGTGGAGAGGGAAACTGACACAATGAACATTGATCCTCAAAATACACCCATTGCGAAAGGGGGGGAGGGGGTAGCTCCGATTTGGCCAGGATACCAGTAGTGCAAATGGAATTACCTAAGGGTAAAGAAAGAGAGGGCCTGGAAGAGAATGCCACTTGGGAAGTTAATACTCCTAGCCCTACTCTACGGGCTCCCCCTGAAACCAGCATGCAAGCCATGCAGACGGGTGAGCCGATTGACGTAACAACCAAGTTGGCGTCCGGAAACAGTGATCAAGCTATGTCACCGACGGCCCCCCCTCCCGGGGTGGCTTCGGTCACTAACTAATCCAAGTACCCAGAGGTGCCCTACATCCTGACCTCCCATGGATATAAATATCTTTTCTTGGAATTGTAGGGGTGCGGGAAGCAAACGCTTCCTACGAGTATTCAAGGAATACAAGCGCAGGTATAACCCATGTTTGGCGGTAGTTGTCGAGCCTCGCATTAGCGGAACGAAGGCCGAGGAAGTCATTGGTAAAATGGGGTTCGACAAAGAACTTCGAGTGGATGCGGAGGGCTTTGCTGGAGGAATTTGGATCCTATGGGACTCGGGAGTGATCCAGATTGCGGAGAAAGGCCGTTCCTCCCAGCTTCTCCATGTGCAAGCTTACGTGGGCACCCAAAGCTTCTATTTCACAGCAGTTTATGGTAGTCCTGCTTTAATGCAACGTCAGGCGCTGTGGGCAGCCTTGAGAAATATTGCTGAAGCCATGAATGAGCCTTGGTTACTGACGGGAGATTTCAACTCATTATTGCATGCATCGGATAAACTGGGGGGCGCACCGTTTGACGCCAGCAGGGTTAAGGAGTTCCAAGATTGTGTTCTAGACGCTGGTCTGAGCGATTTACAATTCTCGGGTCCGCCATTTACCTGGTTCCGCCGAGGAGTGAAGGAGCGACTGGACAGAGGGTTAGTTAACTACCAGTGGTCTACTTTATTCCCGGAAACAACAGTTTACCACCTCCCCAGGGTAAAGTCGGACCATAGACCTCTGCTCATCAAGCTGAACCCAAATGTTCAAGCTCAAGGGCCTAAACCGTTCAAATTTGTTGCTGCGTGGCTGACTCACGAGGAATTCCGGGAGATGGCTGACTCGGCATGGGCTAAAGGCTCCGATTTCCCCAGTAGTGTTGAGACCTTTATTGTGGAGGCAAAACAATGGAACCGGAACACGTTTGGCAACATCCAGAGAAGGAAAGAGAGGATCATGAAGAGAATTGAGCAACTTGAGCAAGGGTTTGGTGGGGACGCTGATGTTGTATCTCTCCATAACCTACGAAGCGAGTTAGAAGATATCCTACTACAGGAGGAACTTTTGTGGTGCCAGAAGTCGTGCATGGAGTGGATAGCCTCTGGCGATCGGAACACGAAATTCTTTCATGCGAGAACCATGCAGAGGAGGAAACGGAATAGAATACTAGCTTTAAAATGGGAAGATGGAGAATGGTGTGAGGATCAGGACCAGCTGCAAGCTCTGGCACGGAACTTCTTCGAAGCCCTTTACCTGGATGATGAAACTCCCGTCATACCCATCTTACATAGTTTCCCGGCGCTATCTCAGCAGGAATGGGCGGCAGTTGATGGCCAATTTACCTCGGAGGAGCTGCATTCGGCAGTAAAGAGTATGGGACCGCTGAAAGCACCGGGCAAGGACGGCCTAAATCCTCTCTTCTATCAACGACTTTGGAGCCTGGTAGGTACCAAATACACCGAATTCGCTCAAGGATGCTGGGAGGAGCCGTCTCGGGTCAGTGTGATAAACGGGACCATCCTGGTGCTAATACCGAAAGTTAAACAGCCCATTCGGATCGAGCAATTCCGCCCCATAAGTCTATGCAATGTGGGCTACAAAATTATCACAAAGTGCCTGGCGGAGAGACTCAAACCATTGATGCCGAAGCTTGTACACGAAACTCAGACGAGTTTTGTACCAGGCAGACATATAACTGACAATATCTGTGTTTTGCAGGAAGTTGTACACTCGATGAGGGCCAAGACGGGTAGAATGGGGTGGATGGTCCTGAAAGTGGACCTTGCCAAAGCTTACGACCGAATTAAATGGAGCTTTGTTCAGGATACCCTCCAAGCAGCAGGAGCCCCAGAAAAGTTCATAAAGTTGGCGATGGAGTGCATAACTTCAGCACATATGCAAATCCAGTGGAACGGTGGCCTATCGGAGGAGTTTACACCATCTAGAGGGCTACGACAGGGATGCCCGCTATCACCGTACATCTTCACGCTCTGCATGGAGCGATTAAGCCACCTAATCAGTGATGCAGTTGACCGTGGAAGCTAGAGGCCTGTTAAGATAGCTCACTCCGCACCGGCCTTGTCACATTTGTTTTTTGCAGATGATCTTATTTTGTTCGGAGTGGCCTCAAACTTGCAAGTTCAAGTGATCAACACCATCTTAGAAGAGTTCGGGGCCGCGTCGGGACAACAGGTTAGCAAGGCCAAATCTCGAGTCTTCTTTTCAAAGAATGTCACAGCTGAGGTAGCGGCGGAAATAAGTAATGGCTTGGACATTCCCGAAACGAAGAACTTGGGACGATACCTCGGAGTCCCGGTCATCCACGACCGTGTGTCAAAGGCAACCTTTGTGGACCTGATTGACAAGATTGACTCCCGCCTCGCGGGATGGAAGGTTTCTACACTCTCTCTAGCAGTCCGCATCACTCTGGCACAGTCGGTTCTTGCAGCTATGCCAGCCTATACGATGCAAACTACATTCCTCCCGGTGAGTGTACGCGAGTACATTAACAAGAAGTTGCGCGCCTTTATATGGGGGAGCTCTGAGGCGGGACGGAAGATTCACTTGGTTGACTGGCAGACGATCTGTCGCCCGCGCACAGAAGGCAGTTTGGGTATGCGGGATGCCACTAAAATGAACGACGCGTTTATGCTCAAACTGGCCTGGAGGATTTTTGTGGAACCAGATGCTCTATGGGCTCGCATAATTCGAGCCAAATACCTGAAGCAAGGTCCCCATGGGTTGGAGCCGAGAACAACAGGAAGGGTCTCGAACATGTGGAGAGGAATCCTCCGGGTCATTCATATGGTCCCCGAGGCGACGGTTTGGAATATACGAGGTGGACATCACGTGAAGTTCTGGAATGATAGATGGCTCCACGATGGGCCTACTCTTGCTGATTTGGCCCCGAACTTACCAGCGGCAGCTAGAGACATCACCGTTTCGGAAATGGTACTTAACGAAGCCTGGAATGTGGACTACATCAGGGCGTTCTTGCCGGAGGAAGCTGTCTCGCAGATCCTCCTCCATGACGTCCCGACGGGAACGGAGCCGGATGTCCCGACCTGGAGGTATACACCGACGGGAGACTTCTCTGTGAAGACGGCGTATGAGCTAATTGAGGATGCAGGGCAAGGAGGAGCCGGTTACCACGGATGGAAGGTGATTTGGAAGCTACCAGGTACACAAAGAATCCGAACTTTCTTCTGGCTGGCCTTCCATGATCGTTTGTTGACAAACTTGGAGAGACAGAGGCGGCACCTGGCTAATGGGGCAGCATGTAAAGTTTGTGGCGGAAGTGAGGAAGCATTGCTTCATGTTCTAAGAGACTGTCCGTTCGCTCGAGGGGCTTGGGCAGGGCTTCTTAGTGAAGAATCAGATGAGAAATTTTTTCAGGAAGACTTCAAGGACTGGGCTTTGTACTATCTTACAGGCAGAGGTAAGAATCTCGATGCAACACTCTTTGCCGTGATGTGTTGGCTGCTGTGGAAGAATCGCAACAAGTTTGTCTTTGAGGAGAGCTTGGCACCTTTTGATAAGCTGCACAATGAAGCTAAGAGTCACCATAAGCAGATTACTGAGGCTTTCGCCAAGGCTGAGCAAAACTTGGGGTTCTCAGGGATGGCCCAGAGGAAGATGATATCCTGGAAACTTCCGCCCGAGGGTTGGGCATGTATTAACACAGATGGATCAGTAATCCTGGCTCTTCAGAGCTCTGCAGCTGGTGGTGTTATTAGAGAAGACAGTGGTAAATTTCGGCAGGCGTTCACTATGAACTTAGGAGGAGGTTCTATCACTCGAGCTGAGCTGTTGGGAATGGCACAGGGCCTTCGTTGTGCATGGGAGGCGGGAATTCGGAAGGCTATCCTCCAGACAGACTCCAAAACAGCCATTCATCTCCTAGAGTCGGCCCCACCTACTCATCCTCATTTTATGGTCGTGTCGGAGATCAGGCGGATTCTGCAGCGTGATTGGCAGATACGAATCGAGCATATCTTCAGGGAGGGGAACGCGGTGGCAGACTACCTTGCTTCTTGTGGTCACGCCGCTCCACCGGGAATTCACATTATCAACCATCCTAGTAGTATGCTCAATTATTGGCTTCTCTTCGATCAGTTAGGGGTTGAAACCCCCCGCTTTGTAACCGACTGAGGTTTGGGTGCCCTTAGCACCCTTTTTCCCACCAAAAAAAAAATAGTCTCAATAACTCAATGATAGGGAGAGATTCTAAGTATGATAATTCCCATACAATTACAAGGCGGTGATGTATCTTTTTTTTAAAGAGCCTATAGCAAATTTTATTACTAACGATGAGTTGTTATACTTCATCCAAAACGATAGATGCATAAGAAAGATGGGGTTTGATTGTCCAAAAAAAAATCAGACATTTCCATATGATGTCGTCATGTTTGAATTCAACGACTTTCAGTCAGAATCTCATTTAAAGTAGGTCGAGAAGGTCAGATGGTTTTTGTTTTCACTGCTCTCTCGTTAGTTTGATAGATATTTGTAGAGTCTGGAATCTGCGAGAGCGGAAGGCTTTTTTTAGGTCTGAAGCCTGAACTCAAAAGTCTTCGGTCAAAGCTTATATTAAGGTGCTCCTAAAAAAACTTAAAGAATAAATTTTTCTCCTCTCGTAGATTTGTCAGATATATATAAAGTCCGTAATTTGCGTAAACCTGTGACGACATTGAAGAGATCGAACGCGTAATTCTCATTATAAAAAAGAAAGAAACAAGAAATAAGTCGTGTAAGAAAGAAAACGACGAGTCACAAATACAATAACCTGGTTAATTATCTAGAGTGTATTGGGACACTCAAGATCATTGTGATGATCAATTATCGAATTAAATGTATTGTGATCAACAGATACCTAATGGAATGAATATCGAATCGAGCATTTTTGGTGGGATGAACTTCTAGTAGATGGTAAATTCTCATCAATCAAAATTTAATGGTTTGTGATTTGAAAATTTTGAAGTTGATCAAACATCCCTTTTAACAAAAATACATGGGGAAAAAAAACCAATTTCTCTCTATTGTTTATTTAGCCAAGGAATTGAGGTCTTCATAACAACCGTAACGTAAGCATAGAAT